ATTTTCTTTTTTCAAATGAGTTGCTCCAACATTTTTCTTAACAGATTTTTATATAATGAATGACAGGTTATTAAGTTGATTATAGAATGGGCACTTAACTAGGCTATAAAGATAATGTAAAATATAGAAAGCCCAATGCACTCATCCTTTTTAGATGCTTTTTTGCACGCGGTACATGTATGACAAGAAATTAAACCACTTTACCATATACAAACAATGTATCAATCATATTTAACTGCTTTTTTGCATGCAATCTAAGTAGGACAAAAAATCATACCATTTGATGTATAAATTAGTCTCACTTTGGCCTGTGGTCTATTTTATGGTTTTTCTTCCAGCTTTGTTTTGTAGAGTTTTATCCGCGTGCATTTTTGCATTATAACATAATCTGCTGTGCAGGTTTTGTTGGAATATAGGAACGTTCTATGAACGTGTAGATAAACTATAATGATATAAAGTATATTTTATAAATAAGTGCTATGCACTGTGAAAGGTAAAGAGTAGAAAGCATATTGCTTTGGTCACTGTGTGACTTGTTGTTTGTGTTGCTAAACAGCCAAGACTGGTTAATCAGTTGATCGTCATCAACCAATACTTATGATTAAGCAATTAAAATTAAAATAAAAATAGAAGAAAACTCGTCCTATTTTTATTACAGCACAGTATAATAATTGTCCCTATCAAAGTAACCATCATAAAAAATATAAAAATAAACTTGCAGACCGAAACAGTTTTCCAATAAACATACTTAAACCTCACTTTCCACTTTCTTGAACAATTTAAAAATATTTATAACTTTTCAGTCATATAGTATTATCGACTTTATCTTTATACTCATGGTTAATCTGCTTTCGTCTGGTCTTGTGGCCGTAGTTTTTGTTATTTTTAGCTTTGTTGTTAGCCTGGTAACTGCCCAGCTAACAGGCCATGGTAACGTTACGTACTACCCTTATTCTCATTTAGAACCTCGGGAGAGAGCTGCTAAAAAGACATTTTGTGGACTGACTTATGATTATTTTAACCTTACGAGCATTACGGCCGTCCAGGGATTAAAGGCTGATGATTGCTTTACATGCATTACGGTGGCCAGCGCTATGGACCCAAATAAGTATACAAACGTGCTTGCTGTTGATTGTGGCAAAAATTTTTTTGATTTAAGCGTAGAGGCTTTCAATGCTATTTTTCGTTTCTCCAAGCATGGTCAGGTCAAATGGAAGCCCGTTGAAGCCAGATATTGCAATCACATTTGGGTGAAATCCAAACCCAAGGGCAATTAAATAATGGTTTATCAGTATACCCATAAAACAAGTGAATATAAAACTTGTAATTGCATTGGATTACGTTGCTGCTTTAGATTTAGATTTATTACTATGTGTTGATTTTTTAATAATTAATAATTAATAATTAGGCATCAACAATTTCATAAAGCAATGAGCGCACATTTTCAAATTCCAGCTGTTGTGGCATTGCCTGAAAGGTCCAAATATTATTTTTATAATGCTTTTTTTATTTCTTTGGGCTTTTTGTATTTGACCATGTTGGCCCAATTATTTTTATAGTTAATGGGAGCAGGCACCTATCATTTTTGCAGGAGTCATTTTCTCTCCTAACTATTTTATTTTCTGCGTAGTCTAAATGGAATTCAGAAATAAAGACAATAAAGCGTTTTCACAGTAGGTAGATAAGGGTCCCTCTTTTGTACTTTTACAACAGTAAAAACAGCGAAGACACATCAACCTCCGTCTTTTGCAACGCTTCCATTCGTCTCATTTGCAATGTCAAACGCTATACACCTTGCTGTAGGCAGTTTACCTTTGGCAGCAGCATTGTCACCGTACTACTTACTGCTAACGGAGTCAGCGTAAGCACAATAATATTGTTTTATTTTCATGGAATTTGCGTCAGCTACATGACCAAATTTGACTTGTTCAATCTGCAGCTTGTGCTAAAGGACTTGCCCGAGCACCTAACAAGGCAATGCCACTTTTCAAAAGATAAATGGTTGCTCATGCTGCCAGACTTGCTGCATGATATTTTGGCTAGTAAATGTCCCTTTGTGGCTTGTGCAACGCCTGCATGCGTGTTAAAGCCTCTTCCCCAATTGCCACTGACTAATTGCCACTGTGTCTCCACAAAACATTAACACTTTGGCTATACAGACTAAAAATACTGTGCCACCGCAAACTGCAATTTCTGCAGCACCTGAAGTATTGTCCAACTGCTGCATAATATTGTAACTTGTATTGGTTTTAAAATTATATTTTAATATTAAACGTGTAATATGTAGAACATCAAGGATCTAAACTTATAAACTATATATATAAATCAAACACACAGCTCAACAATTCGACATTTGCATGGTGCGTTAAGAAATAAGTTGCAGTTTACAAATTATCCTCCTGTATAAAAAAGCTACTTAAATTTCATTCTAAGCAAACTTAGTAGCTGTCCTTCTTTCTTGGGCACCGTACCAATTGGCAGGACATGCAATGTTTGCTTCAGGCTGCAGTTGTAATGGTCAAACGACTTGGCAATGTCTAACGGTGAATCGTTATTTTCCAACTTGACCACTTGAATATTCGACAATTGTAAAGGCTTTGCATTTCCGTTCCTTATGTTGATCTTCATAATTAGTCTTTTAACAGACTTTTTAATTTTTGTACTACGAGGAATAACAACCTCTATATGTTCCGCCGCCATATTTGAATAATAGGTGCTCGTACTTTTGTAGTAGTATAAATCAACAGTTATGTCCGACAGAAGGTTAGAGTTGGTGGTAGACATATTGATAGTAAACAATTAAAACAATAAAGCAGTGGTAGTAGCGAGAAAACATTTAAAAAAGTGGATTGAATATACATTATATATACAAAAACTCTAGTCATTAAATAAAAATAGTTGGTGAAGCCTTGATGGCCAGCGTTGATTGCCAGCTTAAAGCAAAGTCTCCATTCTTTTGAATTACTTACTTTTCGTTGTGCTAGTTATTTCCAAATAATCTCATGGTTAGCAAAAAACAAAAACAGCTGGAAAAATACTCCGAATAGAGCATTAAAGGGTAAGTGCTTTTATTTACACACAGTAAGTGGTTGCAACAAAAAACAGAAATATCGTGCATGTGCTCCGTCTGAGGGTTCACATTTCCATTTCCATTTTTCATTTTCCATTTACTCTTTGTTTGCCCTTTTCATTTATTGCTTTGTCATAAATAAAATTCATCAAACTTAAAAATATGATGATTCTATATATAAACAAAAATTCTAATGCACGCACTCAAAGTCATTTGTGCACTTACACACGAGAGTGCGCTTAAACAGTTAGGCTAAACTCCCTGATTCAGAACTGCTCGCACTCCACAAACTCAATGCCCGCCTTTGCATGCTTGAAGAACTCAGGAACGTTGTCTGGCTGCATAAAGCAGTGTATTTTTTGTGGTATTCCCTCTGTAAAGTTGTTTCTGTATTCGTCTAAATACAAAAGTATGGCGACGCCGTTTTCCCCCCAGCCCATTTGCTTAGTGACCAAGTCCCTGATGGCTTTGTCGTCGTTGACAATTGTCCTATCCAAATCGATAATCCGCACTATAGCACCGTCAATCTGTGCAAATGCGCAGGGCCTGAATTTTGATTGCATTGTCAGATGTGTATAAAACTAGAAAATGTATGTGTATAAAAGAGAAATGGAGAGATGGGTTGGACAATAGATAGGTATGATAAAAAATAAAAGCAATTGACAAGGTGTGTACGACAAGTGTCCTGCTTTATATATATAAAGCAGCGGGCACTTATGTTTATTCACCTTGTTATATAAGGTGCCAAGAGAAAAAAATGTTGCCAAGACAAATGCCAATTTTTCCTTAGTATTGTAGTTCCGCAGCATCCACGACTCTACATAATTGGAATCCGCAGCTTCCAGCACTGGAAATAGAGAAAACAACAGCGGGCAGGTGACTGTAGTTGATTCCTTTAGTATTTCCATTTTCAAGGGAAAAAAGTTGAGGAAAGTGGTCATCGAATTGGATGCTTTTCTAGAAGCAAAACTTTTTATGTAGTGCTTTTTTATTGTTCTGAGCCTTGAACCCCAATGATGGCTATTGGTTGATGGCGATCAACTGATTAACCAGATTTGGCTGTTTTCAGTCAAACACACAATCATCAATAAGTCAGTCCCACACAAGTTACCAAAGTAATATATGCCCTTCTCCACCTTTTTCCAATGCATAGCACTTGTATATCCAATACCCTTTTTTATACATAGTAGTTTATCTCTACATGCTCACAGAACGTCTCTCCTAGAATTCAACAATGTCGCATGATGGTATGGATCTTTTTTGCTGGCTCTGCGCAACTAAAATAAATATTTAAATAAATAAAGTAGGTAAGTTGACAAAAGGATAGTGCCTGCTCGCTTGCACACTCTATCGACAAGAGCATTTGTTGTGAAGAGTCATGCACGAGTGAGATCATACATGCACGCCCCATGCATATCTTTCCTATGACTGACACGAGTGTGTGATAAGCATTGAAAAAACCAACAATATTATTTTTCCAATGTTCATCGTCTGTATGGCAGGTAAAAAAAGCCAAAAAATTATAATAAAAGAATGATATTGAAAAAAGAGAATGATCTAGGCAAAATACAGAAAAAAGTAATATAGAAAATAAAGAAAATGGGTTTTCGCAGACAGAGCAAAATAGCAGCGTTATAGACAGGATTTTTTTTAGCTGGTCGTGGCATGAGAATCCTTAATAAGGGCCTTGACAGCATCGATGATTCCCCAAATAGAAGCAATGAGGCCAATGATAAGCACAATAGCCATCCAGATTTTCTCATACCAGGGAGCAATCTTGTGGCCGTAGAGCTTCAAGTAGCAGATGATAGGCAGGATAGCAAACATCGTGACGCAAGAGATGGAGCTGATGAGGCTAAGGAAGTCAGCAAAGTACGGGATGGCCAAGGAGATGCCGCAAATGATACCGACAACCAAGCTGCGGTATGCCAGGCGGATGGTGAACTCGCGCTTCTTGCCCAGACGCTCGGCGTTAATGCCCCACTGGTTCTCGATCTCAAGGTAGAAGCTAAGCAGCATAATGGGTGCAGCAATTATGACGTGCAGAGTAATCAGAATTTTCGACGCAGTGGCGGCTCCGCCGGTAGGGATAGAATCGAGGACGGGGGAGACGACCTGGTTGCCGTACGCCCAGTAGCCAGCGACACCGATCAGCAGGTAAGCAAAAGCGCAGAATCCCATGGCAACCATGATGACCATAGGCCATTGCTTAGGCTTCTTCATTGCGGCCTCGACATGAGGGTAGACGACAGATCCCGAAAACGAAAAGACAATCGACGACAGGGCCACAGGGACTCCCAGGCCGATGACGTTGTCATGGATGACGGGGGGCTCGGTGGGGTTCATCTTTGAGTACGGGTTGGTGATGGCCATGACCGAGGCAATGACGATGACGACCACCGAGGTGAGCAGACCGAAAATGGCCATGATGGCAGCCTCAGACATCTCCTTGATGAGGGCAACGGGGATCCACATGACAATGGCGACAATGACCATCCATACCTTCTGCGACAGGTTGACGCCCAGCGTGGAGACCAGCTGGTAGATGAACTGGCCCGAGATAATAATGTACAGACAGGTTGCGCCCAAGGAATACAGATAGTTGAAGAACTGCGTGATAAACATGCCGTACTTGCCAAATGCCTCGTAGCCGATCTGCGGGAATGAGTGCAGGCGGTGGCCGCTGCGGAAGTACAGGCATCGGATGGTCAAAATACCAGTGTAGCTGCCGATGGTTGCCGACAAAAATAGAATGAAAATGCCGAACCATCCAGTCTTGGCAAAGGCATAGGGGATCTGCAGACAGCCGGTTCCGATGATGATGCAAACGACGCCAGAAAACGAGCGCATGAATCCGGCGTTTCGCTCGGGAACATGCTGGGTCTGGGTCTGGGTGATCTGGTCCTCCAGCCTGGTCAAGTCATCGACGGCGTCCTTCTCGCCGACCGACATGCTGCCGGCTTCCTCATCGAGAGGCAGCTTGCGGTCCATGGACGATGTGTCGGAAAAGTCAGTCTGCGGCAGCGGTTGTTCGTCAATGTTACCGCGCGAGGCGACAAAGGCCAAAGCATTGTCGTTGTGGATGCCTGCGATAGTCGGAGTCGGCGTACCCTCGGGAAGAAGCGGCAGTGCGGGAGTGGCGCCAGATGTGTCTTGTTGTGGGTTGGGCTCGGTGTCGCTCCGATTGAGCACACGACGCAAAAGAGTCGTGATGGGCATAATATAATAGTGTCGATCAACAAAAAATAAAAATAAAAGGTTATCTTGGTTACTTGTAAAGATCAAAGGAAATAATGATAATACAGGCAAAGCTGGTATAGCTAAATAAAAAATATAGAGAGATAGAGAGATAAAGAGATGAGCGGATGAAGATAAAATAAAACAAAATAAAATGTGAGGAGATAAGGGAGAGAGAGGGCAGAGGATGGGCCGAGCAGCCAAATATATATAGGTTTTCAACATTTTGGTTCTATTGGGAATAGCAGCTAGCAGCAACACCATTTTAATGTGCAAAACGATGGTCACGATAGCATTTTTATCTAGGCCCCATTTGGACCTAATCGGCAATATTTTTCTTCCACTGATAGTAGTGGTTCATCCAGTTTCCTGCCTAAAAAGGGAGTGGTGATAGGTTGGAGAAAAAACAATCCGAAATAAAATAGGGAAAAATCGCAGATAGATTGGTTGGACGCTTTAGACGCCTAATTTTCTATTTGTTGTTGTTGTTCTTGTTGTGAGTGAGTGGTGGTAGCGCACAAATTTTGCGGAGAGTGGAGTGCTCACCTTAGTGGTTGTGTGGGGGATGAGGGATCAGGAAAAATACAGTGCTTGTGCATTTTTAAGTCTGGCTATGCGTGGCACAACGCGCATGAAAAGCGAGGAGCAATACAGGGCAAAGCACAATCAATGTGTTATTTTTGACCCCTCCTCACAGTAACTATTCATGTGGCTCTTTTTCGCTGTTTTTTCAGGCGCTAAAATACCCTGATCCCACGCCATTCCCAGCCATTTCTGCTGGTTAATTTTGTTACGCGCTTAAGTGGTGGCTTTTGCACTTGCATTGTCAGCCACCATCATTCGATTCGTCTTGCAAAATTCCCCCTTCATTGGACAGCGCTGGCTTTTTTCCATCGTCCGCTCTAAGCGTTGCACAGGGATAAAAAGACCCCCTCCCCCATTCAAGCACCAATATCCAATAGTTCTTTTGACATGCTTTGCATTTGGCTGATACCCAACCCAAATGGAAGAAGCGTAACGGTGCCATTGCTCACATCCAAATATCGGATTTCTGTTGCTGCTGCGAATGCATTTTTTATTTGAAAGAAAATGCACGTGTCATTGGAATTTGCCCAAGCAAATACAAAACGGGGTATCCGTAAAATTTTGCTAGTGTAAGATTGGCGTTAGTATTTTGATCCTATTGGATAGCATATTGCGGCGGGTTTTGCTTCCCAAAAAAACGCACTATTAGGAAATATGCCCGACCACCAACCGCACTATATTTCTCCTTAAAGATAGCTCCCGCATTTGGTAAATCAAAAATTTGGGGATAACTTTATTGCATTTTGCGGACATCATCGCAGAAAGAACAACCACTGTTTTTTGGCTACAGTGCTGTGCGAGCTGGTTTGCTTGTCATATTTGATCCAAACAAGTCCTATTTTGGAACTAAATAGACCATTTATAATCATGTATCGGGGTCGCTAATTGTGTCATTCTCCGGGGTTGAAAAATGGGTGCATGGCATGACTTAGCAGAGAACATGGAGGAAAAAGGAGTAGGGGGAGGAGAGACTGAAGTAGCGAGCCTTGTGCTTCTTGGTTACATGAAAAATAATGCACCTTTTTGCGTATTTTTGCGTATTTCTGCGTACTTTTGCATTGTTTCAGCGTTGCTAATTGTCAGCAAAAAATATGATGAACAGGCAATTACACTGTCGCGTGGGCAAGGGGGTATTTGTTTTTACGAATTTCGGCTAATTTTCTTGCCTGACATCACGCTGTCCGAATAAGGGCCAGACCGGTTCGGTTGCTTTTGATCAATTCAATTTCTTTTATCAGTTCAAGATCAATCGTGCGGGGGTTTGGGGGTGCGAGAATATTTGGAGAGATGATTGATCTATTTGATCTGCTAATTGCTATCCTGGATCAGATCGCAGATCAAGTGTTAGCAAAAAGAAAAGAAAAATGCGGCTGGTGGCAGTTTCCCACTAGTTCCTTTTTTACCATGTACTTTTTTTGGCGCTCGGGAAGATACGCGTATTTCGCCTTTTTGGCGGATATTTGTCTGGCGTGGCTCCTCATTTTCCTTTTCGGCAGGCTGAAAATAGGCGGCGGCGGGCAGCCAGCGAGTGAAATAAGTACAAAAATGGGGCGCTTTTCTCTCTTTTTGGGACGACTCCAGGATAATTTAATTCGAGCTCGTGTGGGAGCATCATGGATAATTAGGGTCAATTCGGAAGGCGGGAAAGGAAAAAGGCCTTTTTTGCGTCGTGCGCCGCGTATGTTAGCATTTTTGGGCTTTTATTTTTCCCCAATAACATCAGGCATGGCCTGGGTTGCAATGGGGAGGGGGAGGCCAGCTTAGCATACATCACTCGGAGCAGTGGCAGCAAGCAATGCGAACAAACTAAAATATACGAGTGTGTGCACTTTCTTTTGTCTTTTTGTTTTGTTTCTCTTTTTCGTTTCTTCAATTTCAATTAATTCCAGCTCTTCTTTCTTGAATTGTAAGTGTCTCTATTGAATTTAAGGCGTTGGCAAGGATAGTTACTAAAAACTACAGCCTGGCACACTATACTGATGTAAATTCAAACCGAGGCTTTCTTTTCTTGCGTTTGCACTAACAATCTGAATCTCGAAAAGCGTGTCATTGGGTTTTCTTTTGTAGTTTCATTTAGCGAGAGTGCCAAATTAAAAACACCAAAGTAATGCTTCGTACAGCTGCGTTTTCTGCTATCCGCCGGGCCGGCAAGCCCACCATCAACAAGGGCGCTCTTTTCCAGGTAAGGCCTTGTTGCAGTCGCAGTTGCAGTTGAAATGCAAATGCTTTTTTTGTGATGAGTCGTCGAAATCTCTTTAAAGAAAATTCCCTTTCTGTGTGTTTGGAGCGTTGAATTAGCCGAGATGTCGGTACTCTTCGTCTCTTTGGTCGTGGCTGAGGCCAGGCTCAGCCGAAAAGGTCGTTCACGACAGAGAGAACGCCACCGAGAGCATAATTGAGCCCATCAAGGGCGAGGACAAGGCATGTTCAGAGCTTGCTTTGAGGGGAGCGGGGGATGAGACGCGAGGAGGCGACCATTATTGATTCGATTCCCTTTTTCATTGGTCAGACTTCATCAGCTAACACACCTTCCTTTTCTTCTTCATTTTGATTTGCATTTCCTTAGGCTGCCCGCGGCATGGCCTCGGCCACCAGCTCCGAGTCGGTGACGTTTGGCTTCTGCGACAAGACCTTCGAGGGGTACAACATCGAAACACCCTCCCGGGAGATCACGATCAGCAAGGACGAGGCGATTTCGCTGTACCGCGAGATGCAGATGGTGCGGCGGCTCGAGATGGCGGCCGACTCGTCGTACAAGCACAAGCTGATCCGTGGGTTCTGCCACCTGTGCACCGGCCAGGAGGCCGTGCCAGTGGGCATGGAGGGCGCAATCACCAAGGAGGACGCAATCATCACGGCGTACCGCTGCCACGGCTTCACGTACATGCGTGGCGCGTCGCCGGTCAGCATCCTGGCCGAGCTGATGGGCCGCAAGGACGGCGTGTCGCAGGGTAAGGGCGGGTCGATGCACATGTACGCGCCCAACTTCTACGGCGGCAACGGCATCGTCGGCGCGCAGGTGCCGCTGGGCGCCGGCATCTCGTTCGCGCAGAAGTACAAGGGCGAGAAGACGTGCACGCTGGCGCTGTACGGCGACGGCGCGGCCAACCAGGGCCAGGTCTTCGAGGCGTACAACATGGCCAAGCTGTGGGACCTGCCGACGATCTTCGTCTGCGAGAACAACAAGTACGGCATGGGCACGGCCGCCGGCCGCGCTGCCGCCAACACCGACTACTACACGCGCGGCCAGTACATCCCTGGCATCCGCGTCAACGGCATGGACGTTCTGGCCGTGCGCCAGGCCGTCGCGTACGCGCGTGAGTTCACGACTAGCGGCAACGGCCCGATGGTGGTCGAGATGAAGACCTACCGCTACGGTGGCCACTCGATGTCCGACCCCGGAACCACGTACCGCACGCGCGAGGAGATCCAGCACATGCGCTCGACGTCCGACCCCATCACCGGCTACAAGCACCGGCTGCTGGACGCCGGCGTCGTCGCCGAGGAGGACCTCAAGGCCATCGACAAGGAGGCCAAGCGGGTGATCGACGAGGCGCTGGCCATCGCCAAGGCTATCCCCGAGCCCGACGCCGCGCAGCTGTGGGAGGACGTCTACGTGCGCGGCTCCGAGGTGCCCTACCTGCGCGGCCGCGTGGTCGAGGAGACGCACTACTACAACAAGCAGTGAAAATGGCACCAAAGCCATTGGCAAACATAGTCCAATACATTAATTGAAATCAAATCAAATAAGATCATCTAACTGAACAGCTCGGATCATGCCAGGGCAAAGAAAACCAGACCAGGCCGGTTCAGCCCTCCTCTGCCGGCAGCCGCGTCCAGTCGATCTCGCGCTGGCCGTGGCTGCGCAGGTACTCGTTGGCCAGGCGGAAGTGGCCGGCGTCAAAGAAGCCGCGGCTGGCGCTGAGGGGCGACGGGTGCACAGTCTTGAGCACCTTGTGGCGGCTGGCATCAACATGGGCGCCCTTCTTCTGCGCGTAGGCGCCCCACAGCATGAACACAACGTTGTTCGCATGGCGGTCGACCAGCGAAATGACAGCGTCCGTGAACTGCTCCCAGCCGTGGCCAGCGTGCGAGTTGGGTTTCTGGCACTCGACGGTCAACGAGGCGTTGAGCAGCAAGACGCCCTGCTCAGCCCAGCCCCTCAAAAACCCATGCGCGGGCCGCTTGAACTGACCCGGAAAGTCGCGCTCCAGCGCCTTGTACATGTTAAGCAGCGACGGCGGGATGCGCACGCCAGGGCGGACGCTAAATGCCAATCCGTGTGCCTGTCCGGCACCGTGGTATGGGTCCTGGCCGAGAATGACCACGCGCACTTGCGGCAGCTTACTGAACCGCGACCATGAGTACAGGTCGGCTGCTGGGGGGAAGATGACCTTGCGTTGGTCGTGTTGGCCTTTGAGGAAGCGCTTGAGCTTGAGGAAGTACGGCTTGGAAAGCTCGCCTATGAGGTGCTGCAGCCATGAGGGGTCGATGGTTTCAAGCTCCAGATGAAGCATCGCTCGGTGCTCGGCTGGAACGAGCGCAGTAAAGTCGGTGGATGGAGTGGCTGGTGCTGCAGCGGCTGGTGCGGATGTCTCCATTGCTTGGCTGTTATTGGCGCTGTAGTTGGTTTCTGCTCCCAGCTCTGCTCCTGGTTCTGCTCCCAGCTCTGCTCTTGGTTCGGCCTCCGCTTTACTGTCTTTCTCTGGTTCTTTTGTTTCCGCGTCGGCGGTCTTGGCCTTTTTCGATACAAAGTATGCGTCCAGCGTCCTGCGCTTGCCAACACTTGAGGAAGAAGAGGAGTTACTTGGCTTACTACTGCCAATGCTGCTTCTCTTGGTAGCGGTCATTTGGGAGCAAAAAATAAATAAATAATCAAAAAAGTGAAATTCAATAAAGTAAAAAATGAAACAGGAACAAATAATATTTCTTTTCAGAAAGCAATTGCTTTCTCGGCCTCTTCGTTGGCCTGCCATTGTCTAGCCAGTCTCAAAACTCTTAGCCGATCCAAATACTCCTCCTCAGCACCCAAATCAACGCGACTCACAGTCCACCGATCAACAAACGCATCCACATCACCGCCACCCCAAACCAGCCGATCCAAGGCTTCCCTTCTCTCGTTGTACTCTCGCGCATACTCCTGCCTGCATCTCCTGACCGAATCCTCTGCGAATTCCTCATTGATTCCGGCAATCTCCGCAGCCAGCACATCATTACTACTAGTAAACTCGAGGCTGCTACATAGTGAGTCAAGTTGTTTTATGGCTTGGGCGTATTGGTGTATGTGTTGGCGAAGGTCCTGGATTAGCTGGTGCTTTTGGTTTTCGAGCATGGAGAGGAGAAGGGCGTGTTGATTTTGGATGCTCTTGCCATTTCTGGTGTTGTTGCTGTTGTTGCTATCGTTGTGGGCTTGGGCTTGGGCTTGGGCTTGGACTTTGGTTGATTGGTTGTGGAGATCGCCCAAGGTACTCGCTGCTTGTGTTGATTTCTGATGGGTCGAGTTCCAATGCTGAATAATCGAGTCCAGATCGCGCAGTGTCTGCTCACACGTTGCCGGCATTATTTATATTATGGTAAGAACAAATCGAGTGAGAAGTATGAGCTTGATTATTTTTTAAAGTAAACAAATATATAGATGGAGTAGTATACACGAACGCATAAATAATGATTTTATTTGTTGGACACGCGGGCGTGAGGCACAGAGCATAGTTGGACCTGGCTGGACTTTGGGGTTTTATGCATATGGGATCAAGTGAAAAAATATATCAAGCGAATTAGCTTTAAAGAAAATCAGTTTTTCACTCTAACGAAAACCAGTATCACGTTTTGTGTCAGTCACTTTTTTTCATGCTAAAGCAGTAAAATAAAAAATAAATGGCTTTTTTCATTTACTATTTTTTATTTCTCTTTTTGAGTTTCGCAAGCTTTTTTTATTATTGTCATTATCATTATTAATATTAATATTATTCTTTCATTGTTGGTCGCTTTACTCTACAACCATGCCTGATATTACCGACACCGCTCTCGCTGCCTCCAATGCCCCTGTCGCCGCCGTTGCCGCCGTTACCGGTACCGCCGACATCGCAGATACTACCAGCGACATCACCGTCACTGACGCCGAAGCTGAAGCCAACCCCGAAAAAAAGGAGAACCTGCGCGAGCTTCGCGAAAAGGCCATGGCGCAATACGAGACCATCGGCGAAGACGCCCATCGGCTGCAACGACTCAACTCGCTGCTGGAGAAATCCGCCGCATACGTCACTTTTGTGTCGAAAAAACTCGATACCAAACGAGCCCAACTCCGCACGGTCGAGCCGTCAGCTCAGCCGCCCAAGCAAGCCATGCAGTCATTGGCCGCCAAGCGCACACACAAGGCCAAGGCCAAACTGGCCATCCAGTCCGAAGCAGCAGCAGCGGCGGCGGCAGCAGACGCAGACGCAGACGCAGACGCAGACGCAGACGCAGACGCAGACGCAGACGCAGACGCAGACGCAGAAGTATCCGGCGCTGCTGGCCAGCCTGAGGAGCCGGTGGGCGATGAGCGGGCCATCGATGGCCAAAGGGTGTCGCCACGGCAGCCGCAGCTCATCACTGGCGGCATCATGCGCGAGTACCAGCTGGAGGGCATGGAATGGCTGGCGTCGCTGTACGAAAACGGGCTCAACGGCATCCTCGCAGACGAAATGGGACTGGGCAAGACACTCCAGACCATCGCATTCCTGTGCTTCCTGCGCGAGCGCAAAGTATGGGGCCCATTTCTCATCCTCTGCCCGCTGTCGACGCTGAGCAACTGGGTGTCCGAGTTCTACCGCTTCACGCCAAACACCCCCGTGCTGCTGTACCATGGTAACCCGGACGAACGCAAGGAACTGCGCCGCAAGCATCTGCGCAAGCTCGACCAGAACTTCCCCATTGTCGTCACCACCTACGAGATCTCAATGCGGGACAAGCAGGCGCTGCAAAAGTTCGCATGGAAGTTCATCATCATTGACGAGGGCCATCGCATCAAGAACATGAACTGCAAGCTGATCCGCGACTTAAAGTCCTACCAAAGCACAAACCGGCTTCTTCTCACCGGCACACCGCTGCAGAACTCGCTTTCGGAGCTCTGGTCGTTGCTCAACTTCCTTCTGCCAGACATCTTTGACGACCTGGAGAGCTTCCAAGCATGGTTCGATTTCAACGACATTAGCGAGAAGGAGGGCCAGGACCGCATTATTTCGCAGCAGACCAGCTCCAACATTGTCACCAAGCTGCACCAGATCCTGCAGCCGTTCTTGCTGCGCAGGCTCAAGGTTGACGTCGAAAAGCACCTGCCGCCGAAGCGCGAGTACCTGATTGCCTGCCCGATGGCGCCCGTGCAGTACGAGTACTACCAGGCGGTGCGCGGCCCCAACCTGCGGTCGTTCCTCCAGGACAGATTTGCCGGCGTGCAAGCGGAGAGCCCCGAGGGCACGCTGGTCCCGGGTACTCCCGCCAGCCTGGAAGAGCCCGCCGAGCCTGCGGCCGTGGCTGCGGCTGCCACGCTGGCCAAGCGGAGGAAGGCAGCGTGGACGATGAACGGCAAGCTGGTCGAGGAGGCCAACGCGTTCTTGGGCGCGGCCAGCAGCGACAGCGGCAGCCTCGCCAAGGCAGCCAAGCCAGGCAAGAGAGGCAACGGGCGCAAAAGGCCAGCGTACGCCGAAGCCGACGAAAACGACACTTTCAGCGGAGACGAGCTCGACGAGCCCGCACACCTGCCCAAGGACACCACGCCCAAGGCATCCGCCAGCGGCTCCGGGCTGAGCAAGCTCAAGGCAGACGTGCTCGTGCGGCAGCTCAACCTCCAGTTCCGGCTGATGCAGCAGCGCAAGGTGTGCCAGCACCCGTATCTCTTTGACTTCCCCGTCACCGATCCGCAGGACCCCGAGTCCGAGTTCCTCATTGACGAGCAGCTGGTCAGATCCTCGGGCAAGCTGCTGCTGCTCGACCGGCTGCTTCCAGAGCTTTTCGCCAACGGGCACCGCGTGCTGATTTTCTCGCAGTTTGCCCGCGTCCTGGATATCCTCGAGTTCTACGCGGAGCTGCGTAGCTGGAAGTTTTGCCGTATCGACGGATCCGTCGCCCAGACCGATCGCCAAGACGCCATTGTGCGCTTCAACACCGACCCCTCCATCCCTCTGTTTTTCCTCACCACGCGGTCCGGCGGTCTCGGCATCAACCTGACGGCCGCCGACACCGTGGTTATTTTCGACTCCGACTGGAACCCACAGCAAGATCTGCAGGCCCAAGACCGTGTTCACCGGATTGGCCAGAAGCGCCCTGTGCTTATTTACCGGTTAATTATTGCCGGGAGCTGCGAACGAGCCATACTGAAGCGCGCCAAGGCCAAGCGTAAGCTGGAGAAACTGGTCATCCACGATAAGAAGTTCAAAGGTCTCGGGAGCAACAACAACAACGGCAGCGGCGGTTCAGGCGGATTAAAGGATGATTTGTCCGTGCAGGATATTGCGCAGATCCTTTTGGATGACGATACAGAGTTGGTTGAGAAGGACCAGAGGGAATTGAAGAGAATTTTGGAGGCCCTGGGGCCCGATGAACAGGTGCCAGAGGAGGCTATTTTGACTAGAGAGGAGCTTTTGGCTCTGACTGATCGTAGTAGTGAGGCATATTTGAAAAAGGATGACATGGGTAGTGACAGAATTGCTGAGGTCGTTCATGTGCCGGATGAGCGTAACGATATGCTGTCCAAGATGGAGACTCTTATTTAAGCTGTTCCCCCTTATTATATTGAATAACAGCAAAGTGTCCATATTTCTCTCTTTCTGCGTTTTCTGCATTTTTTTCTGTCCTCTCCTCTACCTCTCCTCTAAGCTGCCTAATAACGCACTCAAAACCAACGTCTATTGACGCTGCTCCTCATGTGGATGGTACGGCCCACCCAATAAAAGAAATAGCGCCTGGAGTCAGACGGCGCCTTTCGAACAGAGTTATTGCTGTAGGCATAAGCATAAGGATGCGCATCAACTCCAGCTTCAACTGCTTCAACCGCTTCGACCGCTTCAACCACTTCAGTGAGGAGTTGGGTGCTCCTGCTCGGTTCACGCATCGAGTGATAAAGGAGATTGGGGCAAATATGCGTAAAAATTTGGCCTATGCCTATTCTTTGCCATCAGACGAGCAAGAGCCCAAGCGGCGCAGAATTAAGGATGTAGCTCATTAGCCAATTCATTTTTCTTTCTTTCCACATTCTAGTGGTGTAACACACCACTTATTCTCAACAGTTTTTGCACCCATTCTCGGTAAGCAGTCTGAGTAATAAGCGAGTGAAGTGAGCGGGTGATGATGAATTGTATTTATATTCATTCATACATTAAATTACTAACACCTTTAAAAAAACTTAATTTTCACATAATTACACATCGACTCGCGACAGAAATGTTGTGCAATTTGCTTACTTTGCGCGTTCCATCTGTCCCCAACGCCTCCTCCTCCTCCTCCTCCCCCTCCTCCTCAGCATCATCATAATCAACAGACTCCGACTGGATGTTAACCATCAACTTGCTGCCGTGCGATACTCCGTTTTCTTTACACGTTGTCGCATCCTCCAAACACTCGTTCGCACCAAAACCAATATTAAACGAGTCAATATCTAACTGTTTTGTCGCAATATCTCCGATAATAAGTATTTTGAGCTCAGATATAGTCATGTCCGCGCTAATACCCTCCAACTCCAGTACTGGATAACAAGGAATATCAGCGGTTTGTTTTTGGTTGGTGTTAAAGCTTACGATAACAGTGAATGTTTCGGTTTCAACTAGAGTCTCCAGTATATGCATTTTTATTAATGTAATTGTGAACCAAATAAAAGAAAAAATTTTTATAAATAAAATTGATGGTGAAATGAAGAGAAAAAATATATATAAAAGGGGAAAATAGGGAAATAAGAACAAAAACAATTCAATAAAAAAGAATAGTCGGATACTTTGTGTATCATATGTTAAAAAGGATTATAATTCTCATTTTTTAATTTTAAAATGAACTAATTTTTCTTTTATATTTTTCTTTTTATTTGCAATATAAAGGCTTTATATTTTTATTAAAAAAATAGAACACAAAATTGTTGCACAGACTGAAGATATGGAAGTAGATGTTGAGGTTGTGAATCGTGAAACAAGTTTTCATCTGCATGCCGATTGATAGGGTACTAATTGAATAATGCAGGCATAAATTAGGGAGGCATTATATTGATGCCTAAACATGCTCTCCATTTTGCAATGCACACGCATGAGTGCACACACAAAAATCACAACACTGACTTGCCAAAGATACCAGTATGCTCACAGAAGAACCAGTTCTTGCCAACAGAGTGCACACTTGGCAATGTGCACAACAGAGGCGACAGGGCACATATATAAGATAAGGCCGGCCCTAGTAGTATTTTAGAAACATTAGTAATAAAACCCTTTATAAAATTACCCCTAATTTTCTAACGCTAGATAACTAGTGCTTTTCACACACACCCTCTTACATAACAAAATAAATTAGAAGAAAACATTTGGAAAATAAACTAATGACCAATTCAATCCCACTATATATCTTTTTTATTTTTGGATTTATACCAATGCCAAACACATCAATACTTAGTCTTACTTTTTTTAAACAAACGCCCGTTCATAATCAAATAAGATAATTTGGGAGCAATGGGTTCTACATCAATATGTAGAAAGTATATGTATAATTTATTTCCATTTATTATGTGTTTCGGTTCTAGTTAATCAATACACTTATTTAGTGTAGTTATCAATTGGAGGGTTTGCATCTAAATAAAAATACAGGCTTAAACTATTTGTTTCATTGTTAATATACTTTTTTGTAGGCATATAATCTTTAATTAAATCCTTGAAGTCTCGTGATGTATCTTCAATTCTACATTTTGGTACTTTTACTTTTATTTTTGTGGGTATCAATTCATTATCAACATTCATAGTTGCCCCCAACTAATTTAAAATTGTAATTATTAACTTTATTATTAAATTCCTTGGTCATTGTTGCTGCTCAAAAGTATACCTTGGTCGGTGAGTATCCTGGTCTGCTTGATTATTGAAATGCTAAAATATGTTAGCTGCTGCTGTTTTATTTGCTAAAGATAAACTAAAATATTGTTAATGTAGAAATAAAAGATGAGGAATATGGTGGAAAATGTTTCTCATTTTATACTAATTTTCTACCCACTCGTTTCTTATTAATTTTTTATATTTACAAGAATATCAATAAAACTGTATATCAGAGAAGGAAGATTTACTATCAAATGAGTCGATTTAAATCACCCTTTTCTTTTCAATGCAGAATTTAAAAACTAAACAACACACAAATATTGTTCTAAAGACGGTTTACATTGAAGAAATAAACGAGACTACTAATATTTGAATTTTCAAATATCCTGCAAATCAACAATTTTCCTCATCAAGATTGCATATCAACCCAGAACGTGGTTTGAAACTAGAGACAATAGACCATTATGGTTGACGATATTATTTAGTTTGCTGCTTCTTTTGAAGAGGAGAAGCAGGGGCGGATTGATTCTTGCGCGCATGCTTGGTCTTGGGCCTGAGCTTGATCAAATTCTCGGGCGTTGCTGTAGACCCAGATCCAGCCGACTCTGATGATGCCTTTTTGTGCAAAAAAACGGGGAGGCCGCTCGCTTGTAAGCAGGGCATTAAGAATGATGCGAAAGTTCAACGCCGCAGCCATGTCACGATTCTACTTCTGTCTGCCTGATGGCACTTTTTCGCCATCCTTGGATCTTGGTTCCGTCGGCCCTAAAGGTTTGCAGGCTGTTTTTCATTGTGCACTGAAGCAAGCTGTGTCATAAAATTTGGCGAGGCTTTTCTACTGTTGGAATTGTATTAACGCCTGTTGCAGCTACCTGCTCCTCCTGCTGCTGCTGCTGACCATTCTGCTGGTGCTGCTGCTGCCATTGCGACGTGGTGCTTGTGCTTGGGATTCTTCAGACGAGGATCATCAATTTTGTGGAATTTCTCGATCCTGCTCTCACATACCGGGCAAAATGTTGAAGTACAATACTCGTCGATCAAATAGACAGTGAATCCCTGGCCTATTAGCATCTCCTGCAGTCCCTTGCCACGAATTGGCTCGTGGTGACGGGTCATTCATGGGGTCTAATTGCCAAGAATAAGGACAGGACCTGGCTCAAATTTTGAACGCAAAGATTTTGCAAGTTCGACGTCAGTGCGCTTTCTGTTGACAAAGGAAAAATAGCGGAGCTTGGGCTGTAGGGGGTCAGTTGAGCTGCTGCCGTCATACTTGCGACTCTTGCCAAGGGTCTAGCGTGTTGTGATAATGTTCTGCCAAAACAAAATATCCCTTTCGGCGCTCTAGGAGGTACTCGGAATCTAACTTGCAATCAAGTGTGCTGGGCCCAGGGTGGTTGAGCGCGCGCTCGGGATCCTCAACAGATGTATACCAACCATTTGTTTCCACCTTGGCAAATTTTGCGGGATCGAGCTTGAAGACCTTTTTTTGCTCCCTCGCGGATCCGACAAAAAATACGCACACGACAAACATGGTAACTGGTGGCGACAGGGTGGTTCCTAATTACGCTTGAGTATTTAGTATAATTTTTATTATTTATTTAATATATTGAAATTCCAATAATAAAATTTCAGGAAATACACTAAAAATATTTTCAAAACCAAAAAACCCGAATAATTTTGTGTTCTTAACAGACACGTGTAGCCTGTAGCTGAAACAAACAAACAAGCATTTATTATTTATTTTAGTTTCAACTTTTCAATATTCTGGAATCTCAAACAAGGCCTTTAAAAATTCAGGAAATCCAAAAGATCCGGAGTCGCTCCTGCTTAATTTTTGGGAATGCTTCTGGATTGTTCGGCAGCCCCTCACAATAGTGCAGCTGTTTAAAATCTATACAAATACATGGTGCCATTATAACCATGTCCTTTAAATATTGTACCAAGATCATTGAATTATGAAACGTTATTTTTTAAAAAAAAAGTCACTCTGCATTGCTGTTGCTAATTTCGTTGTTACCAGTGTTATAGTAAGAGGGGGTGTGAGGAGCACTAGTTGTCTAGTGTTAAAAGTTAGGGGTGATTTTATAAAAGGTTTTATTACTGATGTTTCTAAAGTACTACTAGGGGCCAGCCTCATCTTATATATGTTCCCAGTCGCCTTTGTCGTGCACATTGTCCATTGTGCGCTCCGTTGGTGAGAACTGGATCTTCTGCGAGTAGACCGGTATCTTGGCAAGTCGATGTTGTGGTTTTCGTGCGTGTACGCTTATGCGTGTGCATTACAGGATGGGGGGCATGTTTGGGCATCAGTGTGATGCCTCCCTGATTTACACCTGCATTATCCAATTAGCGTCCTATCGATCAGCGCGCAGGTGGGAACTTGTTTCGCGGTTCTCGACCTCAACATCTGCTTCCATATCTTCAGTCTGCGCAACACCAGCTCTAGTGCGGTTATCAGCTGCAAATTTGTTGACAGAGTTTGGAAGGGTGTGCGACATGTACGAGGCAACAGCCATTAATAGCGCGCACAGCATCCAGGCAAAATGCGAGTTAAACGGGAATGGTAGCGAGTGCTTAATTGACCAGCTCCATGCGGTTCCAGAAACTAGCGGACCTAAAATCCTTGTAAACGACATGGCCATCTGCTGCGCGCCATTCATAAAGCCCAGATCCGCCCTTGAAGGCGCAACATTGGCTGTAATCAAGTTAATACTGGTAAATGCCAAAACGTCACCGGCAATGCGCGCCAAAAGCAAAAAGGTGAGCAGCGCCCAAAGCAGACAATAGTCTAAAGATAGTGCGCCCCAGGGTGTTGAAATGGCGGGAAGCGAGAGAAGCGGTGATGCGTCGGGTATAGCAACATCTATGGCCGATTTGACTTTATCTGCAAGCAGAGAAAGAAACGGAATGGCAATAAAAACAGGAATCAGTATTTTCATACCTGCCTGGTAGCAAAAAAGCACGCCATGCTTGAGAGCCAGCTTTGGATAAGCAATGAGCTGCACGTACAGAACTGCAATTCCGGAGATAGCCAACGAGTAACCAATCTTGCGAAATTCAAATCCGAGGCCACCATCACTGGGCTTGGTAGCGGCAAATATAGGATACAGCTGGTCTGACATTGATACAGACATACACATCAGAGCATTGGTGGTCATGACGCGGATAACTGTCGGTGTGAGCAGGTCGCGAATCGACCGCTGCTCAACTTCTACAACGGTGCTCTCAACATCGCGGCCAACCAATGGGGTCAACTCATTGGCGGCATTTGTCGACAACCGTGGTACTAGTGGAGCCGTCACCACGCAGGTTTCCTTGACCAGAGTCTCATCAAGCTGGTAGATGCCCATGATAAATCCAAACACTGCAACTATTGAGCCAATCAAACTGGGCAGCAAATAAGGGAATGTAGCAAAAACCTTGCTGCTTCCAAACAATCCAGGATATTGGTGCACAGGATCAGCAAATATACCACCAATAGATGCACCAACCACTGCGCCGAGATTCCAAGCAAGCGGGAGCATGGCCATCATTCGTGGGCGATTGGTGTCATCGGATATTTCAACAACAACAGACTTTACCACGGAAGATGTACCAATAAACATGCCATTCATAGAGCGGGTTATCAAGGCCCAAGTGAAAGACCTCGACATTCCAAACAGAATCGTGGTTGCAGTGTTGCCAACCAATCCGATGAGAATGACTGGTCGGCGGCCAATACGGTCAGAAAGACGACCCCAGTACATGACCGTCATAGTCTGGGAAATTGAGAGTGATGCCATTATTAGTCCGGAGTAAAATGCAACGTCCTTTGGACTCTTGACCACATCAAACTCGGAAACCATCTAATAAATGAAGAATAAAAAGTATGGATTATGTTTAGATGTACAGTTAAATTAGCCATAAATTATAAGCATGTTTTTTTTTTTTTTTACCTTGTAGATGAATGGCAGCACCAGCGAAAAGTTGATAGGGTCAGATAGACGGACAGCCAGAAGCACAGACAGCTTTCCCCATGGTAGCGGCGTTTCTCGAATAACAGCAGCACTGTTGTTTTCAGCAGCTATTATTTGTCCTTGGTTTTGGCGGATGCCAGGTGGGCTGGCGTTTCTTGCGGTCGGCATATTTGAATCTAATAATAAAATAAAATAAATAAAATATGTAGATGAAATTGTAGAAAAAAGAAAGGCGAACAATGAACGGCATGCTGCGACACAATTATATACTGCTTAATGTTCTATTTCCTTTTCCTTTTCTTTTTCTTTTATATGGATTGTGCGCTCTTTTTATTAAAGACTATAAATTAAAAAGGGTGATGCCGCTTATAACACTATTAATTCATTTTTTTATACCCTCTCAGTTTTAATTTACACATTTTCCCACAAGTTCTATTTATTCCTGAGCAAAGCAGCCATACCTTGTACTTGACCGTTTAATTTTAATTTTGCTGACCGCTAAAATAGCCAGACAAAATTCGCCGTGCATCTTTGACCGTGCTGTCAAAATCAACTGTGGCATCTGGAAGACCAGTGACAATGGGGCTTTCGCGACCAACAGCCAGTTCGCGCATCTCAAAGAACACAGTCAGCAGCGGAGTAGCACCGGATGCAGAACTGTGGATAACTGCCTGCATGGCCTTGTTAAGTTGCTCCTTTTTATCTGCTATTTGGCCCGGGGCCCAGGCGTACAAGATGCTGTGACCCAGTGGCGTGGCCATAGTAGCTTGGGTCAAATAGAGCAGCGACACAGTTTGCTCGCCATCCTTGCCAATGTAGCTGAGCAGAGCGCTGGTGTCATCGCCCAAAACAGGCTGGTCCAGAATGCAAAACGCCCGAGAAATAACCAAACTATCGTTTGTTGCCGCGCTCGCATTTGCATAGCTGGAAGCCATGATTACGCTCTTGGCGCGCACAGTGCCGTGGTTCTGCAGCCGCACGTTAAATCCACCGTCCTTGCCGCCAGATACCTCGACATCCTCGCCCAGAATGTATGTGCCGCCCGACACTGCGCACAGGCGACAAAATGCCTGCGCCATCTCGGAGCCACCACCATACATTGCGCACAAATACGCCATGCGGCCATACCGGCCCATTGACCTGACGTATTTCCTGACGCTCTCGCACCCGTCACGCGCACTCGGAATCTCGCCTGCACCCACACGAGCAACGGCATAAACAACAGCATCGAGAAGCTTGCCATCAAGTTTGAACTTTGTCTGAATAAATGAAACAAAGTCAGAACTGTCCTGTGTCGCTTCGTCAAGCAGCTTGTCACACTCGTCGTCATCGCTGATAACTGTCATCAGCCGCATGAGTTTGCGTTTCTCAATAAGGCTCAGCGACTTGCTGGCAAAAATGTCTTCCTTCGAGTCAGGCACGCGCTCGAGCACGCCGTTGCGCACAAGGTAGTTGTGCTCGAGGCCCTTGAACTGTACGTACTCGCCAATTCCCAGGTCAACCAGCAAGTCGATCATGTCGCCGCGACACAGGGACAACTTTGGTGCCAGCTCGATCGAGTACTTGCGATCATTGGCCAGCAGCCTTTCGAGCAGTGCCCTGTACCTTTCACTGTCAAAATCTTGGCTACCAGTGCTGTATGGCCCCAAAGCTTGAAGCAGTAAGCTCGCGCTGTTACAAGGCACATCAATACTGGAAAGCGCCCGGTCAATGACAAGGGTTGACGATGATTTCTGGCTGGCGTCGCCCAGAATGACCTCTACGCGGGGTGTCTGTCGCACATCGCGGTGTTGCACAGCCCACTGAAAAAATGAGGACAGTGAGAAGCACGCAAAGTTTCCGCCGTAGTACGGATTGCGGTCGATGTGGAGAACCTTTCTATCGGCGGCAGCAATATCGCTGGCAATAATGGATTCAATGAGGCCGGTGCCGAGAACGACTACATCAAACTCTTCATTATCAAGCGAATTATCCATGTTTGATTAAATTAAGTTTCTAATAAATAATAGTGATAATTGCAAATGTATAGTTGCTTAAAATACAATTTTTCATAAAACACGCTGCGGCCATTTACAAAAAAATGCTTATAGGATTAAATTTCAAGTCAAATGATGTGGGATATGACCACGTTTGTTATCAAAAATATTCCTCCCATGTATTGTTTTATCTGATGACAATTGCAGTATACACTTTCCACCTTTCACAACCAGAGACGGTGCTAGTTAATGTGTTAAAATTATGTGTTGCTAAATAAATGATATGCTGGTGCTTATTCTTTATTTGAATAGCTTGTCACAAATCCAACAGTTATTTTTGCCCATGTTGCGAATACATCCCCTTAAGCGAGTCCAATTTGTCATCCCTCAAAAACAACTGCAAATCTGCTTATGCTGCGACTGGCTTTAAAAAACATTCTCACTTGAATCCTTTTCATTTTCTCTAGCAAAGCAAGCAAAATCAGACGAAGGTAATTTATTGCTTCAATTACGATTTACATGGATTTACTGCCAGCCGAGTACGCTTTTCTTTTGCAACTCTGTATTTGCAAGCAATTCGCACAACTAAATAAAATTATCTTACAGCAGTATCCACAGCATAAACAAAAACAACATAAAAATAGGTTCAGCATGTCGCATCTCTTTTCCTCTGCTGAATATTTTGCCTTTTGCTTTTTAATTTAGTTATTTTCTGCTAATGGCTGGAATTGACTTTGGCAGGCTGGCAGGCTGAGCTAGACACATGCTCTCCGGGATAATTATTGCCCTTGTATCCAGCCTTGATATATTTATATTTTACTTCGCGATCAACTAGGTGTATTTCCCCCAAAACAATTACCACTTCCAGAAACACTGGCCTCACATCCACCAGGAATCAAGTGTACCGCATGCAGTGGCCAGAGTCTTCCATGTACGAGGCCAAGTTTTACGCAAACACCAATCCCTTCTTTTTTGAAGACACAGCCAAGTTCTTTTGAGGACGCCCAGCTGCTGTGGCACATCCCGTCACAGAGCTTAGAAAATAAGCACCTACAGTTTCGGCGCAAAATTAACATTGTCATTCCCGCGTCGGTATATCTGGACAAAACTCACAAAGCCGTTCTTTACGTGTATCTATTTATTAACGAAGCCAACCAATTTACTCCGCACCCAAACGTTGATGGCCCACACTTTATTGTTTATCGTACTCATGTTGCATGATGGCTTGGATCGGAGGCCACAGTAAATCCACAACAGAGCGCGTCTGGCGGACTATCATTCAATCTTATAACTGCAACCAGTGTGCCATTGGCAATTGTGCTGGCGGACCACACGTACAAGCGCAGAGAGTTGCCCAGGTACATAGCACAGTGACTCATTCACAGGCAAACGGATGGCTTGCATCCTACCGCATAGCTGCCAATGCTCATGTTGAACCACTTTACCCGAAATCTGGTTGAATTTCAGCCAGTATCTATCCTCAACGGCGGCCAACTTGAAGACATGCCCAGCAAACTGGCTGTGTATATCGACTTTGAGTTGCAGAGCATTAGACATGGGTGGATACTGTTAAAGGAGAGGAGAGCCCTTAAATGGACAAACCCTGGCCAATACTACGATTTCAATGGTATGGAAATTTATAATTTAGCCATGGCCGACGGGTCCTCATCTATCGACAAATACAGCAACCACAGTATATACCCGCCGCTGTTGTTATCTGAGAAAAATGGCATTCCGGTGCTGATTGCCGCGCTTGTGTTAGTTTGGGAATATGCCGTTTTGCTAGTCGTTGACCTCCGAGTGATCTTTGAGTTTTGGACTGGTCCAGTATCAGATTTTGACAGCATTTCGCGCGCGTCTCTAATCCTCTGGTGTGCCAATAGCATGTTCTGCTGTTTGTACTCTTATCTGGACGAAGGTATTTGGAACAAAAACGCAATGTTTGCTGTGTTTATTGTATTGGCGCTTCTGTTTCATAATCGGTGTCTTTTCTCTGGATTGAGAATTCCAACTTGGTTTGCAAGGCGCATTAAAAAAGAGCCTGTTGTGGAGACTGCCGATGCTAAAAATCGTGCGGCTGTTGACCAGCAGAATGCCCTGGTAAATGATCAAAATGCTGTTGTCGTCACAGAGGCCAATCAGCATAGCCATATTATCAAGTCGCAAAAGGAGGCAGACAGCATTAGCACGCACTGAATTTGCATTTCTGCCTTCCCGGTTATTGTGGTTATTGCAGGGTATGCTTTTATTGAGAACAAGAAGGCCTTGCAAAAAAACACGCTCTTAAATTCATTGACAGAGCCATCCGTATATTAACCTGAATCAATTTGCTACCGCAAGTCTTGGTCAATTACTGCGTCAAGTCTGGGTCCTTGATGCCCGTAGCTATTGCAAGCTGCATAGTCGGCCAGTACTTGCTTGGAATAACAATCAGCCATCTGACGTCCTTCACGAATATCGTGTTTGTGCACGCTACTCATAGAAATGCATTTATGCATGTTTGGAACGTAGCTGTCGTGCTCTATAAAAATGTGGGTCTAAATCGATATATTCAAGTCTTAAAAATTACTTACTAAACTGAAAAAGGGGGCAGCGCTGTGTGGGCAGCGCTGTAAACAGCATGGTGCTCCTTGATGTTAGCCAGCAATAACAGAAATGTGTATAGTGGCCATGAGGGCGATCTTGATTCCTGAAAAGGAAAGATAATAGCTTGAAATGTGTGTTGGGCACCACAGTAGCCGTCATTGTCCAGTAGGTGTGGTGCTACAAGAAGGCCAAGCAGGATGAAATAGTTTAACCAGTTCAAATATTTTGTTATTGCTTAAATTTAATTATTCAATTGGCAAGTCGTTTACAATGATTGGATTGTCGTGGTCAAAAAAACTAAAATATTATATATGGTCTGCAGTAGGGCCAGTGGCGGAAAAGATTGCGCAGTAGACATTTGGTTTTATTAATCAACTTTAGGTTTTATTTTTATCTCGCTCAATGGATCTATTTTTCTTTTGTAAACCAAGGTAAACAATGCAATGGGAAATGAGAAACGAGTAACCTGAATTTTTTAGCATAGCTTTACCCAATTTTTATCCAAAATATAATAATTTACATATATATACTAATTTACTAAATATATTAATGGGACCTATTTTCAATATACATAATAAAAAACTGCTTGATATATTATTTATACACAAGAAACATATGGTGTTGATTACTACACAAGCTTGCGCCCGGGTGGGATGCCATGCTCGATATCTTCGTAATAGCCATCATCCACATTGTATATGCTGTTCTTGTCAGAAGGTCTCACCATCTTGACCAGGTCTTTGGTTGAGCCTGCAATGCTGTACGCAACATCGACATCGACAGTGCCATTGTAATTGCTCATAAACACAGCACCATTTGCCAGCTCATACTCTGCCATGCGATTCTGCCTTTCCAACGTCCTTAGGAAATATATCAAATATTCGTCGCGGTCAACCAGACAATGATATGTGGGCCGCCAAATGATAGAGTAAAAGCTCACCTGGCCAATAAACAGGTCCGTCACACTGGTTACTATGCTGTAGCCAATCCCGGTGCCATCAAACCCAGGAACCCACCGCAGAACGACTTGCAGAATAAGAACCAAAATGCACGATATAGTGACTACCAGCAGTTCGCGGTACTCGCTGAAGCACACGTTTACATACTTCATGAGCAGCGTGGCGTATATCCAACAAAGGATCAGCGTCAGGAGGAATCCAAATGCAGCAAAATAAATTGGCTTTGCGGCAGAGCACATGGCAGGGTCCAGATCAAACGATATACTTTGCGACTCGGGCAATATCGACGCCAAAAGCCCATACGTTATCGGTGCAAATGCGCAGAGAGCAATTGGGACCCACAGATACCAGCCCTTGGCCCGCCGGTGCCATTGGAATATGGAATGGTACTGGTAGATGCGGAACAAATGGCAGCCAATTAAAGTGTAGGCACCCACACTGATGCGCAGCCAGGCCGAGGTCGCTAGGCAAATGGGCTGTGAGATAGGAACCAGGGTCGGCAGATATGTGTAGATGTCGCCGACGTACCAGCAAAAAATAGACACGTACAGGACATTGATGAGTCGGATATTTTTGCACTTGAGAGGAATGTACGCTCGGTTAAAGTTGATATATATAAGTACAAGAAAGGAAATAAACATGACGGATGAGTTGACACAGAGCAGGATTATCTCGCGCTTGTCAGCTTTTTGAGTATGTGACATTATATAGATATTATTATTGTATTATAGGGTGGGCATGAAAAATTTGAAGAGTATTGTTAATTTGTAAAAAAGGAAGGTAATAACAATTAAATAGTGCGTTATGGAGGCCCAGTGGACAAGAAAAAGGCTTTGTTTTTATAATAACTTTTTAAAGTTGCAAACTGACAACAATGTGGCGGAATAAAAAAGTATGGAATGATTGTGACAAAAAACATATTTCCGCTCAGCGGTCCCAAAGAAATGAGAGAAACTTCTTGTTTATTTTTCCATGAAAAGACAAGTGATTGCCACTCTGCAAAGGAGGAAAAAAGAACTTTTGTTTTTGTTTATGTCCAAGATAGGAAAGTAATGGGGCCAACGTGCAGCTGAAAAAAGGTACCAGCAAAATCCTATAGTGCATTAATTATATTTGATTTAATTGTTACCCAGCGGACTAAGCTGCGCTATGCTTGTAAGCGTGGCAAGCACAATGATGTATTGAGTGCCTATCGATTTTGACTAACCAATCTCGTGCTCGAAATAGTCTGGCAATTCGAAAGTTGTATTGGAATTTAGAGGTAGCTACAAAGATACTCATTGTGGAGAAGATTATCATTTGAAATGCATGTAGCAATTTTCGCTGCATTTTTTGCACACACGATCCCTTTGTAAATGGTTGAATTTTGTTTACTGCTTTCTCGGAATTTGATGAAGCAATTTGAACCAAGTAACTGCCCAAAATAACCATCTGACAACCTAATTCAGCGGAATGTGTCACATTGTTACTCAACTGTTGGTCCACTGCGCACAGCAGAAATCACGGCAACTTATTAGGCAATAAATGCCACTCTCCAAATCGGGAAGAAAATATTTACTTATTTGTATTTTTAGTTTTATTTCAGATGTATCGAAATTCGAATTTTCTTTTGACATTTCTTTCCAATTGTGCTGTCTTGACAAAAAGAAACCTGATAAAAATTTCTAAATAAAAATTCCGCGTTTTCTTTGCAACGGACGAGGATCGCCATCAAAATAAACAGCAGAGAAACGATTTGCCATTGCACCGTCAATCCTTTGCGCTGTTGTTTTCCTATGTGAGCCTCAAGTTTTTTTCTGGCTCAGTAACTTTCGTTTCTTGTTCCAAGTTGCCGAAAAGTAAAATAACTGCAAAAAAACCCGGGTCAATTGATAAAGGCATGACACATGCATGCCGGAAGGAACAGCCGAACAAAGTATTTCGGCCACGAGTCCACCATGCGCCAAGAAACCCGATTTTTGTTGAAACAAAATAAATGTCATTGGACCAATGATATGGCGATGATACAATTGCTGTTTGGCCAAAGTAACAAGCACGAGGCAATTTTGAAATTGGCCGTTAAAAATATCGATTAGGCAATCTATCATCGGCAAATAATTTAGGCATATTTGAAATGTAGCCGCCATTGTCCAGTGAGTGTATCATGTGGTGCCCAAACCACATTCCAGGCTACTATTCCCATATTCAAGCATCAAATGTCCATTCCGGAGATTACTAGCTTACATCAAATGTCAGCAAGACCTTTATGGCGCCAACCACACGGCGCTGCCCTTTTCAGTTTAACATTGGTTTTTTAAAACATTCCAAATTCACTAAGCATACCCACACCTTGGGCTTTATATATCACATGAAGGCCAAGCAGAATAAGCTACTTTAAAATATTCGAATAATAGTTTAATAATTGCTTATTTAATGGCCAAGCCTTTTGCAATGCTTTGTTTTTAATGGTTCAAAGTATTTGAAAAGTTAATTGAATTTTTAAGAGAAAATGACATAATATTCAACAAACATTTTTTGTAAATAAAAAAGTTTGCCCCGGTACGCAATTGTAAAGCCACAATGCTTTCTTTTAAAATTGGGTTTAAAAATAGGCAATTTAATCTATTGTGTTGATTATTTTGAGCAGGACTTTAGCGCTGACGACGAGCACTCAGCCTGCAGCGCGCTCTTCATCAGGCACTCTGATGGTGTCCTCTTTGCGGCAATCGTCTGCGAATCACTGTTATTGTCAACAACGCTTTCAACAGCAAAATATTTGGCCAGCCAAGACTCCTTCAAAATAGTAGCAGTGTTGGCGCTCACCCTTCTGGGCACATTCGTGTCAAACGAATTGTCAATATCCAGCAAGTAGCGCTCCTCATGGCCCTCGACAGTGCCCAAGTACGTCGCCGTGCAGTCAGCCTCACCGATTGCGCTACGTACCTTGAACAGACGGTAGGTGATAGAAAAGTAGTTCGTGTCGCCAACCAGCTGCTTGAACTGCTCGTCGAAAATGCTAATGTGCCTGATGCTCAGAACGCGCGGAGACACAAAGCCAATTTTCTTAACAATGCGCTCGAACTCGTTCGCAAACAAAGCGCCGGTAAGGCCCTCGCCGTGGAGCTCCTCGTGCTGACGCACGGACTCAGGGACCGTTCTGTCCGAGTACATGTCGGAAAAATGGAACTCACCGCCCGAGCGCAACGCTGTGTAAACACCCGCTAGGACCTGCGGCTTGTTGGGCGACAGGTTGACAACGCAGTTGGAAATGCAAATGTCCTTGGACTCATTGGCCACGCCAGCGTCCTCCAGCGCCTCGATGTACCCGGTGAGGAACTTGAGGTTGGGCTGATAGCCGAGTGTCTGGCCAAAGGCGTCAATGTTTTCGCGGGCGGTCTGCAGCTGCTCGTCAGTCATGTCAACGCCTGTGACAGAGCCCTGGGGGCCGACCAATGCGGCGGCCACGTAACAGTCACGGCCGCTGCCAGAGCCTAGGTCGAGCACGTCCTTGCCTGTGATGCCGAGCGGGAGCGGATTGCCGCAGCCGTAGAACTTGTCGGTGACGGCCTGGGGCAGGGTTCTCAGAAGGCGGCAGACAATGGGGTGCGGTTTAGAGCTACCCGTGCAGGCGCTGGTCTTCAAATCGTTTGTCGTCTGGAGAACCTTGCCGTAATAGTCCTTGACCGAGGTGTACACCTGCTGATCCTGCTGTTGGTCTTGCTTTTGGACGCAGGGCGTCTGAGCAGAACAAGACATTGTTTTTTATTGTTTTTATTGTTGATGATGTAAATTATTTTGGAATGAATGACGATAAAACAATAAATAATAATAATTGTAGACTAAGTGAAGGAAAAAAAGGGTTTACTACAAATTAAAAAACAATGGCTTTTCGATAATCATAGCTTTTTTATTTTTTTTATTGGCCGAAGTGCAGAGAGGTCACTGTGTGGGATTAGTAATCAAATTTGAAAATGTGTATCAAAATAAAAAACATAGTAAGCGCAAGTAAAAGAAAATAATAGGAACAGTGAATTACCCGAAACAGGTCATCTAAACGAAAATGAAAATGAAAATGAAAATAAATACTTGTGTACTACACAAGCGTGGGTTTAGATGCGCTAGCCTTTTCAAGGTCTTCGCAGTAGGCTGTAGCCGGATGGTAATCATTGGAATCATCAGAAGTCATGAGCACTTTAACAAAAGAGTCTGCCGAGCTTGCCATGAAAACCCCTGTTTCACCAGTACAGTCAAAGCTAATCATATACAGCTCCTCGCCATTCGCCAGTTCATACTCGGACTTGCGGTTTTCCTTCTTCAGCGTCCGCAAGAACAGCGCCAAGTAGTTGTCGCGGTCCACCAGGCAGTGGTAAGCAGGGCGCCAGATGAGGGCATAAAAGCTCACCTGGCCAATTAGCAGGTCTGTCATGCTGGTCATAGCATTGTATGCGAACCCGCTGTCGCCGACCTGCGGAACCCACCGCAGAACAACCTGCATGGAAATCACAAAAACAGTCGACACAATGATCACTGCTAGCTCGCGGTACTCGTTGAAGCACACATCGGTATACTTCATTAGCAGCGTGGCGTAGGTCCAGCAGGCCATGAGGATTAGGAGAAAGGCCAGAGCAACAAAGTACGCTGTCTTTTGTGCAAAGCACATTTCCGGGCTTATCACAAATGACGTGCCCAGGGATTCAGGCAAGGCTGCAGCAATAATACCGTAGACCAAAGGAATAATGAGCCATAGGCCTATTGGGACCCATAGATACTTGCCGTTGGCTCGCCGGTGCCATTGAAATATGCAATGGTACTGGTAGATGCGGAATATATGGCAGCTGATTACAGAGTATACACCGAAACTCATCCGCAGCCAGGACATGGTTGCTATGCAGATGGATCGGGAGGCATAAACTAGTGAGGGCTGGTAAGTGTAGATGTCGCCGAGGTACCAGCAGAATATCGTGAGGTAGAGGATATTGAGCAAAGGTATGTTTTTGCACTTGAGCGGGATGTATGACCTGTTGTAGTTTACATAGAGAAGGGCAAGGAATGATATAAACATGATGGTTGTGTTGATGCCAACAACAACCATTTCGCGCTTGTCTGCTGTTTGTGACATGGTTGGTGGATATTAATGCTAAAATGAAATAGTGATTAGTAAAATAATAATAATAAATTATTTGTGGGGTATTGCTGGGAGGGTTTTTGAAGGAAGGAAAATGAAAATGAAAATAAAAGGATTTGTATTTTTGTCTTTGGTTTCGGGTGTTTTTTTAATATATACACAAAATATTATTAAGGTGTCAGCGCCAAGGATAACATTTTTATTATATAAAAAATATGAACAATAAAATGTAATTTATTGTTTACACTATTTCTTTTCTTTTACTGTTCGGTGCGGCGACGTGGCGGAATACGCACCTCAATAATAAAAAGATAATACAATAAAAAAAGGAGGGATGACTATTGACATTATGTGTATATTAAAAAAGATCAAAAATATTTTTTAGAACAATACAATACAACAATTTTTAATATTTTAAACGGCTTCTTCGGCCAATTCGAATCCGTCGATATCGTCAAAGTACTTTGTGGTTTTTGCATCAATAGGCCACAAGGGGTCCTTTTTGCTGTTGATTATTTTGTTAGATGCGGCAACAGTCTTTGCCTTGGTTGTGGTGTTCGTGGTAGTTGTGCTGCGGAGAGGGTTTGTCTTTTTGGCGGTAGCAGCCGCTGGTTTCTTGACCGTCGTCTTCGTCTTATTTGTTGTTGTTGTCGTTGTTGTCGGTTTCTTTGCCTTGGTCTCAGCAGTATTGGATTTTAGGGTGCGGTTTCGTTTGGGCAGTCCAGCGCCGACTCGTTCGCGATCAAGTAGTTCGAGATCAAATTCTGCGCTAATCCTTCTCTTCTTACCCTTATTGACCAAAGAGTCAATGTCAAACTCAGCCGAGCTCTCTTCCTCCTCGTCTTCGTCTTGCCCTTCACTACTGCTATCACCATCACCATCACCATCTTCCTCTTCTTCCTCGTCAATACGATCGGGCATAGCTACCAAGTCCAAGTCATTTTCACTCTCTGGCGGCGGCGCGCGTTTAATAGGCGAAAACCCATCAATCAAGTCATCAAACACCGAGCCATCAGGGGAGGTATTAGCCAAGGACACGCGTCTAAAAGAACTGCTGCTCAGTCTCGAACGACCATATTTAGGCGACTTTGCCGAGGGAGTTTCAAATTGAGCTGGTGGATTGAATTTTGGCGGAGGAGTTTGTTCTTGTTGTTGTCTTTGGGAGCGTCGGGTTACGGGGGTGTTGTTTTCCTTGTCTTGTAGTTTGGTGGTTGCTGTGCTTGACTTGGCTGTTTGTTTGCGAATGGGACGAGGCATGATTTGCAAAAAAAAATAATTTGAAAATGGAATTTATTATTGCAAAAAATAGAAATTGAAGTAGAAAAAAAGAAAGCTGCGGAGAAGCGGAGACCGTTTAATTAATAGGGGGAGTTGCAAATGTTTGCGTTTTTTTCTTACGGTTGGACGCGAAACACGTAGGGTTCAGGTTCAGGTTCAGGTTCTCATGATGATGTGCATGTTTGATCAGATTATTGTTGATTAAATCACGTGTTATGTCCGAAAAAAGGGGGTGCGATTGGGTTGTCGGATATCAATTCAAGGTGCATTTTAGCGAAGCAGACAAGAAAGAAAGGACAAAAAAGGGAAAATACACCACACAACAACAAACAATGGTAATTTTGTTTTGTTTTGTTTGGCTTTGCTTTGTCTGTTTGATTGTGCGTGAGTATTTAATACTAGTGCACATTAAATAAAACGTTTTAGGTCAATTGAGATATTAGATGTTTTAATAATGCCAGAGCGTCAAGATATTCTGACAATCTGTCGGCTAAAAAAAGATGAAAATATGGAAAAATAAGACATTCATAAAATGGAAATCTATATTCCCAAGCAAAAATAAATAAAAAAGCACAGACCGAAAATTCAACAAGGTGGTTAACAACATGCGTGTGAGAGGCGTTGCCAATTACAATCTAATTATGTAAACATGCTTCGAATCAAACCAACTGAAATGTAGCTTATATAATTACATCGAATTATACAGACACTTTAATAGAAGTGGGAAAACATGTATAATGCATTAAAAGTAGCGGGCAATTCCAAAAAGGGTTTTATATTATTAGATAAAAACAATATACCTCAGATAATTCTGACCAAACATTAGCCAGCTGCACGAACCATTTAAGCAGAGTATGCAAGGAACTATTTTGTTGGCCTCATTATCCAGGCTGTACTCTTGGCTCGCTAAAATAATATCTTCTGTCGATTTTTGGGGGTGGCAATCATTTGGATCGCCCTATTGCAACCTGTAAGCTGCAGCAACCTGTCGTCCATTATTTGTGCTTTTTTCGTTTTTCAGAATTTGGTTTTGAAAAAGTGGTACTCATTTATTGAAAATATAAAAAAATGCAAATAGATATATTCGCAACCAGCGCCAGCCAGTTCGCCCACTTGCCTATTTGCGCGCTTGTCAACTTGCCTGCTTATTATAATATAAATACGAGCCAAAAATAACTAGTATAAAATATTCAAATATATATGAGCAAATTTACTTACCCGAAAGAGTGCGTGTTGGCAGTTGATTAAAAGGGTATAAAATATATTATCTGAAAAGAAAAAGAGGAGAAATTACATTGCTGTGATTTCAGCCGTCTTTGGATTTCGGTTGGGTGCTGATCATCAAAAAAATTGAATTGGCAAAATTGAGACATATCACGTGACATTGCTGGCACATATAATCACATTTTGTGACATTGCACGCACGCTGCGATTTCATAAAGTGAGCTTCTTTAGGGTTATTCGTAGTCTCAATAAAATATGTATTTAGTAAACAGTAAAATTGTTGTTGCGCAGCCCGAGGATATAGAAGCGGATGTTGAAATCGAGAATCGTGAGACAAGCTCCTATCTGCATGCTGACAGATCAAATAATTTTCTGGCATATATTACAGCCAGAGTTTGATAAAGATACAATTACATGGTCAAAACTTTAGCTGTTCTAAGTATTAACAGCAAAGGAATCAATGGTTATTTGTTTTTGTGTTTACCACATAGAAGAACGAATAAAAGGGAAGAGATGGAGGATTCCGTCCCTTGTTCTCCTTGTGGAGAAATAAACATATTTTGTCTGTAATTACCACTTGTAACGCATATGTCAGTGAAAAATCGAGGTTATTTGATGAAATAGTGCACAAATCAATATTTTAAAATAATTTTATTGTATAATAGCAGAGATATTATACACGCGTAATTGTTTATTAAAAATGTTTAAATTCATAAATCGAATGTAAAATAAAAATTACTCATTAAGCAAAGTAATAAAATATATTTATTTAAAATATAATAAGCGAGAGAAAATATTTGAATTAACTTTTATCTTAAATTTTTAGTAGCTGACTTCTTATATACACTAGCGAAAGTGTTTTTTTTTTTAGAATTTCCAGACATTTATAGCAAAAGTTCAGATTTTTGAAAATGCAAAGAAGTATTTTTCAACCGTGTTGTGTTGAGAAACACTTGAAAACACACTACTATTTGCGTCCATTGGGCGGGTAAAAGTATAAAGAAAAATCATTTTTATATAGTTTTGTATAGAGTGCAATTTATCATAAATAAAACAAAGAGGGAAAAAGAAAATGTAGATAATTATTTTAGCTTTATTTCTGCGGCATCATATATTTTGCGGCATATAAATAGCTAATAATATTAATGTTTGTGGCATCTTTGACTAACACAGACGACGACGATAACAACAATAATTACAGCAAATTTACAATTACAAGATGCACAGAACCAGCACCAGAACCAGCAACAGAAATAGTGTACCCTGCAGTAAGAAGGCTTTCCCTCCGGAATACATTGATACTTTGCCAAAACATGTCATTAATGGTAATGTTGGTAAAACAGTTCTTTGTGATACCGATCGACGGGACATGTTCTATTGTCTGGGGGTATAACAGCAATTAAAAAAGGGTGAAGACTTTCCGCCACACCAAAAATTATGAGGCTAATAAGCGTCGTGAGCGTATTTTTTGTCGGATCCGCGAGGGAGCAAAAAAAGGTCTTCAAGCTTGATCCCGCAAAATTTGCCAAGGCGGAAACAAATGGTTGGTATACATCTGTTGAGGATCCCGAGCGCGCGCTCAACCACCCTGGGCCCAGCACACTTGATTGCAAGTTAGATTCCGAGTACCTCCTAGAGCGCCGAAAGGGATATTTTGTTTTGGCAGAACATTATCACAACACGCTAGACCCTTGGCAAGAGTCGCAAGTATGACGGCAGCAGCTCAACTGACCCCCTGCACCGCAAGCTCCACCACCTTTCCTTTGTCAACAGAAAGCGCACTGACGTCGAACTTGCAAAATCTTTGCGTGCAAAATTTGAGCCAGGTCCTGTCCTTATTCTTGGCAATTAGACCCCAGGAATGGCCCGTCACCACGAGCCAATTCGTGGCAAGGGGCTGCAGGAGATGCCAATAGGCCAGGGATTCACTGTTTGTTTGATCGACGAGTATTGCACCTCAACGTTTTGCCCAGCATGTAAGAGCAGGATGGAGAAATTTCACAAAATTGATGATCCTCGTCTGAAGAATCCCAAGCACAAGCACCACGTCGCAATGGCAGCAGCAGCACCAGCAGAATGGTCAGCAGCAGCAGCAGGAGGAGCAGGTAGCTGCAACAGGCGTTAATACAATTCCAACAGTAGAAAAGCCTCGCCAAATTTTATGACACAGCTTGCTCCAGTGCACAATGAAAAACAGCCTGCAAACCTTTAGGGCCGACGGAACCAAGATCCAAGGATGGCGAAAAAGTGCCATCAGGCAGACAGAAGTAGAATCGTGACATGGCTGCGGCGTTGAACTTTCGCATCATTCTTAATGCCCTGCTTACAAGCGAGCGGCCTCCCCGTTTTTTTGCACAAAAAGGCATCGTCAGAGTCGGCTGGATCTGGGTCTACAGCAACGCCCGAGAATTTGATCAAGCTCAGGCCCAAGACCAAGCATGCGCGCAAGAATCAATCCGCCCCTGCTTCTCCTCTTCAAAAGAAGCAGCAAACTAAATAATATCGTCAACCATAATGGTCTATTGTCTCTAGTTTCTAAACACTATGAGGGGAAGGGTGTCGGTTTGAAGCATATTTGTAGCCTCATTCTTTTCTTAGTGTAAAAACGAACGAAAGAAAAAAATGGATTGCCGATGCGTGTTATATTTTTCTGGTAGTGATTTTGGAAATGTCTATTTATTTATCATTTTATTTGTGCGACTGTGATGGCATTATTCTGTTTTTCTTTTATCTATATTTTCCGAAAATGGAAACAAAAGAAAATTAACGGATGAAAAGAAAAAATTGAACAAGGAAACAAAGAGGAGGTCCGACAGTTTTTGAAAGAAATGTTACAAGCCGACGCACCGAAAAAATGGTGGTTTTTATTTTCCCAGTCTTTATTTTTTTAGCAAATAATTTTATTTATTGTGTTCTGAATTCCGACACACCGAGACTAACTTTTTTTGTTTTATTTCACTCGCACACGCTCAAAGCTAACGATAAATAAAATTTTTCTTCCAAAGGTCACCTTAAAGCATGAAGTCTCTTCCTCCTCTTCCTCCTCCCTCCCATCCTCCTTCTCATCCATCCACATCAACAACAGAAACGGCTGAACCAGCAGGAACAGCCGAAGCAGCAACGCAGCGCGGCAAGAGAGACGACAAAAAGACAATTCCGCTGCTACGATCCTGCGAAAGATGCCGGCGGCGCAAGCAAAAATGCGGCGGCGAGCAGCCCATTTGCGCACGATGCAAGAGCCACAGCACCGAGTGCAGCTACCGCAAATCAGGGCGGTTCCGCAAGCGGTTTCCAAACACAGAAGACCAGGGCCAGGAGGCGGGGCCAGACCTGAATCTGAAGCGCCACAAATTACACTTTGATGCTTCTGACACGCTTCTTGCGGCAACAACCCTGTCGGCGCTCAGCACACAGCTGCCGGCGGCGGCGGCAGTGCAGAAAACAGCAGCGGCAGCAGCGGCAGTGCAGAAAACAACAATAACAACAGCAGCAGCAGCAGCGCCAATGCCAATTTTAATTCCAAAGCCGGTGCCGGTGCCAGCGCCAGCGCCAGCGCCAGCGACAAAGCCAATGCCGATGGCGTGGCAGTCCACCTGCATAGCGGGTCTGTCGCCGACATCGACGGACATGACAGCGACAGAGGCTTTGGACCACATGCCGACGACGGCCTCGGACGACCGGACAGGCACGGGCATCGACCCGGTGGCGCTGCTCAAGTCGCACCGACTGTGGGACGCCACGCAGGGCCTGCCGGAAAACATCGTAAGGCAGATGTGGGCGCTTGTCGACGCGCCAGGCGCGGGGGCGCCGGCCTTCGACGCGCCAGGCGTGGGGCAGCCGCACTACCGGACCCAAATGAACCAGAACCACATGGGCCCGAGGCACGCTCACAACCATATGGGCCAAAGCCAAATGGGCCAGAGCCACGCTCAGAACCACACGTCGCCAGCCGACGCTCGCACAGCAAATTTCCTTTTGGGAGTCATGCAGCGGCACGCGCTGGGCGGCGACACCAGCTCGGCACTGCAGCTGCTGCACCAGCTGCGCTCGGCGCACCGCGACATCGGCATCAGCGTCGGCACGCGGCAGTTCTGGGCGACGCTGGACGCGCAGAGCATCGGCGACTTCGAGGTGCTCGCGCACGCAGCCGTGGCGCTGGCGTCGGCGCACGGGCTGGGCGGCGGCGGCGCAGAGGCATTTGAGGCGGCGCAGCGCGAGTGGCAGCGCGGCGCCGTGCAGCCGACCACCGGCGCCGTGGCGGCGCTGCTGAAGCTCAGCGAGTACGGCCACCTGACGGGCCGCGCCGCCGCACACTGGGAATTCGGCCAGGCTGCCGAGGCCGCTTGCCACCGGCTGCGCTTCCGCGGCCAGTCGTTTCCGTGGCGCAGCGCGCGCCTGCACGTGCAGGCTGGCCGCTGCGACACCGAGTACGAGCACGTGCTGGCCACGTACTGGGCCGCATGGGCGCAGCTTGTGCAGGCCGCGCAGCTGCTCGCACGGCGGCTCAGCAACAACGGCGACGACGCGCCGGTGCCCGAGCTGCCGCTGCACGACGCGTGCCGCCACTTCGCGCGCTTCCCGCCATCCGCGTGCCAGCACGCCGCGCACCACGCGTACCAGGCAGCCACCTGGCGGCTGCAGGTGATCGTCGCGCCGTTGCACGCTGCGCTGATGGACGTGCGCGAGGGCCTTGGCCCGGCGCCGCACTACCACGCGGCGCTGACGCGCTGGGAGGCCCACGCGCTGGCGTGGCGTGCCGCCTGGCCGCCGCAGTGGGACGCGCAGCTGACGCACGTGCACGCCGCCACCGCCGCCCACAAGCCGCTGGCCGCCGCCGACATCTGGCTGCTGGCGCTGCACCTGGCGTACGAGTCGGCGCGGCTGCGCGCGCACGCCTTCGGGCTGGCGCTGCTGCACGGCCCGCCGGCGTCGCCCAACGCGTTCACGGGCGCCAACGCGACATTATCGCGCAGCATCGTCCTGGCGCCCAACCTGCGGCCGGAGGCGCGTGCGCAGCGCTGGGGCTTCAACGGCCATGGCTTCGACCCCCTGGGCGAGGCCATTGTCCTGCACAAGAGCCAGTGGGAGTGCCTGGCGGCCGCCCGCCATCTGCAGCAGCTGCTGGAGCTCGGCGACTCGCCCGGCGTGCTGCCGCTGGCCGACCTGGGCGCCTGGGGCATCGGGATCGTCGAGCAGATCGTCGCGCTCAATAGCGTGCGCATGACGCAGGATGCCGATTCGCAGGCGGACGGGCTGATGCGCCTGGCGCGGCTCCTGCGCTTGCTGCTGCCTGTGCGCCGCTGGGCCGTCACCCTGTACGTGTTCACCAGCGTTGTCAAGGCCTTTGTCGACGACGCCCACTGCGTCGATGTCGATCATGTTACGCCGGGCGTCCTGCGCCCGGTGCATGTCGCCAGCAGCCTGTGGCCGCAGACCCATGTGCTGACCATGCTGATGGGCCAGATGCGCATTGCGCCACGCGACTTCTGCGCTTTGACCCTGCCGGTGGTATACGCTGCGGTGCTGGCGACGCCCGAGATGCCAAGTAGCCTGCGGATGAAGATCGGGTCGCTGATCTCTTAATCGCTTTTAAAGGTCAACCTAATTTCTATTACCCCCTCCCCCCCCCATATTTGTTCTATATTTCTTTTATTCGTACCCCTGCTCAAAGCTCGGCACCAGCGGGTAGAAGTTCGTTACGCAGCCGGGCAATGCGCGCTCCAGCGTCTTTTCAATGCCGGTGATCTCCAGTGCGCCGTAGACGTCCAGAGCCCTCAGACGTCTTCCGGCCAGCGCGCCAGCGAATCGCAGAAGGTTGGCCTTGAACATGTGTTTCATCCTCAGCGGCACCGTGTGGGCCAAGCTGACCGACGCCAAATGGTTGCCACCGGCGTGTATCTGCCGGGTCGCCGGGTGTCTTGAGCTGAACAGCAGCACGCACTCGAGCGCATTGAGCTGCGGCAGCGCGTCAATGACGCCGAGGATCTGGTCAAAGGTCAGCGCCCAGGCGTTGACCGTCAGGTGGCGCAGCGCCAAGTGTGGCTCCGGCACCAGGCCCGTGGCGAGCATCAGCGGATCCGCCGGCCGGTCAACTGCATTGCCGGGTTCCTCTACCAGGCCAGTGTACATGTCCTCGTATGGCTCCGGCACCTCGATGCGCAGATCCACCAGCCCTGGGAGCGCACTAAGCACTGCTCCTAGATCGCGCATTTGAAGTGCTGCTGCTGGCCGGTGGATGTCGCCCAGATGCACGTCGCCGCCGAGTGCCCCCATACTTAGTACTTGCAGCTGCGGCAATGACTCGCCCAACAGCAATAGGTCGCCGCGGGACAGCGCGTCGACTGCCAGGCAGCGGGCTGCCGGCCATGGGTGCCGCAGTAGCCGCACCTGCGTACTATCCGAAATGATGTTGCTGCCGTTGTACACCGGGTACTGTGTCTGGCTGCAGTACAGCGAGGTTACAGCCGGTAGGCTGCGGCCGTCCAGGAGGTCGCCCTCATGGTCGTTGGCGCTGGACACTGCTAGCCGCCGCAACACCGGGTACACCACCAATGGCTCGGCCAAGGGTGACATGCCTAGTGCCACGGCCATCTCTGCTTGGAACTCATCCATGTTAAGATCCGCCAGCGTACTGCTACTGCGCCGCACCACCTCCAGAATATCAGTGCTGCGCGCCGCTGATCCGTCCAGATACACGACCGTTAGATGTGGGTACTCCGGTATTTGCATCCCGAGAACTTCCGCACCCATCGTCTTGCCAATAACCCTAAGCTCCTCGACCTGCGCAAACGCCCCCGATCCACCGCTGGTGAAAAACCGCTCAACCTCAGAGCTTCCCGCACCCAGCCCGACCCACAATTCCGCCACGTGGCCAAGCCGCCCATGAACAAACGCCAAAATCCTCCTCCGACACTCCGCCCCCTGCCTACACCGCAGACCCTCCAGCTCCACCGAAACCATCCTCACATGCTCCCAACTCATCCTCTCCAATTCATCCAATGTCACCACCCACTGATCATCTGAAATCTCCGGATCGTCCGCCACCAATACTCGCGAGAGATGCGGCTGCACGGCAGAGAAATTACCATAGTCTTGTGAAAGTATAATGTCTGTTAGAGTGAAGTACTCGTAGACGCTTGGGAGTGTGAGTTTGCGGAGGTGGCGGCTTACTTGGGAGAGTGATCGGAGATCGGTTTGTGTGTAGTCCCATGACCGAAGGTACTGGAGGATCTGCTTGTGGATGTTTGACGGGAGCGTGTCCAGAAGCATTTTTCCTTTTGGGTATTAGAGATTAAATTAAAATATAAAAGTGCAAATGTAACGAATGTTTTTTATTATTGTTTAGAGGTGTTGAAAGGAAGGGGAAATTTTGTGCCTTCGTTATTTATGCCTTGTCAAAACGTTGGCACTTTGTTATAGTTATAGGTGTAATCACGTGTAGCTCACTTGTGGCTTGATAAAGCTGAGTTGGCGGCAGATATGCAACTTTTTTATTTAAGAGGTGGCGCTGTGCATGCCACTTGATGTCTCCACACTGTCTCTTCTCCTTGTTCTACTACACCTTGTCTCATATATCATGCCTCCTCTTCTGCAACCCCATTCATCTATGCACACCGATTTTCCATTGATCAATGCAGCCACAGCTTGTGCGAAAATAACAGTTACACCCCCATTTCCCACATATATGGATCATCATGCCCTTCATCTTCCATCTAGGTTGCGTTGTGTGGCTTTTTTTAATGATTTGCATTTTTTTGTATCAGAACATGAATAAATATCTGACATGTATCAACTGTTATTTCTCTACGTAAAATAAAAATAAACATCTTTTATTTATAAATTAAATAGTAGCTTTCACACAACGCTTTCTATCTCTCTCACCGATCCATACTCTATAGCAACTCCCACAACTACTCTTCTCGCCATTGCCATTGCCTACCTAATCCCCACACAAACCCTAGCAAATGGCAGCATACCCGGCCCCCTGCTCAGCCGGCTAACCGCACATTACTACAAAGTCATTGTTATTAGTGGAAACATGGCGCCCAAATCCATCACCAGCAGCCAGAAATACAGGCCACTCCACAAGGCGCAGCCCTCAAGCATCAGCATCTCCGATCCAAGGGGCATTTGGAAGGTACTCAGCTCGTCCCAGTTTCACAAACACCCGTACTACAATATTCTCAAATTCACCGGCACTGACAGCTTAATAAGCACCCAGGACCAGGCAAAAACCAGCATGAAATGCCGCATGCTTGGGCCCTAATTCAACGCCACCCACGTAATAAAAATGAAGCCGCTGATCCTCGACCACGGCATTGAAAAACTCAAGCAGCTCTGGGACGCTGCTATTGCACAACAAAAGGAGGCAAACTACTGCGAGACATTCAATTTCTGCACATTCAGTATAATTTTGCGGCTGATTTTTGGTCAAACAATCGACGCCGGCGACAAACCCACTCTGCATTGTATTTCCCAAGCCTGTAACTACTTATCCATCTGCACAATTCTGGGGTTCCTCCAGCGGCCGGTCTTCCGCCTGATGACGTGGGCCGTGGGAGATCCATAAATGACCCGAGGGCTAAACATAATGTGTTTGCATTTGGGCATAAGCTAAGAGTGTGTATGGGGAAGCACCTCGCCTGGATGAATATTGCCGTTGTGTTGGCTAATATCCTGAAGGATTATAACATGAAAGTCCCTGAGGAATATAAGGGCAAGGGAGAGGATGCTGATGACCCGGTTTCTTACATCGAAACCAAAGTATCCTGAGAGAGACTGTCGGCTGATAATAACTAAATGGGTACAATAATATTTTATTTGGTAATTAGAAAATCATAAATTAGTAAAACCAACAAAGTCTATAGTTTTCTTCATAGAATTATTTTATTTTTTTACCGCACCTGCAGAATTTTTTATTAGGCCAAGTCACCTTTTGTATATTTATTTATTTGTTTGTATAATGTATCTTTACTTTGTTTTTCTTTAGTGAACGTTTTACTATACACTTTTTTATTTGCAAAAAAGTAGTTTTGCACACTTACAGGGTATATTTAACCCTCGCCCACCCTTTTCATGTAGTTTTATTCTTTCTCTTTATCATAACAAATATATATACATTTATCTTTAGCGTTATATATAAATATTTTTTATTCAAACGTGCTTTCCCGCGCAAGTGGCTGCACAACACTTGTAGATCCGCTCAACACTGTCAATTGTACTCTAATCATATACAATAAGAGTTTGCCAGAATGTAAAGTTATGCCGTTCTTATCAAACGATACGATTTTACTGGTAATAAGCCGATTGCGTATGAACACAAAGTACACTAAAGCACCTATCCAAGTGATTGCCGATAGCAATAAATTGGCTAATGACTTTGTTCTTAAAGATTTTAAAGGCACTGGCCCCATATGTATATTCGTCAATTTTCCAAAGAAAGAAAATGTAATAAAGCACTACAAAAACCGTTTTTATGAAAAAGTCATTTGTTAGCTCGCTAAGACAGCGTTTAATGGGATAGTAGAAGCGCGGCTGTGGGGAGATCACATCCTGAACATCAGACCGGTGGCGCTTGCCACTGTGGCTCTAGAGCTAAGGGTTATTACCAGCGGCTGCCTTCAATCTCGCCCACCTCTGATGGTTTAGCTTTGTTGTTAGGGGCAGGGCGAGCGGAGGGGAAAGGAGCAGCTGCAAGACAGGCCTGGACCTGCCATTTGCATTGCTAGAGCGAGATGTTTTTTAATACCTCGTTCAGGCTCATAGGTCCATAATTGGTCCCCACAAGGGGTATGTTGTTTGGTACGCGTTCGGTGTTTTCTAATTTTTCCACTTAATTTGTTCCACAAAAATATTCAATTTCCATTCATATTTTATGAAAGAGGAAATCTACGCTAATAGTGTGCCATTTTTGCTAAAAGTGTATTTATTGGTTTAAACCCCGTAAAATAAAATAAAAACCAAAACCGCTTCTAGCCCCGTTATTTTATGTTTTTTAAATATAATTTGTTATTTGCTTAATAAATGTATATTTGTAGCCATGTTACATCCGATAAATCTTTTATTTTATTTTATCGACGTATTCTAGGGCGCTGTGATCTTCTGCTTTCAATTGCCCGGTACGGTGGCGGCTGCTGAGTTGGTACTTCATATTCAGGCGGCAATATGTCATCATAAACCGGCGGCGGCAATAAAACAGCTTCCACATTTTCTACATTTTCCGCTTCTGCTGAGACTTCTGCTGAGACTTCCACCGGCACCAGCATAGCTACAGGAGCTGCGAACGCCGCTGTTGTAGAAACTGCCGTAAACGAAGAGACCCTGGTTGTAGATGGGAGCAAGAGTGTGCTGGATGCACTCAAATTACCTGTTGTTGTAGTTGTTTGCATACCGGTTGGCGGTTGCACGGCAATAAGGCCTGCCAACGTGTTGGATGATACTTGGGTTGCTCGATGATGCTGTGTTTCTAATAATGGGCTGGTTGAAAATACATGCTCGAAATTGGACCTCGCTGTGGCCATGGGCACAGACGCTGTGATTGGTAACAATGGCACGTTGGATTGCCCAGCAACATTATTTTCAGATTCTGGCACTGGCGGATTAACCCTAGAAATACTACCTGTGGTTGTAGCCGGAAGCTGGAACCCGCCTATTAATTGGCCATACTCCTCGCTGAGCTGTTGACAAAACTGCTCCTGCTGGATGCGCTGCTGCTCCTGGAATATGCGAATTTGATCCTGTACCGTTACTGGAATAGACATCATGTCATTACAATAGGGCAACTCCGGGCAGTTGGGCAAAACATCGGTATCGGTGATAAAATTCGGATTGTACTCAGGAGCTGCGCAATTACTCGGTGCAGCTGTCCAACGAAATGCAACCGCCGGAAGCGGTGACACTGGTGTTTGCCACGGCTGCTGATCAAAAGGCAGTGACAATAATGGTGGAGACAATGGCAGTGTTGGCGACACCATGGGATCTGCAAACGGGTACATTGGCAACTGTTGTGGCTGCAGGTTCACCATGCTGAACCCCATTGGTTCGGAAATACTAGGCGGGTATGCTGTGCTTTCATTGCTCACCCATGGTATTGCCATAGGCATTACCATAGGAATTATTGGCGTACCACTGCCATGCCTATATAAACTGGTGTCTACATTGGGGTTACCAGTTGGCCAGCTTGGCTCCAAAAAGTGGTCAGTTCCTGGCATCGAGTACGACGATGCATGGGAAGCATCTGCATCATTGTTTTGCTCAAGTGGCTGCTGCTGCTGCTTTTTGATATAATTTCCACTGTGCGCACTGCTGCCAGCGCTTTGCAACGACATGTTGCTTAGTTGGCTTGTCAAACAAGTATGCGACATTGCAGACCCAGGCTGCAGATGTGCCATGATGTTAGGAGTTGGCATCCTGCTGCTGCTGCTACCCACTACCTGCGCATTGTCTAGAATTGCCGCTGCAATTGTTGAAGGCTCACTCACTGTGTCCTGGTCCAAATTACAAATCTCCCACAAATCAGAAATACGCCTGGACACTAGAATTACGGGCAAAGTGCCCTTGAATGTATTCCTGCCATCGTGCTCCTCGCGCCGCACAATATTGGCCTCCCTCAATGCACAGTACACACTGGCAACTGTCTTGATCCTTGTATCAGCCGACACTGAAGATGCAGTTGACCCTTGTACATCCTCGGGGTGCACCTTTTCATATTCAATTTCGTAGACTATTTGATGCCGGACCTGTATATGAGAGTTGTAAATGTTTGGGTGCATGGAATAGGTTCCCATTTGCGGAACTTTTAGCAACAGTTTGGTTGCGATTATGCCATGCGCGCTAAAGTTGTTTGACGTGAATTCAACGCGGTTGAGCTCGCTGACTTTGGTGATGGCGTTGTGGTACTCGAGTGAGCAATTCTGCACGTACTTCCAAGCATTGTGCGTTGGGTCAATAGACTGGTCAACTTCAGCGAATGCCTGAGAAAGTGCAGAGATGGTCGACGACTTATTTTCGGCGACCCCGCTGACCACAGGCTTGGCCACAATGGTAATCTCCTCCAAAGATAGCGTCAGTTTTGTAAATCTGTAATCCTTGTTGAAAGGCATGGCCTCCACATCTACCAGCGGCTGCGAGCCATCATGAAACACACGGCCCCTGGGCAGTCTCAGGCGAACGCTCAGGCAGTTATCCCACAGGTGGTGCAAAACAAAGCTTTCTGTATGGTCAATCAAATCCGAACGCAAACAAATAGACTGTCCCAGCGGCACACTTTCTGGCCGCGACAAGTCCAGACTGCTGCCCATGTATTGCTTAGTTTTCAGCGATATCAGGTCATCGTTGTGCAAATCCAGCGTCCTTGGAAATAGCACTATTTCCACGGGCGTCAGCAGTGTAGTGACGGGCTTCAGTACAAATGAGTGCTCTAGTCGTGTTTCTAGCTCATACTTTAAACCATACGCCCTTGTCGACACTGTTCCGTCCAGCCCCGTGGGCAAAAGAACCTCAAACGAGTAGTGATGGTTTCCAGGATCAAGCGCACCCTGAGAAAACTTGAAAGAGTTGTCTGTGCCTGAGAGCTGCGGGTCGCCGCGTTGCCAGACTATCCATGTGCCCATTGTTTTTGAGCTTTTTCTCAGTAGAGGCTGGAGGCTGTTACTTTTAGACTCGCTATCATGGAGGTCGACGAGCTCTGTGCTCACTAGACGTATTTTAATTTGCCGCAGTTTGAGCCTGTCTGAAGTCGTTATATAAAGCTTGCCTCGCAGTGTGGACTCTTGGTTTTTGTGCACCAGACATTGAACGCTGTTTTTATCCAGGTCGACTTTAAGTGTAAGCATAATTTCCAATAAGAGGAAGGAAATAACCAAGTAAAAAAGCAAAAAAAATATAATAGTAGTTGGGGACACTAAATAAAATGAAAAACAAAGAGAATACAAAAACGAATACGCCTCTCCTTGGCTTTATAATGACAGGGATAAAATAATTTTTATTGGATGTAAAAGATGCTCTTTTTAATATTATTTTATTTCTTTGGATTCCATTATTTCTCCAATCAATCATTTAAAAGCAATTCTTTTCTTTTTTCCCTCCTTTATTGTGTATTCGTCAATGTAAAACACAACATTGAATGAATTGTACAGAAAACCATGTGGGGTTTTTTATGCATTCGCAAAATTCATGTATTTATTTTTTACTAGAGCATAACGCAATTGCAACAAAACAATAATATAAATTGCGCAGGCATGACTTGTAATTGTTGCGTTCTTCGCATATCTTGTGCAAAACAAAATAAGACAATGTGAAAAAACAGGGACACTGCGCACTTACTCGTGACTGATCATTTTTTCTAGTTCTAATTAGAACGTGTAAGCTCGTAGTTAATTCCGCAGCAGACATGGGAATACAATAACAATCCAATAGCCGTTATTAGCTCTTGTACGCTGTTTAATTTTACAAAATCGATGGATATAATATCCATTAACAAATGTCGCTGCATATACCTGTATTTAGACATATAAAATTGTATAATATGTGTATTTGCAAGTTGTAAAAAATAAGGGCATTAAAACAGAAACGCGTCATGGTATGTGTACGTACTTAATGTTGAAATGTGAACGTTCTGTAAACAGAATATAAAGAATGTAATATTATTTACTCAATAAGGTGGATATTATGAGTTCTATGCACTGAAATGGTAAGAAAGAACAGCTATGTGATGTGTGTCACTGTGTAACTAAAAGGATAAGCAATGTGGCGTGATCATGCCTGGCTGCATCCAGCTCTGGAAAATATGTAATAATAAAGTCTGGTTAATCAGTTGATTCAATTCAACTAATACTCTTGGAACAATTGAATTTGCTGCTGCACAGGTGGCGGCGGCGTAGGAGTAAATCCTGTGGTTCTGCTTAAAATCTGCGAACCACTCTGCGCCGGTGTATCTACGGCGGAATTGGTAGCAACAGAAATATGATTTAAGTTAAAAGCTGAAACAACGCTGTTGACTGGTGCAGTGGGTGGATAACTTTCAACCAAGGTCTGTCTTGGCTGCTCCTGGTGGTGAGCTGGTGGCATTGGCATGTTCATTCCATGCACTGGCGGATACTGCACCTGTGTATTCTCTGCGCTCATGCCCATTGGAATAGGCATCATGGAAGGAATCATTATGCCTCCAGAATTAGAACTACTCCCTACCGACTCGAAATCATCCATTAAATTGGCCACATACGCCGGTGCCTCGCTCACAATGTCCTGCTCCAGGTTCCGAATCCCCCACAGTTTACATACAGCATCAGGAGCCACAACCACAGCCACAATACCACTAACCTTGCCAGTTCCAAACAATCTATCGTGCTGTACAATGTTGGCTTGGTTTAATTTGCGATGCACACTGGCAACCACTTTGACTCTTGCATCCACAGACACAGGATAAATTAAAGGCACAAGGATATCCTTAGGGCACACCTTTTCATAATGCAACTTGTAGTTTATCCGGTGCATTAGACGAAAATGAGAATTTCCAAAATCCGGATGACTTGTATGTATACTGGCATGAAGAACGTCAAGAGACATTTTGGTTGCAATTGTCTCCTGTATACCAGAATTGTTTGGTTTAAAGTATGAGCGGCTGAGTTCTTTAACCTGGGTTACAGCGTTTTCCCCGGCGGTTTCCGGCAAATGAATAGAGCTGGGTTCCAATTTTTGCCTGGCAACTTCAGCGGCCGATAGTTTAGTCATAATGGATACCTCCTCTAAAACTAGTGCTATTCCGGTTAGCTTGTACTCGCTACTAATAGCCACCGCCTCAATATCTACCAGCGGCTGTGAGCCATCAGGAAACAGACGGCCCTTGGGCAGTCTCAGACGCAAACTTAGGCTGTTGTCCCACAGGTGGTGCAAAACAAAGGGTTTGCCCCGTTCAATATTGTCTGGTCGTAAGCGAGCGGAATGTCCCAGCGGCACTTTATCCAGCTGAAATGTCTTCAACTTGCGGATTCTCGGAACCGGCGTATTAAGAAAAAGCTGATCATTTGCATGCAAATCCAGTGTCTTTGGAATCCGGATTAACTCAACGGGCGTCGTCACAACAGTATCGGGCTTGAACAAGGATGGGTACACCAGCCGTGTCTTCAGCTCATATTTTATACTGTAAGAACTTGTCTCTATTGTGGCGTCCAATCCCTTGGGTAAAGGTATGGAAAAAAAGTAATTGTGCTCACCGGGGGGCAGAATATTTGGTAAAAAATATACGTTGCCGCTGAGTCGAGCTTTCAGTTCTTCCATGCTTTTTATAGTCCAACATACACATGTCTGTGTGTTTATTTTTGGCGGTGTACGCTTTTTTTTGCTTTCTGGTTTGTTATCGTCGGTATCGATAATTTCGGTGCACTCCAGATTGACGACGATTCTGCTGATACCTATGTTTTTTGTGTTTTCGATGTGCACTTTGCCGCCGACATACGTGTCGCCCTCCTTGTTCACGAGTATTTTTGAAGTGATATTGGCCAGTGTAACGTTGACTGTGAGCATGGTGAGTTTAATATTCAAATAAAATATGTAAAGCAGTTTAATGAATATAACAAAAAGTGTAATTTAATTTAAAGCAAAAACAAGCAAGAAAGGAAAATATGGAGCTGCTCAATGAGTTTTCCCAATGTCATGGGTTTTTATGCGCTACTATTATTTTTTCTGCTTGTTTTTCAGTTTTTATCGTGACAACTTTTTAAAGTGCCAAGAATCGACAGCACCTTCTAGCCATTTTTATATTGTCCAGAAAGAAAAGAAAATAACAAAGAAATGTAATAATATCCACAAAACCAAAAGACCTTGCTCTCCAAATAGCTGAGTGCATCAATGTCCCGAACAAATGAAGTTTTGTGTGGTATTCTTTTCGACTTTATTGCTACGCAAAAAATTAAAAAAAGGCAATGCTAAAGGTCCTATTTGCTTACTCGCTTCGCTCAAAGCTTTTTTTTTACTCAAACACGAACGCATGCTTGTCGCCTGATTCCCAATTGACAGCACCCTTGATCAAATCATGCACTTCGCTGACACCACCAGTCCATTGTACGCTCTTCACTGGCTGTTGCACAAAACTACCCTCTCTCGCCATACGCAAAATATTTCTCCACATATCTTGCATTTTTGCCTCATGGCTTGCGTCCAAATACCATCTGTTCATCCAGAACCCACGCGCGGAAATATCCTTGAACAGCAGCAGTGAAGTAGGCAGAGTGACTGGTTGCCTGGACATGCCGCCATACGTGACAAGGGTTCCGCCTGAGGATATCAGCTTGGTCATGGCCAGGGTCATTCGGCCGCCGACACAGTTAAAGCCCAGGCGCACGGGTCCGTTGATCTGACCCTTCAGCTGCGCCAAGTCCTTGTCCTTGACCACTATGTCGGCGCCCAAAGCCAAGAGCTCACTCTCCAGCTGGTTGTAGTTCGGCCGGTCTCTCACCACATTAATGGTGCGCACACCCAGGGGTTTGGCCAGTTGGATGACGCTGCGGCCGACACCTGAATTGGCGCCATTTTGGATGACGTAGTCGCCTTGACGCAGGTCGGCAAAGTCCCTGAGCATCCTGTATGCCGTGCAGGGATTGACCTTGAGCATCCCCACGTGAAGCGGATTCAGGCCCGCGTGCCACTCGGATGGAACTGCAGAGACATGCGTCTGGTCAACAAGCGCGTGTGTGCACCATGTTCCAAACTGGCCTGACCTCCTGGGCACAACCCAATCACCAATTTGCAAGCCACTGACGTTAGATCCCAAAGCAAGAACCTTGCCTACGCCCTCGTTTCCACCCACGGCAGCCATGGCTGGCCCTGCGGTGAGTGGAAGTGAGGAAAAATTTCCCTTGACTGGATAGGTGCCTTCAATCTGATTCAAATCCGACGGGTTGACTGGCGCCGCCAGCATTTTTATGAGAACGCCTGTTGGCGGTGGCGATGAAGAGAGTAAAACCTCGGTTGCTTCGAGAACTTGTTGCGGGTTCCCTGGCTCCCTGTATATTGCCGCCTGCGCCCTCACGGTGCTCATATTCCGCATGTACGCTGGGCCGGTTGATCTCATGGATACAGAGCAAAGTCGCGTAAAAGGAGCTGTCATTGTACTACCGCTGCTGTGCATTATGTCGTGTTGGGCAGTAGTGTAGTGTAAGTGTATACAATTGTGTAATAAATAAATATAAAATATAAGGCTATGGAATGAAGAAAGAGATATAAATCCAGAAAAAAGAGACTAAAAAAATACTGCATTATATTTTCGGAATGGTTATGGTCAGCGTATCGCCGCTTCTCGAGGCTGACATTCTCCGCACATCATAAATACCCTGCAGCGCCGTCGTATATTCAAACTCCGAATCCCTCTTCTCCCACCCACCAGCACTTGTTCCACTCTGCACTCGAGCAGCAAAAACCCTCAGGCTTCCTCCCCTCACCTGCACCGAAGGCTTGACGTCCCTAAATACGTCACTCCTCAATGTAATAATCTGCCGGTCACCCAGGACTACTACACCCGCCGGACTGGCCGCTGGCGCTTCGAAAAAGCCATGCATTATGTCCGGTCTACTGGACACCGGATGAGCAGGAGGCCGCTGCTGGTAGAAGGGCGAGTGGTGGTGATGGCCTAGCACTGGTGCATTGTTGAAAGTGTGGTAGGGGTTGCCGTTGTGGTGGTGGATGCGCGGCCAGGCTGAGTCACACCAGGGAGCATAGTCTGTTGTGCGGCCGGGCAAAGTCCTGGAGTGGATGCTTTGGAACCCAGTGTTCTGGGAAAATATATCGTTGTCAAAATTCGAGACTCTGCGTGTCATTATTTAAATGGGGTTTTATTATATAAAAAAATATATATGAGGGGGTAAATTTAAAAATACTGTTTCGCAGAAAAATGCAAAGAGAGAAATAAATAAATAAAAAGAGAGGAGTGCAGGGAATTGACAGTGAGGGGAGGAAAAATTGAATGTCCATCAGTATTTGGAAAATACGGAACAGAAAAAAAACAGGGTTTGCTTAGGTGACGTGAAAAATCTCCTGCAATACACTAAAAGAAAATAATAGGGCCACAAGTACCCTGCAAATCGACATCCTTCCCCCAGATTGACTAGCAACCTAAAAGGCGTTTAGAAACTAATGGCAGTAGACCACTATGGTTGATGATATTAATCAGTTCACTGCTTCTTTTGAAGAGAAGAAACAGAGGAAGATGAATTCTTGCGCACACGCTTGGGCTTGGGCTTTGGTTTGAGCAAGGCCTTGGGTGTCGCTGTAGACTCACTTGGGTTCAGCCAACTCTGATGATATCTTTTGCGTTAAAAATATTTTAAAAATCCCCTGCTAAAAAATCTAGAATTTTGCTATAAATGTCTGGAAATTCCAAAATCCATTTTCAATAGTGTAGTGCACAGCAAGATTTTTCTTAATGTCTCACCGCTAATTTTTTATTTCAAATAGTGCCAATACGATTGTTGTAAAAGAGAACGTGGAGAATCGAGAAAATAATAATAAATTATTATTAGTTTTTGGTCAAAAGACCAAACCCTCTCGTCTAGCTGTCATTGGATTAATAGTGAAAAATAGATTCATTGTGCGAACTATAAAACAAGGACAAAAAATAAAGTTGATGAATAAGACCAATGTCTACTACGTCGCCTTGCCCATAATAGGCTTTATTGTAGACCTGGCTCCATTACCCTATAACAAAAATCATTCTAGGGGCGGTGAGGTTGGGAATTCTTCAGACTTCGGTCTAATTGCCTGGCGGTAGAAGTGTCCGCCCGGGTGTTGGTAATTTACCAATGACATCAGGCTAGCCACTATTGCTAGTGCCATAAGCCCACCCGTCGTACATGATACATTTCCGTCCCTCGTCCATCCTGACATGGTGAACTTCTGTGGCAGTCTCATTGTTGGTGCATGTTACTATGGCAGCAAAGGTCGTCCTTGGCTAGTCCTCATTTTTGATCAGTGAGTGTCCATGTGGATGCTGATATCGTCGCATTGGTCCACCGCAGAGGCTAGCTCCTCTGTCCAGAGCTGCGCGCGCAGGTTTTCCAGGCAGAATGGTCGCGTTAGAGCTCTTGGAATATCTCCCATTGCTCGTCATATGGTGTCCCCCACTCGTGCATCTGCAGTCATAAGGGGGGCTTATAAAGTTAAGAAAGTACGAGAAATAACCGGCCTCTCCATCACAATCGTGCATGCAAACGACGTAGCTAAATCAAATCGGACACGGAGCGCTATATCAAATCTACCTTTTTTACGTGAAAACTCCTGCGCATGCATCTACTTAAGCGTAAAAACTGCATTATTTTTAATCCCAAGCTCAGCTAGACATCTCTTTGGGTTAATTGATTTATCACTGGTATCAGTTATTTGTTTATTCTTAATGTTGATTTCATTAGCCGCACATATATCAATAATCGTATCTGATTGTTTTACTCGGCATTTTTTCTTGTCTATACAAATTGTGATATAGAAGTCGCCATACATGGTTACAGTCTTCCCATTAGGATATAAACGTTCCTTGTCATTTAGGCTTGCTCTGCTTTTATTTTCTACTTCACTTTGTCTATATATAATAATGTCGGCTGGCATAATTCCAATTGATTTGGAAATAACCTTTTTTAAATTTTGTACGTTTAAATATTCAGGCATTAGAAAATGGCGCACACTATGTTCCTTGTAAAACAAAACCGGGATATTAAAGGGGTTCCCTGTATAGTCAAGCACTTTTTGTACCATGTTTTTCTGCTAAATAAATTTGGATGAATAGTATTATGGAAAAGTATATAGTAGTATGAATAAGCAAACTTTCAATAAAAAACAAGTGTGTAAGAATAATATGTTGTGAGGATAAACAAATAAATGTCGGGAATTTTTACCTGTATATATAGTATTTAATATAAATGCTTCCACTGAGTCATTTAAAAAATAGCTGGTCTAAAACGCAACATGTAAATTATAAGTACTAATAATATGTATGTTAAAAATTAGCGCACAACTTTGTTGACTGCAACTGTTCGATTATTTGACATGGTCATGAATGTCAATACTTTACATAAAACTACGCTTTACAATAGCTTTTTTTGACAAGCTGACTGTTATTTTTTTACATGATAGTTCATTTTATAAAGGCAGTCAACACACTCATTTTTTTTACCTATTTGAGACACTATAATGAGGTTGTCACTGAGTTTTGTATTGTACGTTTTTTGTCAGGTGCATTGTAGTATTACTTTTTAATAGTACTGATTTGTATATGTTAAATTAAATTATATTGCATTATTCATTTCACAAAATAGCGGTTTAAATGAGGTGCGACACGGGCATAATTAATCAAATATTCAATTCTGGTATTACCGAAATTAAGTAGGATACACCGTGTCAACTGAAATAAAAATGGAAAGCTGCAGTCAAGCAAAAAATTAAAAGACAGGTAGAAGAAATAAGCTGCAAAAAATTGGAATATTGCTTTGTACAATATATGGCTCTACAGAAAGCTGCTTTTTTCCTCTTTTTAAATTTTTCATGCATAATTTTGCTATTAACAAAATTTTAATAAAAAATAGAAAAGCCAAAAAAGCAATTGCTTTTAACAGGTGCGCTCCCACGTTATTTTTTGTGATCAGAGTGTTATAGTAAGAGGGGGTGTGAGGAGCACTAGTTGTCTAGTGTTAAAAGTTAGGGGTGATTTTATAAAAGGTTTTATTACTGATGTTTCTAAAGTACTACTAGGGGCCAGCCTCATCTTATATATGTGCCCAGTCGCCTTTGTTGTGCACATTGTCCATTGTGCGCTCCGTTGGTGAAAACTGGATCTTCTGCGAGTAGACCGGTATCTTGGCAAGTCAATGTTGTGGTTTTCGTGCGTGTACGCTCATGCGTGTGCATTGCAGAATGGGGAGCATGTTTGGGCATCAATGTAATGCCTTCCTAATCTACGCCTGCATGATCCAATTAGCGTCCTATCAATTGGCATGCAGGCGGAAACCTGTTTCACGATTCTCGACCTCAACACCCACTTCCATATCTTCAGTCTGCGCAACAATACCAAGACTTGACATCTTTTTGGCTTTATCAATCTAATTACTGTGTAAACGAGAAAGGCGAGTGCGGGACCTTGTCAAAGAAAATTAAAAAAGAAATAGAGATAGTGTGCAGCTTAATCTGCTGTTTATTAGGAATTTTATTATGAAACTAATAGTTAAAAATTGGGATACTTAATTTTCAGTTCAGCTCAGTTCAGTTCATCATTGACGGGATACATGAAAAGTAGTGGTTCTTCAGAGCGGCAATCGACATGAATTCGTTATTGCACCGATGACAAGAGTGGGTTGGAACGGCAGATACACATTTATTTTTTGATGTGGTGATGCGAGTTGCTTGCATGTCTAACAAAGTATGGTGAAAATGAGGTGTATGTAGGGAAGGGGGAAGAAGGGAGGGGGATACTGACATATAAACACAACAATTTGAATAAAGTGTAATAAAAATCTAATGCGAGTAATGATGCTATGGATGCCAATTTATACAAGAGTCAGAGGGGGAATGCGGACTGTGATATTCATCTTGATCCATATCGTGATTTTTATCAATGTATCCCCCCTCCCCACATGCAGAAATCAACGAATCAAGAGTTTTTAATTTAATAAAAGCATGTCTAGGATTAAAAAAACAAGTCCATACCATTTACTTTTTTAATTCTGTCTTTGTTTATCCATCGCCTTTGTTGTATTCTTCTTTATTAAATACTTGCTTTATTTTTTTAAAACTTCATTTGTTTGTATATATGGCGCACCAACCAGCCGTATGCAAATTGACCTCAGGTTGGGCAGCGACTTTGCATTTCTCTTTCCGGAATGCTCTCGACTTGGCTCGTCCGATAACCGCAGGACGCCCATCGTTCAGGACGTACTCAACCAAACAGACGCGCCAACAAACCGCACACAGGGTCGGAGAAAAAAACACGCATGAGTATGAAAATCCCGATCCAGAGGCATCTTGGGCCCGGCTGGCGCACACATACGGGCGGCTGAGCACAGGCACACTTCAACAGCTGGCAGAACAATCTAGATCGAAAGCATACAGGCATGCTGAGCTGAGTAGGGCGATCACACAGGCAGCCGGCGGGCGGTTTTTTGACTTACGGCGCGGGCGCAGTGACTGGGAGGCATTGTCCGCCGAGTTCAATTTATCAATGGCCGAGTGTCTGCAGCTCTTCGACGGTTCACAGTCACCAATCGAGGCGCGCAATATGCCGTGCGCACACAAATGGACAAACGAGGACCGCCGTGCGCTATGCACTTTGGTCGGCGACACCTTCGGGCACATGACGGCGGACAGCTGGCGGCTGGCGGACACATACATGAATACGCAGCAGACCATCTGCTTCACCGCACACGGGTTCTGGAAGAAACCGCATTTGACAGCCGGCATCTACGCGGAATTCCGCATGCTGCGCAGCTCAGGGCTGAAATGGAAGGAGATCCGCGAGCAGTACGCGGCGTACTACAGGAACGACACCAGCATTGCCAGTGCCTTTTACCAGCACAAGTCAAAACACCCCAGCCTTGGATCATCCGCCGCTGCCGCTGCCGCCGCCATGTCTGCGTGGCAGGCGGCCGACCGCGCGCGCATTCGCGAGCTCATCTGGCACCACCGCGACAGCATCGACGCCGACTCCCTGACGCAAATAGCCAGCGCTGAGTTCCCCGACAAACCGGCAGCATCCACAGCTAAACTGTGCTGCAATCTTTTGTCCGAGGCCAAATGCAAGCCATTGGGGCAGGACGCGCTGAGGCAGCTGCGGCTGCTCGTCCATGGACACGGCGAGGATTGGCCGCGGATCGGCGCTGAAATGCAGATGCTTCCAGAGCGCGCGCAGAATAATTGGGTCAAGTATGGGAAGGCAGACGAGTACGTGGGCGGGTGGTCTGGGGATGAGCTGGAGAAGCTCCGATACTGCATTGCCCGCGACATGGCACCCAGCGAGGCTGCTCGGTATATTGGAACCAAGCTGCCCAAGCAGTGCTGGTACAAGATGCGCCGGATCCAGCGCGCAGGGCAACGCTAGTAGAACCGAGCAAGTGCCTCTCTGCAAGGAAGACGCTGGCTGGGTGGGTGGGACCTTTGGTGAATTGATTTGATTAAATAAAGTATTGATTCATGTTGCATTGCATTGCATTGTGTTATATTGTATTGACCGTACGTGACCTGCGCATCCACAGGCGCTCTTCGATCCAATTGATCGCACGGTACAGCATCCCGGCGCGGCGTGGCACCACCACGCGCATGGAATCACTCCCATACCACGCACTGATTCCGCCGGCATCGCACTGCTTCGGCAAGTAAAACACTCTCCAGTACACCCTCCACTGCTCGTGCACATGGACGCCCTCCCGGGCATCCGTCCACCGCCTGCGCGCCACCGCCTTTGCAACAACAGCCAATACCTTGTTGTGCTTTTGCACGCGAATATACCGCGAAACACACGCCGGCAGCCTCACTGTCACTGTGTATGCTTCGGGTGTGGCTGAGATAAAGGTGTGGAAGAAATGTGCGGTTTCGAGCTCAGTGAATGGCGTCCAGTTGCTGTCAAGGATATGTGGGCATTCGCCGGTGGACGGGTCGACGATGCGTCCATTGAATATGTGCGTGGTTTTGGTTTGCGGTGCCATGTTGACGACAACGACGCCTGACTGGCGCAGGGTTGAGACGAGTTTAAGATCACCCCGCGTGTATATGTTTCGCATGTAGGTGTGTATGTGGTTTGTGTTTTTTTTTGCTTTTGGCTTGACGGCAAAATAAAAAACTACGTGTTGGCGGATTAACAGTAGCAAAAATAACAGAAATGAAAAAACATAGTTAAAAGAATGAAAAGGATGTTTGTGTGTGTGCGCGTTTGACAGGCATTTTGTGCTTTGCTTTTTATATGGCCATGGCCATGTTGCTTTAATTTTCTCGTCTGTATACCAGAGCACATACACAGTAGAGCAAAATGGGGGGTTTGCAATAAAAAGCAGCGGAATGAACTGTTGCTGACTTGTCCAGGTGGTACGTGCGGCAATTAAAAACATTTTATTAATACACATAACATAGCACAGGCATGTGTCACAACACAACAGCACACAATACACGAGACATTGGATTAATGGCAATACAAAAACCGAACTGAAGAGGATGTCACAAGTTGGTCATTTCTTCAGCCTTGGTGTTTTATTTTTTTAATGGCTACTTATCCTCAAAGTCAACCATTGCGCTGTTATTATATTTCTTGTATGTATTTGCATGTGCCAGGCTATGCCACATGTTTATTAAGGTCTGCCTCCCCAGCAATTCCACTGCTGCTGTTTGAAGTTAATGCTGAGTGTCCATGTATGTTTTCTATTTACCATGTGAAGCAGTAGTGCATTGACATTTCTCTTCCTCTCTATTTCCCTTTTTCCGCTCAGCATTGTGGCACTACGGTGGGCGGGAACTCATGCCTACTAGCCACGCACAATGCAATACAATGATCCAGTTCCTAGTCCCAGTTCCAGTTCCAATCCCAGTATCGGTCTCAATCCTGTATTTAGAAGCAAAGGGAGAGGGAGAGGGAGAGGGAGAGAGGGGAGGAATTGAGCATTTGCGACCGATTGACATGCAAATCAATTTTGCTTTGGATATCTACAAATATCAATATGCTGATGCTTCTCGCTTCTTTTTTCTTTTAGACACACAATGATAATAAACATGAGTTTTTCTGATTATCGATAGTTTTCTTTGTACTTGCGCGTCCTCACATGTATGTACGAAACGGCTCTTTTTAATCTAGTTTATATTTGATGTATATAGCCGTGATTTGCCAATGCAAAAGAAAGAAAAAAGGTATTGCCGATCATAAAATACCTTTTTTTAGCGCAAGTGATGATCACTAGGGACATAAAGGATATGACGGGTTTTTTGATTTTTTGATTTTTTTGGAGCTGGCTTCTTATTTGCACCCAATTGCTTCTTTTATTCTTTCTTTCGCTGACCTGTTCTATAAATAATTTTGCTTTTTGGACGCACATATCCGCATCGTTTATTTTTGGTAGCGAAAACTACACCCTAATTTCTCCTTCATTTGCGGCACTTTTTTTACCACGTTTTGCGTTTATTTTTTCTTCATCCGCCAAGCTACACAACTGCACAAAAAAAAGTAAAAACCCAATGGCTTTTCACTTCTCTAATGCAATGTGACAAACTATTTTGTTAGCGAGAGAAGTGAAATAAGTGGGAATTGCGATGGTGCAAGAATAAATCACAAAATAATAAAACAAATCCGGTTTTCCCACTCAAACAATAGAAAACCTATTGCTGGTGGCAGCAGCAGAAATAAATCGAAATACAGTGCAGATGGCACATTTCCCCCCCCCTGAAACTTTCGAAAACAAACAAACAAAAAAAGAATAAATAAGAAAGAACGGTGAGCATAAAGTCCAACTTTTTTGTTTGCTTCCTTTGTATAATAATCTTACGGCTTTGCCCTTTTCCTCTTTTTTTGTCATTTTTTTGCACTCTTGGCAATTTTTTTTTCTCTCTCTCTCTTTTACTTATATTTTATTTTTTGCTCGATTATATTATTTATTCCACATACTCACCCGCACTCAATCCTTTTATATTCCACTCTATTACCAAACAACAGAAACAACAGAAATCTTTGCCAATGAAGCTTTTCGCAGTCTCCGCCATCGCACTGGCCACATTTAGCAGCACCGCGTTTTCCCAGGCTGACCTGGTAGCTGACGCAGGCACCATCACCAACACGCAGTCCTTTGCCTCAGCTGTCAAGGACCAGTGGGTGAACGTATACTACAAGGTGAACCAAAATATCTTTGATTTGAAGTTTGCCAACAAACCCGCCGAGTACTTTACTGCCACCTGGCTTTATGGCACAGACCAGCTTCCGGCCTCGTACAACCCGACATGGGCACCTGGGTTCCTTGCCCGTGCCCAGGCTCTGCACGAGAAAACTGCCGGTGTGTCAGAAGATGAGTCGTCGAGAGAGGAAGAGGGTATTGATAGTGAGGATTCTTCAGAGAGCGATGGGCTGGACTCGGTGGATGACGATGACTCATCGTCGGCAAGTAGCAGCAGCAGCTCGTCGGCTTCGGCTGGACGCGGATACGCTGGGGTGATGGGTGCGGCCTTGACTGTTGCGGTTGCTGCTGCGGCGGCTATCATGTAACGGGGGTTTGTGTTATTTGGATTGAACAGAACTGTTTTGTGTGTGTGTCAATTTTCCACTTATGCCATTAAGCAAAATGAACTGCTTGCACTTGATATTTGACACACCATATCCTCCTCCTCCTCCCCCTCTTTTTTAATGTTTTATTGTCACTTATAGCTATGCATTCAATGTTTATTTTAAATAAAGTTGCTCTTGTTTATTTATTTTTTACTTGGTTGCATAATGTATGCTGGCTGATGCTGTTTAAAGTTCTCATTGAAAAGAAGTTTGGTTTTCGGAAGCTAGAGACAAAAAACACGCAGTAGAAGAAAGCAGTAAACATCAACCCAGCCAACAAAAAAGAGAGAAGAAAACAAGTATTGTGCGTTATTTTGCACTCAAATGGACAATATTCCCACCCAACTTTTTATTTTTAGCATTAACCAAATGACAATATATATAAACCCTTTTAATTCTATTTACGAATATACCGCGTGAAAACATCAGTGTATAGCATGAAAAGCACCTCGTCCTTGAGCTCATCCAACAGCGTCAACGGATATTCGTGCGAGTTAATTCCCTCAGTAACGCGCCTAACCACAGGCTGCGTGGCATTAACCGACGCGTACGAAATCGGGTCAACAAAGACAGCAAAAATGTCGTCAATCTTTTCAATCAGAGCTGGCGGAAACTGCAACACCCCACTTTTGTCCTTATATGGATTGATTTCAACCGGGCACTCTTTTTTGACAGTCTCCAGAATGCTAACATTGATACCAGTGGTGCACCTGCCGCCCTGTGTAGATGCAGCGTAGTCTAAAGCCAACGAGCTTGCAGCCATGCTTTGGGCCTTATGACGCCGGTTAATGGAATCCACCATATTGTTGTACTGCGCATCTATTGACTCCATATGTGCGTCCGTATCGGGGGACGGGGGGATAATCTGCGATAGGCCTGAGCCCTCAGTCTGGTTCTGGTTCTGGTCCTGGAGAACAGCCACTGTGCGCGCCTTTAACGCCTGGTACTCCTCGACAAATCCAGTCAGCTCGGAGCAGAAACACGAGACCGCAAACATGCGGAATTTCTGATACTCCATAGGATCATCCAACATCCGATTAAATCCAAAGCGGCGGCCCTGGCTAATATTCACTGTGGCATGAGCATCGGATGGCAGCAAATTGATTCTGAACGGCAGTATCTCCTGGCTCTGAGATATTTTAATATGCTGCATAGAGCGCAGCAACGGGATAAACACGGATGTGATGTGGATGAGCACAGCAAAAAACCAGATAAATGATAGGCCGGGCCAGATCTGCTGCGTCTCATGCAGCACGTTAACCCAGACAATTGTCACTGCCATGCAGACGACGCCGACGGTATCGCAGATAATCAGGTCGTTGCGAATCCCGTACGCGTCGTTGTCGCGCCAGACACGCCACAGAATAACCGGAAAAACAACGAAAAAGTACAAGATGATGATGCCCGTGACTGGGAAGAACCCCCACATGAAGAAGCAGTAGATGTTGACCGGCCGCATGGCAAACTGCTTATCCGTGATGTTAATTACCAAGGTTAGGATGCCGCCAAGAGCCATGATTACGCTAATGTAGATGATCAGCATGCGGTCGGTGACGTACGGCAGCAGCCGCTTGTACTTTTCGAGCTGCCGCGCCTGGCGCATCCTCGGAACTGAGTCGGCCATCATAAGGACGGAGTCGACAGATCCCGTGATGGTAACATGGCTTGCCGGGTACGCTGCCTTGGCGGACTGCCCCGTGGACCAAATTTCCATCGACTGCATCAGCTTCGGGTCCCGTGTGGACAACTGGTTGCTGAGCTCATGCACCTTGTAAACAACCATCAACCGGAACGCCCGTGCGGAAATCGCAGATAAGGTCAGGAGAAACCCAATATTGAACAGCCACAGTTTGCCAAAACACGCCCAGTCATTAAGCGCCGCTGTTGCTAGGCCGTTGGAGCCAATGAGGAAGCAGCCCATGGCTTGTATTAACACGAGCTTTACGGAGCGCTTTTCTAACCCGCTGAGCTTGTTTCGAGAAATTAGTATGAAGAGAATGAGCGTGGATATGACGAATACTGCGTAGATGGCAGATACCCCGGACATTATGCCGACACGGATACGATAGTTTGTTGAACCCGGTACCCAGTCTGGGAGAATCTCGGGTGTGGACGAGCCCATTGTGCGTAAAAATATATATATATGTATATATTATATGTGTGTAAATTAAAAAATATATATAGAAAAATAGTTTCGCCAAAGAAAAGAAATTAAAATAAAAAATATTGAAATGGTGAGAGAAATACGGAGGATGCGGCGGGCCCGAAGATATTTTTAGTACAGGTTTTTATGCCTACTACCACTACAGAAAAAAGCTAGAAAGAAAATATGAGAAGAAAAAAGAAATGATAGGTAAACCGATAAATAAAAAAACAAGAAAAACTATATTTGCTAGTGTGAGATGGGTTAATTAATTGAGGTACACAAAAATAAAAAAGGTTAACCGATTGACACTTGCAAAAAAAATTGATATACCATGTGTGCTTGGATTTACACCTTGCTCGCTGCAATAACGACAGAAAACAAGTAAACATTAAAATAGGAAAGAAAATATACTAATAAACGTGATTTCTCTTGTTGCATTTTAAAAATTAAGTATTTAAATTAGTAAATAAAAATAAAAGTTGGGGGTCGATCAGATCGACATATTGATGTCCGATATTTTTTTGATAGCTGAAAGTGGTTTGAAAAAAATAAGTGTAAGGGGCGAAAATAAATGAAAAATAAATCAACGCAAAAACAGATACATTAAAAAAAGTATTGCGTTTAGTTAGTTCAATTCTTGTTAAATTGGCGCCTCAATACTGATAGATTTTCTCCATTCAAAAATTTTATTATAGTATAAATACAGTTTTTATAGTGGATTTTTTCTTTGTAATATTTTTTCTATTGCATACAAAATCCACAATGCGGAATGCAAGTAGTACATGTAAACAAGAAGTGATCACATCATTGATTTCGTCATATACCGGATTGGCAGGGCTAAGTGTATTTTTGTGTGTTGTCTGAATTGTCTGAATTATCTATGTGAAAGTGGTTCAATGGTAATCTAATCCTTTCTATCCACGAAGTAATTAAAAATAACTGCATTTAGTATGTAATGAGTAATTTTGCTGGTTATAATAAATATTAATTTGAATGAGACTACGAGAAGAGCTAAAGAGCGCACTATCTAGAATTCGCTGTACGCGTGAAATATCATAAACATATTTCACGCGTCTGCGCTATCACGTGACTCGGCCCCATTTCTGATGTTACATAGTACCATAAAAAATTTATTAAGATTATATATTAATTAACCAAAATAAAGGTAAATCCAAAAATTTTAAAATTTAAATTAAATGCTCCATAACAGACCTAACCCATTGAGCAGTCAATTTAGTTGGGGCCAGGGTCTGATGGTTAGCCTTAATCTGATTTGCGACTTCCTCGGAAACCTGCTTCAACACACCTCTATCCACATATTCCTTGAGGATTTCAAAAAGATTGTTAACTTTGGCAACCAAAGCATTATCGTCTACGCTGTTTTCCAGAGTTTCAAGTACTGCTTTGGCACTTTTTTGGTCGCGGCGAGTAATAGTGATACTGGAGCTAGTAACGGCAACTGTGCAGGCAATGAGAGTGAGAAGAGTGGAAAAACGCATGATTTGGTGGTGTATTTAAGTACAAAAAAATATTATTAAAAGAATAGTTTTTTTATAAACTGTAATATAAAGGTTAGGTAATATTAAAGACAAGATAAAAAACAGGAGGCAGAGAGGCAGAAAGACAGAGAGACAAAAAAATTATATCCTGCTATTGACTATGAGTGAGGCTGTAGTTTTTATCTGTATATTAAAAAACATTTTCAAACAAAACTAAAAAATAATAATAATAAAGTATTGTGCAAATAGAATATACCTGTAACCATTATCTGTGTTAAAATGTCAAAAATTGTTATTATTTGAATCGTGAAACAATATATCAATTTTGGTCTGCACAAGCGCACTATACAAAGGTGATTGTGTTGAACAATACAGCATTTTTTTTGTATATGCTCTCGATATATTAGTTTCTTGTATTATATAAATGAAATAAAATGAAACGGAAAAAGTGCACGTCGCCACTGATTTTTTTATTAGAACAAATGACTAAAAACACTATTAATTACTAATTATTCATCAGTAATATGGAACGCAACTACAAAACCACTGTTTAGTCGCGCAGCCTGATCGGCGCATACTCCCAGCGTTCAAGCCATCCCCTCACAGCCACAGCAAGCGTCCCAAACACCCCAAACACTGCAGCAACAAGGCAAACCCGTGTAATCGCCGTCCACAAAGCCGGCCTATCCCGCTGCACCGGCTTCTCACATACTGGCGACAGAGAAACCCTACGAGCAACAGATATTTTCTCCGGCTCACCCGTCAGCTCTTCAAACACATACAGAGTATTCCTAACAGACACTTGGCCCTCCCGCGGCATACGCATGTAGGAGCGCGGCAAGTGGTAGTACTGCTGTGAGATCTCACCGCATTTCTGGCGACAAACCCTATCGGGCCAAAACCAGCCACCATAGTTGCACAGCTGGCAAGCAAGGTGGGAGCGCTTAGGCGGCGCATGGCGAATCCAGTATCTGCCCAAATGCTGCCCGTTGATCCACAGCTGGCCCTTGGTCATTGACGACATGTCGATTGCGTACCGCGGATGGCCATCCGAGTCTTTGGTTGCAAGTGCCGCTTCGTTGGTTAGAAGAGCCTGGGTATCGAGCTCAATGGCGTACCAGCGCAGCTGCGACCCACGCCCAGATATGGAAATTTGGGAATCGTATGGCTGCCATGAAATTTTTTCGACTACGGCATGGTCCAGGTCAACGCCCTCAAGACCTGGCTCCATCAGCCATTTCCCCTTGGTAATATCCTTGCCGCAAAAAACAACTCTTCCGAGCAGCCCACGACTATACGCCTCCATATTTGCCTGGTTGTGCGCCATGCCCATGGTCTGGGACAAAACAGAAATGGTCACCACCATATCTTTATCATGGCTGGCTGCTGCCCGCACAACCACCGATTCAGGAACGTCAAACGTAAAGTTGGCCAGCCTGTCCTGCTGTCCGTACCGCCATTGAGTGAATTGATCGTTAAAGTACACAAATGCCACGTCCCCGGCATCCTCGAGCACCAGGGTTGGCATCTTGGCGCAGGATTCGGGCACCCGGACTGTAGTGCGGTACCACAAGTAATCAGACGCATCGTCGGTAAGGTTGATTTGTTCCAGCGGACGGTCAGCCTCGATGCTCATGGTCGGCGGCTGTGGCAGCTTGACAGTGCGCCACAGTATCTCCTGTGACCGAAGCACATTTTGAGACTCACTGATGGATTCAAACCCTGCCGGGTGCCTTTGCGCGTGTTGAACGGGTTTGGACAGCGCTGCGGTGTTGTACAGGATGGTGGGCAAAACCGTGTTGGAAGGGCGGTGGACCAGCGTAACGGACCAGCGGCCGAGTTTGATGGGCAGACCATCAAACACCACGTCGATGTCGCTCTTGGGATTGGTGTTAACCAAGAAAGCCAGATATTCAGACCCAGGCTTGCCGTAAATATGTGCCATGGCTTTATCGTTGTTATTGTTAGTCCCTGACACCAGTCTCTGGGCAACTGGCACAGTATTTCCAGTAATCATATGGGCATTGTCCAGGAGGTGTTTGTGCAGCTCGGCAAGATGCAGGTACTTGGGCCAGTTCTCCAAACCGTACTCGTCGAGAAACCCGTCATAGTCGTAGGACGTCTGGATGAATGGGCCTGACGAGCGGCCAAAATTAGTGCCTCCATGGTACATATAGTAGGCCACATATGTGCCGCCATAAGCATACCATTTGGCTACCGCATACGCAATATCCTCAATGGGCCGGTAGGGCGCCGGCTCGCCCCAGCGCTGAAACCACCCGGGCCACATCTCTGTCCACATGTCGGGGAAATCCGGAAACTGGCGGTGGTATTTTTCGAGCTCCTGGTCGCAGTAAAAGTTATTCTGCGTCGGAATTACGTTGGGCACCGGAGAGTATTGGTGGCACATGATCCAGGGCACAGTGAGGTTAAATGCGCCGGCAGTTTCGCCGCACCACCTTGCATACCTGTCGCCGTCCCTTCCGAACCGCCACTGATGGTCGCCCAGTTCGTTCTCAATCTGCATGCCAATGATGGGGCCGCCCATCTCGGGCATATACGGCCGCGCAACCTCAACAACCTTGGTCACAAAGCGCTTCATCTCGCGCATAAACGCCTCCGAAGTGCTCCTATAAACCACATCTTCTTCGTGCCGCAGCCACTGCGGGAATCCACCGTAATTCCACTCGGCACAGATATACGGGCCAACACGCAGCATGACGAAAAGGCCATTTCTGCGCGCAGTTTCGAGAAACAACGGGAGGTTGGCGCGGTCCGTGGTAAAATCATAATGGCCCTTGGTTTGCTCATGGATGTTCCAAAAGACATATGTGTCGATGGTATTGAGGCCGCCGAGTTTGGCCTTTTTCATTAGCGAGTCCCACATGGAGGGCGTGCTGCGCGGGTAGTGGACGGAGCCGGCGGTCAGGATGCGCGGCGTGTTGTCAATGAGAAGACCGCGCGTGGAGTATCCGACAGTGTAGGGGTCGCCGGGAACCTGGCGCTCGATGGCCGCATGTGCGCCAGTGCACGATGAAAGAATAACGGCTAGGGCGAAAAAGATATAGGGCGGAGGTAGACACAGAAACAGCATATGCATTGAAAATAAATAGATAGATAGAATGAAAAATAAATAAATAAATGGAAATGGATTTAATAAGAAGTGCTGGCAAGAAGAAATGACAGGCCCAAAATGTCAGGTTTGTTCAATATCGTCTCCCAATATCACGCTGTATGCTATGTGGGAAAACAAACGGACGCTGCGCATTTACTTATTTATTTATTTATTTATTTATTTGTGTCATGCGCTCCAAGGCTCGTCGCCGCTTTCACACTTGACACTTAAGTTTTTCACATGGATAAGCATGATGGGATAATTAAGCAAAAGCATGTTTGGCATTTTAACGAATGTAATGAAGAAAAATTGATATATAAAAGTAAAGTAAAGAAATAGAAGAAAAAGGGTAGCCCAAAAAGCAAAAAGTAAAGCACACATATTGATAAAAAGGAAGAGAAGGAGAAAAAGAAAAAGAGTGAGCGAGTGACAAACTATAAGAAAAAAGAGGCGAGAAAAAAGTAGCAAGAACATCATTAATTCTTATTTTCTTCTTCTTCTTCTTCTTCCTCCTCCTCCTCCTCCTCTTCTTCTCTTAGAGCAGCAGACACTTTGACTTTTTCTTGACAGCAGGCGGCTCCAGGGCAGCAACAATAGCCTCATCAAAGACATTCTTCAAACCCTTCTGGGTCAAAGCCGAGCACTCAACGTACTTGACAGCATTAAGTTCTCTCGACAGCTTCTCTCCCTGATCATAGTTGATAACATGCTGCCTATTCCTCGCCAACCTCTCCTTTGTCACACTGTCCTCGCGCAAATCCACCTGAGTTCCAACAATCAAGCAAGGCACACCGGGACAATGGTGGTGGACCTCCGGAAACCACTTCTCCTTGACGTTCTCAAAGGATGCCTGCGAAATGACCGAGAAACACACAAGGAAAACGTCGGTTTGCGGGTATGACAGTGGACGCAAGCGGTCGTAGTCCTCCTGGCCGGCTGTGTCGAAGAGTCCGAGCGTGTATGGGTCTTCTCCGATCATCACTGTTACCGCTAATTGTCGAACACTGTGGGCACGTACTCGGACGGGAATTTGTTTGTCGTGTACGAGATTAGGAGACAGGTTTTGCCAACCGCGCCGTCACCGACAACCACGCATTTGATAGTCTGCATTTCCCTAGTAAAGCAAGCAAGGATAAAGTAGAAAGGAGGGGGGTGAGAGACATTTAGATTGAAAGAAAAGGCATCTGTTGGAATTATAATCTCGATTTCGGTGGTGGTGGTGGTGCATTCAACTTACTCTTATTTTGTTTTGACTGCTTCTGTTTTATTCTGTTTCTTTTTGCTCTTGCTAAATCCCAACAAAAAAATAAGAAGAGAAACTAGAATTCAAAAAAAAAACAAAAAAAACCGAATTGGAAATGAAAAAAGAGGGTTTAGAATTAGCAAAAAAAATATATAATAGAATATTAAAAGGGTGTATTATGCTAGGGTTGCTGGTTTTGTTGAAGAAGACTACGACAACGTCCTTTTTTTTTTTGTTTTTGTTTTTTATGGTAAAAAATATATATAATAGTATGCTGGTAATAAAAAAATTGACGAAAAGTAGAAAAATATATATTATAAAAGGAAAAAAAGGGGGAGAGGAGCGAGAAAAGATGAACAGAAAGCAAAAACAACAACAAAAGCAACAAGCAGTCTGCGAAGAAAGAAAGAAAACAACAACAAAGGAGAAGAAAAAAAGAAAGAAAAATGGGGGGTAGGAGTGATTACAACAAAAAAATTGCAATTTTTTTTACTTTTTTTTTTTTTTTTTTTTTTTATTTATTTTTTTTACTTGCAATAGAATTCAACCCAGCAGCAAAACCACCGATGATGATTGATAGTTGATAGCTGATGTCTGCCTAAGAAAAAAAAATAAAATGAAACAAAAAGTGAGAAAAGAAATTGCATATGCTTAAAAACATTTATCAATCAATCAAACACAACTCGACTCGACTATCATGCGTTCACTCGAAGTAAAATAAATAAATAAATATAAAAAATCTTTTAATTTTTAAAAGTAATTATTTTACTATAAAAAGGTTATAGTTTAGTTTTATTGTGTTTGCGTGCTGCTGCTGCTGCTGTGATGTTGCTGTGTTTTAAACACAAGAATGGATCGCCCAAAACAAAAGCTGTGCTGGGTTTTTTTTTGCCAATGAGAATGGAAAAGAAAACAAAAAAAATGGATGCTAATTTTACAACTCAACCCTTATCCCCTATCCCCCTTTTTAGTTTCTCCTTTTCATCCCCCTCTTCCGCCTCCGCTTTTTCTCTCTCCCCACATACATTCATTCACTCATTCACTCATTCATTCACTCATACAAATCCCTATCCCCCTCCGCTCTTTCTATGCGTGAGCCTTGAATTTTTTAATCACCCCCTTTTGCAAAGGAAAAAAGAAAAATGATCGGCCAAGATCTCTAAATACTGTTTTTTGCTGTTTTGGTACCCGCTCGGACAATATCACGGCAAAACCATTAACCCAAAAATAAGAGCCTTTTTTGGCGTACTCTTCGGAAGACTGGGCCGCACATGGGCCATGCCATGAACAAAAGGTGATTGTGATTGCTCACCATTGAATTCTTTGTTGTCAATAAAAAATGCTCCTTTATTCAGCAAACAGGGATTCGGCTTTCTTACAGCTTGGCGGCCTTGCGCTCAGACACCTCAAGGGCCTGCAGGGCCTGCTTCCAGTCCTTGGCCAGGTCGTCAAAGCTCTCCAGACCAACGCTAATGCGCAGCAGGGTCGGCTGAGCCGAGCTATCCCATCCGTAGCGCCAGTCAACCAGCGACTCAACGCCGCCGAGGCTCGTCGCAAAGCGGTGCAGGCCCAGCGCGCGGGCAACAAACAGCGCCTGGGACTTGGACGCAAAGCTCACCGCGAAAACCGCGCCAAAACCATTGGGGTGCTGCAGGGCAATGTTGGGGTTGCACTGGGCACCGTTAAGCTGCAACGACGCGTGCTGCACCGAAGCAATATGGCGGCCAAGCGACAGCTGCTCCTCGCACGGCTTGTGGCACTGGGTGGTGATGGCCGAGCGGCGGATGCTCTCGAGGAAGGAGACCAGCCGCGTTGCGGTCACCGACTGCTGCTTGACGCGCACAGAGAGTGTGCGCAGCGAGCGCAGAAGAAGCCAGGTCTCCAGGCTGCCGGTGCCCAGGCCCAGCACGTACCGGGTCTCGCGCAAGGCGACAGCGCCGGTGGCTGCGCGCACGACGACGACGCCGGCGAGGAGGTCGGAGTGGCCGCCGAGGTACTTGGTGCCGAGTGCACGACCACGTCGGCGCCCTGGCGGAACGGGTAGCTGATTGGGGGCGGTGCCAGCGTAGCATCCACGACCAGCACCGCGCCAGCAGCATGGGCGCGCAGCGCATATGCGGCAATGTCCTTCACCTCGCCGGTGGGGTTCACCGGCGACTCCAGCCACACAAGGTCAACGCCATCGTACGAGCACTCTGACCCAACCACCTGCACATTCGGCACCAGCGCGCGGTACTGCTCAATGACCTTGCGGACGCCGAAGTAGCTCTCGCCCAGCGCGATCTTCTTGGGCTTGTACTGCAGGAGAACGGCCAGGGAGGCGGTGAGGCCTGAGCCGTAGAGGACGGCGTGGCCCTCGGTGATTGTGCTGAGGACGGACTCGGCCTTGGTTGTCGTCGGGGTGCTCTCGCGAGAGTAGGCGTAGCGCTGGTCGGGGCCGTAGTTGCAGGCGTCGACTGTGGTCTTGGCGTACTCGAATGTCGTGCTGACGCTGATCGCCGGAGCAACGTCCGAGGTCACCTGGAGGTGAGCATCGGCGTGCAGAGCTTGCGTGGACAGGCAGGCGGTATCGTACAGAGGGTTCTTGATCTCGACCATTGTTTGGAATTAAGAAAAGTGCGTGAGAGCGAGATGAAAAAGAGATGAAAAAGAGATGAAAAAGAGATGAAAAAGAGATGAAAAAGAAAAAGGTTGTGCTTTTTTACAGCCAGAGAAGTGAGAGCTGAGTCTCACTTGCTCGGTCTTTGGATCCTTTTATACGGGAATAATCCTTCGGCCATTTCGTTTTCGCCATTCTTTTTTCGTTGAGTGGGAGGCATTTGCCGGGGGTCGGGTCGCCCTTTGAAAGAAAAGCTCTTTGAAAGAAAAGGAACGCTCTTTTTCTATTTAATTTGCTTCCTGATGTTGTAATAGTTGCATTCATTGGTCAAGAGCCTCGAATAGAACAATAATACAAGAGCAAAGGCGCACAAGACTCCGAGTTTGAATAAAAAACTTCTGCTATCTGTGCCTTTATTGTTCTAATTTCTTATTTATTTGCCGGATAAGGGGGAGCAGTTCTAAGGAACCCTTTACACTTCAATGTGTAATAGGCACGTTCCGCTTTTGTCGGCAATTTAACACTGCAACTGTCTATTTTTATTTTTATCTTCCTTGTCCAGATTAATTTGTTGGAAAAAATATTCCCATCCCACAAAAAAGAAGCGGGAAAAACCAGCTCATTTCCCACATTTGTGACCCGGAACCCCCTCTCGTCATTCCAATATGGATTGTGCTTAGAGCCACAGTTTTTTTGAGTGCTCCTGTCCGTATCCTGTTCTGAACCTGAATACCATTGGTGCACGCACATGGCCGAAAGAAACAGCAAATGAATGGGTGAGTGAGTGAGTGAATAAGAGAAAACAACGCATGCAACGCATTCGATCTCTGCTTACGTCGTCTGCGCAGCCATAAAAAAACAAAGAAAAAGAAATGGTATCTCATGCGCAAACACACCCGCATCCTAAGCGCTGATTTCTTTTAGATTAAATTTAAAAATTCAAAATTCAAAATCATTCCATGATTAACAAAGCCCGCCGCTATAACCTTGCTAATCGTTATTTCTTTCGATTGGCTCTTTTTCTGTTTTGTTTCGTTTTTCGCATTTTTTATTTACAAGTTTTCTCAAATTGACAGCCATTCAAATTATTGTTTTTTTTTTTAAAAAAATGAGTACAGTTGCCGTGCTCAAGCTCAGCAAGCGGCTCCTAAGCCAGCGCATAACCACCGCCCACCGCTCGATCCCATCTGCACCACACATCCTCCAACACCGGCGCCCCTACACCACCGCCAAGAACGCTAAACCGATCTCCAGTGGCCGCATAGCGCAAGTGGCCAGCACCACCGGTAACCTTCTCCTAGTAGGCAGCGTAATGACCCTCTTCGGCTACCTAATGTACACGCTCTACGACAACCTTCTTTCAGAAAGCGGCACCACACACATCTACAATAACAGCCTGGATCTGATCCGAGCCCACCCGGAAATAAAGAAACTCTTCGGCCACTCTGTTGCTGGATTCGGCGAACCCACCCACGGTCAGAGACAAAGACAACGGGCTATAGCCCACAACATATTCGAGGATTCCCAGGGCAGGCAGAGACTGACTATGCAGTATTATATTAAAAACAGATCGGACAAGAATGCTGCTGGGTTGATTGGCGTGGTGAAGGTGGATTTGGCTCAGTCGAGGTTTACAAAAGCCTGGGATTATAATTATATTGTTGTGGATTTGGTTGATAAGGCTGATGGGGGTGTCCGGGGGAGGGTGGAGGTTTTGGTCACGGATGAGTTTAAGAGAGAGGTTGAGGTTAGCGAGAGTGAGAGGAAGAAGAGGAGGTTTTCGTCCGAAAACAAGGGATCGTCGGATGGTTCGTGGTTTAGCGCTTTGAATCCTGCACATTGGCGCAAATAACTTTAGGTTTCACATTAACATTTTCAATGTGTGTATAAAAAAATTGTTTGTGACTTCTCCACAACAAAAAAATATGACGCCTTCCTTTATTATTAGGTTAACCTCAAAGCCACGCGTATCTGACATTGGTACATTTGTAAAAATAAAACCAAGCTATTTATTTTGTGGAGTGATTCTTTTTCTTCATTGCAGGATCAAAAAAATATTTAAAATAAGGGAATGATGTATTGAATTATCAATAATATAAAAATGTTTTAAAGGCATATGAACTACCCATTAGAAAATAAACAAAGAATCAAGATACGCATGGAAGTGTTAGTTTTTACACCATTATAAATTACAATTTTTTTTAAAAAAAATACAAGGCGCATATGAACCTGCCATCAATTGAAAATTATTATTCCAATATAAATACTGACCGACAACCCCATCTCTCTTCATTCATATTTCAACATACAATACCAGCATCCAAAGTTCGTCTTTACATTCACGCATACATTTAACTTTTTTATCCGTATTTTATTGCATTAACCTACAAAATTATTCACATTTTAAATTTAATAAATCATTATAGTTTACATTATTTTATAAAGAAAAATGTTTAAGGGAAAGTTTTCATTTGTTCTTGTCGTCGCCATTGCTGCCGCCACCGCCTCTGCCTCAGGCCACCTCGCTGTTGCCAGAGCCAACGTTAATGCAAACAACACCCCCCTCAACCTTGCCCCCGTCGCCGGGGGTAGTGATCTCGATATGATCGCCCCCATGATGCTCGTAACCGTTGAGACCGCCACCCAGTTCATGAGAGTCGCCTCAGACTACAACATCGTCTCCATTGATCCCGCCTCCGCTGTCGAGTCCACCCCTGATGTTGACCCTGCCTCTGCCGTTGAGCCCACCTCTGCCACTGCAGATGCATCCACAAGTTGCGCGGCTTCGGATGGTGAGTACCAGTCTGAGGCGTACGCTGAGTCATCGGCTGCTCCTACTACTGACGATCAGTCCACAATTTACTCCGCTCCCTATGCTGTCGTTTATCCTACCTCTGCTGAGACTGATGTTTCTGTGCCTGTGTGCTCGGAGGTTGCGCCAACTGTGGAGCCTACGTCGTCTACTTGCACTACCACTATGATTGCTCCGAGCAACAGCTATGCTGTTGCTACCATCTTACCCACCACCGAGGTCATTCCCACCAACGATTTTGCCCCCACAAGCGACGTTAACCCTGCCATCATCTCGTACAACATTTCACCATCTTCCGAGTCGGTAACTTCAGGCCCATCTGATGCCAGCAGCGAGGTTTACACATCAAGCACCAAGCCTGCATATGGAACTAGCTGCTCTTCAGCCACTATTAACAATAGAGAGCTTATTATTGAGCCCACCGGTGATGCTATTGCCGCGTCCACCGGCGAGTCTGCTTTGTCTACCAGTACTGAAAGCACCTCGGCAAATTCGACCGTCAGCCCTGCCACTGTCGCTGCTACCAGTGATTCATTGTCCATGTCAGCTAGCGTTGCCGATCTCACTGTCGCCAATGAGTTGGATTCCGCATTGGCTGACGTTGCCACTGTTACAGCTACCAGCAACTCTACTACTGCCGCATTGACTGACATTGCCACCGTCATTGTTACCAGCGATTCAGTGTTTATGTCGGCTAGCGTTGCCGATGTCACTGTCGCCAATGAGTTGGCTTCCACATCGACTGATGTTGCCACTGTTGCAGTCACCGGCAACTCTATCACTGCTACATTGGCTGAGGTTGCCACTGTTACTGTCACCGCCTCTACCAGCATGCTCGTGGAGACCGTGACACCTGTCACCGCAGCAACTGCCATCTCAACCTCGACCACCACCTTAACAAATGACTTTGCAAGCGCTACCTCAGTGCTTGTCGTCGAGTCCATTATTGTGCCTCCCGTGGCATTTGAGCCGTCCTCGGTGGACAGTTCGGAGATTGAATTGAGGATGAACCAGGGATGTGCTCTGATCAACCACGGCGCCATGACTTGCCCTTCGGGCCAGGTTAATGTTCATAAGAACTTCTTGGTGTGCGTCTGGGGTAAGGTCGTTACTATGGCGTGTCCCGAGGGAACTGTTTGTGTAAAGGCTAGCCCTGCAAATGGTAACGTTATTTGCGACCGTCCTAAGTATTAAATTAACCAATTAATCTTTGTTTCAACCCTGGTTTCTGTTTTTATTTATTTATTCAACTGTTTGTTATTCGCTTTTCTTCTTTGTTTATCAATGTTTTTAATACATCCGTGGTATTATTATTACTTTCATTTTTGTGAAAACTAAACAATAAAAGCAATAAAGTTAAAAAAAAGCGGTGATCACGCCAGCAACAACGCCCATGAACAGAATACCCGAGGCAATGCGACTGGTGCTTGCTGCGCTCGAGCTCGAGCCCGAGCTCTCCGAGGAATTGGATTTGCTACCGAAAGACGTGGGGTGGTTGTCCGAGGCCTCCTCACTATCCTCCGACAGCTCACCCTCATCCAACTCAACCTTGGACTCAACTTCAGTCTCAGTCTCAGTCTCGATGGACTCTCCATTTTCAATAACCTCAGTGTCATTCGGGGTGTCTCCAAACTTTTCTACTATAGCGCTGCGCACACCGGCAACAAAACCAATTAGCTCATGGACAATAGCAGTGATCTCGGTGGCAACCGTGGGCTTTTGCAGAGCCGATACAAGTGAGTTGTACAAGATAGGATCTATTGGCTCTTCCTTTATATTGTCAAACAGAGGGACAATGTTTGCAGCCAATTGAGACGCAACCTTGGGGTCAGTTTCAGCATCCAGCGACGCCAGCAGCGAGGACATGACCTTCTCGTCGACCTCCTCCTGGTTGTCCTGGCCGTAAGCGGACATGAGCTTGGTCGCGGCAGCACCTATCTGGGTGACAATTGGGTTAGTGCTGGACTCATTAAGGTCAAAAGCGCCGACAACGTTGTTGAGGATGATTCCAATGTCTGAGGGGTAAGTCTCGCCACGGGGAACAAGGGGCTGTGCATTGACAGCAGCCAAGGTGACCAGGGCCAGAATAGTGGCGGAGTGCTTGAACATCATTTTTAGAAGAAAAAAGCGGGAGTTTCAAACGGATTAAAATGGTGTAGATATAGGTATCGAATAAAAAAGGTATAAAGTAAAATGTAAACAGGGGAAGAGAAAGAGAAAGAGAAGCGAGAGAAATAAGAAAATGCGCAGCCAGAAAATATTATTTAACAATTTTTTTTTACATTTTACGATTCCGAGTTGATGATTTACTTTTCAATAATGTAAACATGTCGATCCAACAAAAAATCCGTAAAACAAATCTAGCAACTTTTTTTTCACACATACGAAAAGACAAAAATCGATAATCAGGTGGATATGTGACAGCAAAAAAAAAAATAGCTGCACTTTCATAATAAATGTTCAGAAAACGTTAAAATACTACAATCCATCTGAAATATCTAAAAAAAACCATTTAAAAGAGCATTGCTGAAACAGCTGTGCCAAGCGCAGCAAGAATTGTAGCACTAACAGACACAAGCTTGAAACTGTCGGCTCCTGATGAGCTGGACTCAGCACCGGATTCCACATCATCCAAAAGATCAGACTCAGGGATTTCGTCCAATTCACCTAAATGCATTGTCTTGTTGGTGGTGGTAAAGTTGCTAATGCTTAGGTCAGCAGTCTCTGCAATCCACGAAACATACGCAGATACACGGGTGAAGAATCCAGCGCCTCCATCCGCTCCACACAACGCAATGTTGTTATCATCTGTGGTAACAAAGCTGGCCAATCCAAGAAGCGCAAAACCGTCCAAACCGTTGTCAATGGACATAAGCAGTGGGCCTCCGCTGTCGCCATGGCAGAGCGAATGTTTATCTGGACCTTCGGTACAAAGCATTTTTGCCGGATTATACTCGCTTATGTACTTTCTGCATGCTTCCGTATTGCTGGTTTTCAAGTCCACCTTCATTAGCACATCAGCATTTGTTCTATTCAATGGATCGGTGACACCAAACCCAGCAGCCTCTAAAGGTGTGTCCAAAAAGTAGTCACCCTTGTACAGCTTTACCTTGGTGGCCACGCTGTCAGGAATAGTAGAGTTGAGAATAAGTAACGCAATATCGTCGGGTCCATCATCCAAGTTAAAATTGGGATGCGGGACAACCTTGATGACGTCGTAACTACGAGTTGTTGACGGAAATTTTGGCACTGTGTGCGTAAATCTAACGGTTACATCCTCTGGTGCAGTAGTGTTTGTCGGCGTGTCGTAGACACAGTGGGCGGCGGTCAGAACAACATTGGGGGCAATCAGACTACCGGTGCAGTAGCTCACGTCAAATTCTTGACTGGAAAACTTGATATACGCAATAAACTTGTACTCGTCGGCGGGTGCTTGGACGCCACCGACAATGCGTGAAACACTGCGCTTAGACGGAGCCGCATACGAAAGTGTGCTAACTGCTGCTGCTGCTGCAAGAAAAGAAAGACAATGTACGCGCATTATTATTATTGTTGATGATATTGTCTTATCTAGCTTGTGTATATGACGGTTAGTTCTGAAAAAGCTTTGTTGGTTTTAAAAATTAAAAGGGTTTAGTTAGTTCTTCCAACTAGAAAAATAAAGGAAGAGAATAATTTTTTATCTGGATTTTAAAAGCTGCTCGGCGCAGAAAATTTTTCAATAAAATACAATGGGAAACGCTCAATGACAAAAGCGATTTGCTCAGAGCGAATATGAAGCAGCTAATTATTTGCCGATCTACAAAATGTCACTGATTTCCAATGGGCTTCTACTTGTGTTTATATATACATGCGTGCATGATGTTTCTGGAATTCCAGGAGACCTTCTTATCAAAAACAATTAAAATTCTTAAACGAATCCGACGGCAACAGTACTGATTCATTGGCTTTCCAAAACGTAATCTAAAACCTCAAACAAGACGCTGGGGAAAACAAGCCATATTGCTTACACACCAAACAACAATATAAAAACGCATCTAGATATGTTAGATCATTACCTCAAATTGTGCACACTCAAGCAGAAATGCGCTATGGTTTTATTCATTTTCATCCAGATACAATTTATTTTTATAAAGGCAAATAAGCACACATTAATGCTATAATGCTAAACGGAGTGTAACTGAATTAGTCTGTTTTGCATTGAGACATGATTAATTTAGATAAAAGGGTATATTTATGTTATTATAAAACTGATAAGAAGCACAGCTAAAATAAAAAATAAAACTAATTAAAATAAACTAGCAGAGACGGCCGCACCAAGCACAGCAAGGACGGTAGCGCCAACAGACATAAACTTGATTCTGTCGGCTCCCGACGAGCTGGACTCGGCATTGGACTTTACACCACCTGTCACTGAAGTTGTTGGGTTGGTCGCAGACTTAACCTCCTCATCCTCTTCAACATTAGAGAGCCCCGACTCTGACTCCGAGTCAATATTAGAGTGACTCCCCTCATCTGCGTGCGCTGTTGTGTTGGTGATAGTAAAGTCCTTGATATTCAGATTTGCAACCTGGGCAATCCAATTAACGTAAGTGGCTGCACGGGTGTAGAATCCCGAAGATCCAGCCATAGCACATATTCCATCGGGGTTATCCTCGTTATCACTTCCAAAGCTAGTAATACCAAGGAGAGCAAAACCGTCCGAGCCGTTATCAACAGGTGTAATCAGAGGGCCACCACTGTCACCATAACACGTGTCCTTTCCAGCGGTTCCGTCAGTGCAAATTAGGTACTTGTGGTTATAACCGATATTGTTCTTCTCACAGAACTCATCGGATCCAACTCTGAGGTCTACCTTCATCAGCACATCGGGTGAGACAGTGCTGTTTAGCGGGTCAACCATGCCAAAACCAGCAGCTCCCAGGGGCGTGTCCAAATAGAAATCCCCAGTGTATACCTTGACCTTGGTAACCATGCTGTTTACAACGGGAGTTTTAAGAATGAGCACAGCGATATCGTCGTTCAGACCTTCCATGGTAAACCCGGGGTGAGCAATGACCTTGGAAATATTGTAACCGTGGAATTCCAGAGTTGGGTCAGGCATATCGTGGGTGAAGCCAGCCTGGATTTGTGCTGCCGAATATTTGATGGTGTCTGTAGCAAAAACGCAATGAGCGGCAGTCAAAATAACGTTAGAGGCAATAAGGCTGCCTGTGCAGATGGACCCGCCAAACAATACGCTAGAGGTTTCGAGGTACGTGATAAACTTGTACTCGTTGCTGGGTGCTTCCACACCACCAATGATGCGGGAGACTTCACGCTTGATTTGTCTGGGGCGGCGCACTGGCGACTTGGACGGGATGGTGGCTTCAGGGATACTGGCAACGCCAGCTGCTGCTGGCACAACTGCAGCCGCCACAAGAAGCGCAAGAGAAAGAACACGCATGCTTAGCAATATTGAAATTAAAAATGCAGTTGGTAGATGTGGGTGTAGAAAGTAAATATAAAAAATAGTAAAATATTTGTTGTCGGCAACAGGAAAGGAAAATGATGAAAATTTATTTTACATGTATCATTCAACAACCGCAACTTAAATAATTTTATTGTCAGTCAAAGAAATGCTACAAAGGATGTAGCCAGAAAGCAAAATAAAAACTGTTTGTTGAGAAGTAACACGCTTCTTTTTGCTTTGTGCCAGTCAGCTGGGGAAAAAAACAAAGTTGGTTCTCATTGTTGTGCATCGTTATCGCCCTATGGCCGAAATCAACTAAAAAATATAGAAATGGTAATTTCTCAAACCAGAAACCGCATTGACAAACTAATTGAACCAGTTTCATGTAGGTGGATTTTGAAAAGCGGAAAAGAAAAATCAAGATGCAGATCCCGCTAAAAACAATAAAAGATGTGTTTCACAGTCCATTATGATATACACTGATCAAAAATCAACAGAAAAAGGATTGGGATATTGGAATAGAAGAAAAGTGCCTTCGGCATCTATAGGCGAGCATTCTCAGGAAACAATATTTTAAAGGACCGACTAGTGCACAATAAAATTGCAAGCTGTGTATCAATACAGTGGTAACAATATCTGCTGGAGTAATTTGTACAATCACTGCCGTGTCAATCGAGGCTTGCATGCCCACAAATGTGGCCAATTAATAAAATACGCCTTGCTTTTGACAAATGTATTAATTATCCACTAAGTATTCAGTACGATATCACTGTGTATTGCCGCCACTGCTACATCAAAGTTATCAATAAAATAAATATACACATACACATACATAAATACAAGCGTAATTTTAATGAATAAAAGATCGGTTATATTAAAACTGTCAAGGCAGCCGCACCAAATATAGTAAATATGGCGATATAAACGGACAAAGTCTTAGATTTCTCAGCTCCTGACGAGCTAGACTCAATTTCATTATTCTCATCGTTGCCCGAAAGTTTAGACCTAAAGGCAGCGTCCGTTTCGCCCACATACACCGTTTTATTGGCAATGGTAAAATTGTCCAGGTTTAGGCCGGCAACCGCAGCAATCCACGGTGCATAAGTGGTCAGGCGGACGTAAAATCCAGCGGATGCAGCACTGGCACATAAGCTAACAGAGTTATCTTTTGAGCTTACAAAGCTAGTCAAACCAAGAAGTGCAAAGCCAGCCGAGCCGTTGTCCACGGGTGTGAGAAGCGGGCCTCCACTATCGCCGTTGCAGGTGGACTTGCCAGCTGATCCGTCAGTACATATTAGGTACTCCCGGTTGTAGCCTCTTATGTAGTTGCTGCACATTGATATACTGCCAACCTGAAGGTCCACCTTCATAAGCGTATTGGCCTTTGTTTTGTTCAGCGGATCGGTGGCACCAAATCCTGCAGCCTCGAGCGGTGTGTCCAAGTAGTAGTCGCCCGTGTACAGCTTTACCTTGGCGGCTACCTCGTCAGAAACTGCGTTGGCGAGAATAAGCAACGCGACGTCATCATTCAAATCATTCAAAACAAATTTGGGATGCGGGATAATGCTCACGACCTCGTGACTAGGAATTGTTGTCGGATATTTTGGAGTTATGTGTGTGAATCGCACGTGCAGTTGGTCCGATGTATGTAGGATAGTTTGCGTTGCGTAGACGCAGTGTGCTGCGGTTAGGACGACGTTGGGCGCAATTAGACTACCGGTGCAGTAGCTCGCGCCATATTCTGTGCTGATGATATTGACATATGCAATAAAATTGTACTCGTCGGCGGGTACTTGGGCGCCGCCAACAATGCGGCCAATATTGCGCTTGGACAGAATCGGATCAGAGGGGATGCCAAAAACTGCTGTCGCTGCAAAAAGCAAAAAATAAACCACACCGCGCATTGCTACTGTATCCTATAACAAATATATGTGGGTCGGCCGACTGCGACAAATAAATAGCATATAAACGTTATGACCAGATTTAAGAAAGAAAAAGGCTGTTGAAGAAAACCAGACTAAAAAGATATTATTAAGCAAAATAAGGCAGGAGAGGAAAAATAAAAAATAAAAAGGTATCCAGCAATTTCAGTTGAAGATCAGTCATTGACAAACTCTTTCACTTGAGATACAGAAAGAAGGCACGTCCACAAAGAAAAATGCATTCCATTATGAGAATATTGATCGACCAGCTCCGCAGATCGACTTTAAAATAACAAGCATTATGAGAACCGCTAATTGCAAGAGCAGTACTGGTGGTTCCAATTCGAGCCGGACAAAGAAGAATATCACTTACAAATATGAAATACTTTAATAAAAAATTGCAATTTAACTGGTTAACTGCAAGTAAAATTGCACATTCATGTCAATATTAGATTGGTAATAAATATAGCACAATTGGGACAAGCTATTGTTTAAAAGAGTAGCAGAGCCAGCCGCACCAAACACAACAAGAATGGCAACACCAAAGGATATAAGCTCGAGACTGTCGGCTCTCAACAAGTTCTACTTTGAGTTGGACTTCACGCCGCTGGCAGCCGAGGAGGCAAGGTCAAGGTTGGACTTGACCTGATCATCTTCCTCAACATCCAAAAGCTCCAACTCTGACTCTGACTTCTCAGCGCCAGCGTGCGCAGTTTTGTTGCTAATAATGAAGCCCTTGATATCAAGCTCACCAGCCTTGGTAATCAAATCAATGTGTTTGGCCGCATGGGTATAGAATTCAGAGAAACCGGCCTTAGCACAAATACCCTCCATATTATTTTTGCCACAGCTTCTAAAGCTGTCAATTCCAAGAATGGCAACACCATCCGAGCCAAATCCGCTGAATATCACATGTTTTTGATATGTGCATATGCAAAAATAGATATTGCGCATGTTTGCGCTCATTCAAGTTTTGGGCTTTAATATTTCAGTCGTGTGAGCTGAAAACATGTACGACATTCTAAATTTGCACAATATATAGTAAATTTATTTAAACCTAAAGCAAGTATGTCACGATTTTGTAATTATCGAGATTTATATGCAAGTCTATTTTCAGTTGCTCATTAATTTTTCTCTCATTTTTAATTTAAAAATAGCTACCTTTATTTTTAAACTAGAATCGTTTGTGCATATGATGTATGCCTATGTCTATAATTAACATGCACCTGTACATACATGCATTCTTACACGCGCCTTTTATTGAATATAATTAAATTCCAAATAATTAATCATGCTTACAAAGTATACCAATTATTAAAACGATAATATTAGAAAAGAGCAGTGATCATGCCAGCAACAACGCCCACGGACAGAAGACCAGAGGCAATGCAGCTGGTGCTTGCTGCGCTCGAGCTCGAGCTCTCCGAGGAATTGGATTTGCTACCGAAAGACGTGGGGTGGTTGTCCGAGGTCTCCTCACTATCCTCCGACAGCTCACCCTCATCCAACTCAACCTTGGACTCAACTTCAGTCTCAGTCTCAGTCTCGATGGACTCTCCATTTTCAATAACCTCAGTGTCATTCGGGGTGTCTCCAAACTTTTCTACCATAGCGCTGCGCACACCGGCAACAAAACCAATTAGCTCATTGACAATAGCAGTGATCTCGGTGGCAACCGTGGGCTTTTGCAGAGCCAAAGCAAGCGAGCTGTACTTGTCTACAATCTCTGTGGGGAATCCCTCAGTAGCATCAAGGAATACGGCGATTCTCGCGACCAATTGAGACGCAACCTTGGGGTCAGTTTCAGCATCCAGCGACGCCAGCAGCGAGGACATGACCTTCTCGTCGACCTCCTCCTGGTTGTCCTGGCCGTAAGCGGACATGAGCTTGGTCGCGGCAGCACCTATCTGGGTGACAATTGGGTTAGTGCTGGACTCATTAAGGTCAAAAGCGCCGACAACGTTGTTGAGGATGATTCCAATGTCTGAGGGGTAAGTCTCGCCACGGGGAACAAGGGGCTGTGCATTGACAGCGACCAGGGTGACCAGAGCCAGAATGGTGATGGAGTGCTTGAACATTATATTATATAAATGATAATGGCGAAGAAAGTGTATGAATAAAATTTAAAATATTAAATGAGCGTACATTAAATAAAATTGTTAAAACAAAAGGTAAACAGGGGAGAAGCAAAAGGAGGGGTCTAAGCCCAGAAGATGGAAGTTTTCGTATTTTTCCATATTTAGGTGTAATTTTATTTGGAGCAAAAATACTATATTTCGTATAAAGGGATGGTGGCAATCCGATACACACAACAGTTTGATTTTTTTGCGGGGCATTTTGCTTCCGATAAAAAAATCAATACAATATTCCCTGCTTGGAATAGTCACAGAGTATTTGAGATCCACAAATTCGTGAGCGGAACGGAGCAATGAGTGTGCTTAATTGTGGCGAATATGATACAGCTGCGCACACGTGAAGAGGCTGATGGGATAATCTGCACAGTAGATCTCTGAATTATATTTCAAATGCAGAAAGATGGAATGGTGTCATTGAAATAAACAAATACACTGTAGCAAATCTCCAACCACTGAGAAAACCTTGGGGATTGTGTTTAAACTTGCCTTTACATTTCGTTAAAATGTAAGAAATTAAGTGCACTTATTTGGCAGACTTAGCAACAGCAGCAGCAGCCGGTTGCAAAGCCAAGGAATGCACCCTCTGCTGCGGCTACTAATTCCCCGCAGGGACTGCGCGAATTGCTTTATCTACATACCATGACGGTTATAGCCGTTAGTTATTTAACACAGGACAGGGGTTTGTCAAATGTGCAAGTGGATCTATGGATCTCCTTTCTCTGGGCGAGGTGTGGGCGCTTTTGTCCAGCGCATCAAATTACAGTTGCTTACCAGGTACATCTTTTTTGTACTCGTATTTTTGTTACTGTGTACAATTGCCCACTATTTCTTTGCATTGGGTGGTGGCGCTGCAGAGATGGCGGATGAAAGGGGTGGTGGTTCTTCTGTCCAATTAAGGAGAGAACATGCAATGAGTAGCAACCCAGATAACTGCCAGTGCTTGTGAGTGTTGTGGAGTAAAAAAATAATTATGCAACACTTTCTGTTGCACGGTCTCAAATTTGGACCACTGGAACTATACTTGCAAACATGCTAGTTCTTGACGATGCAAAAACAACATTAGCTTTTGCAAATAGCTCAATCGATATATTTGTATTGCTTTTAATACTCTTCTGATAGAAAAACTAAAACCATTTGACAGATTGTACTGGCTGAGCCAATATTTCGGATGGATTCAAAAATAACCACTTAATAGACAATTTTAGGGATCCAATTTAAAAACATTCAAGGCATTAATTAACAGGGGACCCACGTTTTTCTGTCTATGGTGATTTACAATAAACTAAAATGGAAGAATGGAAAAATCTTGGTGTTATGCATGAAGACTTGAGTGGATTATTTGTTAGAAGAATAGGGACGTTGCTATTTGGCAATGTGTTTAAAAGAAAAGACTGAATAGTTGTTCTTTAAGACAATCATTAGCAGCTGAATGCAGCATTTTTATTTTATATAAAGGAATGAGCACGCTCTCTAGTCAACATTACTTTTTCATTGCTAAAATTGCACTTAAAGCTCGTTTATTATTTTTGCTGCCCAAAAATTTGCCTCTGCAGTCAACGGCCTCGTGCTTACTTTTTTGTATTACAAAAAAAGAACTGAACAGTGCGTTGCTTCAGTCAAGCAAAAACTAGAGAGCTAAATTTTCTACAGCGTGTTATAAAAAGCTGATGTTTTTTCTTCTCCAAACCATATTTCTCTTCTCTTCTCTACACTGCACTGTACTACACTAAACTACACATATTCCATCTCATTGAATTTTTATTACACATTTATTACTATTATTTGTTTGTTTTAGAGCCTCATTTACTATGTCTAAAAACAACATTAGCATTGTTTACAGAAAAACTGATGTCCCAAAATATAATAATAGCATGTCCATCGAAAGAAGTAAAAATCTAACTTATGAGGGCGTCAGAAATTGGTTTAAAAGACAAAGAGGCAAACACGAAGGTTATGGTGGTTACTTTTTGTACGTTGGTAATAAAGAGGTATCGGACTACACTGCTAAAGTAGACGAAACAGTTAAGCAAATAGACATCAAGAACGCTGCCGGAAAATATCCTACAGTAGATGAATTATAAGGCATGCGTGTGCCAATTAAATTGACATGTTTTCTGACAAGTGGTGCATTGATTGAAAACACTCGGCCACGTGTATCCAATGTGAATTCTATAACTTTGTAGAATCTCTTGTGTAGCCATTTTTCTGTGCATTTTTGAATAAAGGTCAATATCATATAAGCATTGTACAAATTCAACTTTAGAAATAGATTATTTAGTACATAGACAACCCCATGGACTAGTTTGCCACATCCTCAACCATTTGGCAGACGCGTTGAGCAAACGCAATACTCGTTTGGTAGCCATACCCCGAATGTCCATAGCAATGTACTACTGTAAAGTTGCTTCCAAAAACAGGGTCTGCACATGTTTGTGTCTCAAGACGCACCCCGCCCTCCCTCATTGGCCTGAACCCCACATTTTCTGAGATGATGCACCCTTTTAGCTCAGCTATACACTTGCTATCAGTTGCAGTGTTCCAATACGCGGAACTTCCAGGCAGCAGAGTGGGCTCCAAGAAAATGGCACGCTGTAAAATAAGATCTGTAGTACTGGGAACTGGTTGTGAATTCCAATCGCCGTCCTCGGCTGTCCCACCCAGAACCACAGTGCCGTCGCCACGTGGAATCACATAACTAAACTGCTTTCCCAAGTGCGTAATCGTGTGCTTAATAGATGGTGCGTAGACGACTACTGTTTGTCCGCGAATGGGGTGCATATTTGAGTCTTTGACTCCAGCAAGGTTGCGGCTGCCAAGGCCTGTGCAATTGACCACAATTGTTGTGTTGACTGGTTGGCCGCTTGGGTTGTTGCTGACAACTCGAAGAGCATCTGCAATGTGGTCAATATAACGCCGAACTATTGTTCCACCACTGGCTTCAAATTTGGTTTTCAAATACACCAAATATTTGGGGACATCAATCAAAAGCGTTGTGTACTCCAAGCCGTAGCTGATACCCTCTGGCAACTCAGCAGCAGAAAGCTCCCTAGCATCTTCGACCAGTGTGATGTACCAGGGCGTCATGCCAGATGCAACCTCAAATATGTCTGTGCCCCGCGCCTTGGATATTCCTGACTGGGGTTCCGAAACAGCCAAAGACATCATTTCGTTGTAGGTTTGGATTTCAATTTGCTGCAAGACTGTGTCCTCGTTGCTCGACCATGCGCGCCAGTGTGCGCCAGCCCATGGAGATGCCCAGTTTGTTGACTGCATGTCGCCCGATGAAAGCGGCCCAGGAGTGTGCTCTGCGACAATGGTTACATTGAACTTACCGGTGCTTTGTATCTTATTGGCTGTGGTGAGCCCGATGACGCCTGAACCAACAACGACTACTTGCTGCTTGGGCATTTTGTTTATGTGCTTTAAAAATAAAAAAATTCACTAAAAAAGAAAGCTGAAGAGTAATTAAAATAGTGATACAAATTGTAATTTTTAACACCTGTATCGATATGTCATTTGAAAAATAAAAATAGAGCAACGTGTGTTCATCAAAGTTTGAATAGAAAAGGCTGAAAATAAGGGTTAGGGTAATTTCAGCATTGAAGGCAACAGAATGTTTGATTCCTAATATTCAAGCGCGACCCACATGAAATTTGCAAGTAAAATCAATTAAACCAATGCGTGGTTGTCTGAATGCGGGGGGTTTAAATATTTCTCATTGCAACTGTTCAATTAAAATGCAAATTTAAAAAACAGCTTACGAAACAAGCGAATACCAACGTTATCTTAATTGTTGGAATCAACAGTTTGTTTTGGTTCAGTAAAACCAGTAAAAAAAGCAAAATCTGACAATGAACTGATGATGCTCCAAAAACACAGCGCTGGTGGAATAATTTCTAAACAGTCAAGTGCTTCCGCAAATATTTCTAAAGTATCTTCTCTTTAGAATATTTAAAAAGAACAAATGTTTTGTTTGTTTTTGTCCGTAAGTCCAATGTAATGCACAGTTGCTCATCATGACATTTTGAAAATAAAAATATTTCTAAAACATGTTCCTTTTCTCGCTTGGCACCTTGTTTTTGTTTCTAAATATCTCATATTTTACGGCATCGAGTGTGTTTTATTGTCACATAAAGGCAACTTTGTCTGATTTGCGTTCTATTTATTCCTTCCATTTTACACACATCCCCAAGGTACCCCACCGGTGAGTTGTATGCATATATATTGCTTTGTTTATTATTTTGGAAATCATGATTGACCTTGTGTCGGTGCATATGTGCGTCCTTTGGTTTTTTTTTCAAAGGTTCTGTATCGAAGCTCACTATTTATGTTTACTTGTCTGAAAATGTATGTACATAAAATAACATGCTGTTTGTTGCCTTGTTTTGGCTGCAAAATCCGCACATACCAACTTTTTTCTTTCTCGGAATAGTGGAAACAAGCAAAAGGCAGCCAAAAGTTTTTTTTGCAAAACAAGGTTTCATATATAAATGGAACCCTGTCGTTTGCCGCTCGTCTTTTTTTGACACAGTTTATTATATTTGCGCGTATTTTTACTATTATTTTTATATTACCTCTAATACTTTAAACCATGGCATTCAAGACCATTTCTGTCCTGGCTCTTTCCGCCCTCGCTGCTCTCAGCACCGTATTTGCGGTTCCTCAAGATATCGACAACCCTCTCCCTACCGATATTAACGCCCTGCTTTCACAGGCAAACATTGACTTGACCTCTGGAATGGCAGAGGCTGCATCCTTGTTTAACGACCCGGCTTTCCAGGCTTCCATAAGCAACGCTGCTCTGTCTTTTAGCGAGTTTGCGGAGAAAAACCCGGCTTCAATTTCTGCCATTTTTGCTAGCCTGTCTGCTCAGTTTGGAATTTCTGCCGACAATAAGGACAAGGACGACGAGGATGAGCACGACCATGACCATGGTCATGAGTCCGCTGACGATAAGGATATTTCTAGCAATGATCACGACCACGACCATAATCATGATGACACGTCAAGCTCCTCTGGTGCCCCCAGCACTAAGCCCCTTGCCGGCATGGTTGTTGCTGCTGGTCTGGCCGCTTGCGCCGCTTTTTTTTAATACATTGATACAGCCGTGCAATTCTGATGAATTTAAATTTAATTGATGAATGCAATTTAGTTAGAGCGCAAGCTCAGTTTTTTTACTGGAGGTGCGTAGTTTGGTAAAAAACAATTACACGCATTTATTTTATGTTATATTTACAAGATGCACTCATAGACTTCATATATGGCTTCAGTTTACATTACAGTTAAAACATGCAAGGAAACAAAGTTGCAAAGATATTTATTAATCATGTTGTTGCGCAGACTGAAGATATGGAAGTGGATGTTGAGGTCGAGAATCGCGAAACAGGTTTCCACCTGCGTGCTGATTGATAGGACGCTAACTGGATAACGTAGGCGTAAATCAGGGAGGCATTACATTGATTCCCAAACGTGCTCCCTATTTTGCAATGCACACGCATGAGCGTACACGCACGAAAACCACAACATTGACTTGCCAAGATACCGGTCTGCTCGCAGAAGATCCAGTTCTCACCAACGGAGCGCACAATTGACAATGTGCACAACAAAGGCGACAGGGCACATATATAAGATGAGGCCGGCCCCTAGTAGTACTTTAGAAACATCAGTAATAAAACCTTTTATAAAATCACCCCTAACTTTTAACACTAGACAACTAGTGCTCCTCACACACCCCTCTTACTATAACAATGTCAAAAATGGTAGAGCGACATGCTTATTAAATACTTTAGAATCCAATTTTAAATTAGCCCGGTTCTTTTGAGTTGCATGATTACAAAAATAAAAAACGTATTGTTTTTTGGTTGACAAACACAATGGAAGCATGCATTGTTTAGCATATTTGTGTACAAACAATTACAAATTTAATATTGAGGCTTGAAGGCCATACTGAATTGTACAGAATAGGTTGTGTATGGTATATTGGCTTTATTGGCATATTGTAAGATTAAACGATTGTGTAAACAATTTGTTTTTATTCTGGACAAAATACAAGATTATAATCTGTAGACTTTTCACAAAAGCAGGGAATGAGTGCCAAAATAAAAATATTAGTTTAATATTGAAAATGACACACTAGTGATGTAATTTGGCACAGGTTCTGTGCAAATCCAAGTTTGATAACAAAGTGAGCAAAGCGTCTGCTATTTCTTATATATCTTTGATTTCAATAGCGAAGTTACTATATTTGGACATTATCAACATTTCTGTTTTCACAACACAGTATTCATTTCTTTCTGGGCATAAAAAACAAAAACAAAAAAGGGGAAGAGATAGTGATGAATGAAATAATGGATGAATGGGTATATTTACGAGGCTGAAGTAAAATGTCAAATTCTAGTCAGTTCTATATCAAGCCTGGAAAAACAGACTAAAAATATAAAAACAAGCAATATTCTTTTTCATTTCCCGAGACGCGCTTTATATTATTTTTATTTTTTGACTCCCCTCCTTATTTTTTCTTTTGCACTTTATAAATTTTCATTTTGTATAGTCCTCAAAACTCACAATATAGCCAGAATATCTCTATTATTTAACAAGCCAACAAATTGATTTATAATGCGGCTTTCTGTTATTGCATATATGTTTGCTGCCTGTGCCTATGCCCAAGGTCCTACATTTGATGTCTCGGCTCTCCAACTTGGCGCAGCTGCTGATCCCGGGGCTTCAGCATTAGCGGCCATCGGTGACCCCACTCCAAACGCCGTGGTTGCTGATTTGCCGCCCCTGGAACAACCATCTTCACTGGACGCGGCCAGCATTATTGCCAATGTTCTTGCCTCAGCAAACGCCACCGCGATAGTTGCTTCGGTGGATGCAGTCAACGGAGTCGGCTTGGTAAATGAATCTGTAGCCAATGCCCTGAAACCTGTTTCTAGCGCGAATGCACCAGAGTTTCCCAATGTCGATGAGATTAACAGCTTTGTTCAAAGCTTACAGGACACTATTTTTGAAAACACGCCGCTGGGAAATCTTGAAACAGAGTTCAGCATTGTGGAAGCCAACGAGTGGTCAACCGAACTTCACACGCAATGGTCAACTGGGCTTCACACGCAGTGGTCAGAGAACCACAAGGAGAGCGGTGCTTCTATTATTAGCGATGCCGACTATGACGATGAAAACTCGTGGGAGCTGGGCATTGACTCGGATGATGCCGAATTGTACAGTGGAAAATGGTCTTCAAGCAAAATGAAGAGCTCAAAGGAATCATCGTGGGACAGCGATGATGAATTTAATTCCGTTTCAGCACGTAAATCAACTGGGTCGGCAGGAATTCTGAACATGAATATTCTCATGCATGTTGTTGGAGTTGTAGGAGGTGCACTTATTATCTTTTGAATAAAAAAGCCACTACACTTGTGAGCTTTTATCATATTATAATATCTTAATAATACCCCTCTTTTGGATTCAGTAAACAAAGAGTGCATGTGCATGATGGGAAATTCAATGTTTCGGCCAATTTGGTTTTTTCTAGTGAGCCTTTTTGTAAATACTTGTTAACCGTGTGAGATTTATTAATGCTATGGCCATATTTAATTTTAAAATTATTATTTCAATGTAATTAAGCTAGACTTGTAGATCTATGTGTATTAGTGATAACAAAATTTTTTTGACACCAATTCATTTGTTTACTGTGAGTGACTAGAAAAGTAGACAAAAAGACAAGTTTACTGTGATTCGCTTGATGTTTAGTTTTATAAGTGGGGGGAGCGGAGGGATATTTTGAAGTATAATTAAAAACTGCAAATGTCTACTTTTTTCTCTGCAGCACAAAAGACAAGCCACGGATTCCATATTTTGTTGACAAATTTCTGGATTGAACAAAAAAGAACAATGGACAAAAAATTATGTTGACATGTTTTTTACATGGATGGGAGAATAATCAAAGATATTGTTTTGCTTGTTTGAACAAATGAATGAGTCCTATGAACAGAAAAAAAAGATTTTTTATATATTTTCTCCATATGCTGAATAAATTATTTGCTCTTTTTATCCAAAAAAATTTATTACACACATATATACCAACTTGCACATTTATTTTTTGTATTACATAATTATGCGTAGTTCCATTCCCCTAGTACTTTTTGGTATATCCCTAGTCATTGGTCAAAATGATAAAGCTTTTGAGTCGTTTATGAGCAACCTGTCATATAACTGGCAAAATGAATTCCCAGGTCTTAGATACCAGGTCGCCAGGCTGCAGCAAGATGACCCCGCAAAATACAATGAGCTAGTTGCACAGCTGGGACTTAAAGCAGGCTCGCAGATAAGCATTCCCTCGCAGTTCAACTACGCCTGGGCCAGCCAGTTTGTCATGGCCGCCGGAGTTTACAAGCCGACTGCAAACCAGGAGGCTAACCCACAGGAGGCAAAACCTACGGGAAATACGGATAAAACCGACGGTGATTCGTTTCAGAGCGCGTTAGGAATGCTTACAGGGTTTGATCAGACAAACATGGCCACAAAAACCAACAGCAACAACAAGGATGATCATAACAACGAGGGGGAGTTGAGTGGCGTGGTAATTGTAAATGAAGAAGATAACAAATCCAGGACCTCGACATCCACAACACCTACGCGTTCAAGCTCTACCAGGTCTACAGGACCTACAAGCAAATCCAGCGACATTAACAATGATGACGACGACGACAACAATAAAGACAGCAAGGCGTCGCAGCAATTTGGCAACCCGATAGTTGGGAGCATTAACAAAGATAATGTGCAAATTATACCCAGCGGCCAAGGATACAATGGAGCCCAGAACCTCATCCCATCGATTCCCCTTCTTGTCATTCTGTCATTTTTCTAAACCGCGCAAGAGATTAGTTTAATTTACGATATGATATATGTTACAATAGAGTATAATCAAAGAGAATATTTATTTCTTCCAAGGAGAGCAATTCCTAGCTGCCTGACAGCCGCTCTTTTTATATGCTCTCCTTATGATATAAATAAACTAATAGAAACTCATCAGCATTGCTCTGATTGCCACGTGCGTAATCAATTAGTCTCGGTAAGGCAACGCGCAACAGCATGTGTCTCAACTGTGACATATATGATATGGTATATTTTTTAAATAGTTTTGATGTTTAACCATAGCAAAACTAATTCAGTTTAATTAATAAATGTTTACATTCTTGTAAAGCTCCTTTTATCCTTTCGTAAATACTTGGTTGTATATTTGTCTTGTACGCCCTTTTTTAATATATTTCGATGACAAAAAAGCGGATGCTTGTGATTTTACCTCACACTCTCTGTTGTTCTCACGTGTACCAGCACTACTTACTCGCGTGTTATATGTAGAAATAATGGAAAGAAATAAATGCGAAGTATTGACTGCACATTTCATTTGAATTTTCTTTTAACCTTTCTGGACAATATAAAAAGGGCTAGAAGGTGCTGTCGATTCTTGGCACTTTAAAAAGTTGTCACGATAAAAACTGAAAAACAAGCAGAAAAATAATAGTAGTGTATAAAAACCCATGACATTGGGAACGTTCATTGAGCGGCTCCATATTTTCCTTTCTTGCTTGTTTTTGCTTTAAATTAAATTACACTTTTTGTTATATTCATTAAACTGTTTTACATATATATTTTATTTGAATATTCAACTCACCATGTTCACAGTCGACGTTACACTGACCAATACCACTTCAAAAATACTCACAAACAAGGAGGGTGACACGTTTGTCAGAGGCAAAGTACACATTGAAAACACAAAAAACATAGGTATCAGCAGAATCGTCATCAATCTGGAGTGCACCGAAATTATCGATACCGACGATAGCAAACCAGAAAGCAAAAAAAAGCGTACACCGCCAAAAATAAACACACAGACATGTGTATGTTGGATTATTAAAAGCATGGAAGAACTGAAAGCTCGACTCAGCGGCAACGTATATTTTTTACCAAACATTCTGCCACCCGGTGAACACAATTACTTTTTTTCCATACCTTTACCCAAGGGATTGGACGCCACAATAGAGACAAGTTCTTACAGTATAAAATACGAGCTGAAGACACGGCTGGTGTACCCATCCTTGTTCAAGCCCGATACTGTTGTGACGACGCCCGTTGAGTTAATCCGGATTCCAAAGACACTGGATTTGCATGCAAATGACCAGCTTTTGCTTAATACGCCGGTTCCGAGAATCTACAATTTGAAGACATTTCAGCTGGATAAAGTGCCGCTGGGACATTCCGCTCGCTTACGACGAGACAATATTGAACGGGGCAAACCCTTTGTTTTGCACCACCTGTGGGACAACAGCCTAAGTTTGCGTCTGAGACTGCCCAAGGGCCGTCTGTTTCCTGATGGCTCACAGCCGCTGGTAGATATTGAGGCGGTGGCTATTAGTAGCGAGTACAAGCTAACCGGAATAACACTAGTTTTAGAGGAGGTATCCATTATGACTAAACTATCAGCCGCTGAAGTTGCCAGGCAAAAATTGGAACCCAGCTCTATTCATTTGCCGGAAACCGCCGAAGAAAATCCTGTAGTCCAGGTTAAAGAACTCAGTCGCTCATACTTTAAACCAAACAATTCTGGTATACAGGAGACAATTGCAACCAAAATGTCTCTTGACGTTCTTCATGCCAGTATACACACGAGTCATCCGGATTTTGAAAATTCTCATCTTCGTCTAATGCACCAGATAAACTACAAGTTGCATTATGAAAAGGTGTGCCCTAAGGATATCCTTGTGCCTTTAATTTATCCTGTGTCTGTGGATGCAAGAGTCAAAGTGGTTGCCAGTGTGCATCGCAAATTAAACCAAGCCAACATTGTACAGCACGATAGATTGTTTGGAACTGGCAAGGTTAGTGGTATTGTGGCTGTGGTTGTGGCTCCTGATGCTGTATGTAAACTGTGGGGGATTCGGAACCTGGAGCAGGACATTGTGAGCGAGGCACCGGCGTATGTGGCCAATTTAATGGATGATTTCGAGTCGGCAGGGAGTAGTTCTAATTCTGGAGGCATAATGATTCCTTCCATGATGCCTATGCCAATGGGCATGAGCGCAGAGAATACACAGGTGCAGTATCCGCCAGTGCATGGAATGAACATGCCAATGCCACCAGTTCACCACCAGGAGCAGCCAATACAGACCTCGCTTGAAAGCTACCCGCCCACTGCGCCAGTCAACAGCGTTGTTTCAGCTTTTAACTTAAATCATACTTCTGTTGCTACTAATTCTGCCGTAGATACACCGGCGCCAAGTGATTCGCAGACTTTAAGCAGAACCACAGGATTTACTCCTACGCCGTCGCCATCTGCGCAGCAGCAAATTCAATTGTTCCAGGAGCAACAGCAAATCCAGCAACTACAGTTCCTCCAGCAGCTTCACGAGCAATACAGCCAGCCCATCAGTTTAACCTCCTGTGCTCCGACTCCCAATCCTGCATTTCCATCTTCAGCTCCAGCTTCATTTCCATTGCCAAGTCATACAGCCATTGATAGCCTCCCATCTAATTTATCTATCGCGACACACGCAAATCCCAGATCAAATGAGGAAGAATGGCTTATTCCTAGCGGAACCCCCAGTGAGTTTTCACCTCCGCCTGTAAGCAATAGTAGTGGCCAGCCACCTGAAGAGCAATCTTCAATCACAGCCACATATAATGATCCAGTTTCTATAAGTATGGCTGTATATATGTCAGAGGAAGCAGCGGCGGAGCTTCGAAATTTAGACATTGGTTTTGATGATATTAATGTTGGTGGGGAGGGGAGCAATTGGTCGATGGATTGCTTATCTCCCGCTTGCGCCACCGCCCCCAAACGCAGTACTGGGTTAGGATTGAGTGGGTTGATATCGGGTGCAAGGTCGTTGTTAACGCCGAGAACTCAAAGATTGGCCGCGGGTAATGATGAAGTGCAGGTTGCGGCGGTACAGGCTGAGGGTGCTTTGAGTAATAATGCCCAGGGGCCAGCTGAGCACATCCAATCCAGCACACTATCCTCCCAAACCTTGCCATCGTTTATTTTCGATGAAGGCGCGTTGCCGCCGGATTACGATGCCAGAGTGCAACAGCCGCCACCGTACCGTCCCCGCGAAAGCAACAGATCGCCCCGCCGCTAAGTAAGAAAAAGCAATAATACCAATTTCCCCATCACACATGCAATATATTCCAAATAAATATCTATTGTTTTATTAAACGAAAACGCCCTTTCTTGTCATCGGCTCATACAAAGCAATGAAGCCAAGCAGTCCACACAGAAACACAGCCCACACAGCAACCCTCCTCCAGCCCATATACTCCCCGATTCTCCCAAGATCCGGCACCCCCATGATGTTGCAAAATACATGAGCGCACACAGGACCAGCAACACTCCCTGTTTTAATAAACAAGCTGGCGGCAAACCACCCAAACACCGTCGTATAAGCGATCTGGAACAAGGTCCGCAGCCACACACCGCTGGACTGGCGGTGCGCCCAGGCATGGTGCACGTGGGCGATCCCAAAAACCAGCGGCGACAAAAACACTGTTTTATTCGTCGACACACCGGGAGACACGGCCCATAGAGAGACGACGCAGGTGCGGAAGACCAGCTCCTCGGTTACGGGGCCCACGACGTAGTTGCGCAGCAACTGTGGGCTGGACCAAAGGTCGCGTGAGACCAGCGCCCAGAGCCGCTTCCACGAAATCGCGCCGCGGCCCTGCGCTGCAGCATCCAGATAGTCCAGCATTAGCGGGCCGAGGTAGATCACGCAACAGAGAACCATGGCCACAACAACCGACCCTGCAACCTGCGCATACCCAAGCCCCATACTCCTAACAGCGTCCACCTGCCATGCACGCAGCTGCACCCCGGCTATCCCCAGGCACAGCATTGTGGCGAGCAGCGCCCCGAGTGTCCGCTGCTTGATTACTTGCGGGTGGTCTCGGTCGTGGATCGACACGGCGGGCGCGGCGTTGTTTGACAAAGAGGATGCGCGTAGCGCTGTGAGGAGGTAGATGCTGCCGACGTAGAGTGCGCTGAAGAGAAGCGAGTGCGTGAGCGCAACGGTGAAGTGCGGCGTAGCCAGCCACGCGAGCAGCGCGCCAAAAGAGATAGCTGCCATGGATTTTGGGGCGGGATTGGTCAAATTAAAAGGGTGTAAATGCGAATTGAATTGAAGAGAAAGAAAAGAAAGAAATTCGAAAAGCAAATTCAATTTATATTTTGGTTTTTTTCACTCCCCACAAAGAAGCGATGTTTTGCCCTTTAGTCGTCCTCGTCCCAGTTGCCCTGCTGCTGCTTGGGCAGCTTGGGCCCGCCGGCGGTCTTCGCCATGACGATCTGGTCGACCTGCAGAACAGTCAGCGCGGCCTGCGTGGCGTACGTCAGGCCCCACGACTTGACGGCCAGCGGGTCCAGGATGCCCTGCGCCAGGGCGTCGACCAGCCGCGGCTCGTGGTCGCAGTCGACGTCGACGCCGATGCTGGGGCCGACCAGCGCGCCGGCCACCGTGGTCTTCGCCTTGGCGTGGTGCGCGGCAATCAGCTTGGCCACCAGCGCCGTGCTGTCGACGCCGGCATTGTCGCCCATGGTGCGCGCAAACACCTCGAGCGCCTGTGCAAAGGCCTTCATCGCGTGCTGGTTGATGCCGGCCGTGCGGTCGGCCGCATCCTGCACCAGCCGCGCCAGCTCCATCTCGGCTGCGCACCCGCCCGGCACCAGCCGTGGGTCCTTGGTCAGCGCCTTAACAACGTTGACGCCATCGTCGACCGCGCGCTCGGCGTCGTCCAGTGCGTTCAGCGTGGCGCCGCGCAGCACCACAGTGACCAGCGGCGACCGCTGGATGCGGTCCGCAAAGGCCGGCCGCTCGGCAGCGACCCCGCTGGCCGCCAGCTCCTCAGCCGTCCACTGGCGCACAACCGTGACGCGGTCGCCGCCGATCTCGGTCGTGCGGATCTCGTCGCAGTAGCCCATCTCCTCGGGCGTCGGCACGCCCAGCCGCGCCAGCGGGTTGGCGCCCAGCACGCGGCATACGCGCCGCAGCTCGAACTTGGACGGCACCTTGAGCGCCACAATGCCGTAGCGGTTGAAGTAGTGGACGGCCAAGTCGCCGACGCCCGACCCACACACCACAGCGGCGATGCCGGCCGCGTGCAGCTCGGCGACGGCCGCAGCCATCTGCGCCTCCTCGCCGCGCGTGTAGTCCAGCATCTCGCCGGCCGTGTGCAGCAGCACCGTGCCCTTGGTCTCGGTCTGGCCAACATCGACCGGGCAGGCGAACACCGCCACCTTGGCGAACCGCGCGCGCTGCGCCGCCGTCTCAGGCGCCCTCGGGAACACCATGCCGTGCTCGACGCGGCTCTGTGCCAGCGAGCCGCCCAGCACCTTGACGACGCGCACGTTGTCGACATTGAACCGGCTAGCGTCGCCGCGCGGCATCGTCGCCACCACGGCCTCGGCCACCAGCTTCCCGAGCACGTCCTCCTGCCCATACTGCTTCGATGCAATCGCCGACCGAACGGCCTTGAGCACCTGCGCCGGGTCCGTCCACTCGCGCACCTCCTCGGCCGCCAGCGCTTCCAGCGCGCGCAGCGCCTCCTTCAGCGCCAGCTCGTAGCCACGCGCGATCTCCGACGGGTGCAGCCCCATGCGCAGCAGCGACTCGGCGCGCTGCAGCAGCTCGCTGGCGAAGATGATCACGTAGTTTGTGCCGTCGCCGGCCTCCGCCTCCTGCTGCTGGCTGGCCATCACCAGAAGCTTGGCCGCTGGGTGTACCACCTCGAGCTCGCGGATGATTGTCGCCGCGTCGTTCGTCACAAACAGCTTCTCCAGGTGGTTGACCACCATCTTGTTGCGCCCGTTGGGCCCGAACGATGTGCGCGTGATTTCGCTCATCTCCTTGGTCGCCTGGATGTTGCGGAATATGACTTCCTCGAGACCTTGCAGGTTCTTATACCCCTCCTTGAAGAGCTGGGGGCCGTTTGACTGGGGAACGCGGAGAGCCATCTTTTTAAAATTAGATTGGAATAAAAAAGGGTGTGTGTGTGAGTGGAAAATTAAAATAAAAGAGGTTAAATTTAACTTGCTAAAAAACAAGTCCAAGAAAAATATCAGTACTTTGCGTAAATGTTAGTAGGCGCATACATAAAAAGAACAACTTGGAAGCCAGCAGACGGAAAAAAACACGAAATGATCCGCTTGATCCGATTACCAGCCCGGTCTTGTGGCTGATCTGATCCGAACCACAGTATATTTCGTCATCTCTTTATTTCTTCTTTTTCTTGTTCTCCCTCCCCGCATATAGTTACTTTTATTTAAAAGGCAGTATGTAAAATACAGTAACCATTGCTTTTTCTTGGTAGAATGAAACTGTCCAAATGTTTGTTTACATTTTCAATTTCTTTACGTCTTTTCTATACCACTTTGCGGCTTTTCTCCTCATGGTGCAGTAAAAAAAACAAATAAAAAATTCGTAATCGCTGGAATATGCTAAAAATCTAAAAAAAATTGTTTGGAAATGAAATATATAAATACCTACCGGTCCGATTCCACCCCCTCCCACGCAACGTAAGGCAACCAAATAAATAAACATAAATAACTTTTAGTCAACCTTATTCAAACCAACTTAATTTACTTATTTTTAATGCCCCAATAACACTCATATATTCTAACGCTCTTCTTATTTCCGATCATATCATAGAATCTCAAATACATTTCCTCTACCATGCGCTATCACCCTCTCCTCGACACCGCTCCTAGCAGCATCGCCTCAACCATTCTTATTCTCCTTGGCAGCTTCCTCAGCCTCCTTGGCTGCTCATTCATCCTCTACAAGCTTTACAAGCTCAAATACCAGGATCTGTTCTCCTACTGGCACACCCGCCATTACCTTATTTGCATCCTCGCTGTTACCAACCTCATAATGGCATTGACTGCATTGGTGTCCGCTGGATTTTACCTGGTCTTTGGCCAATTGGCATCAAAGGCCGGGTGCACAATAAGTGGGATGGTCGAGTTCTGGTCACAGCAGGTAAGAAAGAGTAATAATAATAATAATATGGACAAACAAGAGTTGAAATTTGTAAAAATTTTAATTACTGCAAAAATCAACTCATTTTTCTCATCATATTTCTTTTCTTCTTTTTCCCGTAGGCTGTCGAGATCTCCACAATCATCATCGCACTCGCAGCCTTTGCTTCAGTGCACCACAGCAACCAATGGATGCGGCACCGGCACTGGATCCAAACCAACATTGCACCGATATTTGGTCTTATTCTCTTCCTCCCACTAGTCACCACAGTGGCATCGCAGATCATCTGGCGTTTCCGCTCGTCCGAGTTCGCCTACTGCTGGATCCCGCGCTTCTCTCTTCACGCCCGCTGGCTCGCCACCGACGGCTGGCGCACACTCACCATCCTGGGCCTCATATGCGCCTATGTAAAATTGGCCCGCACTTTAAGCAACAGGCGCAATGGGCGCCCAAAGCTAAAGATCTCGTGGCCGCTCGGCTCGCCTGGCGAGAAGGATCGGGGAAGGGGCGAGTGCATTGATAGTGCCGGCGCGTCAAGAGTTGCTGGTGATAAGAATGACCAAAGGGGGCTATTCAGCCAGTCAATGTTCAACATGCATCGGTGGGCGAGATCCGTTGTTTCGAGGCATCCCGAGGACAGCAGCACCGCGCGGCAGCAGCATGAGGAGGAGGCAGGTATCCGCCAAATGAGCAGCAGAAGCACTGGTGGCGGCGGGTTCTCGCGCACATATGAGCAGTTCAAGCGGTCGCTAGGCAGCACTTTCACGCGGCACATCCACACGGACATTCCCAGCCCAACCATCCCGCCGAGCATCTTTGATTCGATCGGCAGCAAACCAGCCACAAGCAGAGGCCATCCGGCAGCCTCTACGTGCAACTTTTGCTCATCTTCAGGTCCTTCATTGTGCCGGTCGCGCAAGGAGTCCACCACAACAGCGGCTGGTGGCGAGCGCGGTCTGCGCCACTGGTACTCTGCACTCTCCCACCTCCTACTCCACAACCACAACCACCACCAGCATGAGCAGCAGGGGCCCGGTAGACCGTCGGTGCCCCGTCCGTATGCTCTGCGCCGGTCGCACACTGCGCCAGTGCAGACTGCCGACGAAATGGGCTTTTCCGCTCGCAGCCCGCAGGTTGATTCGCCGATCTACCCCGGATCAACCGTCATGGAGTCTCCCGGCGTGTTCCCCAGCGCAGACTACAACTCCAAACATCACCAGCAGAACAATCTTACTTTGTGTCCGACTGATCCACGCGACCAAGTGCCGCGCATTCTCCAGCCCAAAACCCACCACCTTGCGCGGGCAGGCGCCCCCAACCACCACCATTACTTGTCGGACAAGATCCAGGAGATGTTCGGCTCGGCGACGCTCGAGGTGCCGACGCCGGCCATCCACCGCGTCAGCATCCACCGCCACCAGCCCTCTGCAGTGCAGGCTGCCGAAGGCGAAGGGTACTGGGCGGAAACTGTCGAAAAGTACCGCTCTGACAGATCCCCCACTAGCACCTCCTCGTCTGCACCCAACCCGGCTCTGTTCCCCAGTGTTTCCCGGCTTTACGTCTACCCGCTCGCCTACATTATCCTCTGGCTGCCATCCATTGTTTATTATATTATGTCTACGTACATCTACTACCAGGCATTCCAGGCGCCAGAGCTCGATAATCACACCGGTGGGCTGGTGCTGGGCAAGAGGGAGATGGTGAGCTTTGGCGAGTTGCCTGGGAAGTGGTCCGAGGGGAATATGAGCAGGGCATGGCCGTATTTGGCCCATGCCACCAAGGGCGTCAGGGGCAGCCAGGCACTTGGATGGCTAGCTGTTGTCCAGGCGCTGCATATGCTTGGCGGCCTTGTTAATGCGATTTTGTTTTGGATTACTGAGCAAGATTAAATAAATGAAACTGTTTTTACATGGGATTGGGATTAATCGATGAGTATTCCCAGAGTTTTTCTTTCTTTTTTTCTTGCTACTGTTTTGTGGTTTGTAGTGCGCATATATTCGGGAATTAATAAACTGCTTTTTTGCTTTATTTGCAGAAACAAGAAATATAATAAGCCGGACATAAAGTTACCGCATTTATCCCCCCATTTCATTTGCATATTACGTTACCGCTAACCTTCTTTCTTCTTTATTTATTCGGGCTTTAATAAACTCAATATGTAATTTGTCTTTTTAACCCTTATTCCTAAAACAACAATACTTTTTTTTGTACACAGAAGAAGAAAAAAACAAATGTTATTCAAACAATTCACTCAACAAAGCCTCCTTTTCCTTCTCTTTTCCTCTCTCATCATAAGTGTATCCGGCAACAACGCTGCCATCAAACGGCGCTGCTCCCGCGAACCATACATCGCGCCCTGTTACAACTTCTGCATGGCGCACGCGCACACCAAATGGTGCAAAAAAGAGCTCGAAAAAGTCTACCAGCCACTCCCACCACTCCCACCACCACAGCCGCCCATTTAATCCATTTAATCCACCACCAACTCTTCTTCTCCCTCCTCGTCAACGCCAAGAATGTCTGGCTGCTCCCTGGTGATCATCTCAAAGTACGGTTGGAAATTGAACCACCCGGAATTCGCTGACCCCACCGTGCGGCTGGTTTCCTGGGCAACTTCCGCAGGGATCTCCTGCAGCTCACAGCCAGTTGCCATTGCCAGCAGTTGCGCGTGGCAGCACCGGTCCAGCGCAATAAACCAAAATGCCGCCTCGTCCACTGACCCGCCAACCGTCAGCAGCCCGTGGTTCTGCATAACCAAGGCTTTCCCCTGTGGGCCCAAACACTCAGCCATCTTCTCCCCCTCCTCCTCATCCGCGACCACCCCGTGGAACCCAGGAAACACCGCGTGTGCGTCGCCAAAGAACATGCAGGCATCCTGCGTAATCATTTTCAGCGGCTGGCCCAGGGCGGAAAACGCCTTGCCGTGGAGCGAGTGGCTGTGGCATGCGGCCTGAACGTCAGCGCGCACGGCGTGGATTTTAGAATGGATCACAAACGCCGCTGCATTTAACGCCCCGCCACCACCGCCCTTGATTATATTCCCCTGGTGGTTGACGAGAATTAGGTCAGCCGCGGTGATGCATGAGAAGCTTTTGCCGAAAGGATTGACCCAGAAAAGATCCGGGTATTGCGGGTCCCGGCAGGTGAGGTGCCCGGCGATGCCCTCGTCTAGGTGCAGTTTGGCGAAGAGTCGGAAGGCGGCGATTAGGCGTTGCTTGATGTGTCGCCGCGCGGTGCTCGCCGAGGTGAACTCGGGTGGGTGCGGCATTTTGAAGAGAAATTTTCCGGGCGTCTGCGTGTCTCTGGTGAAGGAACTCATTTTTTTATATATTGCTTTTTAAATGAATAAAGATTATATCAACGTGAAGAGACTAAATGATCTTATTTTGGTAATAAACGATAAACGATAAACGATGGAGGGTGAAAGGGTGTTTTCTTTTATATTTCAACAGCAGCAATATTTGTGAGTACAGAACAAAGTAAGGATAATGGAGCAAACAAACAAAAATAAAACAAAAACAATATTAAAAGCCTCTCTCATATAAGCAGATCCGCCACTTGAAAAATAGACATTAATGAATAAAAAATGGTATAATTACTATTTATGATAACCAATTAAAAAAAACTAAAAAAAATGTCTGAATCTTGTGACCCCATGAGAGTGCATCCTTTCTTCCTGGAAGAGGAGAAAATATCGATAACAAAAAAAGCGATGGTAACTCTTTTGGTCGCAACACCTCCCACTCGTCTTGTGCCTATCGCTGACTGCTTAATATCTACGAGTTCAAAAATCAGAAGAACAAGAGCTTTTTAGCAAACAGTACTTTCTAAACCTGTCGCAACAAATAGACAACATAAACAAGCTGAGAATAGAAAATAAAAGGGGGAATCAGTGTAACTATGACATAAAAAAGCAAGCATTGCTGAAGCACCACCTCAAGACGAGGAATAGTACGTTGTTTCCAGCTAACAAGTATAAAGAAGCTCAAAAAGAGCTAATTATCATCATATTCCCCCTCTTCCAAGCTAAATGATTTTATTTTATTTTCCAAAAAAACCCAAATTTAATGAATACTTACGAATCTTGAATGAATGAATGAAAAATGAAAAATGCTGTTGTCGTTATAAAGTACAAAGTAATAATAAATATTTATGTATTGTGAGGTATGCTGAATTGACAGTAAAATATAAAATAATGTGAGCGCGAGACAACCAATAATGGTCTCAAGCGTAAGGCGAAAAAAAATATAAATCAAACGAAGAAACAAAGAAGCGAGCCGCGACCGTTAAAAAAAACATTATATATACGTGGCGATAATTGAGATTGCAAAAAAAAAGGGAAAGAAAATTTTTTTAGCAAAAGAAAATTTTTTTCCATCTCAGAATTTTACAGAATCAGGTTTTATTTATCTCTACTCAACAAAAAAAAGTGGAAAATCACATGGCCACAAGCCCATACACCCCGATGATGCAAACACCGTGCGCCAAAAATACAAGTACCAAAACGCACGCGGCAAACTATAAGCTGAGAAACCCTTACAGATCTCACCGAGTTTTTAACTCGCACATGATGAAACGGAGAAGACCAGATTGGCAGTGAGTCCTCGTTCGCTTTTTTAAGTGTTTGAGGGCTCGGCTTATGATCCTGGAAAGGGCGCAGCTCAAAGGTCTTGTTACGATAAATGCGTCCGGTTACTCCCTTCTGACCCCCCCACCACCACTACACCAACAAATTTAAAATAATTTAAAAAAGTACACTTTAACTCACAGGGATGGGTTCAAAAAAATGTATTCATGATAATCGTTGTTGTACAATGCTTGTTGCCATTGCATTTTTTCGACCAAACATTGCCGACTGACAAAATTTTTTGTCAATTATCTCTGGGTTTTAAGCATTGCTGCAAATAATTTTTTTAGCAAAAGCTTTTCAAGGAAGATACCGATAGAACCAAATGGGTGAGCTACTGAAGCATTTTAAGTTTGGCACAAATTTGTATAAGAAATGCAGTGCAATTTTAAGTTTGAGATCAGATCGGCTTTGTCTCGCCCTTTTTTATTTGTATGGCTCAAACACTTAAATCACAAAAATCAAAAAATTTTACACACTTGCATGTTTTGCTGACCGCAGTGTGAAAATATAATGTCGCAAAGCGTGCTAAATATTTGCGTCACTTATACATAAAATTGTGACTGGCTCATGACGTTTTGTGTTGGTCCGCAGTTGGGGGATCCAATCATATTTGTTTGTTTGTTTTGCCAAGAAGGCGGATTTAGAATGGTCATGCATGTGTGGAGGGGAGAGAGTGGAAGATAGCACAAGTAATTGTAAGAAAAATTCCATGTACGACAAACAAAAAAGATATCGTAGTCTTTATTCATTTTGTTTTGGATCGCACGCTATTCCTATTTTCAAAAAAAAGAAAGAGAAAGCCCAAGTATATAAGGTTAACATCTCGCTCCTTAAGGGCTCTCAAGCTTTTGATTCTTTCCTTTTGAAAATATATGCTTGTTCTTTGTCATTATTTTTAAAGCATTTAAATATTTTTTGTCTTTAAACGAGTAATCCACACTCATTTTTGTCACATTCATTTTTGTTTTCTCTCATACCTTGATTGTTTCTTTTCCTAGCCATGATTTCTTCAAGAATGTCTGTCGCTGTACTCGGTCTGCTTGCCATCAACGCTCCTGCTGCGCTCGCCCAAGTGGTAGTGACTATTCCCACGACAGTCCTAATGACTATCACTTCCACGAGAGCTCAGCCCACTTCAACCAACGCCCTCATTCCGCCCGTTCTTGTGACCTCCAGCGCCCAGACCCAGGAGGGCGCCGCCACCGGGGAGGGCGCCGCCACCGGGGAGGGTGGATCAGCGACCGAGATGGCAACTACCGTTGACACAACCGAGGGTGAGGGCGCCACTGCCGAAACTCCGACCACAGTAGCGTCTGACAAGGAAACAGGTACCGCAGAGACCACCACGACTGCGAATTCCGAGAGCAAGACCGGGGAAGAAAGCACCACCACTACTACCGATGCTACTTCTTCCAAGGACACTGCTGGTGCGACATCGGGCACAGAATCATCCGAGAGCAAGGACCAAAATGACACTTCGACCACAACTGTTGACTCCGAGACCGGGACGAGCAAGACGGCTAGCGCCACGGATAACTCGAGCGACGGAAAGACCAAGTCTTCGACGGAGACCTCGGGTGCAGCGGGTGGCAGCCACCTGAGCAGCTTGGTCTTGCCGGTCACTGCGGTAGCTATTGCTGTTGAGGTTTTCGCCGCATTGTTCTAGCTTTTGTTTTGCGCAACAGTAGTGAAATATGCTTTTTTCGTTATAATTTATTTTTCTTTAAACTAGTTTTTTTGCTTCGTTTTGTATCGGTTTTCTTTTTTAAATTATATCGCTCAAAAACACTCATATCCGCGATATATCGGGAATACAATGGAAATATGAATAAAAATATGAGCGGCTGATTATTTTTTGAATATTGATCTGATCGATGCCGCAGACTGCCAAACAAAAGGATGCGGGAGCGGGGGCGGGGGCGGGACAATACACCAACCGGATTTACACCCGGCCTTATCTCAAGAAGAAAATAGGCACCAGTGATAATCACCTGTTAGCAAAAAATGATAAATGTTTTGCGAGCGATATCGACGCACAAAAAGAAACAATTCCGCTTCCAATATCATAATCTCTTTATTTTTCTTCAAGCATAGGTTTTATTAATAGAAATGTCTCCGCCAAACCCCAGAAAAACGCCGGTCGTTGTCGTCGGCTGCGGCGTCATCGGACTGACCACGGCGCTCATTCTGCAGCGCTCGCAGAAATACGCTGTGACTGTGGTTGGCAGAGAAACGCCCGACGACCTGCACGGCCCGCACGGCATCTCGCAGGACTGGACGTCGCCATTTGCCGGCGCCAACTGGCGACCCTACTCTCTGGACCACGAGCAGCAGGTACGCGCCGCCGAAGAAGAGACGTACTTTAGGATGCGCGATATTGCGCGGATCACCCCCCAGGCCGGCGTGACAATCCTGCCAATGGCGGATTTTGGCGCAGACAAAGCGGAAGCGAAAACAACGCCGTCGTTCCTCAGCTACGTGCAGAATCTCCGCGAAATCAACAGCGCGCTGTGGCCACCAAACGCTGCCTTTGGGTATGCTTACGACTCGCTGGTGGTCAATGTGTTGCAATACCTCCCGTGGCTAGCCGCTGAGCTGCGCAAGCTGGGCGGGGTCATCAAGCGCGCTGAGCTCAAGCACATTGCTGACGCGGTGAGGCACGTCGAGGGCCATTGCGCGGTTATAGTTAACTGCTCGGCCATGGGCAGCCGCACGCTGGGCGGAGTCATGGACGCTGCCATGTACCCGACCCGCGGACAGACCATTCTGGTCCAGGCGCCGCACGTCGAGCTGACTGCCATGGCGCCCGGCGCCAGCAGCGACAAGGCCACTTATGTTATTCCGCGCGCTGACGGCACAGTCATCATCGGTGGCGTGTTTGAAAAGAACAACAGCAGCCGGGAGGAGACCATTCGGACGACCGACGAGGTCCTCAGGACGTGCCTGGCCATGTGTCCGCAGCTGCTGGACAGCCGCATTGCTGGAAGCAGCTTCGTGAACACTGTGTCGCAGGCCGATGTGGATATGCTGAGGGAGAAGATTATCAAAGTCAATGTTGGCTTTAGACCATCGAGGGTCGGTGGACCGAGACTCGAGGTGCAGAAGATGGGCGAGATCACTGTTGTGCATAACTATGGCCAATCTAGCTACGGGTTCCAGACCAGCTGGGGTTACGCCAGTGTTGCCGCCCGCATGCTTGATGCGGCGCTTGCCACCAAGCCCAGGCTCTAAATACTTAAAATACAGCTATTTATATTTATATATTTACAAGGGCGTTAGGCATTGGTGGTGGGACTCAAATAATGTCCAGCTTGACCGAGCTTGGCAGCTGCGGCAAGCCCAAGAGCCCGCGAGTATCCGCATTACACAGCGGGCAGCGGCATGACCGCCGGAGAAGCCATTTGTCGATACACCCGGCGTGGAAAATATGCTTACAAGCCAGCTTGCGCACCTCGTTGTCCGCCGAAAATGGCTCTAAGCATATGACACAGCAATCGGTCGATATGCTCACTGTGTTTTTTGCAGAGTACTCGCTGAACGACATTTTTGGAAGCATGCGTAGCTCGGGTTTATTTAATACATTTATGAGCGGACTTTTGCGCAGCATCCGCTGGTGATGCATGCCAAGGTTTGTATGGCCAAGTGCGGCTGCTGTGCCTCTTTGCTGCTCAATATCTGCTATTTGCGCCATGGAGGCGTCAATGCTTGCATTGCGTGTGAGTTTGTCGCGTCTTCGGACAATAAATATAGCAAAAATCGCTATGAAAACAACGGTGGCTACATAATTAATTTGTATTAAAGAAAGAAAGAAAGAAAACGGATTGGTGAATTGATTGATTGATTAGCATGATGCGTGGGATGATACTATGCGTGAGAAAGAGAAAGAGCAAATAAATCAACTGGAGAAAATGGTGTTTACTTGCCTACAACTGCCAAGCCCAGGATGGATGCATGTGGAGGGTTTGTTTCCTGAAATCGCTGGTGGCCTTCTGTCCCAGCAATTTGTGTCGTTTGCACCGGCAGCGAGGTTGCGAGGGAAATGGTTTCTGATGCTGTGCTCATTATTAAGCGAGAAAAATAAAATAGTGTGTGCTTTGTAATTGGCCCCCGTAGTCGATGCGAAATTGATGTGGATAAGATATTATCAAATAAAAATGTTGCGTTTTAAAATTAAAGAAAGTAATGTGTATGTGTGTTTATGTTTATGTTCAAAAGTTGAATAAAAATTGGTTGATAGTTTTCTATCGGTACATATCGCTTTCTTTTTATACTTGCCAAACTGTTTTTACGCACATATATACGAGGAAGCAGAGCAAAGAGATGTGATATCTCATTTCGGTCACCGGCATCTCTTCCACATCATTCTATCCTTATTCGGTTACAGAATATTTTTTATAATCAAGTGACCTGGGGATTTTTTATCTTTTTCCATTACACAGAATAAAAGACAGTAACGCAAAAAAGTGGGGGTAAGGAGACTGAAATGGCCGTATTCTGGTCGGAGATGCTGCTGTTCACATGATTATGTTTTAATCATCCCCTTTTTCATTTCAAAAAAGAGAAACGTGCAGCATGTCGCTTGACTGATAATGCCGTTTTTAAATCCGCTGATGTGTGTCAATACACGGCTGTATCATTTTTCCCTTTTAATTACCTCAGCGGCTAATTCCTGTTTGTCCGTCGCACTGCGTATCCAAAGTGAAAGATATTGGCCGGAATTATCTGAAATACAACGGGTATGTTGTTTGGCCGTCTGATAAAACAAAAATGACAATGTGAATGCGGCAAAAAAACATCATGAACAGATTAACTAGCTTCCATGCTGTCTCGTTGCCTTTGCCAAATTGACGGTATCTTTGACTGGCGCTCACCCATTGTTACTCCTATGTTTTGTGAGCACCGGCATCGAGTATTGATTTTTAATTTGATCGCTTTCAATACCCGATTAGCATGCCAACTAACATGAGCATATGCATATTTATTTTTATAAGCCTGCTTTTCAAATGTCTTTATATTAAGCGAAAAGTGTAAAATGACAAAAGCAAAAAGGATGTGAGCTATGTACGTTAAATTCTTGCTAACATAGTGTAGTGTCTTTTGAGCTCGTCTCATATACCTGCTTGGCAAAGCTTTTTGCTCCCCTTTTTAGTGCTTTCATTTTTATCTATTTTGCTACTGCGTTCGAAACAATGCCAAAAAATTGTGAATGTTTGTTTGTTGGCAAACCTATCAAGTCAAACAACACTTCTTGTCTCCCTACTTTTTCATTTCATTCTTCCAGGCTGCATTAATAATAATACTTTTTCCCACCCATCTCGTTATATTCAATTAGCTCTGCCGCGCTTATTGTTTTGTAATTTCCAATACTTTGTTACTGTCAACAGGACAAGCCACACTCCCACATCACATCACATCACATCACATCACGTTTGGCCTTTTACCTCACAAAGAAAAAATAATGACGGCATACCGCAGCTCGCTTTCTAAAGTCGCCTTGGCTGCAATGGCACTTGTACAAGCTGTATCATGCGTGCTATACATCCCAACGACATCCATCGAAGACACGTCGGCGTACTACGAGGCCGTCAGTAACAACTGGAGCAACGTTCACAGCCAGCTTCAGGGACAACTGGATGAGTATTCCAAGGAGCAAAACTATGGCGCCTATGTAGTAATGGAATCGATATATGGCGCCACCATCCCCAAAGAGTACAATGAGGAGTACTTGTCTTCACTCATGAGTAAACTCAACGATGTTGGAACGTACACGTGGGATGGCAAGGAGCTCGAGAGCATGTCGGAAACATACCAGCAGGGGCACGGCAAGAATAACAGCATTGAATCCAAGGAGGGGAGTAGCTCTGGAAATGGTGCTGGTGCGCGTGCATGGAGCTCATGGACCGGTTCCATTGTGCTGGGTTGCATGGCGCTGGCCATGGCTGCGCTTTAAAGTTTAAATATTTTATACTTTTCCATATTGTAATGCAATATATTTGTACTCAGCTTGTATTTTACAATTTGTAAGCTTGGTATCCAGGTTTTTTTTTGTTATTTGCCATGTGTCATTTCCAGTTTCCAGTTTTCAGTTTACTTTATTCGAGATTCCCTACAAAGAAAGCGATAGTCCGACGATGCAGCTGGGTGATCTGCAAGCTCATGCGGTCTAATAATTTTTCTCCAACATATATCGGAAAGGGGGATTAGCGGAAAGCAATCAACTGGTGAAAAGAAATAAAAAATTGTTGACAACTCCATTTCTGCATTTTTGTTGGTGCAGTTCATCCTTGATTTCGGGTGGCAGAAAGCAAAATAGTGCTGCCTTTTTTATTGCAATTGTAAGACTCAACGGCGAGTTGTTTAATTTTTTTCCTAAAGTTTTTTTTGTTCCAAAACGCTCTCTCTTTTCTTCTTCTCTTTACCTTTCTTTTTTAATACTCGACATCCCTGCACCTTACTTCTTGCTTCCCCCCTATACGTCGTTAACAGACACACTAATTCCCCCTTTTTTTAGAAATGAAGTTTGCCGCCGTTATCCTTGCCATTGCCGCCGCCGCCACCGCACAGAAGGCCGAGCTCGCTGACGTCCTGGCTGCTCTGCCCACCAATATTATCGCTGCCATGACCTACTTCCCCACCTCCATGATCGCTGGTCTGATGAGAGGTGAGGGGACCCTCCCCACTGACTTTGCTTCGCTCATAGAGCTGGCTCCCGGAATCCCCACCGAGGACATCCCCCAGCTCTCCAGCGATTACGTTGAGTTCATGAACAAGTTCGGTGCCCTGATCGGTGCGCCTGCTGCTCCCACCGAGAATGTTTCCGAGGACCAGGAGGAGGAGGAGGCTTCGACTCCCGCTGCCACTACAGAGGAGACCGAGGAGGAGACCGAGGAGGAGACCACTAAGCCTGAGGAGGAGACCACTAAGTCTGAGGAGGAGACCACTAAGCCTGAGGAGAGCGCCGATGATAACAGCGAGGCCGTCTCTGAGGCTGACTCTGAGGCCGACTCTGAGGCTGATAGCGAGGAGAAGGATCTCGAGTCGCTCGACAACGACGCTTCCCAGGAGGACAAGTCCGAGTCCAAGGAGAAGTCTGAGAGCGAGCTCGATGAGGAGAGCGAGAGTGATGAGTCCTCGGGCTCCAGCTCGGCCTCAAAGAAGAGCAGCAGCTCCAGCGGTGCTGCCAAGGTTGCCGGCTCCATGGCCGCTGCCGTCGTTGTCGTCGCCGCCGCCTTCTTCTAAGTTTGAAATAGCGTGATTTTTCTCTTCTATATAGTTCTTTTTGGAAATTTCAATGTCTTTTTTGGTCCATTTTTGACTCTTGTGACTGACTGTTGATGCATTGAAGAAAATAATGACACTGCAAATATCTAAAAAAGACTCAAATATCCTGCAAATTGATACCCTTCCCATCCTGATTACATAACAACCCAGAACATGGTTAGAACCTAGAGGCAATAAATAGCCCACTATGGTTGAATATATTAACCATTGCGCTGCTTCTTGCAAAGAGAAAAGCTTGGGCTTGGAGTTTGGCTTGGGCAAGATCTTGGGCATTGCTGTAAGACTCGGGTTCAGCCGACTCGAACGGTGCCTTCTTGTGCAAAAGACGGGGAGGTCGCTCGCCTGTAAATAGGGCGTTGAGGATGATCCAAAAGTTCAGCACTGCAGCCATGTCACGATTATTCCACTTCCGTCTGCCTGATGTCACTTTTTTCGCCATCCTTGATCCGCTGCTAAATGCTTGTGAATGGTTCACATATATATACTACTGCCTTTCAACAAAATTTAAAGGTAAGTAGTGCGTAAAGGTACTTTCAAAGTTTTCTCAATTGTCAGGTGTTTGTTACAGCGTGGCTTCAGCTCGCCTGAGCCGGCTCTCTCCCGACAAGCATTTATGCATTTGATTTGGCCATGTCTGGAAATATTCGGGCTCAGACAAAAACCGTTTCTCTGGTATAGTGCATTCTGCGGCACGGAACTAAGCATAAAATATCAAAAAGCGCATTACCTATATTTCTATTTTTTCGTGTTGTTTATTTATTGCATCTAATTCAAAGCGTAAACAAGAAAATAGGCGCCCTAATTTCATATCAATTCAACCCAATTTTATTCACTTCATCTATATTTTCTTTCCATTTTGAAGCGCAAGTACGAGCAGATTTCAACTTTGGACTCACCAACAATGGACGACTCGGAAATGTCAGCAGTTGCGCCTGCTTCTGCTGAAATCGAGCGCACAGCAGCTTACTGTGATCCAAACATTGTCAAGCAGTATCTGCTAAACCTCGTTCCTGTGCTGCTTGGCGGCCACGGCGACGACGATGACGAGTTCGAGGCAGTCAGGGCCATGTTCTCCTTCCCAGACTCCAGCGACAAGTGCCGCGCCTTTGCCAACGACCCAAGTGTACCAGTTCTCTATGTGCTCAAGGAGATCGACGGCGATGACGAGCAGATGGCATTCTCGACGGTGCATTTTGCCCTGGCCTTTGAGCTGTGCTGGAAGCCCACGCATGCTGGCAGCATTGCGCTGATCAAACGCAGCGCGACGCTGGATCCGTCCATGACACTGTCGAAGCAGATCCAGGTGATGAATTTGCCGGGTCCTGCGTCTTCGGGCGCTGCCCCGCTGCCGGCTGCCCTGGGCGCTGCCGATCCGCATGTGGCCAGCGACGGAGCGTTTGGGTCGGCAGGCGGATCGAAGGAGCGCAGCACGGCTGTGGCGGCGGCAGCTATGGGTGGCGTGAACCCCTACGAGGCGCTGCACGCGTACGTGCGGTTTGCGGTGTCGCCGTACTTCAACGCATACGTGTCGGCAAAGGAGAAGGCCGAGCAACTGGCGAGCCAGAACGCTGGCAGCGACGGGTTCCGCGACGATAAGGACTCGCAGCAGCAGGGTATCCCGATGGCCAAGAAGAAGCTGGCCGAGCTCGAGCTCTCGCTGCTTCACCTGCAGCAGAACATGGATATACCCGAGGTCATGCTCAATATTCACCCGGTCATTGTGCGCACCGTTGCCGAGTGCCGGCGCCAAGGGGTGCGCACGACGGTGGATGCTGTCGACCCTGAACTGCTGTCAGACTCAAGCTTCCTGAACCAGCTGCAGGGCGATGTCAACGGCTGGATCAAGGAGATTCAGAAGGTCACCAAGCTCGACCGCGACCCCGGATCGGGAACAACCAGCCAGGAGATCAACTTTTGGCTGTCAATGGAGCGCGCGCTGGAGCGCATCGAGGACCAGCTGCAGAGCGATGCCATTGTGTTGTCGATGGACGTGCTCAAGGCTGCCAAACGCTTCCACGCGACCGTGTCGTTCCGCACCGACACTGGACTCAAGGAGGCAGCCGAGCGCGTCACCCGCTACAACGTGTTGATGAAGGACTTCCCGATCAACGAGTTGCTATCGGCGACCGACATTGGGCGCATCAGCTCGTCAGTTGAGCAGATCTTTGCGCACATCAACAAGAAGCTCAAGCTGACGGCGTACCCGGTGCGCCGCGCGCTGCCGCTGGTCGAGGCCATCTCACGCGACTTTAACGACCAACTGATCAAGGTGCTGGGCCACGTCAGGCTGACGTACATGGACTATAGCGACTTTGATAAGCTGTTCCGCGAGACACAGGGCGCATTCGAGGCGTGGGAGTCGCAGGTCAAGGAGTTTGCCAACCTGGCGCGCGATATTACACGCAAGCGCAGCGAAAAGTTTATTCCAATCAAGATCCGCGCCGCCCACGCGCCGCTGCAGGAGCGCTTCCACTTTGTGTTCCAGTTCCGCCAGCAGCACGAGCAGCTGCAGCACACGATCGTCAAGGTTATGGGCGGAAGCAGCAGCGCCATTGGTAGCAACGGGTCGGGCGCCAACGCTGGCGACACGGCGGCCATCGACGAGATCCGCGTGGCGTACGACGTGGTCAAGGTCGTCGACGTGCTGGACGTCACGCCCGAGGGAACCGACCTGTGGGAGCGCGCCGAGACCAGCTATAACGAGCGTGTGGCGCGTGTCGAGAACCAGATCATTGTGCGGCTGCGTGACCGGCTGGCTACTGCGCGCAACGCGTCAGAGATGTTCCGCGTGTTCTCCAAGTTCAACGCGCTGTTCGTGAGGCCCAAGATCCGCGGTGCCATCCAGGAGTACCAGACGCAGCTGATCAACTCGGTCAAGGAGGACATTTTGCGGCTGCACGACACATTCAAGAAGCACTACCGCCGCTCCGAGGCGTTTGCCATGTCGCAGCTGCGCGACTCGGCACCGGTCTCGGGAGCCATCATCTGGATCCAGCAGATCGAGCGGCAGCTGGACATGTACATGCACCGCGTCGAGGACGTGTTGGGCAAGGGCTGGGAGCTCTACGCCGAGGGCCAGCGGCTGCAGGCTGACTCGGCCAGCTTCCGCCGCAAGCTGGACACGCGGCCGCTGTACGACGCGTGGTTCACGGAGATCAGTCGCCGCGACCTGACCGTGTCGGGCCGCGTGTTTTTGGTAACGCGCCATCGCGCCACCGGCCACGCGTTCCAGCTCAACATCAGCTTTGACGCACAGCTCATCACGCTGTTCAAGGAGGTGCGTGAGCTGCTGTGGCTCGGATTCCAGGTGCCACACACGCTGGTCAACATGGCGCGCGACGGCAAGCGCGTCTATCCGTTCGCCGTCAGCCTGATGGAGACAACCAAGATTTATCGCCAGGCCAGCCACCGCCTGCAGCAGCACCCCGACGTGGTGTCACTGGCCGCCGGCTACCGCCGCGATGTCATGCTGTGTATACAGAAGGGTATGGGGCTCAAGTGGCAGTACTTTGTGACCTCGGCAGGCATGTACTCTGGCGCCGCTGGCAGCCTGGGCGGATCTGTCGATTCGCACGAGAACCGTAACGCGTCGTTTGTGCGCGAGTTCGCAGCCATTGTGACGCTGTACCAGGAGAAGGTTGAGGCGCTGATTGCGCTAAACGACGACATTAACGCGGCCGTTCGGGAGCTGTCTACGTGCCCCTACACGGAGGCCCACTTTAGGGCGATTTTGGACCGCATCCAGGCGCTGATCGACCGGCTTAACCTCGATAACTATGCTAATTTGGAGCAGTGGGTCGGTGAGATCGACGTGCGCCTCGAGCAGGTGCTGACCAGGCGGCTTTCGCTGGCCATCCACGCGTGGGTCAAGGAGTTCAACCGCACGCCTCAGCTGGGCGATGAGAGCGACACTGAGGCCAATGGCAGTGGTGGCGGCATGTCGATGCGTGAGGAGAGCAAGATTGCGCGGCGTCTGCAGCGCAGCCTGGGTGCGGTTGGCAGCAGGACGGGAGCCATGCACACTGACGGCGGCGATGAGCGCAAGGCTGCACAGGAGGAAGAGGTGAAGCCACAGTTGCGCACTCTGGTGCATGAGTTGCGCATCCGGAACCAGGTCATGTACCTTGATCCGCCGCTGGAGAATGCTCGCGCCTCGTGGATTCAGGAGCTGCACTTGTGGCTGGCTGCCATCTGTCAGCAGCGCCGTCCGCAGGCTGCGCGCTACGAGGTGGTTGCCAATGCTGACGACGATCTTGAGTACGACAACTTGACGCTTGAGTTTGACCCTGGCTGCTCTGTGACCACGGCCGGCGACGACCAGCAACAGCAGGCCGCGTCAGCAGCAGTGACAGCTGGCCTGTCGGGTGCCAGCGAACCATCGTCTTACAAGGACCTTTTGTCGCGATTGCCCAACAACGGTCTGTTTGAGGCGTACCGCTCGATCGAGGGCATGACCAAGCAGGCGGCGTCGTACGTGCAGATCTGGCTGCAATACCAGGCGCTGTGGGACCTGCAGACCGACTACGTTCTGCAGTTCCTAGGCGAGGACCTGACGCGCTGGCAGTCCATGCTGCTCGAGATCAAGCGCGCGCGCTCGACCTTTGACAATTCCGAGACTGCCAAGTTCATCGGCGCACACTGCGTCGTCGACTACGAGCAGGTGCAGAGCAAGGTGAATGCCAAGTACGACGGCTGGCAGCGCGACATCCTTAACAAGTTTGGGCAGAAGCTCGGCCAGGCCATCCGCGACGCGTGCCAGGCAATTTCAAGCGCGCGGCGCGAGCTCGAGTCGCACTCGGCTGAGTCCAGCACGACAAGCGAGGTCGTGACGTTCATCACGTTTGTGCAGGAGCTTAAGCGCAAGTGCCCCGGGTGGCGCCACGAAGTCGAGGAAGTGTTCCGCGGTGGCCAACGGGTGCTGGAGAAGCAGCGGTTCCAGTTCCCGTCCGACTGGATGTACCTGGATCAGATCGAGGGCGAGTGGAGCGCCTTCAACGAGATCCTCAAGCGCAAGAACAATGTGATCCAAGAGCAGCTCCCGAACCTGCAGATGAAGATCATTGCCGAAGACAAGGCCGTCGATGCTCGTATCAGCAGCCTGTGCGCGGACTGGGAGAAGAGCAAGCCCGTGCAGGGTTCGCTGAAGCCCGATGTGGCGACCAACACGCTGAACGTTTTCCACCAGCGCATCACTCGGTCGATCGAGGAGTATGAGCAAGTGTGCCGTGCCAAGGAGGCCCTGGACATGGACATCTCGCGCGACGAGCGTCTGGCTCCCGTGCTCGAGGAGGTTACCGATTTGAAGGGCGTGTGGGCCGCACTCTCTGCGATCTGGCGCGAGGTCGATGAGCTGCGCGAGACGCCCTGGGTCAGCGTGGTTGTGCGCAAGGTGAGGCAGCAGCTAGACCGCCATCTGGCCGAGTCTAAGCAGCTGCCAAACCGGATGCGCCAATACGCTGCATTTGAGTACATGCAGAAGACGCTGCGCGGCCTGCTCAAGGCCAACATTGTCATCTCAGACCTCAAGTCAGACGCACTGCGCGACCGGCACTGGCGGCAATTGTTCAAGGCGCTGCGCGTTTCCGTGGCGGCAATGTCCGACCTCACCTTGGGCGACGTCTGGGACTTTGACATTGTGCGCAACGAGACGGTCATCCGAGAGGTGATCACGGTCGCGCAGGGCGAGATGGCCCTCGAGGAGTTCCTCGGGCAGATCCGCGAGACGTGGTCCGGGTACGTGCTGGAGCTGATCCCTTATCAGAGCAAGTGCCGGCTGATCAAGGGCTGGGACGAGCTTTTTGCCAAGAGCTCAGAGCAGCTAAGCGCGCTGACGGCCATGAAGGCGTCGCCGTACTACAAAGTGTTTGAGGAGGAGGCCGGCGCGTGGGAGGACAAACTGAATCGCATCCACCTGCTATTTGACGTCTGGGTCGACGTGCAGCGGCAGTGGGTCTACCTGGAGGGCATCTTTACGAGCTCAGCGGACATCAAGCACATGCTGCCGGTCGAGTCGTCGCGGTTCCAGAATATCAACAGCGAGTTCCTGGCAGTCATGAAGAAAGTGTACAAGAGCCCCTTTGTGCTCGACGTGCTCAACCTGCCCAACATCCAGCGCAGCCTCGAGCGACTGGCCGACCTGCTGCACAAGATTCAGAAGGCGCTGGGTGATTACCTCGAGCGCGAGCGGTCGTCGTTCCCGCGCTTCTACTTTGTCGGCGATGAGGACTTGCTGGAGATTATCGGAAACTCGAAGGACGTGCCGCGCATTCAGAAGCACCTGCGCAAGATGTTTGCCGGCCTGGCGTTCATCGAGCTGACCGAGGACAACGCACAGATCATCGGCATGTCGAGCCGCGAGGGCGAGCGGATCATGTTCCGCCAGCCGATCCAGCTCAGCAAGTTCCCCAAGATAAACGACTGGCTGGCGGCGATCGAGCGCGAGATGCGCATGACGCTGGCCGATGTGCTCGGGCGCTCCATCACGCAGCTCGATGCCGCGGTTGGTGGAGGCGGTGGCAAGCTGGACGCTACGCTGTTCCGCTCGTGGGTTGACGCGACGCCGGCGCAGCTCGTGGTGCTGACCAAGCAGGCAGGCTGGACGCGGCACGTCGAGGAGGCGCTGGCCAGTGGTGGCGGCGAGCATTTGAGGCGCGTCCTGGCCGACGTTGAGGGCGAGCTGCAGGTTCTGGCTGACGCCGTGCTTGAGGACCTGGTGCCGATCGTGCGCAAAAAGTGCGAGCACTTGATCACCGAGCTCGTACACCAGCGCGACATCGTCCGCATGATGCTGGCCAACTCGGTCACTGGCGCACAAGACTTTAATTGGCTGGTGCAGATGCGCTTCTGCTACACAGCGCCAGCGTCGACTCCGGCGTCAGAGCAGCAGCTGCTGGATAGTCTCGTCGTGTGCATGGGCGACGCGCAGTTCCGCTACGGTTTTGAGTACTTGGGCGTGCAAGAGCGGCTGGTACAGACTCCACTGACTGATCGCTGCTACCTGACGCTGACGCAGGCGCTGGAGCGGCGCCTCGGCGGATCGCCCTTTGGTCCCGCTGGTACGGGCAAGACAGAGTCTGTCAAGGCTCTGGCGACACAGCTCGGGCGGTTTGCGCTGGTGTTCTGCTGTGACGAGAACTTTGATTTCCAAGCGATGGGCCGCATCTTTGTCGGGCTGTGCCAGGTGGGCGCATGGGGCGTGTTTGACGAGTTCAATCGTCTCGACGAGCGCATCCTGTCGGCTGTGTCGCAGCAGATCCAGACGATCCAACTTGGTCTACGCCGCGGTTACGAGGCCGGCGGCAACGGCAGTGCGGAGATTGAGCTGCTTGACCACAAGGTGCGGCTGCATGCCGATACGGGCATCTTCATTACGATGAATCCCGGCTATGCGGGCAGATCCAACCTGCCTGACAATCTGAAGAAGCTGTTCAGGTCATTTGCCATGACCAAGCCTGACCGCGCGCTGATCGCCCAGGTCATGCTGTACTCTCAGGGTTTCCGCCAGGCTGAGCTTTTGGCCAGCAAGGTTGTGCCGCTGTTTAAGCTCTGCGCCGAGCAGCTGTCGCAGCAGCCGCATTACGACTTTGGGTTGCGTGCGCTGAAGAGCGTGCTTGTGTCGGCGGGTAATCTCAAGCGCGAGCGCCAGCAGCAGCAGCAGCAGGGCGAGAACCAGATGGACGTTGATGGCGGCTCTGGTAGCTCAGCTGTCGATGAGCAGGGGCTGCTGATTCAGAGCGTTCGCGAGACCGTGGTGCCCAAGCTGGTGGCACAGGACATTCACCTGCTGTCGAGCCTGCTGGAGGATGTGTTCCCGGGTATTGAATACCGGCCGGCCAACATCGAGCGGCTACGTGAGGCCGTGCTAGAGGTTTGCCGGCAGCGTAACTGGGTGCCGGGCACGCGCTGGATGGACAAGGTTGTGCAGCTGTACCAGATCCAGGCTATCCACCACGGTGTGATGATGGTCGGCGCGTCTGGCAGCGGCAAGACGTCGGCGTGGCAGGTTCTGCTGGCTGCGCTTGAGCGTCTCGAGGGCGTTGAGGGCGTCAGCTACGTGATGGACCCCAAGTCTGTGAGCAAAGACGAGCTCTATGGCACGCTGGACTCGACGACGCGCGAGTGGCGCGATGGTCTGTTCACTCACCTGCTGCGCAAGATTGTCGATAATGTGCGCGGCGAGGGTAACCGGAGGCACTGGATCATCTTTGACGGCGATGTCGACCCGGAGTGGGTCGAGAATCTCAACTCGGTGCTGGATGACAACCGACTTCTGACCTTGCCTAACGGCGAGCGTCTGGCTCTGCCACCCAACGTGCGGGTGATGTTCGAGGTCGAGACGCTGAAGTACGCAACGCTGGCCACGGTGTCGAGGTGCGGCATGGTGTGGTTCAGCGACGACACAGTGGACTTTGGCATGTGCATGCAGCGGTACCTGCGTGTGCTAGCGTCCGAGGGGCTGACCGACGCTGACGAGGGCACGAAGCTGATTGCATCCATGGGCGGCAATGCCTCCTTGTCGCCAGGTGATGAAGGCCTATCTCCGGCCATGCTCGTGCAGTCCATGGCAGCCACCGTCTTTGAGCCCTTCTTCGCCTCTGACGCGCTTGTTGAGCGCGCGCTGGCGTTTGCCGCGGACGCCGAGGCCGATTCGATTGACCACATCATGGAGTTCACGCAGGCGCGGGCGCTGAGCACGCTGACGACGCTTCTGAACAAGGCTGTAATTGCCGTTGTCGAGTACAATGCTCAGCACAGCGACTTCCCGCTGGGCGCCGACGCCGTCGAGTCTTTCCTGAACAAGCGGCTGGCCGTGGCCCTGGTGTGGAGCTTTGCCGGCGACGCGCCGCTGCGCGGCCGGCAGGCGCTGTCAGACTTTGTGCGTGGGGCGGCAACCATCGAGCTGCCTCCTTTGGGCGACGGCGAGTCAATCATTGACTATGACGTTGCGCTGACTGCCGATGGCGGCCAGTGGGTTGCGTGGGGCAGCCGCGTGCCGCGTGTCGAGATTGAGGCGCACCACGTCCTGCAGTCCGGCTTGGTTGTGCCTACGACCGACACGCTGCGGCATGAGTCCGTTCTGCTGGCGTGGTTGTCAGAGCATCGGCCGCTGGTTCTCTGCGGTCCGCCCGGATCGGGTAAGACGATGACGCTCCTGGCGGCGCTGCGCGCGCTGCCTGATCTCGAGGTTGCGGCGCTGAACTTTTCGTCGGCGACCACTCCCGAGCTGATCCTCAAGACCTTTGAGCAGCACTGCGAGTACCGCAAGACGCCCAGCGGCGTGACACTGGCGCCGACGGCGGTTGGCCGCTGGCTCGTCGTCTTCTGCGACGAGATCAACTTGCCTGCCGCCGATCGCTACGGCACGCAGCGCGTCATCGCATTCTTGCGTGGGCTCGTTGAGCGCGGCGGCTTCTGGCGCGCGGCTGGCCACCAGTGGGTGTCCCTTGAGCGTGTGCAATTTGTCGGCGCGTGCAATCCACCGACCGACCCGGGTCGCGTTGCGCTCTCGCAACGCTTCCTGAGACACGCGCCCGTCGTGCTCGTCGACTACCCTGGAGCCGAGTCGCTCCGGCAGATTTACGGCGTGTTTGCGCGTGCTATGCTCAAGGTGCAGCCGCAGCTCCGCGCCTACGCCGAGCCGCTGACCGGCGCCATGGTGGACGTGTACGAGGCCTCGCAGAGGCGGTTCACGCCGGACCAGCAGGCACACTACGTGTACTCGCCGCGTGAGCTTTCCCGGTGGACGCGCGGCATGTACGAGGCGCTGGCGCCACTGGAGTCGCTGGACCTTGACGGGCTTGTGCGGCTGTGGGCGCACGAGGGCCTGCGCCTCTTCCAGGACCGCTTGGTTGACGTTGGCGAGCGGCGCTGGACGGATGACAAAATTGACGAGGTCGCCAGGAGCCACTTCCCCACGGCCAACATTGCCGTGGCCCTCGAGCGGCCGATTCTGTTCTCTAACTGGCTCACTCGCAACTACGTGCCTGTCGGCCGCGAGGAACTGCGCGAGTACACGAAGGCGCGGCTGCGCGTGTTCTACGAGGAGGAGCTGGATGTGCCACTGGTGCTCTTCAACGACGTTCTGGACCACGTCCTACGCATTGACCGCGTGTTCCGCCAGCACCAGGGCCACGCACTGCTGATTGGAGTCAGCGGCGCGGGCAAGACGACGCTGGCGCGGTTTGTCGCCTGGATGAACGGCCTGGCTGTGTTCCAGGTCAAGGCACACCGCCGTTATACGGCGGCCGACTTTGACGAGGATCTGCGCGGCGTCCTGCGGCGCAGCGGGTGCCGCGGCGAGAAGATCTGTTTTGTCCTGGACGAGAGCAACGTGCTTGACGCCGGCTTCCTCGAGCGCATGAACACGCTGCTGGCCAATGCCGAGGTGCCTGGCCTGTTTGAGGGCGACGAACAGGCGGCACTGATGACTGCGTGCCGCGAGGGAGCGGCGCGCGACGGCCTACTGCTGGACTCGCCCGAGGAGCTGTACCGGTGGTTCACTGCGCAGGTCGCTCGCAATCTGCACGTGGTTTTCACGATGAACCCACCTGCGGCTGGGCTTGGCGCGCGCGCGGCGACGTCGCCAGCGCTGTTCAACCGTTGCGTGCTAGACTGGTTTGGCGACTGGTCCGACCAGGCACTGTTCCAGGTCGGCCGCGAGTTCACTGCGTCGGTGGACCTAGATGACCCCAGCTTCACAGCTCCCGACACGCTGCCCGTGGCCTATGCCGGGCTTCCAATGCCAGCGTCGCACCGCGACGTTGTGGTCAATGCCTTTGTCGCCGCGCACAAGGCCGTGCGCTCAGTCAACGCGCGCCTCGAGCGCCGTCGCGGCATCGTTGCGCATGTCACGCCCAGGCACTATCTGGACTTTATCGCGCAGTTTGCGCGTATGTACTTTGCCCGGCGCGATGCACTCGAGGAGCAGCAGAGGCACGTCAATGTCGGTCTGGACAAGCTGCAGGCCACGGTTGCTCAGGTAGAGGAGCTCAGGTCGTCGCTATCGGTTAAGCGCTCAGAGCTGGAGCGCAAGACCGCGCAGGCCAACGAGAAGCTGCACCAGATGGTGGCTGACCAGCAGGAGGCTGAGCGCAAGCAGGCAGCGTCGATTACGCTGCAGGGCGATCTGGCCGTGCAGAACGCGGCCATTGCCGAGCGCCGTGTTGTTGTGATGCAAGACCTGGAGCGTGCCGAGCCGGCGGTTGAGGAGGCCCAACGCGCTGTATCCAACATTAAGAAGCAGCAGCTGACCGAGGTGCGCGCCATGGCCAATCCGCCGGCGGCTGTCAAGCTGGCGCTGGAGGGCGTGTGCACGCTACTGGGCCACCGACAGACGGCTGACTGGAAGAGCCTACAGAGTATCATCCGCAGGGACGACTTCATTGCATCGATTGTCAACTTTGACACGGACAAAGAGCTGAGCAAAGCCCTGCGCGCCCACATGCGTCGGACGTTCCTTGAGAGGCCTGAGTTCAACTTTGAAACCGTGAATCGCGCGTCCAAGGCCTGCGGGCCGTTAGTCAAGTGGGCCATAGCGCAGGTCGAGTTTGCCGAGATCCTCGAGCGCATCGGCCCGCTGCGCGCTGAGGTCAGGAAACTCGAGGAGGAAGCCGAGGCCACACAGTTGCATGCAGCGACGCTGTCGCAGATGCTACACGAGCTCGAGGCATCGATTGCGCGGTACAAGGACGAGTACGCGCTGCTGATTGCCGAGACCGAGGCTCTCAAGGCAGAAATGGCGCGCGTCGAGGGCAAGGTCGAGCGGTCCATGCGTCTGCTCTCGTCTCTGAGCTCGGAGCGGCAGCGGTGGGAGACCGGAAGCGCAGCGTTTGGCGCGCAGATGGCCACGCTGGTTGGTGACGTTCTGCTTGCAGCGGCGATGCTGGCGTACGGTGGTTTCTACGACCAGCGCGACCGTGAGCTGCTTGTGCAGCGGTGGACAACGCAGGCTTTGAGGTCCGGCATCCAAGTGCGCAGCGACATGCGTCTGGCGGACTTTTTGTCGACGCCCGAGGAGCGCCTGGCCTGGGCTGCCAGTGGCCTGCCCGATGACGACGCACTGGCGATGGAGAACGCTGCGATGCTGGCGCACCACACGCGCTACCCGCTGCTGATCGACCCATCGGGCGGAGCGGCGGACTTCTTGCAGAAGCAGCTTGAGTACGAGGGCCGGACACTCACTGTGACATCGTTCCTCGACGACGCGTTTATCAAGCACCTCGAGTCGGCGCTGCGCTTTGGCAATGCCATACTGATCACTGACGTCGAGCATCTTGACCCGATTCTCAATCCTGTGCTGAACCGCGAGCTGCGGCGCACCGGCGGTCGTGTCCTCATCAGGCTGGGCTCGCAAGATATTGACTTCTCTCCGGCCTTCCGCCTGTTCCTGTCGACACGCGACGCGTCGGCGTCGTTTGCGCCGGACCTCTCGTCACGCGTGACGTTTGTCAACTTTACCGTGACGCGCGCGTCGCTGCAGGCGCAATGCCTGAGCCAGGTGATGCGGCATGAGCGGCCGGACGTTGACGAGCGGCGTCGCGACCTCTTGCGCCTTCAGGGTGAGTTCCGCTTGCGCCTGCACGCCCTGGAGAAGGAGCTGTTGAGCGCTCTCAACCGGTCGCAGGGCAATGTGTTGGACGACGACGCCGTAGTAGCCACGCTGGAGTCTCTCAAGACGGAGGCGGCGGAGATTGCACGCAAGGTCGCTGAGACCGACGGTGTCATGCGCGAGGTTGACCGTGTCACTGCGCAGTTCACACCACTGGCAAAGTCGTGCGCGGCTGTTTACTTCGCTTTGGAGCGGCTTTCGGCATTGCACGTGTTCTACCAGTTCTCGCTGGACTTCTTCATGGCTATCTTCCGCCAGGTCGTCGAGCATAACCCCAGGCTGAGAGGTGTTGCCGATGAGAGGGAGCGGCTGGTCATTTTGAAGCGCGATCTGTTCCAACTGATTTTTAGCCGGGCAGCTGTCTCCTTGCACCATGACAGCCAGCTGACCCTGTTGATGCAGCTGGCCCAGATTAAGCTGCGCAGTGACGAGGAAGAGGCTGAGGAGGATGAGGCAATGGTGGCCAGCGGCGGCGGTACTGGTGCTGCTGCGACGGGTGTGTCACAGGAGGCGTGGGCTAGACTCAATGCTGATATGGACTTTGTTCTGCGTGAGGCTACTGTTGCCACTACTGCCACCTCTAGCAGCAACAGTGGCGGGAACTCGCATGCTGGTGTTGACGGCCAGGGCATGGTACCACTGGTAAGCCTGCCTGAATCGCTTGAGAGTTTGGTTGACGAGGAGACGCACCGCTCTATCACTGCGCATGTGCAGGGACTTGGCTGGTGCCGTTCCTGGGTGCGGTCGCTGACTGATGATGACTCGGCGGTGTTGGCCCAATGGATGGAGTTTATGACCAGCTCTGAGCCTGAGCGCATTATGCCCCTGGACTCAATTGCCGAGCCATCGACGGCATCGGGTTCGTCTTTGACATCGTCGTCGTCGTTTGCTTCGGCCAGCATTGCTCTGCGCCAACTCATCATTGTGCGCCTTTTGCGCCCCGACCGCGTGCTTGTTGCTGTTACGCGGTTTGCAGCTGCTGTTTTCCAAGGCCCCACCCTCGAGTCTGTCGGCATGGTCGCCGAGGCCAACCTCAGGGAGATCACTGTGAGCGAGGTCGAGGCGACGACGCCTGTGGCGCTGTGCTCTGTGGCCGGACACGACGCTGCATACCGTGTGGACTCATTGGCGGCCGAGATGCGGCGCAGCCTGGTGTCCATTGCCATGGGATCCATTGAGGGATTCGCGCTGGCTGATCAGGCCATAGCGCAGGCGGCCAAGGCCGGCACATGGGTGCTCTTGAAGAACGTGCATCTGGCTCCCGCATGGCTTGGGCAGCTGGAGAAGAGGCTGCAGTCGATGCGCGCGCACGAGCATTTCCGCCTGTTCCTCACTATGGAGATCAACCCAGCGGTGCCTCTGAGCCTCCTGCGCAGGGCACGCACTCTGGTGTTTGAGCCGGCACCTGGAGTTCGCGCCAATCTGTTGGAGAGCCTGGCGGCGATTCCGCGTAACCAGCATCAGCAGCAGATGCCGGCGGAGTGCGCCAGACTGCACTTTTTGTTAGCCTGGCTGCACTCCGTGGTTATTGAGAGGCTGCGGTATGCGCCCCTGGGGTGGACCACGCGCTACGAATTTAGCGATGCTGACTTTGCCTGTGCCCTGACTACAATTGACTGTTGGGTTGACCGCGTTGCTGGCGGCAGGGCCAACGTTGATCCTGAGAAAATCCCCTGGGACGCCATCCGCGCCTTGCTTTCAGAGAGCATCTATGGCGGCCGTATTGACAACCAGTTTGACTCCCTCGTGCTGGCCACTTTTGTCAACAAGCTGTTTAGGCCGGAGGCGTACGGACACGGGTTTGCGCTGGTAGAAGATGCCAGCGGAGGTCTGCTGGCTCCCGAGGACGCTGTGAGGCTTGAAGATTTTATGAGCTGGTGCCATGAGTTGCCTGAGAACGAGCCGCCCACTTGGCTCGGACTGCCGGCCAACGCTGAGACGCTGCTGCTGGTGCAGAAGGGCCAGCGCCTTATGGCCGATACGCGCAAGCTGCGCTCGCTAATGGATGACGACGACGAGGATGAGGAGGTCACAGCAGACCACCACCACAACCAGCGGTCCCTGGCCGCTGGCGCTGCTGGCGACCAGGCCGAGCTGCCCGCCTACATGCGTCAGGTCGAGGCTCTGGCGCTGACCTTTACGCAGTCGCTGCCGGCTACTCTGCCCCAGCTGCCCGCAGACCAGCCCAGCGCTGCTTCGCAGACGCCACTGTACCGCGTCATTGGGCGCGAGAACACTGTTGCGCGTCAGCTCTTGGAGCGCGTGCATCAGGATCTACTGCACCTGCGCGAAACGTGTCGCGGCGAGCGCAAGCAAACCAACCATTTGCGGCAGTTACTGGCGGACTTTAACTCGGGTTCGATTCCGCGGTCGTGGGTATCCACGTACACTGTTCCCCGGGACTACACGCTTACGCGGTGGATGACAGATTTCGCTATGCGTCTGGACCAGGTGCGCGACCTGGTGCAGAGGATTCACCGGGCGGGACATTCGGCCGAGGAGCTCGTGCGCGAAATGCAGGTTAACCCGGTTTGGTTGGGCGGCTTGCTTTATCCCGAGGCCTTCATCACTGCCACTCGCCAGGCCGTGGCCAAGCAGCTCGGGTGCTCTCTGGAGGAGCTGGATATATCCCTTGGGATGCCCGGGCAAAACGTGGATGGCGGTTTTGCTGTTAGCGGCTTGAGGATTGAGGGTGCCATGTGGAGCCATGGCGTTTTGTCGTTGAATGATGGTGCGGTTGAGAGGTTGGACGCTTGCTGTCTGATGTGGACGCGCCGGAATGGTAAAGCCGGTGTGGTGGGATTGCCTGTGTATTTGAATGTTGACCGCAATGACTTGCTGTTTGAGGCTGCGTTGCCTATTGATTATGCCAATGGCGTGAGTGATTCCGCTGTTGTGCTGAGAGCAGTTGCTGTTGTTACGGCTTGAAAATTCATCGCGCTTAGCTGTGGAGTTTTCTCTTTCTTTCTTTCTTACCTTTCTATTATGTCATTTAATTGGAAAGCCCTTTATGTTTCCGATAATTTCGTTATTGTATGTGTTTAAGTCTTTATTTGGCCAATAAACGAAAACTTCGTCATATCCTATATCATTTCTTTGATGTTGATTTTGGCGGCATTAATCCACATCTGCTCAAAATTATGAAGACATTGAAGGTGTGTCTAGGATAATCTGGGCAATACAATTACTCGAGAGATGGCAGCCTAACTGGCAGTATGTTGATGTCTTCAATGATATTTAGCGGCTCTGTTCGAATGACAGCTCTACGCATATCTAGCCTTTTAAGACTACCGGAGAGTGGAGCAACTAGCTCATCGCCAGAAGATTCAGAGAAGCTAAGCAACGGATTGGTAGTTGAAAGTTCGGTCATGCTCAGATTGGACAATGAAATAATTTGGATCCTTGGAAGCCGAGCGATCAGCGCGGGTAACGCATCAATCAAAACAGGGATAAGTGGGAGGGGTGTCGGGTTCGGCCAATGTACTCTGTTAGGACCCAGGATCATTTTTAAAATGCGAATATTCCAAAATATGCAGAGAAAACGACTTAAATGTGGCCAAATAGCTTGTTCGAAATCTCGTAAAAAACATCAGCATATGGGTGATATTTCCAAATGGTATGCAAACTGATGTGGCCAAAGCCCTCGAATTTGGACAAGAAACGTTTAATGTGTCCATCCAAATGTTCCGCAAATTGCAGGGTGTGCACATACGAGGGATACGCGACAATGTCCAGAAGTTGAAGTCGCTCACGTAACTCAAAATTGTGGTGTGTTTGAAATTCAGGACAAGGAAGTGACAAGCTGCGGATCAAATTGGCCATTGATACTGGCAGCTCTGGCTAATGACCTACTGGCTGGAGCATCCCCAAGTTAAGGCTGTTGATGTTTGGAAGTACGCTGGCAATATGCTGGCGGCTTCCTCTGGGGACTCTATAGGACTAAGAGGTTTGGTAAGAACTAAGACTTGTCAGAGTCATTGTCTTGGCTGGAAGCACTAATTTAATTAGGGCCTTCAAATATGAAGACCAACGACAGCGCTTTGACACGCGTCCAGTCCAGAGCACCCAACCAAAGCGCCTCAACATCATAAATAAGCTTGCTGTCGATAATGTCCTATCACTGATTTTCAAATGAACCCTGGTGACAAGGTGGTGGCCACTGAGGAAAGCAAGGCTGCCAATGTTGTTGAAAACAGTTTGTGTCAGGTTTAGACTAAAAAATCTGTCGTCGTAACGCATGTCCATATTCTTTTTGTACCCTTAGCTAGAAACAAGTTCACGGATAACTCAAACTTTGAAACTTCTCTCCACTGGCAACAGATATGTAGCAAAAACAAGTGCTTTACAAGGTTGCTGTCGTAGACATCAACTGTATCTAATGCGTTATGTATAATTTGCGTTAAAATGAGAGTGGGAAGATTAGCGAAATCGACCACGATTAGAAAAAAGGAAGTATAAAAGTTAACAATTGCAATGAACTAAATACAAATAAAAAATTTGCAAATGAGTTGAAGTAAAAACAATTGAAAAAGGGTATGCAAAATAAACCAAAGCATTGTGTTCCTGCATCAAAATACATACAAAAAATTGGGTTGCGCATTCCAAGTGTGCTGCAAATCTGATCCAATGTGATTTTAGTTTAGACGATTGTGCAATACTAAAGGGTTCATTTCTAAAGTTTCAGTCATATCGTACTTTAATAACTGCAATAAATAAGTGTATGTACAGTAATTTTATTTTTGCCTTGTTATTTGGCAAAGACAAAGAAAGGTGCGCTGAGAAAAGTGCCGTTTAGAGTAATGCCATCTAAAAAACATTGCTGCGCAAATAATAGCTGTTTATAGCTAATAGACCTTCGAGTGCAAAATGTCGTTGGACGCTCGGAGATATTTGCAACTGGTTGTCATGTCGTGGGTTTGGTACATGCGCTACTCTTTCTAGCCATGCCCGTGTTGTGATTTTGTGAGGAGCCCATCCAGACGCTGGTGATCCAAAAAGGTATACGGGTAAACCCCATCCTTCTTCTATTCCGCTGCCTCTGATTTCAGGTCTTAGGCGTGTCACCAGCCGGATACCTATTGAACAAATGTTCTGTGGGCCCCCGTATATACCACATAACTGTCGATTCCGGGTCTTAAAGAATGAACCAGCCCGATCGTTAGTATAAGGGTGTTCTTTAGGTCCCCTTATATACCCAGACATCCCAGACATGACATTGATGAGACCAGTCGCAGATATCTTACCGAGTGTTTACTAGACACACTCACATTATTTTTTTGTGATGCGCAGACGAGCGTAGCTGTGGCAGATGTGGCTATAAGACAAAGGCCAGTATAGTGCAAAAGATGACGCTGCGCGAGAACTGCTGTGTATGTGTGTGAACTCCTCCCACAAAAGCTGCGTATTGTGGACCGATCCCCCATGTTGAAGCCAAAATCGACGCCGCTGTGTGTGTACCGTAGTAGTGATATTGTAATGTTAAAAATGCGTGCGTGCGTGTGTATTGAAAAAGGTGGTAGTATTTTAGAGGAAGTGGCGGTTGTTGGGAGGAAGATAGGGAACCAAAAACTATCTTGGGAAGTGGGGGCTCTTTTTATATGAAATGAGATACTCGAATGGATGAGGAGAAAGGCAGCAAAAAAGGCCCTGTCGGTTGAGAAAAAGAGATGGAAAAATGAAAAATGCAGTGGGTTCTTGTGTTCCGCCAGCCTGAAATATTTTTTGCATTCTTTTTTGCACCAAGAGGCTTGTTTCGGTTAATGGAACACCCCAAAGCTGCCGGAAAATTTTACAAAAATATTCCCATGTGCTTGAAAAACAAAGTGTTTTCAATATTGCATCGTTTATGCCGGGAAATAAAGTGAAAATAACCAAGCCATTTGCAAAATACAAGCATGCGGTTGGCCATTTTTGCAAGCCGAGCAATAAAATTATTTGTTTTTTATGAGCGAGGATTGTTCCAAAAATTAACATGTACATTTAGTGAACCGGGTAAGAGACCCAACATGAAACACAAACAATTGATATTTGAACAGACAATTGATGCCTCCAAAAAACAAGCACACTGTTCCATGGCAGAAAAATAAGGGGTGAGTATAATACATGTTGCATTTGTTTACGGAAACTAATATATTTTTTATTTGCCCACGCTGCCCATTTGCTGCGAAAAAAACCCAGAAGCAAAGAATTAAACACTATACATTTTTGTTTGTATTCATTTGTATTATGCCAGAATAGCGAATAATGTATTTTTCTTATAAACAAACAAGCAAAACGAATGCGCTGTTTAGACCAAACGGAAAACATTACACATATAAAGCTGCCCAACACAGTAAGTCATTTGATTCAGCTGTTTTCTGGGTTAGGGCTGTTAGTTTTGTTTGTTGTGATTTTCAGTGACTGGCTGAAAAATAGTTACAATGTAATGGTCACGCGGTTACTTGGATTCTACAATTTTCAAAATAGAAAACATCAGTCAGAATGTATTGTGCAACCGCTTTTTGAATATATCAAAACATAACAAAAGTTGTACTGTGTTTTTGTGACTGGCACATATCTACGTAATAATTTTTTCTGGAATATATTGATTCAAATTGAACATATTTGTTTTAACTAATTTCTTAAAAAATCAATGTCAAATTTAAATTTAAATTTTATAATGGATTTTAGTCATTTGACTGTGGAAAATACAATTGTGCGCAGTGTTTTTTCTTACAATTATTTTTAAAGAATAATATTTAATAAGGCCAGAAAAAAACGGCAAGCGACTCTACATGTCAACTAATAAAAAATATTTTCCCATCTCTATGCTAATTTTTTTAACGGCAATAATGCTGTATTTTCAATATTTTGAATAAAACATACCCGCACCATTTTTATTGTCATTATAATGTTGGTAATTGTATGCAAAATTAAAGTATAATAATGCCAAGTTATTATAAATTCACTACATAAGACAGCCGGTGAAACAATTGTTTATTTTTAAATGGAGTTGGCATGTACATAAAACTCATCGGAAGTGCAAGTGGCATTGGAAATAAAGGATATAGCGGCATAGGTAAACCTTGAAGTAACAAATGTCTGGTGGAAACATAATCAAAAAAGCTTATGTTGAAAGACAGGCTTTTTATTAAGGTTAAAAACAGAGCTAACTGGGCATATTTACTATAATGTAATTGACTCTTCAGAAGAACACAGCATTGGATTCAGAGTCGTTGGAAAGCCCAATGTAAATGATGAGTGTATTTATTTGATTTCTCATAAAGTGTCATGGGGAATTTAAACGCAAGTTAGTAATAACAAAAGCGTGTGGCTGTTTAGTTACAAATGTGAATTTTTTGATTGTATTATTTTCTGTACCGAGGTTTTGAATATTCAAGCGGTCGACTGTTGTCGATTAATCTCTAATACTGCGTAATTACTGCTAAATAAATATTTTGCTCCAAAATAACTTTTTTAAGTGGCATTGTAGCGGGAAATTGGCCGCAAATAATGCGCATACTGAGGATAAACGTTGCACGTAAGCCAATTGTCACCAAAAATGTTTGGTTCGTACAATTTCTATTGTTTTCAATATGTTTGTTGTTTTGATTTTTTAGGCTGTAATATAAGAATGTGAAAATCATCCAAATTCAAGTAGGTTTGTTTATTTGTCTTGGCAAATCCTTCTGGATCCACTGCTGCCACTGCCGCTGCCCACTCAACGCGATTGATTGTATCATTTAGACTGGTTTTTTTGCATTGTTGTCATGAGTTTCCAGAAAAGAACCAGGATGCAAAATAATTGGGGACTGATTGTCAATCCTCATGGTTCACTTTTATTTAATAAATTGCGATCACAAATTCAGTTTTCTTTTGTAATCAAGTTAAATTCAAAGAAAAAGACAAAGAAAAAGGGAAAAAGGAAAAGAATGGAAAGTGCTAAAAAGGCTCAAAAAGAAGTGGTCAGACTTTGCATTTGATTTCGTTCAGTTAGTTATTTTTCTTGTTCGGAAGGGGGTAAATTACGAGTCAAAAAAAACTAGTAAATAACCCCCCAAATTTTCCCTTCCATTTTCTGCTGCTGCTGCTGTTTTTTTCTTCCCTTTCCTTTCCTCTCATTACATACTTTAGAACCTTATTCTGCTATTCTGCTATTCTATTTTTATTTTTATTTTTATTTTCCTCATCTCGCGTGCCATTCTATCATCACAGTTTTAACTTTATTTTTAGTTTTTACATACTAGTCACATTTTTTCTCACACTCTCCTCTCTACAAGAATACAAAAAATTACAATGAGACCACAGCTTCTCGCCAGTCTGCTAACAATAATGGCAACGAGCTACGCAGACATAATTCTCTCCGTGGCACCCGCTAACAACATGAATGACTACCTCTCAGTGCTCTCCTCCGCCTGGCCCAAGCTCCAACCACAGCTCAACAACCACCTTAAGCTCGCTCAGGAGCAAGTACCGGCAGAGTACAGCTACCTCCTGAAGCTCCTCAGCGTCACCGCTGTGCCGACCAAATATGACTCTGGATGGGCTCATAATTTTGTGAATAATGCGCAGAAAATCGGGCCTACGACGATTCTCGCTGATGAGATCCCGGGCGCTGATAATGGCGAGGAGTTTAAGCCGACGAGAGTTGTGAGTACACATGCGGGGTCAGTGGCTACTGTGAATGTGCCGGTGGCGAGGCCGACTATTGTTGTGGCTATTAATGGAAATGCCGCGAGAGTCATGCACAATGCGGAGACGGTGTCTTCGACAAAGAGTGTGGGCAAGTCTTCGGAGTCTGATGACGAGGATGAGTCCGAGGAGGAGAATGATAGCTTGGGGGATGAAGAGGAGGTTGAGAGTGGATCTTTTAACTCTGGAAAGAGGTCGTCATCTTCTAGTACTTCGGGTGCCGATGGGTCGGTGTGGGATGTCTCGAGAGTGTCCAAGGCTGTGCTTATTAGCGCTGCTGTATCATTAAGCACATTGTTCTAACTGGCTACAAACACCTCTGTTTTTTTGTTTTATGGTGGATAAACAAAAATGAAAAATGAAAGTAATATTATATTTTCATCTTTTATTTTTTAAGACTCATTTTTAAATTAATTCAAGCGTTTTTCAGACATTATTGTTTACTTGGACATTGTTATGTCAGCATGTATGGATTCAATATATGCACATGTATCCTTTTTATTTGTAATAAATGCTTAATCAATTTAAGCCCTAGCGCAAAAAAAATTAAAGTCACAATAGAAAGTCGATTTCCTGTACATTGTGCGGCATAAGTGTGAGAATAAATTACATTATGATTTAACATCATTTGAACAACAAAAAACATTGATTAAAAGTTGCAGGTATTTTTATTTGAATTATTTAGTTGTAAAGTCAGACTATATAAGAGAAGAATGAGGCTACAAATATACTATAAACTGACATCCTTCCCCCAGTGACTAGCAACCTAAAAAGTGTTTAGAAACTAGTGGCAATAGACCACTATGGTTGACGATATTAATCAGTTCGCTGCTTCTTTCAAAGAAAAGAAAAAGGGACAGGTGTATTCTTATGCACACGCTTTGGCTTTGGCTTGAGCAAAGCCTCGGGTGTCGCTGTAGACTCGGGTTAAGCCAACTTTGGCAATGCCTTTCTGTGCAATAAACGGGGAGGACGATTGCCTGTAAGCAGAGCATTAAGAATGATTCGAAGGTTCAACATGGCAGCTATGTCGCGATTATTCCATTTTCGTCTGCCTGATGGCACTTTTTCGCCATCCTTGATCTTGGTTCCGTCAGGCCTGAAGCTTTGCAAGCAGTTTTCCATTGTGCACTGGAGCAAGCCATGTCATAAAATTTGGGGAGGTTTTTCTACTGCCGGAATTGTATTAATGCCTGTTGCGGCTATCTGCTCCTGCTGACCATTCTTCTGCTGCTGACTATTCTGCTGGTCCTGCTGCTGCCATTGCAACGTGTTACTTGTGCTTGGGATTCTTCAGACAAATAGATCATCAATTTTGTAAAATTTCTTCATCCTGCTCTCACATGCTGGACAAAACGTTGAAGTGCAATGCTCGTCGATCAAATAAACAGTGAATCCCTGGCCTATTAGCATCTCCCACAGCCCCTTGCCACGAATTGGCTCATGGTAACAGGTCGTGCCTGGGTCTAATTACCAAGCATTTGTTTTCGCCTTGGCGAGCTTCATAGGATCAAGCTGGAATACTTTTTTTTCGTTTTCGCGGATCCGACGAAAAACACGTTTACGACGCCTTTTAGCCTCATAATTTTTGGTATGGCTGAAAGTCTTCCTCATCCTTTTTGTAATTTATGTTATACCCCAGACAATAGAACATATCCTGTCGACTGGTATCACAGAGAACTGATTTGTCAAAAACATCGAGCTACTCGGGAGGAGTCTTCTTACTGTGGGGCACAACATTGGCAAGTTTTCCGGCATTGCTGTTGCTGTTATTGTCGTTGTCGTTGTTTTAATGGCTGTTGCCATTGCCAGCATCACCAGAGCCTTTCTTAGACCATGCAGTCCTCTCAGCCTTGATACTCTTCCTCTGTATGTTTGCGGGTGAGTCTAGTAATATGGTAATTGCAACGCCATCCGTACGAATGACCCCTCCGAACTTGTATGGTTTATTGTCCTTTTGAGTATCGAGCGAGAATGGCCAACGAGATATATCACAAAATAGGGACTAAATTTCCTCTAGCGGCTTGACTAAAAGCTCACTCATAGGCGGAATCTTGGGGAACCCAATATCCAAGCAAAGACTAGCCTTGTGCAGCGCTCTGAGTCGGCTCTTTATGACGGACAGAATAAACTTTGCAAGAATGGTCTTGTCGATTGTAGTAAACCCCGATACAATAGACGTCCTCATCGGAAAGAGTGAAATTGTCTTCACAGCCTTGTTGGGATTTAAAGACTGGAACATCTCAACAAAAGCCCCAAAATGGTTTACTGGCTCGGCTACAGAATTATAATTTAGTTCCTTGTCGCCAAAACTGTAGCCCTCAGGGTATGCGCCAAAGAAGCTCTCAATTGGGCGCGCCATCCTGTCGCGGAGAATAGGGCCGGAAACGTGCTTAGTGTCGATCAGCTTGCTGGCTCTGCTGATCGTAGTAGACAGTATATCTCTCTTTATCTTTCCCGCCGGAATTCTGATATCCTTACTAATGCATTATTGTATTTGTTTTTTTGGTATGACCGCCCTCCTCCGTAAATGTCTTGTATCGCCGTTCAGTTCCTTTCTTTATGTCAAATGTTATGTCGACAATATGCTTCAACTGCTTGTTAAAGCACTGAGACACATGGTATTTATATGGTGCAAGGATTGTTGTATCCTCGTAATTAGTAACATAGGCCGCGCCAATGAGATGTGGGCACTCAAACTTGATATCCTTGGCGAACGTGTGCCTGTGCTTGTTAACGAGTTTGCCGTTTGCATTTTCAGGTTGTTGCTTCATGGTTTGTTTTATCTCCAAGGCAAAGGGCGATGAAACACTCCTTAAAACATTGATTTAAATAGTCGACGATATTAAACCCCTCATTATCTAACTCTTGTAAAAATACATACTGTGCGAGCTCATATGTGGCTGTTGTAATATGGTGGACGGTAACGACATGCTCGCGCAGAACTGGTAGAAAGTAGGGACAGTGCATTTTGCAGAGGCCGAGGAGGGCCTCCACACCGATGGGGATAAAAAATAAAAAATAAAAAATAGAATGGTAGAACTATTTTACAAAGAGTATATAAATATATTTTCCTAAACTAAAACTAACTAAAAAAAGTCTCATCTATTTTATCGTGTTCGCGAGGGATTATTATATCCAACGCATCCAAAACAATAACACGCACCGGCACTGGCACTGTGATTGGAATTGTCACTAGCACCAGTACTAGTTTAAGTAGCTAAAAAGCCCAAAGTCCAGCGCCCTGCTTCCCTGCTATTTCCAGCCAGCAATGGTGCTTAGGAATTGGTGTGGGTACAGGGAATGCTAAATACTAGCCATTTTATAGACTTTTTTATAGCATTTTCCAATAAACAAAAACCCTAAAAACCCCAATCTAAAATATTTGAACCCCAAAATTTTGTATGGAATCGCTCTACAGAATCACTCTATGGAATTATTCAATGGAAAGGTCATTTTTTTAATTCAGGGAATGTCGAGAAACTTTATGTTTTAGGCGCTAAAACCAAATCATTTATCCATTTCCTCCGAAAAAAAGAGTATTTTCATTTTAGGCAGGCAAAAAAATGGAGAAATGAAGTATCTTTTCACCCCCACGTTTTTCATCGTGCATTACACTGTCTTATTGTTGACTTTGTGTACCTCCTCAAATTTCCCACACAAATTATCACCCCCGCACACACATGCATAATTGCACCACTTTTTCTTATTGCCTCACGCTTATAAAAATTATAATTTAAAAATAACAAGGTTCTTATTTATCTTTTATTCCAAGTATTTTTTTGAGGGTTTTTTTTTAAAATAAATAAAGGAAACACATGTATAATTTTTTTTTTATAAAATATAGTAATTGAGGTTGATCAGATGTTTTCAAAGAGGGGAGGGAAAAATCAAAACAGGTAAAAAAAAATTATATACATTCTTAATTGAAAAAACCCTGATCTCCCATCTTGTCTATTCCCCCTCCCACCCCACTATTTATGTATTAGGAAAAATCCCCGAAACCAAAAAAAAACCGTTTATTTTTGTTCTTTCATTTTCCTTAATTTTTTTTCTTTTTTTTCCCTTGTCATTTGCTCCTTAATTGCTAATTGGTGTTTTTTCTTCACATTTTAGCCATCACGTCAATATGACAGGCACTGCGTCAATACGCACAGCAGCACCAACAGCAGGCTTTGTATGCACAACCACAGGCATATACTCACTGTACACCTTAACAACAATATATTCAAACAACATAGGCAGCAGCATCAGCGGGCCTTGGTCTCTGTTCAACGATGAATTCCGTAGCAAACTCCTTTGGCCGCTGGTTCTTCAATCAACCATCGGTGTATCGCTCTTAGTGCTGGCCCTTGGCATCCTGCAGTCAATACGCAGTGTTAGCGGTAGCGATGGGTGGCGGGTGCTCGGATCCGCTGGGCGTTGTGCTGCGCTGCCAGTGCGTCGGCCGGCACGAGCCCATGTGGAGATGGTCGATAATCGCATGCGCACAGGCAGTGTGATAATATCCATGACCCTGGCGCAGACGTTGATGTTTCTCGGGTGGTGGCAGCACGAAAGCAGCCCCAAAGACGACCACCCAGGATCTCTCCCTGGTTTCCTGCTGCTTCTGCTACTGGGCTCGGTGGTTGCATTGGCAATTCAGGGTGTGTTTTTCCAGATGTATCTGTGCAGTGATCGGCTGCGGCATCTCGGGCTGTTTCCCTGGGTGGCACCTGGTTTGGCGGCGGTGCAGGTGCTGGTGGGCAGCGGCGAAATGTACTTTTCGTTCTTCACGCCCCGTAAGGGTTCTGTGCCGATGGTTGGCCGACAGGCGTCCGTGCGGTCGAACATGCTGGTCGCCACGACCGCGCTTAGCGCAGCGCTGGTTCTGGCATATGCAATGGTCCAGCAGCGGCCGTACTTTGTTCGCCAGTCACAGGACTCCAATGTAAACAGCAATAGCGATGCTGCTGCTGCAGAGCCAGTTTCTGGAACTGTCGCGGTGTCCATTAGTGGCGATGAGGGGCAGGACGAGCAGGAGGAGCGCACTCCGTTGACGCCGCCACGCACGGTTGATCAAAATGATCTGGTGGACACGCCCGAGTACAGCGCGTCGTGGTTCAGCCGGCTGACGTTCTCCTGGCTGAACGACTTGCTAGCCAAGGGAGTCGCGCGGCAGATTGGCCCCGAGGACCTGTACAAGCTGGACGCCATGGATATGCCGGCACCAAACTGGAGAAAGTATCTGGGCCACCACGGCAAGTCCGGCCGCCGCTCTTCCCTGCTGATCGCTTTGCTCTGGACCTTTGCGCCTGAGCTCGCGCTCCAAGGCGTCTTGGCATTGGCATCTTCGGTGCTGCATTTCTCAGGGCCGTTTTTCTTGCAGCGGATCCTGCGGTCAATCAGTATTCTGGGCAACAAAGAGGCGACAGGCGACGGCAAAAAGCACAATAGGCACGATGCACGTGGCGAGGTGAGCTTGAGGGGGGCGTATTTGGATGCATTTGGGCTACTGCTTTTCACCGTGTTGGTGTCGCTGCTGTCGCAGCAGGCGATGTGGATTGGGAGGCGCGTGGGTATCCGGCTTAAGGGCGTGCTGGTCGGCGAGCTGGCTGCAACTACACTGAAGCGCCGCGGAAAGGGGGGCTCATCGGAGGACAAGGCAGACAGGGAGGACAAGCCCAAGGCCAGCGATTCTGTCGATGGCAGCGAGACTGCTGCTACAGACTCTGACCCGGCGGCGGCGGCGGCGACCGCGGCTGACGGCAAGATCGTCAATCTGCTGACGGCGGACTTCCAGCGAGTATCCGAGGTATCCGCGTACCTCGACAGCATCTACTCGATGCCTTTGATGCTTCTGATCGGGATCTGGTACATGTACGCGCTCCTCGGCATCTCTGCGCTTGTCGGGCTGTCAATCGCTATCATCTACGCGCCCCTGTCCAAGCACATGCTCCAGTACGTGAGCAAGATCGAAACCAAACTAAACGCACTCAGCGACCAGCGTGTCACGGCGATCACCGAGCTGCTGCAGGGAATCAAGACCGTGAAACTGTTCGGATGGGAGTCGCGGTTTTTGGCGCGCATAGATGAGCGGCGCGAGCGGCAGTTGGCGTATATGTGGCGGGTGCTGCTGTGTTGGGCGTACATAATGGTGGTTTCGACGTTGGCGCCGATGCTGGTGCTGATTGTTATTTTTGGCGTGTACGTTGTGGGGTTCAAACAGGTGCTGACGGCGGAGGTGGCGTTTACGGCGATTGCGGTGTTCCAGCAGGTGCGCATGGTGTTTGAGCGGCTGCCTGGGATGCTCAACTGGGTGGTGGGCGGGTATGTGTCGCTGGGCCGCATTGACGAGTACCTGCGCCAGCCGCAGATCCAGCGCTTGGAGGACCGCGTGGATGGATGTGGGTCTGGGTGTGGGTCTGGGTGTGGGTCTGGGTGTGGGTCTGGGTGTGGGTCTGGGTGTGGGTCTGGGTGTGGGTCTGGGTGTGGGTCTGGGCCTGGGCCTGAGTCTGAGCCTGGGTCTGAGCCTGGGTCTGGGTCTGAGCCTGGGCCTGGGCCTGGGCCTGGGCCTGGGTTTGGTGCTGGAATTGAGCTGGGCTTTGTGGGTGCCGATCTGGAATGGGAATGCGGGTCTCAAGCAGCCACCGCATCCGCCGCCCCAGCCGAGGACGCTGCCGCCCCAGCCGAAGGCTCCGCTGGCGAGCTGACGCCGCTGGTTGGCGGGCGCGTGCGCGACACGCAGTCGTACGCGACGCTCAGCCACGCGGCCAGCGCACCCGGTCGCTTTGGCTTGCGCAACCTCAACGTGCGGTTCCCCCGCGGGCGGCTCTCGCTGGTCGGCGGGCCCACAGGCGCCGGCAAGTCATCTCTGCTGGCGGCGCTGGTGGGCGAAATGACGCTCACGCGCGGCCACCTCCTCCTCCCCGTTGCCGGCCCCACACGCAGCCTTGCGCTCGGCAGCCGCACCGACTCCGGCATGAGGCTCGCAAACATCGCCTATGTTTCGCAAGAGGCGTGGCTGCGCAACGCAACCATCCGGGAAAACATCCTGTTTGGCGCGCCGTACAACGCATCGCGGTACGAGGAGGTCCTGCGTGTGTGCGCGCTGAAGGCCGACCTGCGGATCCTGGCCGCCGGCGATTTGACCGAGATCGGCGAACGCGGCGTGACCCTGTCTGGCGGCCAGAAGCAGCGCGTGGCTTTGGCGCGCGCAGTGTACTCTGAACGGCAGATTCTGCTTATTGACGATTGCCTTTCGGCCGTCGATGCGCATACTGCGAGGGTTATTTTGTCCGAGTGCCTGGTTGGCGGAGGGTCGTCGTCGGGGCTGATGCGTGGGCGCACGAGGGTGCTGGTGTCGCACCATATGGCGATGTGCCTGCCCCACTGCAGTTATGTCGCGATGATGCGTGGGGGCGAGGTGGTGATGAGCGGGGCGCCGCATGAGCTGCAGCAGCAGACGGGCGCCTTCTCGGACCTGGGGGCATTGTCCGCCACCGAGGCGCAGGCGGCCCCCGACGCCATCGGCGCCATCGACACATCCGCCACGCCCACCACGCCCATCACACCCGGCGCAGAACGGACCGAGGACGATTACAACGCCGAGCGGCTGCAGCTGGCTGCCACGCAGAAGGGCCTGGCCCCACCCAGCGGCCAGGCAGCGCCCGTGGGCGCGCTGGTCGAGGACGAGGAGCGCGAGGAGGGCGGCGTCAAGCTTGCGGTCTGGCTGGTGTACCTGCGGTCCTGCGGCAGCGGCTGGTACTGGGGCATATCGCTGGCCCTGATGGTGACGTGCCAGGCGCTTGTGGTCGCGCAGGACTACTGGGTGCGCCTGTGGGTGGCGGCCACCGGGGCTGGCGGCAGCCAGCAGCACTCGGCCGTGTTCTGGCTTGGCATGTACGTGGTCATCGGCGTTGCCGGCGTCGGCTGGCGGCTGGCGCAGATGCTCTTTGTGTACTCCGGCGCGATCCGCGCATCGCGCCAGATCCACACGCGGCTCCTGCGCGCCATTGTCCGCGCGACGCCGCGCTTCTTCGATGCGACGCCGCTGGGCCGCATCATGAACCGGGTCTCGCGCGACATGCAGGTGGTCGACGAGCTGACAATGGACACAATGGCGTGGTGGTTTATGGACATCCTCGCAGTGCTCAGCGTCTTTGCGATCATCAGCCTGGTTGTGCCGGCCTTTGTCCTGGTGGCCGGCGCCGTGTCGGCGGTGTACTTTGCCATTGCGCGCCACTACTTGGCCACGTCGCGGGAGCTCAAGCGGCTGGAGGCCAACAGCATGTCGCCGCTCCTGTCGCTGTTCGGCGAGCTCATCCTCGGCGTGTCCTCCATCCGCGCGTTCGGCGCAAGCCACTGCTACGTGCGCGAGGCCTTGGCGCGGATAGCCGCGCACAACCGCGCCTTCTACATGGTGTGGTCGGCGAACCGCTGGCTGTCCATCCGCATCGACGCCGCCGGCGCCTCGGTGTCCTTCGCCTGCGCGCTTTTTGTGCTTTCCAGCCTCGACTGGCTGGACGCGGGGCTTGCTGGCTTTGCGCTGTCGTACGCGCTGACGTTTTCCGACCACATGCTGTGGGTCATCCGCAACTACAGCAGCAACGAGCTGAACATGAATGCCGTCGAGCGCCTTGAGCAGTACACGCGCGTGCGCCAGGAGGCTGCGCTGCACACGGCGGCTGTGCTGCCGGCGGGGTGGCCGAGGAGGGGCGACGTGGCCATCGAGGATCTGCTCGTCGAGTATGTGCCCGGAGTGCCGGTGCTGCACGGCATTTCGCTGGCGGCCCGGCACGGGGAGCGCATCGGGGTCGTCGGGCGGACGGGCGCGGGGAAAAGCACGCTGTCGCTGGCGCTGCTGCGCTTCGTCGAGGCCGCGCGAGGCAGAATCACGCTGGACGGCGTGGATATTGCCGCCGTTGGCCTGGAGGACCTGCGGCGCAGCGTCACGATTATTCCGCAGGACCCGGTGCTGTTCAACGGCAGCATCCGCTTCAACCTCGACCCCTTCGGGGAATACCCGGACGCGCTTGTCTGGGACGCGCTGCACCGCGCGCATCTCACCCGACACGACCCGCCGCCCGGCAGCCAGGCAACCATCACAGCCGACTCCGCCGTGCCCATGGCCGGCGCGCGCACGCATGCTGGGGGCACGGGGGTCTTCGCTAGCCTTGATGCGGAGATTAGCGACAACGGCCACACGCTGTCCCTGGGCCAGCGGCAGCTTGTGGCGTTGGCGCGGGCGCTTCTTCGGCGCTCGAGGCTGATCATCATGGACGAGGCTACGGCGTCGGTGGACTTTGATACGGATGAGCGCATACAGAGGACTATTCGCGGATCCGAATTTGGCGATTCGACTTTGTTCTGCATTGCCCATAGGCTGCGCACGGTGATTGACTATGACCGCGTGTTGGTGTTGGATAAGGGGAGGATTGCGGAGTTTGACACGCCGTGTGGGCTGTTGCAGAGGGAGGCCGGGCTGTTCCGCGCGATGTGTGAGAAATCGGGCGAGTTTGAGCGCCTTTATGAGTTGGCCACAACGGGTGTGCAGAATTAGTAACCGGGGTTTTGAGGCGAGTATTTTTTATTATTATTTAATTTTAAGTTTAGTTGTATCGGGTATTAAATTGCCTTGTTGCTATTAGCCGTGCATCTCTGATTTCAAATTTTATACTAGGGCAAGCCTATGATACAACAACAACAACAACAACAGCAGCAGCAGCAGCAGCAGCAACAACAAAAGATAAATAAAAAGATAAATCTATATGAAAAAAATACGCTCACGGCAAACGAATAATGATAGATCGATAAAAAAACGAATGCAAATATTTGAAGAAAAAAAAACATTTGTTTAAATACAAGTGGGAGTGAGGTGAATTGGCCCTACTACGATACATGTTTATAATATGTTTTACTTTTAAATAATGCTATACGATACGACAAACGGGTGTATGTGTCTGCCACCAGCACCGGCACCAGCGCCGGCACCAGCGCCAGCACCAGCGCCAGCACCAGCATCTACATCCAAACCAGCGCCGTCACCGCCAAAAATCAGAAAGCCAGACAAAGGCCACATGAACATACACTACCATCCCACAAATCCAACGGCAACCACAACCTTAGCGCCAGCATCGCATACCGACAAAACTTATTCAGAGTCAACATTACCCAATAACAACCTTAACCAATGCCGCGAGACCTCATGCAGAACCAAAACAATTGTCGCCGTGGTAGTCTCTGTATCATTTGTTCTAACCATACTTGTTTTCTATCTTGTAAAAAAGATAAAAAAAAGCAAAAGTAAAAAAATGAGCCAAGAAAATAATCCAAATCACACAGTATCCACTCTCCCTTTAATTCACCCTTTGTACTGTCCATTTCAAAGCATAGATAGTTTTACTCTCCTCAACCCCACCACCACCACCTCTTTTTCTTCTTTGTCTTCGTCTTCTTTCTATCAATTTAGCTTTTCGGATAATAGATCTTTACATAGTTTTGACAGACGCCCCCCAAGCACCACTTCAATAGACGCACTCGTAGATCCAGTAATGGCTTCCGGAAGTCCTCATCCATTCAACACACAGAATCACCGCAATAACTGCCAGTCGGCGAGAATACCGCAGACATATGACTCGTTTTCAGTACTGCCACCGCCATTGCCGCATAGAGCCCGCTCCGACCAACACAATTTAGAAACCCAGCAACAACAGCAGCCACCACCACCATTGCCCAATCGACCCCGGACCTACCAAACTTACCAGCAACAGCAGCAACATACACAAAGAACAACCTTGATACCACCACCTCCATTGCCTCCTAGAGCGCCAGCAGTAGCAGGAGCAGCAGCGCCGACGCTGCCGCCTAGAGATAGATCAGCTGCTTACCACAATATACCAGTGGATACTCCGCCGCCATACATTGACCCTATTGAAGAAGCCACCACAGCAGCAGCAGCAGCAGTGGGCTTTGGGAGCAATGCCCACCAGGATAGCAGCGACGACGATACCCCTCTGGGCATTGTGCAGAGAAATTCAAATAACCAAGAGTGGACACAGAGCCCACCGCCATACCATGCTATTGACTCGAATTTTGCTCGATACTGATGACCACATATAATTTTTCTTTTAAAAATATAAATAAACCCTCCCCCCCCTGATAGTCATGAGGAAATCTATTTTATTTATAGATTTTTTTTCATTTTCTGTTTTTTCTTTTGTTATTTAAAATATGATTTGTTTCATATTTATTTTCCAAACTTTATTACTTACATCCCAAGCCCTTCAATTGCCAGCGCCTGCACAAGATATGAGAGCGCCACTTCCTTGATCATACCAGTGCCGCTGTCAGCATCAGCAACAGCAGCAGCAACAAAAGAAGGAGTTCTTCTGTCAAAGCTAAACATATTGGTTGATTTAGTAGATACTGATAATTCAGAGCCCTTGCACGCCGAAATAAGCACATTAGCGCCCGGCCCATTTGCATCCCCACTGTATTCATCAAACCCCCCGACACTGGCACTCTTTGACTTCGTGGTATCTGTGGCTCCCGATAAAGCAGCCAAAATCGGCTCCAGAACCTCATGAATACCCGAAAGCGGCCGCTGCTTCATACCCTGAGACAACATTTGTGACTGCTGGGACTCAGAGTATTCGGTTTGTCGAGATCCAGAACTAATTTCAGACAACTCATTGGTACTGTGCGAAGTGTGAAGAAGGTGCGTGGCTTTGTCCGGGATTATCTCTTGGTGTTCGGGGACTGCCTCTGAGCTGAATCGCTGCTGCTTGTGCGCATTCAGTTTGTAACCACCTGGTTCATCCACGCAGTAAGAGGTTGCGGTAATGACGATTGGTTCTGGATGGTCGCTCTTGGTGCTGTCAAGTCTGTTCTCGATCAATGCACTTGGATATAAACCTAATGTCTGCAAACCACTGTCGCTGATGCCTGGATTGTCGGATTGCAATCTGTGTGTCTGTGATGGTTGGCGAGTATGCATGGTGGTAGCAGTAACAGCTGGTTTAGCAGAGCTAGAAGCGGTATCAGAACTTTCGTGGGTTTCAAATGAAGCTGTATCTCGGGACGTCAGGTCAGTATCCGAATGACACAGGGAGGGCAAGGGGTCCGGCAGGCAAATATCCGTCGACATCCTCTGCCTCAGTTTCACAAGTGACACCACCGGATGCACACCACCTTGTGAAAACGGCAACATATTAATATCCGCAGAATTCCTCCCCGGCCACAACCAAGAAACAAACGGATTCGGTAATACCAGACCTGTTCCCCGATAAGTCTCCACGAACTCGCTTTCCTCTGGGATTATCTCTCCATCTTGTTCGAACCGCAAATACTCATTCTGATACGAGGCGATTCGCCAAAGCTGGAGCTTCCGCAAACACATTATAATCACACCGGTGACATTCGATCCATCAAGGCAATGCAAGTATAGAGGGGATTTTGTCGGATCCGTAACGAGCTCCAGACATTGTGAGACTATGGTGTCAGTTACTGTGACGTTTTCGTTCGGCGAGTCTACTGGTATGATTATTCGGGTGATCCCAAGGCCGCTGCAAAATTCACTCAGTAAGGTGTCTTGGTCGCCAGGAATCAGGGACACGATTGTTTTGAGCCGCTGGCGACGAAGGAATCGGAAATTGCGCGGTTTCGGGTAGCCGCCCCGATACAGTTGATTCTGCACTCGCTCAAACCTATAGGGAGGTATCAGTGGATCAATAATATCAGACATTCTCTAAATTTGTTGTCTTCTTGTAAAGTTATTTTTACTTAATGTACAAAAAGCATACGATTAAAAAATAAAGAACAATGAAGGAATACAGAATCACTTTTGTTCATAGTAATTTTCTTATTTTATGACCCAATTTTTTGCCTGATAATCTTGCTGTTGAAAAAATACAATGTTTGTGGGGGTTTCTATCACGTGGACACGTGTAAAGAAGGTGGGGGGATACACACACACAAGCCGCCTATTTTCACGAATGCATTAAAATCAATTATAGTACAGTCCAGAATACAATATGTTCACAATGTCATTCAATTTTTAATTAAGAATCCAGGAAATATACATATTAACAATGCTTGTTTCAAGTTTGCCCCAATATTAGTTTAAAAATAAACATGGCACATTACACATTACACTGTTTAGCTATACTTATAATTATATATTGTCTCTCTGCTCATTGAGATGGTATTAAAAAGTATGTAAAGCTATCTAGAAAAGAGCGGTGATCACGCCGGCAACAACGCCAATGGACAGAATACCCGAGGCAATGCTGCTGGTGCTTGCTGCGCTCGAGCTCGAGCTCTCCGAGGAATTGGACTTGCTACCAAAAGACGTGGGGTGGTTGTCCGAGGCCTCCTCACTATCCTCCGACAGCTCATCCTCATCTGACTCAGCCTTGGACTCAATTTCAGTCTCAGTCTCAGTCTCGATGGGCTCTCCATCTTCAATAACCTCAGCGTCATTCGGGGCGTCTTCAAACATCTCGGGCACAGCGCTGCGCACGCCAGCAACAAAACCAATTACCTCATTGACAATAGCCGTGATTTCAGCGGCAACCGCGGACTTTTGCAAAGCCGATACAAGCGAGTTGTACTGACCCTCAACCTCCGTGGGAAGTTCCTGGACATCACCGATCAAGGAGACAATGTTTGCAGCCAATTGAGACGCAACCTTGGGGTCATTCCCAGCATCGAGCGACGCAAACAAAGAAGACATGACCTTCTCGTCTATTTCTTTCTGGTTGTCCTGGCCGTAAGCGGACATGAGCTTGGTCGCGGCATCACCTATCTGGGTAACAATTGGGTTGGTGCTGGACTCATTGAAGTCAAAGCTATCGGCAACGTTGTTGAGGATGACTCCAATGTCCGAGGGGTAAGTCTCACCGCGGGGAACGAGGGGCTGTGCATTGACAGCAGCCAAGGTGGATAGGGCCAGAATAGTGGCGGAGTGCTTGAACATCATTTTTAGAAGAAAAAGCGGGAATTTCAAATGGCTTAAAATGGTGTAGGTATAGGTATTGAATAAAAAAATCGTAATGTAATGTAAAACGTATACAAGAGAAGGGAATAAAAATAAAAAGAATGAGAGGAACCTCATGGCCCACAAAGACCATTTGAATGTGGATTATTTTTACATTTTTAAATCAGTGGAAAAATATTGATGATTTACTTTTCAATACTGTAAACACGTCGATCCAACAAAAAATCTGTAAAACAAATCTAGCAGCATTTTTTTTTACACTTACGGAAAGACAAAAATCAATAATCAGGTGAATATGCGGCAGCAAAATATATATATATATATAGCTGCACTTTCATAATAAATGTTCAGAAAATGTTAAAATACTACAATCCATCTGAAATATCTAAAAAAACATTTAAAAGAGCATTGCTGAAACACCTGTGCCAAGCGCAGCAAGAATTGTAGCACTAACAGACAGAAGCTTGAAACTGTCGGCCCCTGATGAGCTGGACTCAGCACCGGATTCCACATCATCCAAAAGATCAGACTCAGGGATTTCGTCCAATTCACCTAAATGCATTGTCTTGTTGGTAGTGGTAAAGTTGCTAATGCTTAGGTCAGCAGTCTCTGCAATCCACGAAACATACGCAGATACACGAGTGTAGAATCCAGCGGCCCCATCCGCACCACATAAGGCCTCCTTATTATCTTCGCCGCTTCCAAAGCTAGTCAACCCAATTAGCGCAAAACCGTCCAAACCGTTGTCAATGGACATAAGCAGTGGGCCTCCGCTGTCGCCATGGCAGGGTGACTTTCCAATCGGGCCTTCAGTACAGATCATTTTTGCCGGATTATACTCGCTTATGTACTTTCTGCATGCTTCCGTATTGCTGGTTTTCAAGTCCACCTTCATTAGCACATCAGCCTTTGTTCTGTTCAACTCTTCGGTGATACCAAAACCAGCAGCTTCTAAAGGCGTATCCAAATAGTAGTCTCCAGTGTACAGTTTTACCTTGGTGGCCACGCTGTCAGGAATAGTAGAGTTGAGAATAAGTAACGCAATATCGTCGGGTCCATCATCCAAGTTAAAATTGGGATGCGGGACAACCTTGATGACATCGTAACTACGGGTTGTTGACGGAAATTTTGGCACCGTATGCGTAAATTTAACGGTTACATCCTCTGGTGCAGTCATGTTTGTGGGCGTGTCGTAGACACAGTGGGCGGCGGTCAGAACGATATTGGGGGCAATCAGACTACCGGTGCAGTAGGTCCCACCAGTTTCAAGGTTGAAAAAGTCAATAAATGCAATAAACTTGTACTCGTCGGCGGGTGCTTGGACGCCACCGACAATGCGTGAAACACTGCGCTTAGATGGAGCCGCATACGAAAGTGTCCCAAGTACTGCTGCTGCAAGAAAAGAAAGACAATGTACGCGCATTATTATTATTGTTGATGATATTGTTTTATCTAGCTTGTGTATATGACGGTTAGTTCTGAAAAAGCTTTGTTGGTTTTAAAAATTAAAAGGGTTTAGTTAATTCTTCCAACTAGAAAAATAAAGGAAGAGAACAATAATTTTTTATCTGGGTTTTAAAAGCTGCTCGGCGCAGAAAATTTTTCAATAAAATACAATGAGAAACGCTCAATGACAAGCGATTTGCTCAGAGTGAATGTGAAGCAGCTAATTATTTGCCGATCTATAAAATGTCACTGATTTCCAATGGGCTTCTTGTGTTTATATACATGCCATGCATGATGTTTCTGTATTACACTGGTATAAACGGATTTTGGAATTTCCAGATATTTAAAGCGAAATTCTAGATTTTTAAGCGGTAGATTTCCAAAACTTGTTTTTATCCAGTTTTTTTAGCCTAAAAATCAGAAAGTCCATATTTTTGAAGATGCAGCGAAGTATCTAGTCTTTGTGTCTGAATGGTGCCTTGGTTGTGAGTTAAACATGACGCTTAAGGATGTAATTATATTCATACAATTCCGTCGCAGCTGCAACCACTTCAGCCGCTGCTGATTTTGTTGCAGCAGCACCCACCATCATTTCTGTTGCAACTAAAACTGCCGCCGATGACGCATCTTTTACAGAAAATGCACAGCAGTCTTAGCCAGTGGATGCCTATTTGCCCACAGTTTGCCAATACCATTTGGTGGATAAAGAAGGAAAAATGTTGGCCTAAGCGAAAGATTTCCCACAAGATGAAGCAGCAGCTGCGGGATGAGCTGGCTGAGCGGAATCAAAAGCAGTACATCAACACCCAGTCCACTGATAATCTCAAGCGCATTGCCAGGCTGAGTGGCTGGTCGCAGGGCAAGATCAAGCGCAAGATCAGACAGAGGATGCACAATGAGTTGACTGCGCAACAGAAGCAGCAGGAGCAGGTAGCCGCAACAGGAATTAATACAATTCCGGCGGTAGAAAAACCTCCCCAAATTTTATGACATGGCTTGCCCCAGTGCACAATGGAAGACTGTCTGCAAACCTTTAGGGTCGACGGAACTAATATTAAAAATGGCAAAAAAAGTGCCATCAGGCAGACGGAAATGGAATAATCGCGACATGGTTGCTGTGTTGAACTTTTGCATTATCATTAATGCCCTGCTTAAAGGCGAGCAGCCTCCCCGTTTTTCCTACAAAAAGGCATCGTCAGAGTTAGCTGAACCCAAGTCTACAGCGATACCCGGGACTTTAATTAAGCCAAAGCCAAAAGCAAAGCGTCTGCGCAAGAACTCATTTGCCCCTGCTTTTTCTCTTCAAAAGGAGTAACGAACTGATTAATATCGTCAACCATAGTGGTCTATTGCCACTAATTTCTAAACACCTGTCAGGTTGCCATGCAATTTGTGGGAAGGATGCCGATTTGCAGGATATTTGTAGCCTTATTTTTTGGTATAACAAACTATAGTGAATAAGAATCAAGATGATATTCACGCGAACCAAACAAAAATAGAAATATGCCTAAATTAATATATTAAATACACATTTTAGATTATGCGCACTCACATAGGGATGCGCTATAATTTTATTTAAGAGTGCCCAATTACAAGTATTTACAAATGCATATTCTTAGTGTGTAGATAGCTAAGAAAATGGGCCTCCTCTTGTTTTTGTATTTTGTTTACAAATTACAAGCAAAAGTGAAATACAACTCATAATTCAATTTTTTTCAGCTTAACGCATATCCTCGTTATTAAATTTACATTCAAAATGCTGGCAAGTATCTCACTACTATTAATGTTGCAAAGTTTACGTTTATTTAAGCACCAGATAAACAAAACTACAATAATATGATATATATATAAAAGCAAAAAAATGTTTGAATTAATTTAAATTATAACAGTTGCTCAAAAATACATTAATTCAATCCAAAAATGGCTCGTGGTTGGGCTTTAAATGGCCTCAGCTCATGCTCATGCATTGGCTTTTTTTTTACATTTTACCACGGGTGACACTTTCTGCTCTATTGGAGCAGCAGTCACGTTGCTAATAGTAAAGTTAATAGTTTCTAAACCAGAAACTTTGGCAATCCAATCGGCATATGGGCCCAGACGGGTAAAGTACGAAGTTCCTCCGGGAAGCTCACAAATGCCTTTGGGGTTAGTATTTTTGTCTTGATTCCAAAAGCTGCTGTGCCCAAGGAGAGCACATTTGACATCAGGGTTGTCAACAGGAACAATCATAGGGCCGCCATTATCTTCATAGCAGGCAGAATATCCTGTTGAATCATCGGTGCAAATTTGGAACTCAGGGTTAAAATAATCCATATTTACTTTACAATACTCTGTAGTTCCAATCTTAAAATTTGCCTGTAGAAGCACATCCGAATACTCATTACCATCTTTATCGTGAACAATACCATATCCAGCAACTATTGGGCTAACATCCATGTTGTATTCCCCAGTATAGATTTTGGCTAGGGTACCTTCAGAGGTAGGAATAGTCTTATTAAGCATGAGCACAACAACATCATTCTCCCAAGTTTGGTAGTTAAAGTCAGGGTGTACGATGATCTCGGCAACATCGGTACCACGAAAATCTAAATATTCAGTAGTATTGTGAATAAACTCAACCTGTATCTGTTCCGCGGTAAACTGCACAGTAGGCAGAATATAAACACATTTATTACTGGTTACTATCACGTTTTCCGCAATTAAATTACCCGCGCATGACGTCCAACCGATTTCTTGATTGTAGCTTTCAATATAAGCTATAAATGTAAGCTCGTCGGATGCAGCCTCGCCGTTAATAATGCGCTTGACTTTGTCTTCACGGCGGACGAAATCTCTCTTTTGACGATGTAAATTTGGGCGGATGGCAGGAAGACCAACTGTTACCTGCACAGCTGTGATTGCCATAAGAAAAGTGAGAATACCAGTGCGCATATCCAGTATGCTGATAAAAAGTAAGTGTTTGTAAGCTGAAGCGTGTGGACGAAAACCGAGTCCAGTCGATAAACCGTCAAGTGTCCAAAAAATGTAGAGTAGAAAAAAATACAGTGTAAATGTAAAATATGGTGGATTGTTGCTGTAGACAAGAGAAAAAGGAAAGATAATGGCGGCAGGAGACAAACCGCAAGTTTAAATAATGGAAAATGGCTGCTCGTTAAAAAAAGGACAACAAAAAATCAGATTGTTTTGTTCACACAATTACAGCAGCAAAGGTCTGCCAGAAAAAACGTGTACCCAATTTGGGAGATACGCACAATGATAGTAAAATAATTAATTGCCAAGCAGTCATGAGCCAACATGTGAGAAAATAAAGCAAAATAAATGGGTTCACCAAGGAATCATATGCTCATTTTAAAGAGGGTTTGAATGAACGACAAAGCAATATGCATCATGCAAATATTTTATAAGCCAAAGTGCATAAATAAAGCAATAAAAATAAACATTATAAAAATAACCATGTGCCTTCTTTTAAATACATTATACAGCACAATTTAATTTATTTTTATACAAATATCCATTATGTGGTGCCCAAACCATATTCCAGGCCACTATTCCGATCAGCACGCACCAAGTTTATCAATATTGTATTTACAGCTGCAATGTCAATTTCGGGTATTGCTGGCTCATATCAAATGACAAGCCCTTTACAGCGCTGCCCCTTTTCAGTTTTACATTAGGTTTTTCTAAGACCCGTTTCCAATTTATTTGGTATACCCACACACCGAGCATTACATACTGTTATATTGAATAAATTAAAAATAGATAAATAATAACGCCAGCGTGTCAGCCCTACTAGTCAGTGCTGGTAGAGTTGGAGTAAAATAGCAAGCTCAAGTTTGGATGTTAAAACTATTGGCCCTATATATTTAACAGCTCTAACGAAAAACTAAGCAGACTCGTTTAATGCCCCGATTCCACAATAATGTGCAACTGCATTTTGGTCAATACATTCTATGATGTAAAACGGCAACGTGCTGAGCTCTTGGATTGTTACTTTATTTAGCAAAGTGTATTTTATACATCTTGTTTGCATCTCCTCAGCAGAGTCCGATAGTTACTAAAATTAAGAAGAAACGTTTGTTGCCTTAGATTATTTAGCACTAGTTGTGTTACTCGCTGTTATTTCGGTCATATTCAAGCCCGAAGCCTCCACAATCCATCCAAGATATGGTTCCACACGGGTAAAATATGACTCTGAATCAAGAGTACCACATATAATAAAAGGATTAGTGTAATTTGCACTCAAAAAGCTGGCAATTCCAATTTGAGCATATGCATCTGAGCCGTTATCAACAGGTGTCATCAGCGGGCCGCCGCTATCACCATAGCACATGTCTTTTCCCTCCCTAGCCTCAGTGCAAATGAGTGTGGCAGGGTCATACTCATGAAATAGTTCTTTGCAGTATTCTGGGTCGCCCGCCTTCAAATCTGTTTTCATCAACGTCTCTGTAACTACAGTATAGTTCAGCGGATCAATAAGACCAAATCCAGAATTTTCAAATGGTGTATCCAAGTCCCAGTCACCATTATACAGTTTTACCGTGGTGGCTACAGTCTCGGGGACAGTTGTATTGAGGATGAGTAAAGCAATATCAGCAACCCCAAAAACGCTAGTTTTATAGTCAGGATGTACAATAAATTGGGAAACATTGTAACCAACAAGTGAATCATCAATATAAGGTGATTTGTGCGAAAAGGTTATTTGTACCTCGGATGGGTTATACTGCAAGTCATCCGAGATGCAAACACAGTGAGCAGCGGTGATGACAATGTTTGGAGAAAGCAGCGTTCCTGTGCAGCCTCCCTCGCCATACTCTTCACTATTCATATGAACAAATGCAACAAAACTGTACTCATTGTCTGGTACCTCAACGCCGCCAATGACCCGGGGGAGAAGCCTATTGGCATTGGCTTCACGGAGAGCGAGGTCTCTCTTTTGACGATGTAAATTTGGGCGGATGGCAGGAAGACCAACTGTTACCTGCACAGCTACGGTTGCAACGAGAAAAGCGAGAATGCTAGTGCGCATATCCAGTATGCTGATGAAAAACAAGTGTTTGTAAGCTGAAGCGTGTGGACGAAAACCGAGTCCAGTCGATAAACCGTCGAGTGTGCAAAAAATGTAGAGTAGAAAAAAAATACAGTGTAAATGTAAAATATGGTGGATTGTTGCTGTAGACAAGAGAAAAAGGAAAGATAATGGCGGCAGGAGACAAGCCGCAAGTTTAAATAATGGAAAATGGCTGCCCGTTCAAAAATATTGGGGTTTTTTGTTTAAACATTTACAGGAGCCAAGGTCTGGCTGAAAATAAAAACGTGTACCTAATTTTGGAGATACGCACAATAATAGTAAAATAATTAATTGCCAAGTGGTCATGAGCCAACGTGCGCAAAACTAAATAATACAAAAAAATAGTTGTTATAAAGACAACCATGTGCCTCTTTCAAATACACCACAAGCATGATTCAATTCCCACTCTATGACATAGCAACATCAATAATTCGATTAAAAATGGCTGACTATGCGCAAGCAAAGGCACAACAGAACAACTGGATAAGCCATATTTGTGCGATATCGCCAGGGCTGCCAGCGACGGATATCACACAGGAATGTCAACCCAATTCACTTCATCGACTTTTAAACAATGGTACACATTTCGAAATGAACTTTCTGGAGAAAAACGCGATTTGGCAATTAGGTACAAAAGGAGGTAGATAGAAAGTATAAATAAAATAATGTTTAGCTTGTCAACGCTGTCATTATAACATGTCAAGGGCGCATTAGCGTTTCTTACTTGACTGCTCTTGATGAGCAAACGCATAACCGGTGTGCGGCTGCAGCGAGCCATCGTGCAGATTGTAAATCGACGATCTTGCGCTGATAGCCCCCATATATCGGCCATCAGCCAAAGTCATCTGGTAGATGTCACCAGAATCGGGCCGAAGAGAGACATCCTCCAGCCCAGCTTGCCGTGAAGACACCAACGTCCCATCCGCTGCCATTTGTTTCTGCTGTCGTAAAACTGAAAGCCGCTTCACATTGTTCACAGGCACTCCAGATTCCGCAGGACTGCCTATATGTGCGAGATTGTGTAAATATTTGACCAGCGAGGCGTCGGATTCTAGGTATCGCGTTCCCTGGTACATGCCCAGACAATTCAGACCATCGCCGGAAATGGCCGCACCAGCGGTGGCGTCCAAGGAGCGGCCATGGAGATGCGGACTGATGTCATTCAGGGGAATGGCACCATCCATCATATGGCCGCTGTGAACGGCGCCCGGGTGCCGGTGCCTGCGCGGCGACTTTGGCATCCCCTTGTGCTCGAGAATGGCGCCAAAGGGTGCCCCTTTTTGCGAGCGCGAGCTGCTCATGGCGGAATTAAGAACGCCAGTGGACTGCCCTGTAGTGGACCACGAGCGCGAGTTCTGCCTGCTGTGGCGGAAATCATGGATGATCTCGCGCACAATGTCTGTGTCCGTGGGGTACCACGCCGAGCGCACAAATTTGGCAATGTAGTGCGGCATCAGGCAGGCAATGGGGATCAGCAGCAGGATGAGCCAAAAGTTGGGTTGCACAAAGATCCGCACGGCCGCTCCGGATGAGAACACGCTGTCGAACATGACTCCATAGACAAAGAAGACGCCAAGCAGCAGGGCGATTCCGACAAGCTGCGCCAGGGGCATGACCCAAGTCCACGTGCGGTTGTTGAGGCCCATATACAGGTTTGTCACCAGGACAACGCAAAAGGCGCCAAGCGTGCCCATGTCGTCCTTGTTCGACGAGTCTAGACCGCTGCGATCGGCTGACGAGCTAAAGTAGTTCGAATAGACAATTAGGAAAATAATGGCTGCCGACTGATACAGCCCGTCAGCGATGTACATCCAGAAGCGCGCCATCGAGTACTCGAGCTTGTAAATGCCTCGCTTGTATAGCTGCGGGACAACGACGCCGACAAAGGCTGGCAAGTCCTGGTCAAAGACACCAAGCGCCCCAGGTGGGAGCATCGTGAAGAGCATATTGTACAGCGTGATCAGGGCGTAGTCAAAGGCATTGGACACGGACCACTGGCAGTAAATCTGGAACCAGAATAGAGACACTGTGAACACAATGTTCTTATAAAAGAAGTTGAGCACCATCGAGGTGATCCGCAGGTACGACCAGCGGCCGTGCACGAGGAGCAGCTTTTGCAAAAAGCGGAATTGACCGATGGCATAGTCGCTGGCCATGACCGCCTGCAGGCCCTCCTCGCCGCTGATGCCGATACCCACGTCGGCCTCTTGAATCATGCTCACGTCGTTGGCACCGTCACCGATTGACAGACACAGTGTGCCCAAGCTCTCCTTGACCAGCCTGACGACCAACGCTTTCTGCAAGGGCGACACACGGCAGCACAAAACCGACTGGCAGCGCACGGCAATCTCGAGAAAAAGCGGGGCGAGCTCAGTCTCCAGCGCGTACTTGAGCGAGTAGCCGTCAATGACCAGTGCTAGGGGCGCGTCGCGCTTAAGCTGCAGGCCATTGGCGCGGTTTGACGGGATATTGCGCGTGCGCACGTCGTCCCAGATGCCCTTGACGCCATGGCGCCTGTTCTTGTTATGCGCGATGGCCCGCGCATGGTCAAAGGCTGGATCCATCTTGTCTTTTGCCGCGGACCTGCGTCCCCGCAGCAGCCTACGCCATGAGCCCCTGGTCTTCGCCTGCACGCCCGACATGGCGCCGCCGCCGCCGCCGACGTACGACAGGTCGCCATGGGTGTCGCCAAACTCGTGCAGGGCGCGCTCCAGCTGCTCGCGCGTGGCTTGCTGGTCCTCGGCCTTGACTACAATAAGCTGCATCTCGCTGTTGAGCAGGTTGCAGCTATAGCCGATGTTGATTGCTGTCTCAGTCTTGTCGCCCGTCAGCACCCACAGCTTGATGCCGGCCAGTGCCAGCTGTGCAATGGTCTCGGGCACGCCGTCCTGCAGCTTATCCTCGATGGCGGTTCCACCGACCAGCTGCAGGTGCCTTTCGATGCGGTCGCACACCTCCTCGACCTCGGCATCGCGATCTCCCAGAGAGCCCAACGCGTGGTCGTACTGCTTCTTCCACTCACTGTAATCGGCCTCCTCCAGGATGCGGTAGCCGAGGCACAGCGTGCGCAGCCCTTGATTGGCAAAAAGCTCCAGATCGGCGAGCGTCGCCTGGCGCAACTGCTCCTGGTTGTCCTTGATGCGCTCCAAAATGACCGAGTCCGCGCCCTTGCACAAGAGCATGATGCGGCCGTCGTCGCAGCGCACAATGACAGACATGCGCTTGCGCGTGCTGTTGAACTCAAGCGTGGCCAGGAGGGTGAACCACAGCTCGTTGCCCAAAAAGTTGCACAGCAGGCGGTCCTTTTCGCGGCGGATAACGTAAAGCCGACGTCGCGCGCTGTCGACACCAGTGCGGCCTCGTCGGGAGACTGTGCCTTGTATTCAATGCGGTCGGGCTGGGAAGCGTCGGGCATGTGCGAGATGACCGTGTGGCAGAGCGACAGGACGGTGAAGAACTCGTACACGGCGCGCGCTTGCGCGTTGTCCGCCTGGAGGTCGTCGTAGATACTGGTGTCCAGGAATGTCGTCGTGTCGCTCTGGCGGTGCAGGTGGTTGAAGAATTTTGCAATCTTGGCGTCCATCGCCCGGCGCAGCTCCTTCGCCTTGTCACCCTCGGCGCCGTCATCCTTTTCAGCAATAATCTCGCCGTAGACCTTTCCGTGGATGGTGCACTGTCGGAACTCCATGACGTTCTGCGTCAGGGTGCCGTCTTGTCGCTGAATATGTACTCGACCTGGCCCAGGTCGTCAGACAAGTTCCAAGACTTTGGCACGCAGCGGCGGTCCGTCGGTGCGTAGTACATGTCAATGTCCTGGTTGATAAAGTACGCCTGGAAAGACTTGACCACTCAATGGTCACATACAGCGAGATCGGAACAACGGTCTGGTACAGAATCAGGGCGGTCCAAAACGTCAAAAATCCGTACAGGGGCGCCGACTGGCCGGATTTTGTCTGATACTTTACAATAAACACGGCCTGGAAGGAGTCGGCGCGGCCAAAGTATATGCCGCCAAGGATGGCCGAAAGCAAACACAGGAGGAATAGAAGGCAGAACTGCGACAAAACTTGGTAGTTCATCATGCGTTCAATCCTGCTGCGCTTCGAGGGCGTCTCTCCGGCGTTCATCATAATCTTCGTCTCGTCACCGGTAAACACGGTCACGCCGACGGCCCATTGCGTGTTGCGCACGACGCTACCGCGCAGCAGGAGATTGTCCACGCTCAGCGGCTCTTTGGAATTGGAGGCCAAGGGCCTTCCGCATGGATGAGCATGGAGCCCTTGAAGGAGTACAACTGGGTGCTCGGAGGCTCAGCGTCAATTGTGCACTGAAAGGCGGCCAGATGCTGTGGCGAAGTGAGGTGGGCGGTGGCGGGCGGCGACACTTTGGATTTGAGGTTGGTTTCGCCGTCCAGGTTCTTTGTCTCGATAAAGCACGAACCGTCGTCCTCGCTGGTGGCCAAGAGGACCAGGTCGGCGGGCACAGATTCGCCATCGTGAAGCAGAACAATGTCGCCGACGTGCAAGTGCCGCCATTCAGTCTGCAGCCACGCGTCGCTGTCCACGGCCATATCCGGGGCAGAGTCTTTGCTGGGCGCGCCATGCGAGCTGGCAGATATGCTGCCGCCGCCGCCAATTGAGCCCTCGGCGCCGGAATCGTTCAGCAAAAAGCTAAACAAGCCCGCACGAAACATGTGCGCTGGCAGTTTGTTTACATTGATCCACCCGCGTCCTAGCACCACAGCAGGTGCTCTGTTGGCCTCCTTGTCACTGGCACTCCGCTTTGAATCCTCATAGCCATCCTTGAGCATGGTCAGCAGAACTATGGTGAACAGGGCCAGGGCACTTAGGCCGGGCATGCCCGTGGTGACGGCCGGGATGAACTGCAGAATGAGCAAAAATAGAAAATATATGTTGGCGGCGCGGCGGAACTGCTCGAATATGTTTTTGGGTACGAACGAGACGAGGGTTATTTGGCTGTGCGAATTTGATTCGCTGGGTATGGTGTTGGGTGGCCGTGGGTGTCGAGCGATGTGGAGGGTATTGCGAGATTCACATAGACGGACCTTTTGTCGCCAGCGTCAGCGTCGGCGCTGGTGCTGGTGCTGGAGGATGCAGCTGGTTTCCGCTTGCCCGAGGTGAATATCCGCTTTATCCACGGTGTGCTGTGGTTTTGGCTGCGCGCTGTAGCCATGGCTGTATCGTGTGTTCGATTGGTTTGAAGCTGCGGTAAGAAAAATATAAGAGATGGCGAAAATAAAAGAGGGAAAAAATGACGACAAATAACCTTTTTGGTGGTTTTTTGACTCTACTCGCTGGTGTTTAAGAAGGGCGTGCTAGTAAGCAGGCAGGCGAGCGAGCAGGCGAGCAAGCAGACGAGCGGGCGGACAATCTCGTGTAAATAAAATGTTTGAAGAAAATAAAAAAGAACAATACAAAAAACTGCCAAGATCAGTTCCTTAATGTAAAAGTGAACGAGCAACGGTGTTGGCAGTACAAGCGAGAGAAAAAGGAATAAATAAACGAAAAAAGGAAGTAATCGAATCGAAGTTTAGAAAACAAAAATATCGAGAGGAAAAGGGAAAAATGTGTGGCGAAAGTATTGTGAATATTTGGGGACGTGAATAAGAAAAATAAGGAAAAACTTGCAAATACTATTTTTGGCATCAATTAAGAAAGGAAGAGGAAAAATCACCACGCGTTTGTCTGATGCCGCTGATGTCGGTGGTAAATTGTTTTTTTTAGTTGCAGCGCATGGTCAGCGTAAAAGAAATAATTGGGGACACAAATCAAGTTCAAAACCGTCAGGATACGAGTTGGCTCTCAATGATTTATGTGTGTTTTTTTCTTTGTGGCACTGAAAAGCAAAATTCGCAATATGACAACACCGCCCAAAGCATGGTTCAATGCCTTGTATGCACGTGTGCCTGTATGCTAGTTTTATTTATGCATGAATGCGCTGACGCTTGGAAAAGCTGTTTTTTATTCTATTTAAATTGTATATAAAGGCCCGGCCCATCCCAGCTTTGCCATTTGAGTGATCGCTTTGATTGCACTAATTTTATTATTTCTCCGAGCTTTTCCCCTCTTCGTTTGTTGACAAAACCAAAATGAAATGAAACGCTTCACACTGTGGACCACAATGGAAGGGCGATATATGTCGTGTAAAACTAACCACATGATTCTTTGCTTTGTTATTCAAAACACTTATTTTGTCCAGCGCTTTGTCAATTGCGCTATTAATCCAAAAAGGGAAAGTGGAGAAAGGTATGCATGGCAGGCTGCTACGTTATGTAACATCATATTATGGAGAAACACTCTTCAGTCTAAATTGTGGCGTATTATTTTTTAGAGTCGCCCTGGTCCTGTATTTTTATTTCGCGATTAAAGGCGTAATAACCCAACGTTACCGCGCTTGTGCAGGAATATCGGCATGCACGGAGCGAATTATCAAGTGGCGCCACCGACTATTGACCAATCCAGTACTGGTGGCCATTGGCATTGTGGATACCACTGGTGGCGGCGGGAGTTTCTACAGCCCACTCGTACCAGGTGCGCGCGTCGGCGCACCGTCTCCACATGTGGACGCTGATTCGGGCACCGGCATCGGCGGCCAGCGGCTGCCGCAGCGGAAAGTACATTGGGAACCACGAGTGCATGTCGGGCGTGTGTGTGCTCGGGCAGATGCTCAGACGAACATCGGCGTAAAGCTCTGCGTCAAAGTACCCGGCCAGCCCATGGACGACAGAGTCGGGGGCAGTAGCGCAAACGTCAAAGTCGGCTGTGGCACTTCGGCAGAAGCGCTGCGACTCGGCGGCCGCGTGGTCAAAGGTCCACAGAGGCTGGGCCTCGGCCAGCAGTCGCGCCGCGTGAATATTTACGACGTAGGGTGTCTCCAGGCTGTACTTTGTGTGGCTCTCTGCTGCGTACTCGGCGGCGCGCCTGTGCAGCAGCGTCGACGACATTGGCGCCGCGTAGGCCGTATACGCGCGCGGAATGCAGATGCCGCCATCGCACAGCAGTGAGCAGACGGCAGCGTTCAAGCACTCAGGTGAGAGCTCGTTGTCGCCAAACGACCCCAGCAGCTCGCTCACCAAATGTCGGCGCGCTCGGCCGGCTGCCATGAGCGCATGTCCGCGTGAACAAGCGTGACCTCGCCGCGCCACTCGCTCACATTGCGCTGCTGCAATGCCACCATGGCGCCCGGGTTCTTCTCGACAGCCACTACGCGCACGCGCGCCGAGCTGGCCCGCGCCGCCGTCAGCGCACGCGTCACCAGTGGGCCGCGCCCAGCGCCGACGACCATCAGCAAAATCTCGGGCTTTGTCAGGTCGCTGAGGGCACGGGCGAGAGCGCGCTCGTACGCGTCGTACTTGGGTAAGTCGGCCTCGAATGTCGCGTACGTATCTGCGTCTAGGTGGTCCATCAGTGGCTGCAGAGGCACCTGCAGCACGTCGTGGTACGCCTCAGACGCCGCTGAATCCGCATCCAAATCCTTGGCGCCGCCAGATGCCGTATGTACTCGACGTGATCGCCAGAATTGGCGTTGGCGCCGCACTGCACGGCCACCGCTGCGCCAATGGCCATCATTTGCTGCACGCTGCCTGGTGGCCTCGCCACAGCACGGGGAATCCGGCGGCATTCCGTATAAACAACGCCTCCGCCACGATGGCGAGCTGGACGGGCTCGGCACGCCACTGCTCAAGGCTCAACTCCGGATCCGAATCCAGATCCAGTGCCACCTGCAGCCGCGAATTGTGGCCACACATCATGCGCACACGGTTCCACTTCCGCCACTCGTGCGCTGCCAGTCGCACAACCACGGGCGCATCGCCCTTCTGCAAAAGTCCATCAGGCTGCGCGCATAGTCAACCAACGGCTCGCTCAGCGGTGCCAGCACTCGCCGCAGGCCGATGTGCTCGCCGTACTCAACCTGCTGCGCGACCAGATCGACGTTGTCTGGCGTCCAGATGCTGTCGAGCCCAGGATGCAATATGCGCTGGTGGCCGATTTAATCACGACGTCGCTCAGTGCCAGGTACCCGCCAGCGGTTGTGTGGCTGTGGGCTGTGTGATCGGTAGGATTGTAAAATCTGCGTTTGCTTCTGCCATCGCCTGCGCGAGAACGTATCGCCATCATCGACTGTATATGCTGGCTCCAGGCCGACCGCCACGACTTTCTTTGCGTACGCCATTCGCGAGAAGTTGTAAAGTGTCAATTCGAAAATTTTGTTGGAAAAAATACTTGGTCGAATACGGTGGGCAGAAAACCAGAGACGCAACATACCCACTCTGGGTCTGATAGATCGTGGTCGCTTTGATCAGACTGAATCCACAGATCACAAGAGAACATGGATCAATATCACGCATTCTCGCATCTCCATTCTTTCGTCATCGACCATTCCTGCCACTGGACCATCAAATAATTATTTTTTGCCTCTTAAGTATTTACTCAATTCGCATTCCAGAATTCTCACATCTACTCCTTCATTTTCCTACTTCCCGCTCAATTTCACAAATGGCCGCTGCTTCCTCAGACGCGAAGACCGCGTGCAAGCGAGACAAACAGGGCAAACAGGGCAAACAGGACAAACATGCGCTGAGCGACGCGCTCATTGAAACACTAGCCAGCCGAGCCCGCACCGCAGCACAGACGAAGAGGACACCAGCGAACCATTAAAGACACAGTCCGAAGGCACGCGCCTCGCACTTATTCTCTGCTGGGAGCTCTTCTCCGCCTGGCCATCCTCACACTCTCGCCGGGCTTTGTAGCGAACCATTTGTCGTCGCGCGTCGAGCTCAGCACCCCGGTGACTAACCACAAGCGGCTAGTCGAGGGTCTTCATTTGGCTGCCCACGGCATTTCACCATACCAGGGCGGTCTCTACCATCAGTCTCCGCTGCTGCTGATGCTTTTCAAGCTGCCCTACGCGTTGCTGCCGCAGTTTTTTTCGGACGTGCTTTATGTGGCCGCCGACGTCACAGTTGCCCTGCTTCTGGCCAAGATGGCTGTAGCGAAGGCCGCGCTGCCGCGCTTGCTGGGAAAAAGGCTGTTCCTGGAGAGACCGTATTCCAGTGCTTGCCATCGACTGTGGCGCTGCTGTACTTGTTCAATCCGCTGACGCTGGCCACCAGCCTGTCGAGATCGTCTATTGTGTTCAGCCACCTGGCGACTATCTCGGCCCTGTACTCTGCTATCATTGGGCTCACAGATTGCGCTGTTATTTTGACTGCCGTTGCCACGCACCTGTCGCTCTATCCGGTGATGCTTATTGCGCCGATTTGCCTTATGACTTTCCATTTGAGCCAGCGCAATTTCAAGCAGCAGAAACAGACACTGGTTTCCAGCATAATATTGACGCTGGGCAAATTCATACTGGCACTTTTTGCTCTTCACCTGTCATTTGCCGCGCTCTACGGCGCAGAGTACTTTTCGGCAACCTTTGACTTTACGCTGCGCGTTGCCGATCTGCAGCCCAATGTTGGTCTTTTCTGGTACTTTTTCATTGAAATATTCGACGAGTTCCGCTCCTTCTTCTTTGTCGTCTTCCAGCTCACAGCCCTAGCCTTTGCGGTCCCCGTGACGTGGCGGTTCCGCAACGACCCGTTGTTTGGCGCGGCCATGCTTGTCGGAGTAATTTCCGCACTTAAATCGTATCCCTCATGGGGCGATCTTCGCTTTTCCTTGGGCTTTTGCCTTTGTACGAGGAACTAGCAAAGTACTTACAGTACACATTTTTGTCTGCCAATCTTTTACTGTATGGGGTTGGACTGGCGCCGGTGTTTTGGTATTTGTGGATTGAGCAGGGGAGTGGGAATGCCAATTTCTTTTATGCTGCTACTTTGGTATATGTTTTTGGCCAGATCACCCTGCTGTTTGATTTGGGCAGCGCCATGCTGAGACGCGAACTGGATATACATCATCCTGAGACGCGCTTGCGCACGGTTGTCCAGGAGTAGAATAAATAAACAAAACTAATTAATTAAACAATATATCACTTAGTGTTGGATTTTCTATATTTGTAAAGTGTTCCCTAACTCGCTTTCATTGCGCAATAACGCGGAATATTTAGCAACTCTGTCATTGTAATTGCTGTTGTTGCAATTGTCAACGTGCTCAAGTTTCCGCTCGCCCACAGCCACAGCCACAGCACTGGTCTTTATTATTTTTGGTATTCGACCAGTATGTTTTTGACAAACCGCTTACTCGGTTCTGCAGATGCGTCGTCAGCTTTTATTTTTGCCTACTGGTTGGTAAATTGTATTGCGCCAAAATTTGGTTTGGCAAATGTGTGAATAAGGTAAAGAAGGCATTTGGCCTAACTAGTTGGCTGGGGGAAATATTTGGGTTTCCTATTTTGTTTATTTATTTACCCGGCGATCATCCCCACATTCATTATGTTTATAGCCGATTCATGCAAATAAAACAAAAAAGATCCCGATCATTTGCATGAATTGCAGTTTATTTGTTTACCCTGGGGTCCAGATTTTTCATTTTTATTATTTTTCACACTTCAAATCACATACGTGATTACAAGATTATTACCCTTCTCTTTGCCAGGTAAGAGGATAAGGAAAACCTATTTTAATGGAAATCATTCGACTGGAAAAATTCCAATTATTTTTACTGGTTGGCATTTTTTTCCATAAAAACTAGTATTTTCGCCATAGCCAACCAATACCACTCTTTTTCTTTACACACAAACAAAATCACCAAACAACAACACCCCCCTCTCCACCCCCTCTACCGTATTTCCCCTAGTTATCGCATAGGATCGTCCTCTACATTTGGGAATTTTTACGGCTACTCGGGTCTGGTGGACAGGTGGGAAGGAAAAGCAATAAAAAGCACGAATTATTATTTCATTTTCAGGTTGAATTTAAGAATATAAGGAAAGCGACAAGAAGAATCTCGGATTAATAAAGACGACCCCTATTTACCAAGCTTCTCTAGAGTTTTCCACACCCTTTCTTTTCTTTTCTTTTCTCCATCCCTCTTTCTCACTTCCATTTCATACATTTCAACTTGTTCTTCATTTATTATTTATACGATACATTAAAAAATGATTAACAATAACGCCGAGGCATTGTGGTCATCAACATCAAACGACAAGTATAACACTCAGTTCCAACAACCCACACGCCATGTGTCTCCTTTGCAACAACGAGCTTCTATTGCAACTGTTGCGCCGCAGATTGACACGCAGTATGGTAATTTAACAGCCTCGGTCCAGCAGCAAATAAATGCCATAGGGTCTATGCTTGCTGCTGTGCCGAATGGGAATTGCGCGCCGAGCAATGACACTGCGACAGCGATGGACGTATTTGACACCTACGCATTACACGCACCGTTCATGAGGTAATTACCCCCACAAAAAACACAAACGCTTGTAATTGTCTCGAGGTGATATGGTGGTTTTTTTCTCGGTCCCCAGCGAAGTGTTTACTAAAACATAAATATGTTTAACATATGTTTTCAGGATTGTAGCCAGGTCAGCGCCGATCCGTTTTGTATGGACCCTGCTTCTGCTGCTGCTGCTGCTGCTGCTACGTCCAGTGGCTCTCCCGCAGCAATGCCACTGATTTCCGATATGCCATCGTAAGTCCGAATTAAAACCAAAATATAAACTTTGCCAATACCTTTTTGTACAACTATCAGTTCGCTCACACTCATGTATGGATATTGTGCTAAATTGAAATATTAAATTGACAATCCACCTTCCAATAGCCAGATAAAGGGCAATGACATTAGTCTTTTCAACTGGTACGATCCGCCAATCTCCTCTGCAAGCACTCTAGTACCAAACACCGCCGGATTTCTCTGGGCCTCGCATCCTCTTCCTCCTCCTCGCTGAAGCCAAGCATTTGGCAGTCCAAAAAACGACGCATGACGCTCCCACAAGTCACCACAAGCCCAAGCACACCGTCGTCCGAGCCATTCTTCAACAAACTAATCCAGTACCGGAGGCTCAGCAACATGAACCAGACAAACAACTACACTGTGCGGATGCTGCCCCATATCGACCGTGGGTTCTTTCGGGCCACCGATGACTGGACATGTTACCGGCGCAATTACTTTCAAATCAGCAGCACTTTTTGGATGACCGGCTCTACGGGTCCCGTCAATAATCCCGAGTGCCCATGCCTTGTGAGCTCTGCGGATGGCCAGAGTGTCCTGACAGTGACGCAGTTTTCCCTAGGAATATCCGCCGAAGTGGCTGACTGCGACGCACCAGTCGAGCTTGTGCAGCATACGCCGAAGCGGGATAAGGGTCCACAGACCATTCCGACGCCGCTCCCGATCAGAGCACACGCGTCCAACTTGGACGATTCCTCCGGCCCATCCAACACTGTGTGTTTCGAGCGACTGCAATTCAAGACAGCCACAGCGAATAATGGTAAGCGGAGGGCCGCGCAGCAGTACTATTCGTTGACTATAGAGCTGTACGCCGAATGCGCTAATGGCGAGAATGTACTGGTGGCCAGCATGCAGTCGTCGCCTGTTGTCGTGCGCGGCCGCAGCCCTGGCCATTATGCGGACGGGAGCAAGCGCAGAAACACAACGATATCGAATATTCGGCCGTCTGCTAATTCATCCACCACGCTTTTGTCCAAACATGACATGCAGAAGAGAAAGAAGCGCTCTTTGAGTGTTGCCGCCGCCCAAGGACAATCATCGTCGAATGGGTCTGTTGTGCCTGCGCCCTCTAACTCTTCTTCTTCCTCTATGGGCTCTGACGGTGGGTTGGCTGGATCCAGTACACAGACTGACTCTGTAGCCAATGCCATTGCCGCTGCTGCTGCTGCTGCCACTGCCACCGGCGCACCCAGATACAATTTATCGGCAAACGAGGTTGCTCACTGTTTCCTGACCTGAATCTATCGGTCGCTGCTGTTGCCAGCACTGCAACGGCCAACCATAATCAACTCATTGACACATTGCTTGTGTCGGCGCCCCCGCCGCTCACTATCAACCCGATGGAGGCGATTCAAGACATTAGGATGCCTTATTCGCAGCAGACCAGTCCCAGTGCTGTCATGATGCCAGACCCATCGTTGTTTGGTGGAATGCAGGCCCAGATGCACAGCCCACAGCTCACTCTCGATTCTTATTCTTTGTCGTCTTCATCCCTGTCATTGGCCAAATCCAATGACTCCATGAATCGTGAATCGGCGGCAGCGGCGGCAACAGTGGCGATCCAGACTCTGATGTCAACGGTCGACCGGCCAGACTCTGCCTTTGACAACAACTATTGAGTTTTTTATCATGTTCATAGAGTTAAAAAGGATTATTATAACTAAATTAACTGCAAAAACGTTTTATTCAAGACGTACTCCGCTCCTCCTTCATGTCCAGTAGCGCCTGCATCTTTTCGCAGACCCGCCTCAGTTTGTCGCCGTTCTTCTCAGTATCCTCTTGGCCCAGAAGATCCGGCGGCATATCAGCATCGTCGGCATTAGTACATTGCCAGACGCAGCGCCTAACAACGTTGAACTCGGGCAAAGTCGAGTTGGTAAAGGACAAAACAACACTCGCAATATAATCCATATCTGCAGCCAACTGCTGCCGCCCGCTGTCGCTCAGCGGCGGCATGCCGATACTGCATATCTGAGAAACAAGCTCTGCAAAACAGTCTTTAGTACCAGCGAGAGCATCGGCTGAATAGACATCTCGCCGCTCTCCACGTCCACATGGTCACTGCCGCCGTCTTGAAGACAAGCAACAACGTAGGGATACAGTGTGGAACGGCGCCCTCCAGATCGACGCTCCGGGTGTACTGCGAGTCCATGACCTCTATTTGCTCGAGCTCGGGCAGCAAAACGTGCATCTTTTCGCCAATATCGACGGCCTCCTCCGATGGCGAGCAGCTGAACAGGGGAACTTCAATGTTCATGCTGGACTTGCTCTGACGCTCAGCACGCCAGACGCTCAGCGTCGGAATGCGCGCCAGCGGCAATCTAAAGGCACTGGTCAGCAGGAAGAACACCATTGAGCATGTAATATGCGACAACCCGGTTCCTGCGCCCTCCACGGATTGCATTGCGTGAGGTGGAGGCGCATCGGCGGCCAGGAGGGGAGATATGACAATGGCCCTCATGTCGGCAATTGTCGCGCACGACTCCATAAATGCACTCAGCAGCAGCCTCGATGGACTCGCTGCTTGCTCTGTCACACTGACGCTTGCAGGAGATGTTGCAAAGCCCGGCTGCCGCGCCAGCGTGGCCAGGAAATCATCCCACTGCTTGGCGATCGACACCGACAGCGCCGAGGCGTACTGGTCAAAAATACGGCTCAGCAAGGATACCCCAACGACGCTTGACACTGTCTCCAGCTTGTCGGCATTCGCCAGGGTCTGATAGATAGCCTTGCTGCCCGCACTTTCTTTTCCCTTCTCTTCCCACCGCGGCCCGGCGAAAAGCCGGCCAAGTTGCCAAACACATCAAGCGCAGCCAGCGGAATGCCGGCTTGCTCAGCAATATTGCGGATCATGGTTGAAAAATGCGTAGAAATATCAACCACGACGGCGGCAATCTCCGAAATAGCACCGCTCAGCTTTGACGCCGGAACAAAAGCAAACACGCGCTCCAGCGCGTTCTCTATATCGACAAAGACGCCGAGCAAGGCCATGGATGCGTCTCTGACATACGCCTCAATGCGCTCGTAATCGGGCTCCAGCTGCCGTAGTCTAGCCAAGCTGCCGCGACGGATGTGTGCGGCCTCGGTGCTGGCCAGCAAAGCCATATGAGGGACGAATGGCGCAAATAGCAGACTGAGTGACTGCGGGATGGGCTTGGATGCCAGTGCCGCGGTTTCCAGTGCAGAGTCGTCGCCAACGCTCAACGTGCTAAAGCTCAGGGCCTCGGACAAGTCGGCGTAGAATGCCGACAGATTCTGGTACAGGTCGGCCACGCATGCCGACGAGCTGCAGTCCGCAGGTTCATTATCGGCATTGCTTGAATATATGTCGTCCACTTTGAGCTGAATGGCTGGCTGCAGTAGCTCGATATAGCTGGCCAGTAAAGTTTCCAACAAGACCGCTGCGTCCTGTGGCATGCCTGCAGCCTCGACAAATGAGCGCTCCTGGGCACCAGCTCCGTGACAAGCTGCAGGGCCGTGTCAAAGGTGCTAGCCTGATTGGCCTGGCACTTGGCGACAACCGGCCGCAGCTGCTTGGCGCCGGCCTCCGAGCGAATCCTGAGAAACGCCGACTGCACCGTGTCGCTGCGCCCATGCGCCTGCAGCAGCCGGGCGGCCTCCGCCATATTCTCTGTGTCGTGAGCAACAATGGCCTGCTCCAGGCGGCCGATGACCGCAGTCTCGATCTGCTCTTCGAACTTGCGCGCATCCTCCGCACTTATACCCACGGACGACCCTTCGCCCTTTGTCTGTGCCAGTGCTGACTGATCCACGCTGTCGACTAGCCCCCAGGCCTGCGCAAGCTCGCCACTGTCGATGAAAGCGCTGATCTTCTGCGGTAAATCGGTGTAGCAGCGCAAATACTCCAGGGCCTGCTCCGAGCGCTCGAGCTGCTGGCGCACGGTATTGATTTGGGCGATTTTCTCCACAGCTTGGGCTGCCACTGACTGAGAATTAAGGGTATCGGTGAGCGTTGATATGGACGCCTGGGTTTCTTGAACAAGCTTGCCAAGCGCCATTATATCGCGCATGATTTGTGAGTTTTGGTGGCGGAAGCGCGCCTTTATCCGGTCGCTGCTTTGCTGTGTGTTTGAGGCCAAGAGTGTAGCTGGGTGGTGAGCTTTTGGATGAGGTTGTCCTGCTGCTGCTCTTGCGCCTTTTGGTCGGTGTTTCCAGCAGGGGGCTGTGCGTTTGAAGCTAGTGATGCGAATTGCTGATTGAGCCATTGCTTTATGTCAAAGTCACTGGCTGAGAACGCGTCCAGTCGCACCTCCATAGCTAGTCAAGGGCAGGTGATGTGATGTGATTTGAGTGCGGAATTCGCAGTGAATAAAAATGGCGAGTAAAAGTATGTTTTTTTGCTGAGGCAGACGTCAGAAAGAAAAAAGCGAATTTAATAAGGGCAAAGGACAAATTGCAAATGATTTTTTGCTGCACAAAGAAACAAAAAAACTATCAGTGAGGGATGTCGTTCAATTGGCAAATTCAAATTCAAGTTCCGTTTTATCCTTTTTCTTTTCTTTTCTTTTTCTCTTTTGTTTTTTTGCCAATTATTAATCTTTGAACACCTTCACATCCATATTCTTTATTATACTTTCTAACTTCACACTTGTAATGTCAGCGCCTATGAGAATTATCAAAGAGGTCAAGCGCCTCGGCGTGGATCCAGTTCCCGGAATCTCGGCCAAACCCACTGAGAACAACATTCGGTACTTTGACGTGCTCATGGACGGGCCATCGCAGTCTCCCTACGAAGGTACTTAAAAACGAGAGAGTGAGAAAAGCATACATGAAACGTACTTTGAAGCAGCTTACTAATACGGTTTTGTCTTTGTCTTTGTCTTTGTCTCTTCAATTTTCGTTTCGTTTCTTTCACGCCAACTGATAGGTGGTCGCTTCAAGCTCGAGTTGTTTTTGCCCGAGGAGTACCCCATGTCACCGCCCAAGGTGCGGTTTTTGACAAAGATGTACCACCCGAACATTGATAAGCTGGGCCGCATTTGCCTGGACATTCTCAAGGATAAGTGGTCGCCGGCATTGCAGGTGCGCACGGTGCTTTTGTCCATCCAGGCGCTGCTCTCAGCACCCAACCCCGACGACCCGCTTGCCAATGATGTTGCTGAGCAGTGGAAGACAGATGAAAAGCTGGCTATTCAGACTGCCAAGCAGTGGACTGAGATGTATGCTTGCCTATCGAGCAAGGTGAAGTAAGCCATGAGGGGAAAGACTAATTGTGGGGTGAAGAGTATTTGTAAATGAAATAGGCAGGTTTTTTAATCGAAATTGTTTACTCTTTGGTTGTCGAAATGGAATAGTCTCGTTCAAAGCTGTTTTTGCTGCTGCTATCGTTTATTTTTTTTTTCCTCTATACATCCCCGCCCACTTTGCAGAGAGATTTCTTTTTTAATAGCAAAACTTTAAATATATACATTTTCATTTTCATTTTAGAAAAGCAAAAAAAAGCATAAAAGTGCAACGTCACAACTTTTATTGATAATGGCTTAGTTACCGGTAAGGCGGGTATTATCAAAACAATAAACTTTTGTGCGGGGGTTAAAATTTTTTTACAGATACCAAAATGCAATGTCCTTCATATTAATAAACTAATATCCATTAATATTTACTATCAACATATTTGCCCCTCCACCCAATCATTTAACCCTCTTCATTTAAATAAGGCTATCTCCGGATCCTAGTTATTTTTTTTGCATATTTGTAAATGGGAACATCTACAAGCAAATAATACTACAAGTTAGTTCAGCATGTTTTGCGATATGATAGCTTTTCATTCTGCTTGGTCAAACATTGATGTCGCCGTATCTACTCCTCACTTCGGCCGTTGAACCTCAGGCACATTGATATGGCAAACCTCTTTTAATTTTTTTTACTCCAATTTCAAAAATAAAATATTATTATTCATTTCCAATACTTATTACCTTTTATATCTTTAAACAAAAAATTGTTATCTACAATGTTTTCAAATCAGTATTCGATGCCATTCTCACGAATGACAAAGTCAAAAGAACCACCTTATACCACAGCGCCTCAAACAGCAACAATGATGGCGCTGCCCAAAGACGTCTATGCGACATCCGCGTGGTTTCTGTCGCGAACCAGATCACCAAAGCAGGTGAGCAATAGCAACACCAACAACAGTCGGACGTTCTCCCGTGCCCTCTGTGCCGGACTTATCACGCCCGAGAGCGTACGGAAACACTCGGCAACAAGACAGCATCCCTACAATCTAGAAGACGCACCAAGTGCCGACAGAGGCATGTTAGCCAACATGCTTCTGCGGCGGCAACGCAGCAGCAACACTAACAATGACACCAACACCAACACCAACAACAACTCTGGTGGAGGGATTAAAAGAACCCTGAGCAGATTATCGGGCAAGGCGCAGCAAGCGACGATGGGACTGAGTGAGAATTACTCTGCCGAGAGCAGAACATACACCGCTCAATTTGGATCACTGAGCTGCACCAACAGCAACGTGTCGTTCCTAGGCAGCAGCCGCAGAAGAAACCACTCGGAGTTCAATCGGAGCACGACCAGTGGAAGTACATTTGTCGGGAGCACGTTAGCAGGTAGCACATTGCACAGGAGCTCGTTGATGAGCAGTACGTCGACGACGTGTGTGAGAAGCGACAGTATTGGATCCGGGTACCTGTCCTTGGACAGCCTGGAGGTCGAGTATATGCGGAGCAGCCTCGGCACCATGACCAGCATAACCAGCGCCCATAGGGGTCTTCAAGCGGCTGTGGATTTGCAAGAGTATCCGCAGGGCGCAGACTCGCAATTCGCCCAGGCGGTGGGCAGCAAGCGAGGGGCGTCCTTTATGTCGCAATACATCCGGTCAAGCAAACGGCCAACCCACCAGCAGCAGTCGCCGGCAGGTAGATTTGCCCTACAGCATCATGCGCAGTACGCCGGTGTATTGGAGATCATTGATTGCGAGGACATGACCGTGGCGTACCGCAAGGTCACCCGCGAAGGATCAACGCCCTGGACGGAGACATTCCACGAGGTGTTGCACCAGCCATTGCCGAGCAACTTTGCTGCGGGGATGCCCGTCGGGGAGTACGTCCAGGGTGCGGCAACTATGCAGCAGGCGCTGTGCATGGCGGGTATTGACCAGGGATCGATGATCCGCAACTCGCCGTCATTTGCCGCATCGGCTATGTCTGGAAGCACCTGTGGTCCGTGGGGCAATACCATGTGGCCCGGTACGCAGTCGTTGTACGGGTCCATGGCAACGGCCAGAACCGGGCGATCAGCGATCAGCTCTCAGCATCAGCATCAGCATCAGCATCAGCAGCTGCAGCTGCAGCTGCAGTTTGATCAACAGCAGGGGGCGTCCGGCAGCGAGTTTCTGGGTGGTTCCCGCATGCGTTCACATTGTGTCAGCTGTGGGAAATTTCATCGCCGAACCCGGCAATATTCCCGATGCACTGCCGCGACACGCGCGGGATAATCGACCCGGTTCCATTAACCTCCATGGTGCTGGATCGGCACCAATACTGCTTCCGGTTCCACCTCTGCGGAAACAAGATGCGCTGGCTGGTGACCAGCAAAGGGGCAAGCCAGCGCATTGAAATGCAGTGTTTTTTACGCAGCACTGTGGTTGCCACTTTGTTCGGCGGCCACACTATGCGGACCAGGTCGACCCAGGAGTCGCATTACGCTACGAGGAGCTCGCAGAGGGATAAGTCTTGGTTTGTGGCGACGCCGCCGGTGCTACAAGACAGTGTTAAGGCGCAAGGCAGCGGTGAGCTGCCTTGCATTGATGTGCTGCCGGTGGCGTTTAGCAAAATGCCTGATATTGATGCGGCGGTCGTCGAGTCGTTTGTTCTGTTTACCGGAATCGAAGTGTTTGAGCGCTTTTTGTGCGCTCCGTGAATACTGATGATCAAAATGTTCTTATAGTTGGTTGGTTGAATGAGGTTTTTTATACAGGTTTTCTTCTTCGTAATTTGCATTTAAAAAACAACGTATGCCGCTTTGTCATTTCCTTTTTTATTACTCTCTCTCGTTCACTGAACATAAATTGGAATCCCAACAAGTCATCTCAGCCACGCATTTGTAACATATCTATTTTCTCTTTTCCTCTTTTTCTCAGTCATGCATTTGTGTCTTGATTATATCTTCAAGTGTGGCCATGACACATTGTTTTGTTTTGCACTATTTTTCGCTCTCTCCAGCCCCATATGCGCAAATACAATATCCTATGTAGCTTATGCTATTTCCGCCATAGTACAATTAAAAAACTCGTGAGTTTGTATTGTTGATCAATTAGCCAATTGTTGTCGTTGGATGCGCAATGACATGGGTCAGGAATAGTGCTGAATTGTGTGTGATTTTTCCTTTTTCTTTTTTGTATTTATCACAGCTTTACATGTAAAAATGAACCAAATAAATATAATTCAATTTTTTTTAGAAATTTTGACTAGGATTTTCTTTAGCTTTGTCTGCAAGTGTGCAGATATTTCTGGTGTCTGAAATGCAACAAAAAAATGCAGACCCAGAAATTTGTTTTATGAATTGCGAGTATCCACTGTAGATGCTGCTGCAGCTTGCTGCGTATAAAATGAAGAAAACCGGGATGGCAATATTCATAATTTTTTTGAGTAGTATCCACATCTTTTTATTTTTTATTTTGTCTTTATCTTATATTTCCAATTATCATATTCTCAATATGTTTTTATTCACCACTTTCAACCCACTGGTCAGCCGCATGTTCGCACGCGCAATAGTATACACATTCCTGCCAAACGCCGGCAACAGCATAACACCCATCACGCTGGCCAAACCCATTGCCAAAGAACAACAAAAGCAGCACCAGCAGCAGCTGCTGCTACCAGCAATTCAAGCAGCAACCACCAGCATGGTTGAGCTTTCAAAGTCCGTCGTCTCAACAACCCTGAACATTGCAGTGATGTCTGCCGCCATAACCTACGTTCTACTCAGCAGCATCGGCAGCGACAGCTCGGCTTCTGAGCCATGTGATGATGAAATTCGCAGACAAAATCCAGCACTGATACATGACCAGCAGCTGCAGCAGCAAGGAGAGACACGTGCTGTGCGGAAATACCTTTTAAGCGTTGGTGAGCTGGATGGCGTGTCGCGGCTGGTCGGTGGTTCGGCGGAGAGCCGGTGTACGGCGATGGATCAGTGTGCCATATGCCTGGATGACGAGGGGGGGAGGCCAATGAGGTTCTGGTTCGTGTGCTTGTGTGCGGCCATGCCTTTCATGCACCATGCATTGATCTGTGGCTCACTACGTGCTGCGCAATCTGCCCATTGTGCAAAACTGAACTTGCATGTGAACCGAAATCGCCGCTGCTGGCCCAATAAAAAAATTAAAAAAGTTTTGCCTACCTTGCAAGCCTCCTCGAATTCCCCATTTTCCCCCTTATTTTTCCTTCTTGTTTTTGCTTATTCTTTTTGTCACGTACAAATATAATAAAAAAGGCCGCTGTATTTTTAACTATTTCTTGTATTGTTTGCTATTGGCTCATTTTTCACATAACCAATGAACCCAAATGCCACCATACACTTCGAGTTGGCCAAGGGTACGCCAGAAGAAGAAAAAAAGCCACTATTACCTAACAAATAGAGATATGAGGCCGGCACGCTCGCCATTTTATCTTTATCCCTTCCTTTCTTTTTTTATTAACCCACACACCCCATTTTATATTAATTTACATTCCACAAAAATAAAAACGAATAGCCCAAATACAAACATAACGATTATTTCATGAAGTCATTAGAAATTAAGACGAGCGGCAGAGAGGAAAATCTAAAGCCTATACTCAATTTCGATGAATTCGACCCGCCGCATGAGCTGCTGGATACACGATCGGTTGTGCGTCTTGCTGTTTCGCATTTCCCCATTCCGTCGTTGGATATGTTGCGCGCTAACCAGATCATGGATGTGTTCGAGAAGTTGGGAGCTAGTGATCCGGGGATGGATTCTCCGCAGCGGCAGCAGATTATGGCGGAAAAGGACACGCCAGTTGTCGTACCCGCTACTAGGCCGGCTGGGTCGGATCGGTATTTTGGAGATGCGCCGAGTAAGCGGCAAAAGGTTGGTGGTTATGCGATAGTTGAAAGGGAGAAGTCGAGGGAGGGGAGAGGTCGAAGTCGAGGGAGAGGTCAGAGGAAAGAAAAGAGCATAGGCCCAAGGAAAGAGAGAAGTACAAGGAGAGAGAGAGGCCGAAGGGCAGGTCAGAGGAGAGGAGCATAAGGGTCAAAGAGAAGACACCACAGAAGCTGCCGGATTCAGCCCTTGCTGTTCAGCTGGTAGCCGTGGCGGCGTCGGTAGCTTCGGTAGCGTTGCCAGGGCCTGCTTCGAAACTTCATCCGCAGCAGACAGTCAGTTCAACTCCGAAATCTGTGCAAAAACAGTTTGTCGCGCCTGTCGTAAAGCTTGCACAGCAAAAGCCAACAGCAGCAGCAGCAGCACCTGCACCTGTTACTGTGGTCTCTGGAAAGAAGCAGCCCAATGTAGTGTCTGTCGCGCAATCGGCAACGCAGCCTTTGATCCACGCTCCGAAATCTGTTCAGCCGCAGCAGACATTAACCAAACTGGCTGCGCCGATTCCAAAGGTCGCGCGAAAACAGCTTGCGGTGCCTGTGGCCAAAAATACTTTTCAGAGGCCGGCGGTGGCGGCGGCGGCGACTGAACCTACAACAGAATCGGCCATATGTGTCAAATTGGAGCCAGCGGGTGTTGTGTTGAAATCCGCCGAGAAACAGTCACAAAACACGAAACCAGAGCCAGTTTTTCAACAGCAACAGCAACGGCAACAGCAACCCAAGGCCATGGCTCCAGTGCCTCAACCCCCAGCAACCAATCTCGTTCGACGGAAATTGGTTTTGTCGGCTCCAAAAGTGGTTTGGCCGCCAGCACCAAAACCAAAACCAGTTACAACAGCAGTGCCATTGCCGGCGCCGGCGCCAGCACTTGCAGTCACAACCAAAAGCTTTTCTGCACCCAGTGGTTCTCAGCCATCCCCTGTCCACGCCTCTGTCCAAAGGTCGCTGCCACCGCCTTCTTTGGAGGTCCAGCAGCAGAATAGAGCACCGGCGCCATCGCAGATTAATGCGCTGCCAGGTTTAGGGCCGCTTGCCGTCAGTCCTTCTTCGGAGGTGCTGAGCACACGGCCCGTGTCCCACACAAGGCCATCGCCGGTGTCGCATAGCCCAAAGTCGCAAGCTGCTTTTCAGGAGCAGGTGCAGAGACTCCAGCTGCCGTCAAAGTCGACGTCGACGTCGACGTCGAGTGCTTTGACGCCGCCAGTGCAACAGCCCCGGTGCCGTATAGTCGGCCCAGAGCCAGACTCAAGGGCATAGGCCAGAATTGCAGGGCTCGGTGCTGATGAGCCCCCCAGTGCAACAAACGTCAGAGCCCGTCGTGCGGCAGCAGCTGCAAAACTGGCTGACCGAATACATGGACTTGACTCCCGAACCGGTGGCTGTGCCCGCAGCGGCACCCACTGCGGCTCTGATACCAAACCCGAGCCACAGCACAGACCCACTGGTGGGGCATCTTTTGCCTTTGACTCAGCAGGGAATACAGGACCTTTCGATATCGCAACACCGCCCGCAAATGCAACCTGCGCCACCAGTGGCAGCAGCACCACGGCCTCCGAGCCCTATGCACACTGATGCTGCTCTGATGACCAGCGAGCCCATACTCACGCCGTGAGCGAAGAGTCAAATTACAATAACGGCGTTGCCAGCTTTAGGGCGAGCGCGCACGATATGCTTGAGCAAATCAAGACGATGGCGGATATCATGCTGCGTTTGAGCAGCGCCGGCACTGCTGGCGCCGCTGGCAACGCCATGGGTAACCTGGATGTCACCGCATTCAACCAAAAGGCTAGAAGGGCGGCCACGCTTGCAACGGCTCTGTTTGGCCCTGTCGCCAGCGGTGGCAGCAGCAGCCCGGCACAGGCGCAGTCACGGATTCGACTACTGTGAAGGTAAATCCAGAGCTGATGCAATAAAAACAGCAGCGCGTTGAAAATGGGGAGGGAGGGAGCGCGTAAATGTGACGTGACGGCTATTTTGATCCGTGCCATGCATCTTTCGCATCTGTCCTTTCCTCCAGTCTTTTATTGCCCACTTTTTTAATTGTTGTTGCTTCTTTTCCCTTGTCATTTTTACTTTTTCTTTCACTTTTCAAACCTTTTCAATTGGCAAAAAAACCCTCTAGAAATGCGCTGGAATCTCCCGCCATTTCGCTTGCCGGCGTCGCTTCTAATCTCGTACATCCCCGACTGGGCGCTGACCCTGGTCAGCACAGTGGTCTGGATATACCTGGGCGTGACAGAGCCGCACTACAAGCAGTTTTCCGTCGATGACAAGACAATTTCGTACCCATACATCCCGCCCAACGAGCAGACAGTGACAGTACCGGCACTGTTTTTCATATCCATAGGGGCGCCAGTGCTCGTCATCGGGCTGGTGGCCCTGTGATCCGACGCAGCATGCATGACCTGCACGTGGGACTCCTGGGACTGTTGATGAGCGTGTCCCTGACTTTGATGTTCACCAACGGGCTGAAGAACGTGGTGGGCCGGCCGCGGCCCAACCTTTTGGCGCGGTGTCTCCCGACAAGGCCCACACACCCCCTGCATGATCCTCCCAGGGCCTATCGACCATTGGTCTGTGCACGCAGACCAACATGGCGGTTTTAAACGAGGGGTTCCGCAGTTTTCCCTCGGGACACACGTCTCTGTCGTTTGCGGGGATGACCTACGTGATGTTTTTTCTGGCCGGCAAACTGCACGTGTTCGACACCAAGGGTCATGCGTACAAGTCATTTGTTGTTTTTGCGCCGTTACTGGTCGCTGCCATTGTTGGCGCCACGAGGTGTCGGATTACTGGCATCATCCGACCGATGTTATTGCTGGGGCGCTGATTGGGTTTTGGACTGCGGTGTTTAGCTACCATCAGTACTACCCGGTGTTGTTCTCACACCGCAGTGATATGCCGTTTGACCCAAGGGGCCCGCCGGTTTCGTGCTGCCGCTGCATGTGGAAAGGGAGAGGCAGGAGGAGCGCAATATCGCTTTGTCGCCGAGAAGCAGCAGTCCAGGCTGGTAGACGAGCTTTCTACAGCCAGAGCCAACAGCGCGGCGCCGCTCCTTGTCGACAACTAATAGACCGAGTTTATATTTATACAAATACAAATGCATTCATATGCTTTGCAATATACAAATAGCGCAGTATTAATAATTAATTGCAATATTTTTATTAAGGTCCATCAGCAAAACAAAAACAAGAAAAGTTTTACTTGTTCAATTGCTGGCTTTTCCACAAAAAATAGTGTTTTTTTCCCAGACCGCGGAAGTATTTTATTTAATCTCTAGAGAATTTACTTGATGGGGGCGGGGTTCATGCGGCGCTTGCCTCCGGGAGGAGGGTGACGTTGACGAAGCGACGGTTGTACTTCTCACGCTTGCTGGCGCGGCCAGTGAGCTTCTTGCCTTATCCTGAGCCTCGACCTTGGGCGTCTGATTCTTGACCTTACCGGCACGAGCAAGGGATCCGTGAACTTTACCCTAAAAATGGAGGAAAAGGTGTTTGTAAAAATACAGTTAAGGATTAGCTCAATTGCAATCTTCTGAAGCATTGTATCACGCAATGTTATCGCAAGAAAAACATCCGAAAGTGAATAGTACGCTGTTAATAGTCCAATTCCAACAAGACCAGAAGCAGAAAATAAGAGCTGAAGCTGAAGCCAAACTGTGGCAAAAAATGTGTTTTGAATCTGCCTCGCAGCGCAAATAGGTAACATAAGTAGCAGCAATAAAAAACAAGCGCTTGCGCTTAGCCTCAACTGTCAAATACAGTCTCGTTGTTCAACAAGACTAAACAAAGGTAAGGTTTTAAGCAGCAATCGTGCGTTCCTGCTGCCTGAATTCCAACACACTTTCTGCTTGCGCTGACTGCAAAACGCCTACTGTCCGTCGTTACAGCAAACAAAAAGGGACTCCAAAAGACACGTTTGTGTCTTTACGCTGTTTTGCCCAGCTCCAAATTCGCTAAAACAAAATGTGTCATCAGATTGAAAATGTCAAATCTAAAATTTCGAAATTCGCCATTTCCAAACCAATTTTAAAAATTCAAGTATTTTTGAACAGCACTTCGTTCATATGCTACTATCAAATGGATGCACCAGTTCTGCTCTGTTCTGTTCTGATGGATGCGCCAGTTCTGCTCTGTTCTGTTCTGTTTCTGCTCTAATGGATGCGGCCAAGCAAATAGGGGAAATTACGCACCATTGTGATTTATGGATGTTGATTTAAAATTGCAAAAAAATAGGATTTAACGCAAAAAGAGATGGAACACGCCTTTGGATGCAGCCCACCAAAGGTGCATAAGCAAACCCAGTTGGAGGTGGGTTAATTTTTGTGCTTATGAAATCCACCACTCTAACATTAATTTTTGAAATGATCGGTGATTTGATAATTGTGATTTAATCGATTGTGGAGGCCAGTGACGGCAATGATTCGCTCCTCATTTTTCTTCGTCTCTGAAACCTCTCTGCTCAGAATCCCCATGCAGCGGTCGAACTGTCGCCATGTGCAAAAGTTGCAGTTCTACCCAAAGTGAATAAAGATACAACGAAGCAGTTGTACTCCGCTGATGCTGCAGCTTCTGCTGCTGCTTTTCAATTCATAAACACTGTTGAAATACTTTTGATTTATCACTCGGGTGCAAACACCTTACTCTATCTTCTATTTTCATTTATTTATTTGTTATTGTATTGTATTGTTTTTTTTGAAATTCGCCACCATTGCCTTTAAACCCGCTTATTACTCGCGAGCTGGTCTAAGCGCTGTCATCAAGCCTGATTCATCTTGTCAAAAAATTATATACACCCGCACACACATATTGCAGAGCAACGAGCAACAATTACTGTACACGAGGCTGTGCTCTTTTTTAGCAACTAGTTTGCAGGTTCTTATATAAATAACATCACTTTTTCTTCCATTTCATCCATCTATTCCATTCATCACCATACACCCAAATACACATACACACGTTGACATCGGCTTGTTTTATTGGATTATCTTCACATTTACACGCACATACATACATACATCATACACGCACAGCATGTCCCCTGCAATGGCCGCCAAGAGCAGAAGCCGCCCTCTGACCATCACAACGATCGACGAATACGACCGGATCTACGCGCGCAAAAGAGATGCGTATGGGCCCAACCATGATCAAATCACAGATCATCGCGACCATCGCAAGCAGCAGCGCAAAACGCAACAGTGGACCCGCGCCTACCACATCCTAAAGGCAATAATGCACGAGCCCGAGTCCCGCAGCATCTTTATGTTTCTCCTGCTCAACCTATCATACATGACCGTGCAGCTCGTCTATGGATACGCAACGAACAGTCTCGGGCTGATATCCGACGCCATCCATATGCTCTTTGACTGCATGGCGCTTGCCATTGGGCTTGTGGCCGCTGTGATGAGCAAGTGGCCGCCCAGCGAGACTTTTACTTTTGGCTATGACCGGATTGAGATATTGTCTGGGTTTGCGAATGGCGTGTTTTTGATGCTTATTTCAGTGTCGATTTTCTTTGAGGCTGTTGAAAGGCTGATTTATCCGCCAGAGATGAACACACAGCGGCTGCTGTTGGTTTCGTTTGGTGGCTTGGCTGTCAATTTGTTTGGCATGCTCGCGTTTAACGGACACCATCACCATCACCATGGCGGAGGCGGATGCAGCCACTCGCACAAGCCGGTCCACAAACACAGCCACGATCATGACCATGAGCACTGCAACGGCCACGACCACGATCATGATCACGAACTCGAGCACGCGCACACACACCGTCGCAGCCAAAACATGCAAGGTCTCTTCTTGCACGTAATGGCCGACACGCTCGGCAGCGTAGGTGTTATCATATCGACCCTGCTCATCCAGCAATTCGGGTGGACTGGATTCGACCACTGGCCTCCATAGTCATCGCAGCATTGATATTTGCCAGTGTTATCCCGCTTGTGCGCGACTCCATGCACATGCTTTTACTCCGTCTGCCCGAGCACTCGCAGATCGAAGTGCGCTCAGCCATCAATCAGATTACGTGCAGTGTCGGTTGTATTACGGATATGCCTAGGGTGCAGTTTTGGCCGATTACGGAGGAGCAGATCATGGGGATTGTGCATGTTGTGGTTGATCCTGGGATGATGTCTGCGGGAGATGAGATGCCGCTTTGCGGGACCACTGTTCGAAGTGATATTGCGCTTGAAATTGGAAGCATTGTGAGAGCTCACGTTTCTGGGTTGCAGGATGTTTTTGTGCAAGTAGAGGTCAAATATTAGTCTAGATGCTTGACTTTGTTTTATCTTTAAACGACAATAGTATCATTTGTCTTTGACTTGCATTTGTTACATAAATACTAAAAATAAAACAAAATACAAATAAGCTCACCCCCCCCCCCCAATGCGCACTGACATATTTTGTTTTTAAAGAATACTGGTCAAAATGCAAGCAGACCAGCTTTTTCGAAGAAACAAATTGGATTCAAGTTGACGCAATTAATAATCTGCCATTTTATTATGTTTTTACAAGCTGGGCAACAGACTGTAAAATACCCTGATTAGAGAGTCGAAAAGAACACACAGCAAGGCAGGCAACATTAATTTATTGACAATTGTTCAAATGTGAAATGGTAGCTTGTAATTATCTTTATATTGTAAAATGGATTGCCGTGGCTATTATTTTTTGGTTTAGCTAGAAGATAATCATTTTGAATGCAAACTTACAATATAAGTTAGATCAATTGTTTTGTCTTCCGCCTGCTGTAATCATTTTTGTTAAAATTTTATCAAACAAAAATACCATGCACTTTGGCGATTTATATTATATATCCAATTGATGTGGGTATGGCATAGATATGGATAAAATAAAACAGCAACATTAACATAAACGCAATATTCTTCCCAATCAACATGCGCTTGATATGGTGTTGAGATGAGAAATAGTCATTCGATATGTGTGTAATTGTCATCGTATTGGTTGGGTCACAGATACTTTTTGGTGCAACACTACGTCATTACGGTTTTTGGTCTCCGTTTGTGAGGGAGAAAAGGATAACCATCTCCAGTACCCAATCAGCAGCAAATAATGTCCCTGTGGGGGTAAATTTATACTGTTTCTACTGGTTTTAAAGTTTGTTTTGCTGGCCTGACAGTTCAGCGGAGCTTTTAATAATATGTTTAGTTGAGTGGTTAATAAATCATTTTGATATGTATTTACTTTAATTACTTATTCTAACAGAATTATTGTTCAGAAATAGTGCTTGCATTTATGCCATTTGAGCATCAGCTTATCCATTAGCCATTGAGGATTCATTTGTCATAGACAAAAATGGCAGAATTCGTGCATTCATATAAGCTGGCGATATCTCTTTGCATTACTTTTGAGCCAAAAATTAAACATGATAGCACAATTGTCATGGCTTCTAAACAGTTTTTTTTTTTTTTTTTTAAAAATACTTGTACTCAGAAGCAGACAACTAAAAAGTCAATGTGGTGTTATGAGGAGATACGCTTTTATACAACAATATCGCAATATTTATATCCACATTTTCGATTAAACCTGACAATATGCAGATATATTCAAGCGCATATTATTCGGAACAGGCATTCAACAGTCATGCACAGTATTTCCAAATCTTGATATGAATAAAAGGATACCAATTATTTAAAATAAAAGTTGACTAGGCCTAAAAAGACTAAGTCTACTTTCTGCCTTTATAAATTCGGGTATGATCATGCAGGTTTCGAAAATCACTGAATATAAAAGTCTAAGCTGCATTTTGAGTGACATTAACTCAAAAAATAATTAGGCGATATTTAGTGCCTACCAACCAAGCGTGTCGAGCTGAAAAATTTCGCTTGCGCGTAAACCTGTTTGCTTAAGTGAATTAGTCGCGTTGGCATCCAGAGAAAAATAATAAAAAAGCGGGAAAATAAAGGGCCGCTGCTGCCAAGGTTTGTTTACTTTCTTTTATTTCTTCACTTTTTTGAAATTTTTTTATAGCACTTGAAGAATAAGCACACATAAGCACACGCATTCTTTATTATTCAACTATGTTCTCTCAAGCTGCTAGAATCATTACACCTCGCTCGCACGCTGCCAACACGCTTGCAAAGTTGGAGGATGCTCTCTCCAACCCACCCTGCCTTTCCTGCTCGCACTTGGAAATGAAATACAAGGCAGTAGACTCAATGCTTGGCAGAAAGATTATTGAGGTGATGGATAAGGACCTCGAAATCCGCCGCATTACTGCGGAAGCCCAGAAGAGGAAGGTGGCTTTGGATGTGCGTTACAACGACTACGTCAATGCAACACGCACAAGCCTCGAGTCAGTGAATACTGATTTCAGCATCGCACAAGATAGGATCCATGAGCTCGAGCAGATAAATGGAGAGCACATGGCCTTGATCAGCGATGCGAAGACGAGGGTTTCTGGGTGCCAGCAGGTTTAAAATTATCTTGATGCAGCACACCGCGAGATGGATGAGCTATGCAAGCGCGCAGAGTAGACTGAGGCCACCGCCAAAAAGGAGGCATTCTGCAAGCATCTCAATGACCTACACTACTGGCACCATAGCCTCCACGGGCTAGTTGCTGCAGCTACCACCTCCATTTCCAATGGTGCCAGCGCTGAGAAGGAGACACTCCATGAGCTGCTTCGCATGAACATAGCCGCTGTCAATAGTGCCGGCACCAAGGAGGGAACAGTGCACAACTTTTGTCGCGAGCAACTTGGTGTATCTACTGGCGAGTCTGGAAACGCACACCGCGCAACTGGCGAGACTGTAAGTGCTGCTGCACAACTGACCAGCTCGACATGGTCGGCACTACAGCGAATGGTGCTGATACTGAGATGAGGGCATCGTGTATGCAGCTCCATGGGGCTATCTCTACCGCCAGTACTGCTTTTAATGAGAGGGACGACCTGCAAAAAAAGCTTGCCACCCCCTGGGCGGAAAAAATTGGTTTGTGGAGCAATTGAAGGCGGCCTCACAGCTTGTTCTGACCATCTCCGCAAGCTACTTTACGAGACTACGCATACTCATGCTGTTGAGCCCAATTCTGTCTACCTTCGCCACAAGCTTGCAAAATCTGACAAACAGGTTGACCAGCAGCAACGCACCACCTTCTTCAATAAGTGGGATAAGCCAAACACACTGGCATTCGAGTCAGTGCACTGCATCTTGAACATTGCTGATCGGCATGTTGATCAAATGGTGGATGCGCACAGCGGATGGGCTCGCAGCCACACCGAGATACTGGAGCAACTGAGCAAGGACCTACTCGAGGCCTGCGAGTTATGGCTGGACGATGGGTTTGACTTGGGCATTGAGGAGTTCAAGGAAAACATGGCCAAGCTGGCCGAACTGATGGCGCCTAGGGGCGAATGTGCGGCAAAAAAGATGGCAAAGGCAAACGCGGCGATGCGCGACAATCTGGGCAAGCTCCGCAACCAGCTAATCACGGGCATTAATGTTACCAACACCTGCTTGGGCCCGACGAGTGTTAGAAGTTGGTACACAAACAACAACACCAACGCCAGCGCTAGCGCCAACGCCAACGCCAGCCGACTGGACCAGAAAGGAAAGGGTAAAGAGGTGTGGTTTAGTATTTACGAAAACAATAAAATTAAAAATGTAACTTTAAAAAAATCTGCTAATAAAAATAATATGCAAACAAATGATAAATAAAAGTTGCAAGCACACCGGCGTGCTCACATATTGTCAATACATGTGTGCAAGTTTAGTTGTGATTTAAGGACACGGGCAAATGATTTGGAAACTATTTTTGGTTTGATTTTGATACGTAGTTGTATTCGGTTCATATCCATCTGTTTGGTAGATGTGCAATATTCGAACCGCGGTGTCTCGCAATGCACAAGATTACTCAAGGATATATATTTTTATTATTATTTATAAATGGCCAAATATTGCATGCAAAACTACCAAGCATATCTAGCACACAATAATGTTTCTTTAAAAAAAACTTTAAAAGTATGCTAAATTTTGATAAGACAAAGTTGCAATAGCACATCGCACTTGCATATTTCCGGCATATTGACGCTATTTACGCTGCGGGCGGTCCACGTCCAGCTCTTGGCCATGGTCCAGCGACATGCGCTTCATGCCTCCTGATTTTTTTATAGGCTAATCCGTAACATTTTTAATTTTAATTTAATTCATCCTCGCTGTATGCCCGGTCTCCAGTTATTTTTTTTTGCTTTTCATCTCTACTTGTCCACTATGTGGAGTGGTCGCTTCCGATCTAGTCCTTGTCAGCTTTACTTTTTCTTTCTAAATATTTGGTTTCAATTCAAAAATTACTAAACTGGACACAGGAGACAGGAGACGGGAGACAAGAGAAAGCAATGACCGCACACACACATTTCGATTCTGCTGACGAGAGCAAAAAGGCATCCTTGGTAAAGTCTGAGAAGAAGGACAAGAAGGACAAGGAGAAGAAGGACAAGAAGGATAAGAAGAAGAACACAAAGGACATTAAGGACACTAAGGAGAAGAAGGAGAAGAAGGAGAAGAAGAGAAGCGCAGAGTACCTATCGACAGAGGAGCCGTCGTCCAAAAAGCACAAGTCTGGCTCCAAGGACAAGAGTAAGGACAAGAGTAAGGACAAGAGCAAGAGTAAGAGCAAAAACAGCAAAAAGACAAAATCCACCGAATCAGGTGAATCAAGCGAGCCAAAGACGGAGGCGGCTCCGGTGGTCTCCGGGTGGAACAACTGGGCAGACGCGGATCTCGGCAGCGAAGCGCGCAAAAACAAGTTCTTGCGGCTCATGGGGGTCAGAAATGTCGGCAACGCTCTGCCGCCAACAGCAGCCGCAAGCTTGTCGTCGCCCTTTGAATCGGCCATTACAAAGCAGGGCGCGAGCAGGATCAACCAGGACTTGCAGAAGAACTTTGACATAGCAATGAGCAAGCATGTCCAGGCGCCGTACGGCGGCGGAGCTGGAAAGCGTGGTGGGTTAGGCTTTTGAAATGATTATACGAAAATATATAATAAAAACAGTTTAATTCAAGGGAATGCCGGTGATGCGTTGCGGCTGCGCAGGGTGCCCAACTCACGCTCCAGGCGGTGCTTGGCCGTAGCCAGCTTCTCCTCGCTGTCTTCGAGCTCCCTCACGTGCTCCTCGAGACGCTTGATGCGGCTGGCCATGCGCTGGACATCAATCTCAATGCGCTGCTTAGACTTGTCCTTTTCGCCATTTGAAACTGCAGCTCGCGGAGCTGACGCTCCATCTGGCGAGACTTCTGCTGCGCCTCGACAGAGACCTTGGCCTGGGCCTCGACGCGCGTGGCCAGGTCGGCAGGCACAGGATGCAGGCGCTTGTTGCCCTTGGCCTGCACGGCAACGGCCTCGGTCTCGAGCTTGACAATTCGCAGCTTGAGATCCTTGAGGTGCTTCTCGAGCGCGTTCTTATCCTTGGTGAGAATGGTGTTGGCCTCACGCTCCTTGTCGAGGGCCAAGTGGGCGTCGGCAATGACAGCATCGAGCCGCGCAACGCGATCCTCGGCTGACGTGTGGTCGTCGTTGATTTCCTCGAGCTTGGCGCGGGCCGAGCGCACATCGTCCTCGAGCTGCAAGGCAGCCTTCTCGGCCGTCTGGCGGCCCTGGCTGGCCTCGATGTACTTGTTCTGCACCTCATCCAGGCGGGTCTCAAGCTTCTCCTTGACAACGCGTATTTCTTCGAGGATGACGGTGGCCTCGGCCGCCTTGGCGACGGCCGAGTCGCGCTCGTGGCGGGCGGTCTCCAGCTCGGCCTCGGCGGCCTTGGCGGCGTCGCGGGCAGCCTCGTAGGCAGGGGCAATCTCCTCGAGCTTGGCCATGACGCGCTGCAGCTCCTTGCGCGCGTCGGCAGCCTCCTCGTTGGCGCGGTCGAGCTCCTGGCTCTTGAGGGCCAGCGAGCTGTCGAGGTTGATGTACGCCTCGCGCAGGTCAATGTGGTCCTTCTTGGTGGCCTCGAGCTCGCGTGTGGTGTCCTCCAGCTCGGCCTGGTACGTGGCACGCAGCTCGTCGATAACGCGGTCGTGCTCGTCGTAGTCGCCGAGGTGACGGTCGGAGATTGCCGACAGCTCGCGCTGCAGGCCGTCGCGCACGTGCTGGAGCTCAGCGATGGCCACGGCGGCGTCATCGTGCTTGGACTGCAGCTCGAGCGCCTGGGCCTCGAGCGCGCGCACCTGCTCCTCGGCGGCGTCGCGCGCGCCAACAGCATCGTCCAGCGCGGCGCGCGCGTCGGCGGCCTCGGCACGTGCGGTGGCGGCGATCTTCTCAGCGTGCTCACGCTCGTGGCCAGCGTCACGCAGCGACGACTCGTACGTGGCCAGCGACTCGCGCAGGTGCTCGAGCTTCTCGCTCAGGCTGTTGGACAGCTCCTCGTTGTTGCCGCGCAGCGAGCGCTCGGCTGTGAGCTGCTCCTTGAAGCTGGCCAGCGTGTCGCGCGCCTCGTTGCGCTCGCGCTCGGCCAGCAGCAGGGCCGCGTGGGACCGCTCGAGCTCGTCCTGCAGCGAGCCAAAGCTGCGGTCCAGGTCGACCAGCTCGTGCTGCTTGTCCTCGACCTCGCGCTGCGCAGCGTGCAGTGCCGACGTCAACCCCTGGCGTGAGTCCTCGAGCGCACGCACGCGCTCCTCGGCAGCCGCAAGATCGGCGGCCGAAGCACTGGCGCCCGGGCCGCCCAGGCCGCGCGCCGTGGAGTGCTGGCCCAGGTCGCGGTAGCTGGTCGCGTCCTGGCGGTAGGCCTCTTCGAGCTTCTCGCGCAACTCGACGTTCTCGCTGTCCAGGCGGTTGCGCGCGTCCAGGTGGTAGGCGGCCTGGGCCATGACCTCCTCGAGGCGCCGCTCGGTGCGCTGGATCTTGCGCGTCAGCTGCGTGAGCTCGAGGTCGCGCGCCTGCAGCGAGTCCTGCAGCGCCGCGCTCTTGCGCTCGTGGCGGTCGGCCAGCGCCTTGTAGTCGTCGACGGCCTTGTGCAAAGCCTCGGCGTCGGCCTCGGCTGTGCGCAGCTTGGCGGCCAGCTCACGCTTGGCAGCCTCGACCTCCTCGCGCACGCGCGTGGACGAGTCGGCGGCCTGCTTGGTGCGCTGCAGCTCGGCCGCAGCCTGGTCGCGCTCGCGGTCGGCGCGCTCGCGCGCAGCGGTCTCCGTGTCGGCCTTTGCGCCCAGCGCGGCGACCTCGGCCAGCAGCGCCTGGCGCGTGTCCTCGGCGGCAGCCTCCTTGGCGGCCAGCTCCTGCGTCAGCTTGGCCTGCATCTCGCGGTGCTGCGCGTCCCAACGCTCCTTCGCCTCCTGCGCGGCCGCCAACTTCTGGCGCAGATCAGCCGCCATGTCGGCGTGCTCCTGGCTCTGCGCCGCGTGGCCGGAGCCCAGGCTGCGCGCGGCCTCAAGCTCAGCGGCCAGCACAGCCAGCTTGTCCTCGAGGCCAGCGACTTGGCTGTTGCTGAGGCCGCGTGTTGCCTCGAGCTGGACGCTCAGCGCGTCGAACTGCGCCTTGAACTCGGCGTTGGCCTCCTCGAGATCAACGGTGTGCGCCTGCTCGCGCTGCACCAGGGCGCGCGCATCGGCAACTTCGGCCTCGCGGTCGGCGAGCTGCGCCTTGAGGCCGGCAGCGTCGGCATTGCGCTGGGCAAGCTGCGCCTTCAGGCTGGCAGTGTCGGCGTCAACCTCACCGAGTTGCGCCTTCAGGCCAGCAATGGCACTGTCGCGCGCGGCCAGGTCGGTCTCAAGCGCCTGGCAGCGCGTCTCGAGCTCGGCGTAGCCGGCGCGCACGTCGTCCAGCGCGGCGAAGGCCTCCTGGTTGGCGTCCTCGAGCTGGCGCGCGCGCGCAACAGCGTCCTGGTCGTACCGCTCCTTGAGGTCCTCGTACTCCTGCGACTGCGTGGTGATGCGCTGCTGGAAGCTGTCCTTGATGGACTCGTTCTCTTCGAGCCGCGCCTGCAGCTCCTGGGCTGTGCGGCGCGCGGCGGCCAGCTCCTTGGACAGCTCAGTGGCCAGCTCCTCGCGGCTCATGCGCGACTCAGCCAGCTGCGCCTCCGCAGCGGCGCGCGCGGCGGCAGCCTGGTCGTGGTCGTGCTGCAGCTGCTCGATCTCGCCGCGCATCTGCGCCTCGGCGTCGACGTGCGCCAAGCGGAAGTCCTCAAGTTCGGCAGCCGTGTCGGCCAGCTCGCTGCGCAGCGCGGCCAGCTCGGCCTCGGCGCGGCGGCTCTCCTCGGCTCTGCGGCTCTCCTCGGCCAGCTCGTCGTTGGACGCGCGCGCCTGCGCCTGCGCCAGCGCAGCCTCCAGCGCACCGATGCGCTCGAGCGCGCCTGAGTGGTCGGCCTCGACGGCCTCCAGTGCGGAGCGGTACTCAGCGGCCTCGTCACGGCGGCTCTCATCGGCAAGCCGGCTCTCCTCGGCCAGCTCGTCGCTGGACGCGCGTGCCTGCGCCAGCGCGGCCTCCAGCGCACCGATGCGCTCGAGCGCGCCTGAGTGGTCGGCCTCGACGGCCTCCAATGCGGAGCGGTACTCGGCGGCCTCGCTGGCCTCGTCGCGCAGCCGCACAGCCTCGTCACGCAGCTGCACAGCCTCGGCCGCCTGCGCCTCCAGGTCGGCGCACAGCTCCTCGAGCTCGTCCAGCTTGGCGGCGTGCTCACGCAGGCTGTCTTCCAGCGCCACCCCGCGCTCCTGTGTGCGCTTGAGGATCTCCTCCTGGTCCAGCGCCGCACCGCGCTCGGCCTGCAGCAGCGCCTCGGCCGCGGCCTTGGCCCGCTCCATGTCCTGGCTCGTCGCCTCCAGCTCGCGACGCGCCGCGGCCTCGCTGTCGACGCGTGCCTGCAGCTCGGCAATGCGCGTCTCGCGCTTGCGCATCTCCTCGTCGACGCGCGTCACGTGCAGCAGCGGCTTGACGGTGCGGTACAGCTTCCACCACGGCCACTCGCACAGCTGGTTGTACACGCGCGCGTTGCGCTGGATGACGCGGATGGCGCGCGCCTGCTCAATGCGGCGGCGGAAGCGGCCGCGCGACAGCGCGCCGCGCGCGACGGCCTGCAGCTGCGTGATGATCTTGGACAGCTCAATGTCGCGCTCCTCCTCGAGCTCGGCTAGCACGCCGGCGCGGAAGAACACCTTTGTGTGGCCGAGCCGGAACTTGGCTGCGTCCATGTGCAGCGCGCCCAGCAGCAGCGACGCCGCCTGCTTGCTGTCGACAAAGACCTGGCGCGGGATGGTGTTGGGCGCCAGGATCTCGTAGCGCTGCCGGAACTCCGGGAACGCGACGCGGTTGGGGAAGCCCTGCCGCGTAATGCGGATACCCTCCAGCACGCCGTTGCAGCGCAGCTGGTCCAGCACCAGCGGCGTGTCGATGACGCCGGCGCGCTTGTCGCCGTTGGGCAGGATGCAGCGCACAAAGTGCGGCTGCGTCGCGTTGAGCTGCGCCATCAGCAGGTTGAGTTGGTCCTTGTGCCGCTGACCGACCGTGCGGAACGCGCCGCGCTTGAGCGTCGTGGCTACGCGCGCGCTGCCGCCGCCAACACCCATGCCGCTGCCGCTGCCGCTGCCGCCGCCGGCACTGGGCTCGCCGCAGTCTGCGTACAGCTGCGCGACGAACGGCTCGGCCGAGTTGCCCAGCAGCCGCGTCACGTTCTCGTTGAGCGGATCTTTGTTCTTCTCGAGCCAGCCCTCGGTGCTGTACTCGACCTGCGACGCGTAGTGCCGCACTATGAACCCCAGCGCGAACCGCGGCACGTCGTACTTGTCCGAGCGCCCGGCCCACAGCCCGTGCAGCTTCTCGGTGAACGTCTTGTCGGTCGCCTTGGGCATCACGCACTCCTCGTCCAGGCACGACATGATGCCGATGGGCTTGGTGCGGTCGATCAGCTCGATGGTCGGCTGCAGGTCCATGCCAAAGTCGATGAAGTTCCACTCGATGCCCTCGCGCTTGTACTCCTCCTGCTCCAGCACAAACATCGTGCGGTTGAAGAACTGCTGCAGCCGCTCGTTGGTGTAGTTGATGCACAGCTGCTCGAACGAGTTGGTCTCCAGGATCTCAAACCCGGCAATATCCAGCACGCCGATGAACGTCGACTTGCCCTCGGGCCGCTGCATTGCCGAGTTGATGCGCCCCACCAGCGCGCCGAACATGCGCTCGTACAGCGACCGCGCCAGTGCCTCGACCGAGTACATGACCTGCTGCAGCGTGCGTGACTGCGTCACCCAGTCGCGCCCGGCTTTGATGCTGGGTCGCAGCAGCGCGCGCGTAAAGTCCGACAGCGGGATGCCCAGCACGTGGCATAGCTTCTCGGCCGCCACCTGCTCGCCCAGCACCGCTTCGTCGTTGCGCGTCGCCTGGAACTGCATGTTGCCCAGATGCAGGATTGCCGCGATGATCCGGAACAGGTCCGTCTGCTCCTCGGGCCGGAACCCCGTCGTCGTCATCGCGCGCACCAGCGTCTCGAACTCGGCGCGGTCGTCGACACCCTGGATCGTCTGCCGGCACTTCTTGGTGAACGTGTACCCCTCGGGCCCGCGGTCGATCAGCAGCTTGTCCTTAACGCTCTTCTCGGCGCCCTTCATGAACTGGTAGAACACGTGGTAGTTGCGCTCCTGCGACGACTGGTTGGTGACGCGCGGCTTCTCGAGCAGGTACCACTCGATGTTGGCGCCGGCGATCTGCCCGGCAAAGTTGAACTCGATGCGGATGAACTTGCCCTACTTTGAGCAGAAAAAGAAGAGAAGGTGAGGTAAGGTAGGGTAAGGGGGGTGCCAGAAGCAGGTAGCCGATTAGAACACCTGTCACATCCACTGCCTGTGCACTTGGCCAAATCGACAGAACAACAAAGGGGGGGTACTTACAAATCGCGACGAGTTGTTGTTGCGGATCGTCTGCGCGTTGCCGAACGACTCCAGAATCGGGTTGGCGCTCAGCACCTGCTGCTCCAGACTGCTGCCGCTGACGCCGCCCACGGTCTTGTGGTGGTCCCCAGCGATCGCCGTCAGGTACTGGATGACCTTTTTTGTGTTCTCCGTCTTTCCTGCACCCGACTCGCCCGTGATCAGAATCGACTGGTTTTCCTTCGAGTGCAGCATATCGTGGAATGCCGCGTCAGCAATCGAAAAGATGTGCGGCACGACTTCGCTGCGCTTCTTATTCTTGTACGCCGCCACGTACTCGGGCCCATATATCTGCAGGTTGTAGTAGGGGTTGACGGCAACCAGGAACAGCCCCGAGTACGTGTATATCATGTTTGAGGCGTAGCGTTGTTTGAGGTTGTGCACCACCGAGGCCTCGTTGAGGTAGCCCAGGTCGGCCATGTCGTCCACCTTTTCGAACTTTGGCGGGTTGACCTTTTCTGTCTCGCTCAGCCTGACTGATATGTCACGCCCAGACATTAGGTGTACCACAACCATGTCGTTGCCCTCTTCCTTGACCACGTACCCGGCAATATACCCTTCCTTGTCGTGCGGCACCCAGACCCATTTCTTGTCGGTAAAGTTCACATTCGCCTGCTCGAACAGGTCGGGCACTACCTGCGCTGACCGGCTGCTCAGCGATGCTGTGGGTGCCGGGCTCTCGGGTCGGTCGAGCCCTTGTTGAATGGCCCGGCGGATGCTGGCCACCGTGGCGCCCTGTCGGCTATTCCGGAGCATTGTCGCTATAAAGAAGCAAAAGCTGTTGCTGTTGCTTGTTTTTGTTTTTAAAAGTTAATCGAGGTTGCTTGTCTGCCTGACTGACCGACTGACTGACTGACTGACTGACTGACTGACTGCCTGCCTGCTTGGCCTATCAGTATGCGCGTTTGTCGCTGTGTGTGGGAGTGAATAAATAAGACGATGGGGGGAGGGGGTGTGGGCGGGGGGCAGTGCTGAGGCTATAAGGTGCCCAATAATGTACTGTAATGTTTAGAGTAAAAATAATTAAAAACAACAGGAAAAAATAGAAGAAAAAAAAAGATACTTGGGCAGAAAGAGAAAGGAGCGGCAATACGATGCGCAAAGAACATGACCTTTTTTATTTTACTTTGCACAGCGCAAATGAATAACCCGCTTTTTCAAAACGTAAACACGAAGACCAAAAGGAGCAGACAAAAATGTCATTACGTCGTCGATGAACCTTTATTTTTTTTCCAACATGAATAAAAATTGAAGGGAAAAAAAAACTCAAAAATTGTCTTTGCGCTGACGGTGTAGTGTGCTGCATCTTAAATTTACCTGCCGCTTCTCTAGTACATGTCCCCCATTCCCTTGCTTACAATACGTCTCACCACACCACACACACCCCCCCACTCCGCTTTCATTTGCCCTGTTTTGCAAAACAAACAACAAAATTTACAAGTGTTTCAAAAATACGCTCAATCCAATCAAATCAATCGGCGGAAAACCTGATGCAGCACTTATGGTCTGGTCACAGCTGACCTTGGTCTTGGTCTTGGTCATGGTCATGGTCTGCTCAAAGCCAAAAATGCAAAGAGAAGATTTCAAGTATTTTTCAACAATGATAATATTAATTAAAGCGCCACTTTGACCAACACAAGAATGAAAAAAGATAAATCAACTCAGTTATCCCTCCTAATTGTCCATTTCATCGTCTGACACGTCCTCAACGAGCGTCTTGCGTGACGTCGGCTGATTGGGGCTATCGACAAGCGCTGGCGCTGTATTATTTCCAGCAACAGCCTGCTTGCGCGGCAGCCACTTGACCGGATTCCGCTTGTAGAACGGCCATGCCGGCAGCACAACAATGTATGTCAGTGCGACGCCCGCCACGTATGTGTAGAAGCACAGGCTGAGCGCGTGCTGCGAGTACCCGATTATCACTGCTGCGAGAGCAGAGCCGACGATGAGGAACGTGGCCAATTTGCTCACCAACTCCTGGCCCTTAAAGTCTATCCTGCCGCTTTCGTACATTGACGTGAGAAGGGCCATGCTTGCTGTGAAATGTTTAAATGTAAGAGTAGAATCGGGGAGGCCAAAAATAAAAATGAAGAACGCAAATGAGTGCCGGAATGCTGATTGGAGCTGAGAGGAATAGAAGAAGAAAACAAAAATTAAGAAAGGCCTTCTCCCCTCCTCTCTCTTCATGCACCCTTTTCAACATAAGCAGTAAGTGAATTGTTTTTTCCTTTCCTTCCTCTTCTTTTTTGTTGGCCACCAGCGATTGATTGGAAAGCGGCTGCAAAGCCAAAGTGGCGGGAGATAAAATTGAGAGCCACTCTTTTGTTCTAAGAAATTAACATTATTAACCATTTTATTACTGCGAAATATGAGCGGGCTGGTCGGTTGGTCGGTTGGTCGGTTGGTCCGTCGGTCCGCCCACCCCGCTCAGCTTGTCTATCCACGGGGCCAAACCTTTCGTTTTCATTCGGATGCGCCCGGCAGGTCCTGGCCCAGACCGCTGAACAGCTCAAAGATGGACTCGGGGCTCTTCTGGAAGTTGTTCTCGACAATGTTCATCAGGTACCAGTCGTCGCTGATGCCCTTGATCAGCGTGGCGGGCGTGCTGTCGCGGTCATACACGTTGGCCCAGGCGTTCCAGAAGTCGAAAGCCTCGTCCTTCCAGGCGAGGAAGCTGACGCGCTCGACGATGGTCGGCTGCAGGATCTCCTTGCCGGGGAACACGCCCCAGGTGACAGCATTGGGGCTGTCCTCCTGGCAGTTGGTCAGCAGCTCGCCGCGCTTCGACACGGCGTAGTAGGTCAGCGACGGCTCCTTGTCCAGGCGTGCCAGCAGCGCATGCATGTTTTCGGGCGACGTGAAGAACTCGAGGTAGGCCTTCTTGTAAACAAAGCCGTTGGACGGGCCCCAGCCGTGGATCTTGTCGCTGGACGGCGCGCCGTTGCAGCTGGGCTGGCTGTTGATGGTCAGGAAGCCGCGCGCGTTGATGCTGGCCAGGCAGTCCTCGATGGCCGACGACTCGGGCTGCAGCGGCGTGTCGCTCCATGGCAGCGCGTCGAGGCGGCCGCGGCAGTACTCCACAAACAGCTGCTTGATGTCGGCGACGGCCGCCGGCTGGCCCCACTTGCGCAGCACCTGGGTGGCCGACAGCCGCACCTGCGCGCCGTGCACCAGCTCGCCGTAGGCCGGCGAGCGCGCGTCGCCCCAGCGGCCGTTGGGGAACTCGTCCCAGAGCTCGGTGCGCTTGATGTAGCTGCGCGCGTGGTTGCGCCAGAAGATCGGCCGCACGTTCTCGCCGGCGCGCTTCTCGGACAGCGACGGGTTCCAGGGCAGCGGCCGCAGCTCCTGCACGGTCGGCACCAGCTGCAGCTGCTCCAGCACCATGCGCGTCGACCGCTCGAGGTTGATCGTGTAGAAGTGGAAGCCGCGGATGCCGGCCGCCCGCAGGCGCGAAATCATGTTGACGGCGACCTCGATGCCGTAGTCCTTGATTGCCTGGTCGTCATCCTTGATCGGCTCGAGCCGGCTCCAGATCTCCTGCGGCACGCTGATGCGGCACAGCTCCGACATGCGCTTGAACCCGCCGTAGTTCTGGATCGGCATGATTCCGGGCAGAATCGGCATCGTGATGCCCGCCGCGCGGCACTTGTCGACCCACACCAAAAAGTTGTCCACGTCGTAGAATAGCTGCGTCACGACAATGTCAGCGCCGGCGTCCTGCTTCTCCTTGAGGTACTGAATGTCGCGGTCGATGTCCTCGGGGCCGATGCAGCCCTCGGGGTACCCGGCGACCGATATGCAGAAGTAGTCGCCGTATGTGCTGCGGATGTAGCGCACCAGGTCCGTGGCGTACTTGAACTCGCCAACGCTAGGGTCAAACTCGACCGAGTTGTCGGGCAGATCGCCACGCAGCGCCAGGATGTTCTGCACTCCGTGCTCCTTGGCCTTCTCCAGTGCCGACTTGATGAGTCCGAAGTTTGTGTTGGTACATGTCATGTGCATGTTGGCCTCGACGCCATAGATCGTCTGCGAGTTGGAGCACAGATCCAGCGTCAAGTCCGACGACTTGCCGCCCCACCGCCAGGTGACGTCGATGAACAGCGGCCCGAGGTTGCACATGCGCTCAATGCGGTCGTACAGGTTCGCCACGCCATGTTCCGTTCTGGGCGGGAAGTACTCAAACGACCAGAAGCACCGATCGTCCTCGAGCGCCTTGTTGATTTTGTCGATAATCTTCATGGCTGGCCTTTAGTGCAATAACAAGAAGAAGAGGTAATAAAATTCTATAGAGCAAGAACAGGTTAATAAAAGTATTAAAAAGAAGGAAAAAAGAAAAGAAAAAGAAATATATGCAAGCGAATAGCAACAGAAACAGTGAGAAGAAAGAGAAAGAGGACGTCGAATGTAAAAATGCTCGTTTCGAGACTTCATTGCTAAAAAAGGCGCTGCACTTCTTTTTGACTTTATTCTATGGGCCAGAAAAGGGTCATTTCTTTTAAAAAATTTGCAGTTGAAGGGGGGGGGAGAAGGACAAAGACACAAAATTTTGCAGTTGAATCGGGTGCGCTATCGCTGTGAGTGTGAGTTGATGAGTCCGAATCATCTTCGCCCGCTGTTGCCTGCTGCTACTCTTGCTCCTCCTCTTCCGTCCAATAACCCAACGAGTTCGGTCAATCACGGGCAATCATCCCCATCATCACAGCTGCAAGCGGAGCAAAACAAACCAAAAAAAGACCGCTGAGCTTTCCTGTTTAAGTCTGTTAAATTGTTGTCGTTCCTTTTTTCTGCTCAAACAATGCCAATAACAGATTATCAACACGTTTAATTGTTCGTGGTAGCAAAACAACAGTGCATGCATGCCAACTGGTACTATGAACAGAGAGAGGCATATTGTGCAATTCGTGCTTTTTCCCACAAGGATGCAGCCTACACACTCATTGATCATGGTGGTGGTGTGTGTGCTCGCGGGGGTTTTTTTGACCTGGCTGCATCTATAACCTGGGTTAGAGTACGAAACACATTGCTAAAAGGAAAATAAAAACTATTCGTCATTTATCTCGCCAAGACAAAATTTAAAATAAGCAGTCAAGCCGCGCATACATTGACCTTTTATTTCAACCAAAGTAAACCACACATACGACAAGATGAGCGTAACCGGTAGTTCTGTGAAAAGGTATTTTCCATATAGTAAAGCATTGCAGCAGCTATTTAATATTTTTTAGCGGTGAATGCCTGTGGAATATTCAACTGGTGCTAAACGCAATTGTATTGCCATAAAATGATTTGTTTTGCTTGTAGTGCGCTGATGGAAGTCATTGACAGCCACGCTCGCCTCGAAAGAGAGAATACGACAGCAAAGGTAAGTCCCCCCACTCAACGTGCAATGATAAATTGCCAATATAAATATATTGAATCAAATATATATATATATATATATATTGCATTGTTACTCAAATGACCCTTGAAATGTATTGTTCCTCTAGGCACAAACAGCGTACCTGCGCGATATCCACCTGGCATTGCTTTGCAGAGATGCCGGCCGGCATCCATGCTGCATGCACTTCTGGATATCGTGTGCTATTTCTCAGAGTCAAGCGTGTTGCATATTGCAGTGAACAGACAGCGGCTAGGGAGCGGATGGCAAGGTAACAATAGCCTAAATTCTGGTGCAGAAAAACCATTTATAGCTATTGCATTAAAAACCTGTATATATTTGCTGAAACAAGTTCGTTGTTTATTTGTTAATACGTTGTTTTTTTTAGGCAGAGTAGTATTTACTTCGAGTATCAGCAAGCAAAAAGTCGAGCTAGAGTCGCCAGCGGAGCCATGCGAGTCTGGCGGAAGGTACGAATGATATGGTTTTTATTGATTGTGACAAGTTCGAATGCAACAATTGCTGGTGAATACAAAACTAAACACACTTGATTCAACATGTAGCGTGTTTTGTTACCGGCTGCCATCTCTGCGTAACGAATGGACAGCGGATTTTTCGCTCGTATTTTCGCCACAGTACACAGTGCCCAGTACATACATTGCCGATATCCGCGCATCTGGACATCCTACATATCGACATCATCGACACCCTCCTCCCATGCACACCAGCATGCGTGCGGCTGGCAGAGTCGCAAGTAACCACAATCAAAATGCCGTGCGTGTGCGAGATATGGATTAAGCCCACACCCACACCTTCACTCGCATCCGCACCGACAGCCAACACGGACAACATGGATAAGTTGGCAGGCAAGTGGTATTGTCGCTGCTGTTTGAGAACACACCTCCGCAGCAGCAGGCACAGAAGAGAATGGCCGCGGTCATGATTGGTGATGCGGCAGCCGAGTTCTGTGTGCCCAGGGTAGCCAATGCAGCAGGATTAAATGAACCAGCAGAATTGCACGATGTGGTCAGTGTGATGTGCATTAGCGAACAGGCCACTTGGCGCTGCGGATCTGCTCTGATGAGTGCAGCGCGCACTCGGCTGTCGTGCTGGCTGCGATCAAGAGGCTGGCGCTGCTCCTTGACTTGGACTTGGATGATAACATGAGCGTGTCCAGTGGCAATCTGTCGGGATAGGGGACGAGTGCGAGCTCGAGCTGCGCAGCTCCTCGGATACCAACACCAACACAGGAATTGCTGCCCACGCGTATTTTGCAGTTGTGGAGTGCGAGTGGCCACAATTACTGAGGCTAATAGATGGTTAAATATTTTTATATAGATACTTATTTAGAAAGCAGCGGCGGCGGGGGCGACAGCAGCAGCGCGTCGGCGGCTCTTTGCAGGCGACGCTTGAGCTCGCTAACAGGGAAATACGCCATTAGATCGGGGATTTTTGGGCCAGAGTGCTGGCCGGTCAGCGCAAAGCGGAGCATCATCATGGCGTATTTTGCTGGCACCTGCGCAGTGGCGGCAATCTCCTTGGCAAAGCCGACCCATTGCTCGGCCGGGACTCTGTCCTGGCCCATGGCGTCGGCCGCAGCGACCGAGGGCAGATTTGATTTAGTGGTGATCTGGGCGATTGCGGCCTGCAACAGCGTGATTCTGGCATCGGCGGGCACCTTCTGAACGACAGCGTCGGCGTCGGGCGACCCCAGGTCCGGATCGGCAAACAGGAACGGGCGGCATCATACAGGTCGCGGGTAAAGGTCAGACGGTCGGCGCACAGGCGCAGGGCCCGCAGCGTGTCGGCGGGCTGGGCCAGGGTGTGCTTGGGGGCGACAGAGTTGGTTTTGTTGTTGATCTCCAGCGCTGCCTGTTCGGCCAGGCGCGGCGCGGTGGCTGGGTCGTCGATCTGCATGCGCAGGTGCTGGCGGTTGAGCCAGTCCAGGCGGTCGCGCGACACGACAGACTTGCTGCGGCTGAGCCCAGCCAGCGAGAAGCTGCGCTCAAGCTGCGGCAGTGTGTAGATCTCCTGGGCGGACGCGGCGCCCGGGTGCCAGCCCAGCAGCGCGGCGTAGTTGACAAGGGCAGCCGGCAGGTATCCTTTGTCGACGTAGTTCTGGACCGGCGCGTCGGCATTCCGCTTGGACAGCTTCGACCCGTCGGCGTTCATCAGCAGCGGCAGGTGCGCGTACTGCGGCGCCGGCCACCCAAAGCAGCGAACAGCGCGCGGTGCTTGGGCGTCGAGATCAACCACTCCTCACCGCGCAGCACGTGCGTGATGCGCATAAGGTGGTCGTCGACAACGTTGGCCAGGTGGTACGTCGGCAGCCCGTCGCTCTTCAGCAGCACGGCGTCGTCGAACCCAGCCGGGCCGCGAACCGCATTGCGCCGTGCACAATGTCGTCGAAGACTGCACCGCTCCCGGCTCTGCTGCGCCGGGCATGCGGAAGCGCACGGTGAAGGCGTCGCCGGCGCGCAGCTTGGCGTCAGTCTGCGCCTGCGACAGGTGCAGGCAGTGGCGGTCGTACATGGGCGGCCGGCCCTGCGCGACGGCGTCCTGGCGCAGCCGGTCGAGCCGGTGCGCGCTGCAGAAGCAGCGGTAGGCTGCGCCGCGCGCCAGCAGGTCGGCCGCATGCTTGCGGTATGTGTCGCCGCGCTGCGACTGGAAGTACGGCCCGCTAGCGCCGGTGCCGGTGCCGGGCCTGCCTGGGCCCTCGTCGAAGTCGAGCCCGGCCCAGGCCAGCGTGCGCACAATGTTGTCGGCTGCGCCGGCCACCAGCCGCTTCTGATCCGTGTCCTCGATCCGCAGTATAAACTCGCCGCCGTAGCGCCGTGCCAGAAGGTAGTTGAACAGCGCTGTGCGCAGCCCACCCAGGTGCAGCATGCCCGTCGGGCTCGGCGCGAACCGCACGCGGACCGGCCCTGTCGGCTCGACGCCGCCGCCGCCACGTGTGGCTGCGCCGAGTGCGTGTGCGCGTGTGTCTTGTTGCAGCTGCTGCTGTGAACAAGGGCGCGCGACGTGCGCGCAGCTGAGGCGATTCGAGCCCTGAGCGCAAATTGAGACGATACCGGCGGCAGCAGCAGCATTTCTCGCAATGTAATACAATGAATTTGCCGTTAAAATGTACAGAACGTAAAAAGAGGAGGGGTGGTGCTTTATCTTGGCGCTCCCGACCCCTTGATCATGCATGTCCCCTCTCTCTCTCTCTTTCTCGTTTCTGCTGAACTTGATCATTTTCCACGCAATTCGCTTTTCCCACTGCCACATTCCCAGTCCTTTTGCTTTTACTTTTACATTCCCGTTCTCATTCCCAACCCACTTTTGTAATTCCAGAATGACCGCCCAGCAGCACGCAGGGAAGGCGCGCCGCCTGGTGCTGACGCTCGAGAAGGGGCTCACGAACTGCGCGGCTGAGGCCACCGCCTACGGGCGCTGCGTCACGGCGAACATAGAGACGATCGGCAAGCATGCGTGCCAGGCGCAGTTCCAGGCGTTCAAGGCGTGCGCCCAGCAGACGCTCAAGCGCAAGTGGTAGACAAAGCCTGGATCAAATAATTAAGAAAAATTAAATAAACAATCGACAAACACAACTCCCTTTTAGCTCACTTGAGCTGGTACTTCTGGTGCTTCGTGGTCGCGCTGGCTGCCGCGTCCGGCCGGTCCTTCATTGCGGCCGGCACATGGCAGTACGTGATCTCTAGATCAAGCTCGCGCGGGTTGGCTGCGCTCTTCTTGCAGACGAAGCGGCCATGCACCTGGTCGCCGGTCTTGGCGTCGATGGGCTCGTGCAGCGCAAAGACCGTCTGCTTCCAGTGCGTCGCCGTGCCGTGCGGGCCCGTTGTGAATCCGTTCATGCGCGACTCGGGCTGCCGCCACAGCGCGCGCTGCGTCTCCGACACGGGCGCGCCGAGCTGCTCGGGGCCGGGGCCTGCCGCCGCCTGCGAGCGCGAAAATGCCACGTCAAAGTACCCGAGGAACGCGTGCAGCGTAGCGTCGCGCGTGGCCTCGAGCACAAAGTCGCTGGCAAAGTCCAGCGCCGCGGGCGTCGTGGTGCCGTGGTCGATCTCGGCAAGCAGTGCACGCGTGGCCATGACGGCAGCGGCCGGCACGACCTCGACGTCGGCCTCGCTGATGACGCCCTGCGTCTTCATGGCCGACATCTTGAAGCCGTACACGTCGTCCCAGTAGTTGACCTGCTGGTTGATATACTCCACGTCGCTGATCGCCGTCAGGTAGATGTACGATGCGCTGGGCGCGAGCAGGCCGCCGGGCGCCAGGAAGCGGTCGCGCGCGACCAGCACCGAGTCGAGCATGGCCTCGAACAGCAAAAAGTACCCCATCCACTCGGAGATGATGATATCGACTTGCGCCACGGGCAGCTCCAGGTCCTCGATCTTGCCCTTGACCAGCGTGATGACCCCGTCCAGCTTGTTCTCGAGGACGTTGGCGCGCGCCTTGTGGATGATGTCCGAGTTGTCGACCGCGATGACGCGCGCTGCGCCGGCGCGCGCCGCAAACATCGACAGGATGCCCGTGCCGCAGCCGACGTCCAGAACGACCTTGCCCTTGAAGATGTCCTTGTTATCGTAGATGAAGTCGCGGTACCCCTCGGTGCGCACCTTGTCCTGCAGCATCTGCATGTGGATGTCGTTGCCCGCGTACGAGTTGAAGTAGTAGTCTCCGCCCTCGCCAGATCGGCCGCGTCAGGCGCATCCGACTTGTCATTGTCATTGTCATCGCCGTTGGCTTTGCTGTTGCCGGCGTCGTCGATGGTGTCGTAGAACTGCCGCTTGACCATCTGCCGGTACTCGTCGAACTGCTCGCTGACGAACCGGACCTCGCGGTCGCGCAGCCCCAGCTGGTTCTCCAGTGCGCGAATCCGGGACACCAGCTCGCGCTCCTTCAGCGTCTCGCCGCTGCCGCCAAGGCTGCCGCAGGCGCCAGCAGCCACAAGCCCCTCGATCTGCGTCGTCCGCGCCAGGCTGCCCGGGCGGCTGCCGCGACCGACGCCGAGTCTTCGAGATCGAGCTCATCCAGTGCGTACAGCAGCGTGTCATCCTCGATGACCGGCTTCAGATATGCGTCGTCATTGATGAATGGCTCTGTGCCATCGATGGAGAAACCCGACACCTGCGCAAAGCTGGCGTCGCTCAGCCCCATCGTGCGGATGTAGTTGACTACGCGCATGCTCTGGTAAAAGTCCAGCTTCAGTGTAGCGCGCGTCTTGGGGAAGTCGAAGCCGTGCACCTGGTTGATGTGTCTGAACATGACAATGGGGCTCTGCGATGTGTGCGTGCAGAACAGGCACTTCATCGGGGTGTTCATCTCGTCGTCCTCCCATCGTCCCACCGATCCTCCTGCGTGTCCCATCCTGACTCTGAGTATGATACGACAGACATTTTTCTATAGCAAGGGTGATATATGTGTTTTTCTTTGAGAAAGCTAAATAAAAAGTTTAATGTGAGAAAGAGAGCTTGTGTGGTGGTGTGCGTTTAGCGTGAAGACACAAAAGTGGAAGTGTGTTCATTGCCTTGCAATATATTTTTATTTTCTGTTGAGTGTGTGGGCCGATCAGACGGGGGTTGGGTGGGTGCGCATGCATGAAAAATTTTCACACCAACCAGTCCGCATGTGATCAGCCCCATACACAGACAATTTGGCCGCTTTCTGAGAGCTTTTTAAGAGCGCCAATGCGCCCACTGGGTATAAATGCTGAGAGCGCGGTTGTTTTGTATTTGTTTATTTATTTACCATTTCAAAGCCAAATTTACAAAGCGTTCAATATTTTATTTCTAATACAGTATGCCAAAGGACAAGAAGACCCACGACCAAAGCGCCGATGAACCCGCCAGCACTGCGACGACGACATGGCGGCAGATGAGACGGGCCCAGCCGGGCTCGAGCTCTACCTGAGCGACACCAAGAAAAAGAACAAAGGGAAAGCACCGACCATAGTCTTGCCCGGAAAAACTGCCGCCCCAGTGGATACCGCTGAGGAGCACCAGGCAATAGACCTGCTGCTTGGGGCGTACGAGCAAATGATCAGCGTGTCTCCCAAGAAGAGCCGCAAATCGTGCATTGGCTACTGGCATCCAGATGGACGCCTGGTGTCGATTCCTGAAAAGCCCATCGATCTTATCTCACGGACATCGGGCAGAACGTCTGCCGGCACTATCAATTTGCAGCCGGAGGAGTGGTTGCTATTTGTCGAGCGCGGGTCGCTCATAATTTCTGGCCAAGCTGGCGAGGAGACGCTTGAAGCAAAGCCTCAATCGGAGGTGGATATCTCGGCAGAATGGCTTGCTGCACTGGGCAGGGCTGAGCTTAGCCTGGACGAGTACAGGGCGTATGGGCATTTGCGCCGCCTCGGCTACGTTGTTGTTTGCCCCGAATCCGGCACCCAGAATAAAACGTCGGCACCGGCATCGGCATTGGCATCTGGCAGATGGTGCCAACTGATAGTTTTCCTTTTAGCAACAGCATCGGCAGCGCAGCAGTGAAGCTTGGACAGTGGCTCTCTCGACTCGCCTCTTTCTTGGTGGCCGGCACACGCACATACACGCTCAGTAAGTCACTTTGCCACTTTATCTGATCAAGAAACACTTGACCTGCATTGCTACTGCCACATGCGTGCGCTGGTTACAATCCTGCAGTAGCCAATCAAAAAACCTCTTTCTCTCAAATCCCTTAAATCCCCGTAGACGATATCTTCCATGCTCTGCAGCGCCGCGCGCCCAACGCACAGTCGCAAGCAGCGCTGCCTTGTTTGGCGGCGGATACAGCTTGTACAAGCCAGAACATCCGTACAAGAAGCGCGATCCGGGACAGGCGCAGCACCGCATGGTTGTGGAGAACTCGCAAGACAGCGTTCCAGACGCAGCCAAGCTGATGGAGTGGTCGCGGGCGGACTGCCAGCAAGCGGCCGTTGTGTGCGTCAGCGAGCCTGGCGTCGCTGGCTATCTTAGATCCGCCCGTTTGAGGCGCCCGATGCGCCAAGCCGTCTGCAGGCGGCCAAGGCGAAACAATAAATGTATTTTCTCTTTCTCTTTTTTTCGAAACACAATAGACTACTTGTTGTTTGCGAGGGCTCAACAGTAGCAGGCATGAGTAAATTAATTAGTATATAATGTAAATGAGGGGAGGCTCTATCGACTGTACATGTCACTCATATCGTTCGACCCTAGGTTGCTGCCCGACAGGTTGCTGCCAGCGCCCGCGGAGTAAAACGGAGAGCCAGGGATCCCGCCCAGGTTTGGCGATGGGTTTTGTGATGTCATGAGCGGTGAGGGGATTGTGCGGCCGTAAACGTCCAGGCTGTCGCCTCCGGCAAGCGCAGTGCGCAGAGACTGCTGGCTCGACTGGTGAGAGGTGGGGTTATGCTGCTGGTTCTGGTTCTGGTTCTGGTTCTGGTTCTGGTTCTGGTGGTGGCGCTGCTGTTGCTGTTGCTGTTGCTGTTGCTGTTGTTGTTGCTGTTGCTGTTGTGTTGTTGGCGTTGTTGTTGTTGCTGCTGCTGCTGTTGACGCTGTTGTTGTTGCTGCTGTTGCTGGCGCTGCTGGTTGTGTTGCAGCTGCTGGGCGTGATTTGCAATTGACAGCGATGGGTTGGATGTCGAGTGGTGCAGCGCATTCCCTAGCTGGCTGATATGCGAAATCGGGCTGGTCGGCGACGGCGATCCGTTGACCCCGCCGATAAAGCCGCCGGCCCCCAGCTGCAGCTGTGTGCCTAGGTCGACATTGACGCCGAGTAGCCAAGCTCGGTGTGGTGGAGCAGTGAGTTGGTGTCGTGGTCCGAAATGAATATCGATGGGCGTGTGGTCTGGTTGCCGATGGCGGCCTCAATATCCAGCTCGGGCGGGATGCTGACACTAGTGCTGCTCTGCTTCAGCGACTGCAGCAGCTGGCGTATGACGCTGTCCTGTGTTAACTGCTTCTTCCGCGTCTCGGCCAGCTCGCGGATGACCTCGGACAGGTTCTCCTGCAGGTGGTGCACGCGCTTGACCAGGTCGGTGTGCGAGACCTGCAGCATGACAAAGTTGGCGTGAAGGTCGCCGGCCTCGCGGCGCAGGGACTCGGATTCCATTGTTTTGCGCTTAATCTGTTCGAGCAAGTCGGGGCGGTCGCGGATAAACTTTGGGTGCGAGAACTCCCAGATCTGGTTCTCAGCCATGGTGCGGTGGCCGCGCGGCGACTTGTTCACCTTGTGGAAGCCGTACCTAAAAAAGAAGCAGCGCAATGCAGTGCAGTGGGCTCGGAGATTAGTATAAAAGAAACGCGTACATTGAATGCATGCATGCGCCCGCATATAGCATATAGGATTCGACGGCGTGGTTGGCAGGTTTTTTGAACTTACATGTTGAGCTGGCGCACAAAGCTCGAAAAGTTGTTGTGCTTGAAGTGCTTGGGAAGCAGCTCGCGCGAGAACTCCATGATGTTACACACCACAAACGACGTGCCCGAGAAGTTCCAGGATATCAGGTGCTGGTACTGGCTGTCGTTGACCATCTCGTGCAGCTTGCTGACAAAGGTGTTGCCCAGCTTGCTCCCATTTGACGACACCGACGACCGCCGGCTCTCCATCGAGGAGGGTGTTGTGCTGCGCGCGATGGGCTTGAGATACTGGTCGGCAGAGTCGCCAAGCAGGTGCTGGCCGACGTCCAGGGCGTTGGCCGAGGAGACGTCGGGTGATAGTGGGATTGGCCCGCCCTGGCCAAATCGGCGCCTGTGAGCGAGTCATGCAGATGCTGGAGCTGGAGCGTGTTGTTGTGGTTGGCCCTGTTGTTGCCGCCGCCGCCGCCGCCCATGTTCAAGTTGAGGTTCATATTTAAATTCATGTGGGAATTAGCGTGCTGAATGTACAGTGAGAATTATTACAGGTAATGTTGTATTGCAAGTGCCGTGTTGCCTGTGCGTACGCTGTGTGCTATGCCTGGGATATGGCCGACCAAACAACGAACAATGCTGTGTGTGCGTGTGTGAGTGAGTTTGTATGCGCACGAGGTAGTTTCTTGCTGCTATTATTAGGGCTGGGTGGTATGCAGGTTTGCCAATAGAGCTTCACTCTTGAAGAATAGGACAAAAGTTGGGCAAGTGTAAAGAGAAATGGAGTGGAGTGTGTAACAGACAGCCACCGGCTTGTGAGAGTGTGTATTGATTGGGGGAGGGGGGAAAGTAGAGGCAGCGTGATGTGCTGGAGTGAGTGAGTGTCAAAACTTTTTTGAGCTATAAAATCGTATGGGTGGGTTGCCAAAACGAGTCTTGAGTTATAGTGCTGTTATTCCGATAGAGCAAGAAGAAGAGAGCGAAAGCTAATAGCTAATGGAAAAATAGAAGGAAAATGAGGAAACAAGGCAGCTTGTTCTCTCTAGAATATTGAAGACAAGCACAAGCAGCGGCCAAAGCACAAGTCTGGTGTACGCTAAAAAGAAATGAGGCAGACAAAAAACAAAGAGACTGCAAAAAACATTGGACTGCAGACGAACGAAGGAAAGAAGGAAGCATCGCTTTAATGCTCATGCAGACGGGTCCAGCCCAGCTTAAAGAGGCGCTCTCGCTGCGAAGAAGGATTGTTTGGAAGGCCAAGCCAAAGGGCATGCCTCACAGGGCTTCTGCGCTTCCCCTACTCCATTCCATTCTCTGCGCTCAGCATCAGCGCATAGCAGCGAGCTTGGCGCACGCGAAGCGCGCCTTCTCTCTTGTACAAAAGTGCACACCAGACTGGGGAGGGAGCTGCCGTTGCTGCTGCTCTATTTCAGAACGTGCTCATTGCTGCTGCTGCTGCTGCTGCTGCTCACACCAATTGCTTGCTCAACCATCGCTGCGCTTTCCACGGAATGTTCTGCGCAGAATGTTCTTCTCAGAAGGCACACACCCTTTTCTGCCAACCCTGCTGGCTCTTGCTTTGTCGCTGGAGCGCTGGCGGCCTCTCCGCCTCTCCACAGCCAATTGGGCCAGCGGCCTCAAGAGCCATTTGCTCTGCCTGCACACATGCTGTCCCAAGCGGCCGGAAAACGCTGGGTTTGGCACGGCGCAACCAAAAAATAAACAAAGCAGTTATCGGCTGCTCCCTCCCTTTCGCAAAAAAACCGCTGGAGCTTGCAAATCAGCGCGACGCCCTGGCTATTTATTGCGTATGGGCCGCACTCTGTATGGCTGGCGAATGCTGTCCTGTGCCTGTGCCTGTGCCTGTGCCTGTGCCGATGGGTCCGGCCGTGTTGCCTTGCCGCGGCAGGAACGCGACCACGGCATGGCACAGGCACAGGCACAAGCGCAAGCGTAAGCGCGACGCAGTTCTCTCTGTCGGAAAATATATTTTAAGCCTGTATCGCATTGCAGATGCCAAGGCTTGGAGCGCGCATCTTCTACTTTTTTTTCTTCTTTCTTTTTTGCTTTAGCGCCGCTCGCTGCAAGCAGCCTGGGAATCTGACTGGGATTGTTCTGCTAGTCCCTAAAGACGTTACGTCGAAGGTCAAATAGAACACTGTAAAAATAAACAAACCCGTCCTTCCGACTGTGCATTCGAAAATCAAGATGCCAGTTGATGGCGCGACTGTGGCCTGATAGGCCGCGTATGTGGTTTTTTGTTTGCTTGCCACGATCTGGATTCGGCGCTTCCTATTAGCAGGAGGCAACTCAACTAATCTCAACTATCGCTGGTGCATTTTTTGGAGTGTGTGCGAAAAGTGTTACTGAATACCTGTTGTTGCTGGCGAAATGGTCGCCCGCCGGCTTACTTTGGTGATCACAGATGACTCGAATAGGCAAATCAACATTTATAACATCCGCTTCTCGCATTATTGGTATTTTCAGGTGTGAAAAATACACATGGTTTTTTCTCGTACTTTCCCAACTTTTTCCCAACTTTATAAGCGGGAGAAATAAAGTCAGGGATTTAGCGTACTTTTTCGTTGGAAAAGTTGAGAGATATCAGACGTTTCAATAAGCAAAATCTGAATCGATAAAGGTGGTGAAGGGCAAGTTTAAGCCTAGTAAAGATGACCTGAAGCTTGCCGCCAGCAAGGGCTGGTGTGCACGGCCGTCGTCGCAGCCGAGACCGCACCGGCCCATGCAGAGTTGAACTCGCTCAAACTCGATAAGTACATAAGTACACCAAGTACATCAAATACCGTCACCACTATTTCTGCTTCACAGCCTGAAACCCCCCTAGGAATTAAGAATCAAGCCCCAAGCCTCTCCGCTGATCCTAATCTCCAGGCAGCAGATTAAAAAGTTTTACCTTCCACGCAAGTTATCGCTCCCGCTTACTTACGCGCAGGGTTTCCAAATGGTGTTTCTATCATAACCTCGTGCATAGAGCGCTTTTTTAACTTTATTTCGCTCAATTTATCTTGATTTGTACAAATATTATTTACCCGTTTTTTTGTTTCTTTTCGTTTTTATTGAATTCGCCCAGACACATTCACATTCCTTGTTCATCAGCCCGACGCACACACGTTAATTTACACCACCAGAGCAGCGAATCGCATAAACATAATGGTCGACCCAATCAAGATTTTTGAAAAGGCGAGGCAGTCGAATATTAAGGACCCGTGGGCCCGGCGCGAGGTGTGGCGTGACCACCCGTCGTTTTCAAAGATGAGCCAGCTTAAGGGCATGTTCCCGGGTCTGGGGATTGCCACAGGATTGTTTGCTGTGTACCTTGTATACGACCACTTCGCAGCGCCAAAGTCGCACAAGCACTAAGTAGGCCATACGGACCGGCTGACTGTGGTCAGTGACATTTTTTGGGAGGGAAGCGCATTGAGCCGGAGGAATAGAGGAAATAAGTGCTCGTTATTTTGTCTCATTTTCAATACAAGTCAAATTTCACGCATTTTAAGTATTGATCTTTTTGGAGATAATGAGAGATATAAGTCACGTGGTTTGCGATTGGTTGGTTGGCTGGCTGCACGCTGCTTTTTGATGGAAGTCTCCGAGGGAGGCGTGTCATTTCAGTTTCCCACGGTCACTCGCTTCTGCTTGTTATTTTTTCCCACCCTTTTTTCGCACAGCATCAAAGGGCGGGCGATTTCAATTGTTGTAGCAGCCACGCTCAATGGTTCGCATAAATTATTCTGCACAGCCAGCCATTAGGGACAGGCACGCTCACCAGGCTTCCCTTCTTTAAACCACATCTCTCTCTCGCTCTACCAAAACACCTTGACTCAATTTCACTCACATATTAGTATAGTCGCTGCAACAAGACGCAAGTTCCAAGTGCCAAGTTACAACCCTCAAGTCTCAAGCAAATAGCGCATAGCGCATAGCTCATAGCTCATAGCTCATAGCTCATAGCCCATACAAACACCCTACTCACACGTCGCATTCGCTCAATGTTTACTGTACAAACAGCCTCCAAGCGAGCAGCTGTCTCGGTGTGCGCCTCCAGAGCGCGCATCCACTCGCTGCTGCACATTCCGACCTTGCTCCAGGTCGCATCAAGGCAAAGATCCTCGCCGGTATTAGCAGCGCTGGACACCACGTCATTTGCGGCCCACATCTCCGACAAGCAGCCCTGGATAGAGCGGCGAGGGTTCGGCACAAGCGCCAGCAAGGCTAAGGAAGAGACGGTCGCGTACAAGCTGGCGGACATTGGTGAAGGCATCACCGAGTGCGAGATCATTCAGTGGTTTGTCAAGCCCGGCGACAAGGTCTTCCAGTTCGACAAGATCTGCGAGGTGGCCTCGGATAAGGCCACTGTCGAGATCACATCGCGGTACGACGGCGTGATCAAAAAGCTATACTATGCAGACAACGACATTGCGCTGGTTGGCAAGCCCCTGGTGGACATTGCGGTCGAGGGTGAGGCTGCCGAAGAGGCAAGCGCGGCTGCGCAGGAGACAGCGACACAGCCAGAGCCAGAGCCAGAGCCAGAGCGAAAGCCAGCACCAGCGCTGGCCCAACAGCCCAAAGCCAAAGAGCCCGCGGTCATAGAACTGGCGCCGGCGGTAATGCCGAGCACTGCCGCCGCGCCACAGGACTTCTCGTGCGAGCGCACAAACGACGTGGTGTATGCCACGCCGGCAGTGCGACGCATTGCGCGCGAGGGCAGTGTGGACCTGCGCTTTGTTGCGGGCACAGGCAAGGGCGGGCGCATTCTCAAGGACGACGTATACCGCTTTGTCGAGAGCAGTAGAGAAAAGCCGGCTCCGGTCGAGCCGATCGTAGTCGCAACGACGGTCGCAGCGCAGTCCAAGGCCAGCAGATCGGACGCTGTGAGGCCAGGGAGTGGTGACCACATTGTCAACCTGTCGCCAGTCCAGCGGGCAATGTTCCGCAGCATGACCGACTCGCTGAGCATCCCGCACTTCCGGTTCAAGGACGAGATCGAGATCGACGCGCTGATTCTGGCGCGGCAGCGCATCAACAGCGCCCAGCAGCCGCAGGCCGACGCGGCCGCAGACAAAATAACGCTGATGCCATTCTTTATCAAGGCGACGTCGCTGGCGCTGGCGCAGTTCCCAATCCTCAACTCGCGCGTGCTGGCCGAGCCCGGCGCCACGCCTCGGCTCGAATACCGCGCCGCGCACAATATTGGTGTGGCGATGGACACACCGAGCGGGCTGATTGTGCCCAGCATTAAGAACGTGCAGGACAAGTCGTTGCTGGAGATCGCCGCCGAGCTGCGCGCGCTTGTGCTGCGTGGCAAGGCCGGGGCGCTCACCAGCAGCGACCTGCGCGGCGGCACGTTCACGCTGTCCAACGTCGGCATGATCGGGGGCACGTACCTCAGCCCCGTCGTCGTCAGCTCCGAGGTGTGCATCTGTGCCATCGGCCGCACCCAGCGCCTGCCGCGCTTCGACGGCAACAGCGACCGCGTCGTAGCCCGCAACGTGCTGGTGACGAGCTGGGCTGCTGACCACCGCGTCGTCGACGGCGCTACGATGGCGCGCTTTTCCATGCTGTACAAACAGCTGCTTGAGCAGCCGGAGCTGATGCTGGCGCGGATGCGGTGACGCGCTCAGCCTGCCTTCATTTGATTTTCTCTTTCTTTCCAACTTAGAGCCTGGCTGTTTTTCAATGATAACGTGTGTATTGTAAAACTGTCCCAAGCATTTGTGTGTCACGACAGAAGAAACTTGTTGTTCTCGTAAAACTCCAGCATCGGGTTCTCCCCCGAGCGCGTGCGCGTGCGCTCCAGCTCAGCATTATCCTGCGCAAACTCGCGCTGGGTGCACACACGCGACTCCCGCCGATCGCCAGCGCCGGCCGCGTCGCGGCGACACGTCGCGTCGTACACGCGTTTCAGCAGCTCAAAGTTCGTCGGAAAGAAAATGTCAAACCAGCCGGGCTGCACCAGGTACGTCTCGCATGGCACCATGCTGCCGTCAAAGCGTGTCTGCACCACAGGCGCGTCGACCGCGTCGGGCACCGTGTCGGGCAGCTGGTAAAAGTCGCTGAGAACCAGCCGGTGGCGCGGAAACCAGTCGCGCAGCACGCGGCACAGCTGGAACGTCTGCGTCGGGATGAACTCGCGCCGTGTCAGGTTGGGCGCTAACGGCAACTGCTGCCGCAGCCGCCGGTATAGCGCTGGGGGCAGCGCCGGCGACCGGTACGTGGTGCCTGGCAGCGCGGCTCTGGCGCTCAGATAGTCCTTGATCAGCGGGTCGGCCACCGGCTCGTACAGCTCCTCCAGCTCGCCGTCGTCGTAGACGCGCACAAAGGCCTGCACCGGCTCGCCAGTCTCGTAATTGTAACGCACGACGTCGTGCGCAAAGTTGTCGATAACCTCCATGGCAACAAAGAAGCACGGCTCGTCGACGCGCTCGTTCCACTCGAGGATCGACTTGTTGACGATGCGCACGCCCTCGAACTGCCTGCCCAGCTGCTTGCGCGCCAGCTTGGCGCTGATTTCGATGAGGTTGTACTGCACGCGCGCGTAGATGGCCGGCTCCTCGTCGCGCACGTAGCCCAGTATGTCGGCCATCAGCGTGCCGTTGCCGCCGCCCATCTCGTAGATCACAAGCGGGTCGTCGCTGTGCCGCGCTGCGCAGTCGGCCTTGTGCTGCCACACGATGTGCCGAGCCACCGAGCGCCCGTACCACGGCTTGAGCAGCTCTGTCGGCGTGTGCCACAGCTGCCGTGGGATGTTGCGCACGTCGTCCAGCTCGCGCTCCATCTCCTCGTACTGCCGCCCAACCGTGCCCAAGAGGTCGGCCGAGTCGCGGAAAGAGCCAAAGTCGTATGCACGCTTGGGCGAGAAGATCAGCGCCTGCTTCGAAAAGTACCCGTATGCCGGATTGTACAGCGAGTCACTGATAAAGTCGCGCGTCAGCATGCTGACGTTGCGCGGCGTCTGCTTGAAGTGTGCGCTGCAGTACTCTGCTGTCACCCGTTTCGACGGGATGTTTGGATCGGCCGTCGTCACTGGCATGCGGATAATGTCGCGCACTGCGTCAAAGTAGCCTGTAAACGGCTTTTCTGGCTCGGGGATCTGCTGCAATTCGTCGCGCTTGTGCCCCACCTGGGGCCGGGGCTGAGACTGGAGCCGGGGCTGAGGCTGGGGCTTTGGCTTTGGCTTTGCTTTGCTGGGGTTTGTGGCGCCTCGTGTTGTAATTGAGCGCTGCCCGGCCCACCATGCCGCCGACCGGCTGCTCTGAGTCCGTGTGAAAACCGCCGTAAGCATCGATCTGATTTGCCGCAAATAGTGTCGGGTAAAAATGGCAAATATACTTGGGAACGAGTGAGCTTAATATGGCAACGGTTATCGTCCGACCAGCCCTGCTCGGCCGCGCGATCGGCTCAGTGCGCGCGCCCCCCGAAGCTGGGGCCATTATCTCAGTTACGGGTGGCCTCCTCGTGCAACGCTGCGGCGCAATATTTTTCGTTGCATTTTTCCGTCTATTTCATGCGCAGCTTGAACCAAAACATCTTTAACCTGCTTCTGTTCAAAAGAACAGGCCCAATATTCCTTCTCTTTTTCTCAAACCTATTTCTCCACATTTAAATGGTCATTGTTGCTAATGTTTGACCCAGCCGCTAACCATTTCGTTTCCTCGGACGGGAGCATGACCCAGCCCACACAGCCCACCCAAGCGACACCGCCCACCCAAGCGACACCGCCCACCCAAGCGACACCGCCCACCCAACCAACCCAGCAGACACAACCAACACAACCAACACAACAGACTCAGCAGACTCAGCAGACTCAGCAGCCGCCACGCAACCCCAATAGAGACAATCCCAGCTTGTTTGCCACGCTTTCCCCTCACCACCCGCACCTCGAGCCTCTGGTAATGGAGATCGAGAGCCTGCTCAATGGGGGGTACACGGTCGGCCGCGGAGAGGGTTGTAGCATTGTGATAAACCGCAACTTTATCAGCTCGCTGCACTGCCATCTGTATGCCGAGAAAGAGTCTGAGTCGGGCAAGTATGTTCTGTTCCTCGCGGACATGAGCACCAACGGGACATTTGTCAACACCAGTTTGCTTGGCTACAAAAACCGCACCGTGCTGTTCCACAGGGATTGCTTGGGCTTTGCCAATCCCGACACTGCGCTGTCATCGGATGTTGCTCTGGAGTACAGCGTCGAGATTGCAGGGGGCGCCGGGCATGCTCAGGCGGGCCAACCAAAATTTGACGCCGAGCTTCTGCGGTCGTACGACTTTAAGCACGAGATCGGCGCCGGAAACTTTGCCAAGGTGTGGCTGGCCATCCACAAGCAGACCGGCGTTGCCTGCGCCTGCAAAGTCATTGAAACTAAGAAACACCTCATCACCAATGGCCTGACAAAGGCCTTCAAGCGCGAGGTTGCCATTATGAAACAGCTCAAGCACCCGAACATTGTGCCGCTGCGTGAGCTGCATATTGACAGCGACCGGATATATATTGTTATGGAGTACCTCGAGGATGGTGACCTCTTTGCCTACATATCTAGACATGGCACACTTACTGAAGCCGCCTGCCGGCCTATATTCAAGCAGATATGCGGCGCTGTGCGCGTAAGTACTTTTTCTCTGTATATTTCTATGTGGGCTGCTCAGAACTTTTTTGATGTCACTCAGACCGCTCTCTCCACAACATATAACCTAATCCATGCTGTCGTACAGCTTTTTTTTATTTAAATTTGATAGTACCTCCACGCTAACAACATCACACACCGTGATATCAAGCTTGACAATATCCTCATTAAAAAATCGCCTAGCGGTGAGGTTAGCTGGGTCAAAATTGCCGACTTTGGGCTCGCTAGGGCCGTAGGTGATGGGGGTCTGATGCACACGATCTGCGGCACGCCAAGCTACCTGGCTCCCGAGATTATCTGCAGAAAATCTTCGTCGACTCCGTACAGCAAGGGCGTGGACATTTGGGCTCTTGGCGTTGTGCTCTATGCCTTGCATACCGGCGAATTCCCTTTCAGGGACCAGCAGCTACATCACGGCAATCATGCCAATATGGTCATTGGTGACTACGCCAGTTCAAACTGGCTGAACAATTCAAACCAAGCATACGCCTGTCTTTCAGAGCCGCTTCGAGATTTGATACCCAGAATGCTTCAGGTCAATCCGGATCAGAGAATAAACATCAACGCAACCATTGTCCACCCATGGACGCAGACGGACGATAATGGAACACCGGGTCTGCTCTACGAACCAACCTATGTGTGGGGATCTTTGACGTACGCTGCGTCACGCCATGACAACCAACACTGTAGTGGCATCTGGGCCGGACATTTGGAGGTTGATCTGTTTCGGGACTGTACGGTTATTGGGCGCAGCCGCAATTGTCACATTCAAATTACAGATTCGCGGATATCGTCCAAGCACTGCGAGATACTGTTTAAAAACGGCGTTGTCCACGTCCGAAACACCGGTCGCAACATCTTTTGGGCCAACGGGCGCCCAGTAGTAAACAGCAACACCATGGAACTGAGCAGGCCGTTTGAGCTTCTGCTTTGTGCACCGGACTCGGATATACATGCTGACAGCAAAAATAGACAGCAGCAGTGTCAAGGAGACAGGGAAACACCGGCATATACCCTTTGCATTAAAATTCTTGACAAGCCCTGGAAGCAGATATGGATTAGCAGCCAGGACGCGTCTCAAATTGTTGGTACCAAAACAGCAGCTGCCAAGGACAGCCCCCATAGCAGCACATCAAAACTTGACATCACGTTAGCTGCATCCCAACTTTTGCTTCGGCCGCCGCTTATACTGCCTGTCCAGGCTGTGCACTTGTCGTATATGCCGTTCCGTGGTGCACAGAATGTACATGCACTTGGAAATTCACTTTTATATGATCCCACATTTGAAGAGGTTTCTGCAGCCTTGGCCAGGCCCAAATCGAGAACAGAATTCACATCTATGCGACCATGGATGGTTCTCGGAGTGCTAAATGGCACATCGCCACTTATTCACATATACGACAGTGCTGTCACATTTGGTCGGGGTTCTGGTAAGTATTACATCCATCGGCAGACATTTTTATATGTGTGTGTGTATGTGTGAGCGCGTGTAATAAGAAACTACATTTGAAAATAACATTTTCTTCCCATTGTACTAACATCCTCGTTGCTATCCAACCCACATAGATTGCACAATACAATTAAGCGACGCGCATATTAGCCAAAAGCACTGCGTTTTTGAACTTTCAGGAAAACAAGCACGGCTTGTGAACAAAAGGTAATTAAGCAATGCAGGCAGACTTATCACAAGGCGTATGCTATGCAAAGTCACCAAAGGGGTGTAGCGGATTTGCTAATAGAATTCGTCAATATTTATACGTTAACAATAGCGTCAGTGGCACATTCGTTAACTGCGAGCGGCTTGAGGACACCGTAATACTTAAAGAAGGAGATGAGGTCGTGCTGCTATTCGACAACATTCACACGTTTGTTAACGACAAGATCTGGCTGGGTCAGCAGCGGATTTTGGACAGCCATGGTTATCCGGGTAAGCTACGCACATCTAAAACAAGAGTGAAATCCACGAGGTTCTATTTGGCTGTGCAGTGCTAATTATTGTGCAATTATGTTATGATATTGTGTAGTGCTCATCGGGTATCGGGTGGTGACGCTTGACTGCTGCGTGGCACTCGAGTGACAGTGGCAGCTCAAACCGGATTTGGCCGCCAAAGAGTTGGCTTTAACAATCGATGAAAACCCCCTTCTTTATCTAGTTTCCATCTCTGTGAGCAATGATCCCCTTTTGCAATCGATGCAGCATTTAGGCGACACCCTTGCTAGACACATCATGCGTGGCGATGACAGTGTCAGCAACAATGGCGATGACGATCGACGATATCCTCCTACAACGCTGCCCCCCCTCCCAAAAAAAACCACACTCCATGAATCGGAATATTTTTCCATCGGACAAAAATAAATATAAATTGATTCGAATTTTTAGCCTAAACTATTTTCCCTGGGTATTTAAGCTCATGGAACTGCCTGGGGTTTTGGACATTCTTTTTTTTCTTCATCAAAAATTTTCTACCCTTTCTTTTCATCTAAACTTTATTATTTTTTATCTTTATTGTGACAAAACAACATTAGGGAATATGCAATCGACATCACTTTTTGGCGCCTGCATTACAAGGGCCACCCAGGTTTCCATTGCGCCTTGGTCTTCTGTGTCTTCTGTGGCATCCTTGCCGGCACTTGGAAGTAGATCTCGCCAATGGATACAGTATCAGAACCTACAGAAGCTGGCAAGCCGTACCATGAGCAAGACCGCAACTTTACAAAGACCTATTGTCGACCCAACAGCTGTCGGTGGACGCGCGACTGCAAGCGCTCCCTCTGGCGTGGCGGGAATAAAGACAACTGCTGCTCCAGCAGAGCTGGCACACCAGGTCGATGAAATGATTGGCACACACGCTGACAACCTCAAGATCGTGGAAGAGGAGCACAAGTGCATGCTGGAGAGATACGCCGAGTCGCACAAGATTCTCGACAAGTATTCTGTCATGCCGGGAAAGTCCTCCGACTACATGAGCATACTGCAGCGAATCACCAGTGAAAACGCATCGGATGTCCGCCGCAAGAAGCAGCCGCTGGTGCTGAAGAAGATTAGCGACTCGTTTATCGAGACCTTTTTGCTGTTCAAGGACAATCTGTCATTGCGCGAGCAGTATGTCAACTACTATGGCGATATCAGACTCGGCAAGGTGCTCGAGGACCTCGACCGTTTGGCTGGGGCCGTCGCATACAAGCACGCGTCTGACGCCAATGGCGATCTGGCCCCGATCGTCTTTGTTACGGCTTCCGTCGACCGTATTGATCTTAAGACGAACCTGAGCCCGAACAAAAACTACCGCATTTTTGGCACTGTGACATATGCTGGCTACAGTTCACTGGAGATCTGCATCCAGGCGCAGTCAGTTCCGGCGCCTGGTGAGACTGCAGACCCAGAATCCAACCTTGTTGGGCGCTTTACCATGGTCGGACGCGATAAGTACACAGGCAAGGCCTCGCAAGTTAACCCACTGCTGCTGGAGGATGAGAGCCAGCGGAGGCTTGTCAAGGTGTCCGAGCAGATTAAGGAGCACAAGAAGAAGGCTGCAGAGTCCGATCTGTCCAAGCGGCCACCCAGTGCAGAGGAGCGTCTGGTCATCCACCAGCTGTGGCTCGACACCAGCAAATATCAGGGCAGCATGTACGGGTTGCACGTCAGTCCACCATCAGACATAGTGTGGTTGGACCAGACCACCATGGAGTCAGTCACAGTGTGCTTCCCATCTGAGCGCAATGTGCACAACAAGATATTTGGAGGCTATCTCATGCGTCTCGCACATGAGCTGTCGTTTGCCAATGGGTCTGTCTTTACAAAGTCCCGCCCATCATATGTTTCACTGGACGACTTTTCGTTCAAAAAACCCGTCAATATTGGCTCCATTTTGCGCCTCAAGTCGCAGGTCGTTTATTCAGAGCCCGAGAGCAAGACGTTCCAGGTCGCCGTCTCTGCTGATGTCATCGACAACATGAAGAACTCAACAGAGCGCACTAACACTTTCTACTTTAACTTTTGCTGCCCCAGTGGTGTTGTGCGCCGTGTTGTGCCCCGCTCGTATGAGGATATGATGAAGTATCTGGAGGGACGTCGCCGTGCGCAGACGGGCAAAATCATCTCCAAGCTGCAGAGTGCAATGCAAAAACAGTAGTGGTGCACAGAGGCGAGCACTAGGTGACTTATGTTTGTCAGTTTAAATTTTAGTGTTGCCAAATTAACAAAGTTGCAGTCAATATTTTCCTTCTTCTCTTATTTCTTACATACTCTTAAATTACATCTGGCTCCAATGCTGTTACAAAGGGTATATGTTACAAGCGGGTATCATAGACAAAGGATATCTATTTCTTCACAAGGAGAACAACGGACGGAACCTTCCATCTTGTCCCTTTTATATGTTCTCCTACTTGATAAACACTATAACCAAATAAGCATTGATTCCTTTGCCGTCAATACTTAAAACAACCACAGGTTTGGCCAAGCTAATGTAGCTATATCAAACCTTGGCTGTAATATATATAATCAATGAAGAATATTTATTTCTTCCAAGGAGAACAATTCATGGCTGCCCGCCAGCCACTCCTTTTATATGCTCTCAGGGCATAAATAAGCTATAATAGGACCTCATCATTACTTTGATTGCCATGCGCATAGTCAATTAATTTCAGTGATGCAGCAGCATGTTTGTTTACGCGACATCATGTGCCTCAACTGTAACATAAAATAAAAAATTAGTCCATGCGGCCCTTGATGTCCCGCGTAATGACGCCCTCGGGAGTGATGATGTGTACCACGGCGCCCCAGCCGCTCAGCGCGTCGCGATCGACGGCATTGAGAAGTGCCTGTGAGATAGTCTCAAACAAGTCCTCCGGCGAGAGATCGGGCTCCCACAGCGACTCACACATGCCGAAAAGATTGCTATCGGCAGTTCCAGCGACAGCAAAGTCCTGGGCAAACTCCAGACAGCCAATAAGATCCATGCCGCAAATGTACGGTTTGTTATCCTTGTCCAGGCCGGCAATGATGGGCTCGACGTAGTACGGCCCAAACCGGCGTTCGTAGAGCATGTGTGACACCAAGTGTGAAAAGGTCTTTGGCTCAATCACCCGCTGCTCGCGGTGTTTGTAAAGGTTGACGCGCATGCGCAGGGTGTCGTGCAGCGTCTTCACGTCGGTAGCCAACCCAGGCAGCCCAATGTATGTGCGATCTGTCATGCGAAACACCTTTTGAAAGTCCGTGTCCACTGTGAGCGCCTGCATTCCAAGGCGCTTATCGGCTGCAATTGCCACGCAGTCCTTGCCGACCATCGCCACAACGGCCGAACCGTTATATTGCATAAGCGACTACAATTTTTTACAATTGGTAAAATAAAAGGCATGATTGAATTAGTATTGATTAGTAGCGAAAGAAAAGCATTCTTCCAAGTTCTCAGAAATAGAAATCTGGATGCCGCCGGTTCGGCACTGTTTGGGTGACCCCGGCGGCGTTGCTGTTATTTAGGCAAGCCAAAGCGACCCAAGACGGTGTTCGTCATGCATACCATTTTCGACTTTAGTTTTCGGTTGTCAGCGATTCGGGAATGGCGTGCTGCTTAAATCGGCAGAGTAAATTGAAACGAGGGCAATCGGTTGTTTAAATGCAAGAGCGAGTAAATATATAATATATAATATAAAGGAGCGAAAGCGCAACAGCCAACTTGAAGCCATTACGTTGCTATAAACCACGCTTGAAGACAGATTTTGGCCAGCAAGCGGGGCTTACGTGTTCGAAAATTAAGGGCAGGCTTGATCTGCGTGATTGGTGGAAAGAGCACAGCCTTTTGCTTTTTTTGCACGTGGTATGAATTGTCACATTTGCGAGCCGCGGCTCGTGTCCAAAATTATTTTGCTTGGTCTTATCATTTCGTGTATTTTTCGAATAGAGCCGGCTGAGCCGATCGCCGAAGATTACAGATGAAAGATTTATGTGCTGGAGCGGGGCAGCGACAAGCGTCAGGCAAAGCGTGAATTTCGCGCCTTGCCTTTTTTTCTTTTTTTCTTTTCTCCAATCGTAAATTCAGCTTTATCTTTTGTCTCTGTTTCGCATTGCTCTGTCCAATCAGCCATTCGCACCCTGCGCTCAGCTAATTTTTTACTTCTTTTTTTTGCACAACCAACCACCACGATCGGATTCACCACACCCGAGACTAACCGGAAAAAAACATAATGTTTGCAAGATTCAGACCTAGCATGCTCAACACCGCTGCCGGACGCAGCGCCCAGGCACTGCGTGCGAGCGCATGCCGCCAGTTCAGCGCAACCAGCCTAGCACGCAGCGACGCCATATTTATTCACCGCGACACGCCCGAGAACAACCCCAGCATCCCGTTTAAATTTGACTCTAAAAACATGGACGAGGCAAGTAAGATTATTGCCAAGTACCCGCCCCAGTACAAGAAGGCAGCCATGATCCCCCTTTTGCACCTTGCCCAAAAGCAGAACGGCTGGACCTCCATTTCGGTCATGAACTATATTGCAAAGTTTATCGAGGTTCCTCCCATGCGCGTTTACGAGGTCGCGACCTTTTACACCATGTTCAACCGCAACCCTGTCGGCAAGTACTTCCTGCAAGTGTGCACAACGACGCCCTGCGAGCTGTGCGGCTCGTCAAAGATTATCGAGGCTGTTGAGAACCACCTTGGCATTAAGGTCGGTCAGACCACATCAGACAAGTTGTTTACGCTAGTCGAGGTCGAGTGTGCGGGCGCCTGCATCAATGCGCCGGTCATCTCGGTCAACGACGACTACTTTGAGGATTTGACGCCTGAGGCCACAGTAAAGCTCCTGGACGATCTCAAGGCCGGAAACCCCGTCACCCGTGGCCCCGTCAGCGGGCGCAAGAACTGTGAGCCTCTCGGGAAGCAGACCACGCTCACCACGACTCCGCCCGGCCCTGGCTTTATGATCCGCGCTGATTTGTAATTTTTCAACAACACGAACAAAATAACTCTAACAACGACAGTTTATTTAATCCATTAAAATGCACCAAGCTTGAAGACAGCATTTCGGGCTGCATGGGCGCAGTATGAGCAACAACGGTAACCACGGTTTCGTTGACGTCAATTTGTATTATTTGTATTAAAGTTATTGTGATTGTGGTTGTGGTTGTGGTTGTGGTTGTGGTTATAGCCGTGATTGTGACTTAAAATCACACTAAATAAAGCTGACTGGCGCGTTGATAGCAAACGCGAACACCAGTCCAGATATAAGGCCGGCAATGGGGAGCGTGAAAATCCACGACATGAAGGACCAGGCCAACATCTTCCAGTTAAGCGCGCGGAAGTTGCCGTTGCAGAGACCGATGGCAGTGATGGCGCCTGTGATGCAGTGCGTCGTGGACACAGGCAAGCCAATCTTTGATGCGGTAAGCACAGTGAGCGACGTGCCCAGCTCTGCAGCAAAGCCGCGGCTCGGAGACAGGTAAGTGACTCCGTTTCCAAGCTTGCGCATGACGTGGTAGCCAAAGGTAATCAGACCCAGGTCGATTGAAACGCCCAGCATGGCAAGGATCCAGGTGGGCACGGGCGCAGTTCCGCTGATGTCGACGCGCGCATACCTCCAGATGTCGTAGATGGATGCGATGGGCCCAGCTGCGTTGGCGACGTCGTTGCTACCGTGGGAAAAGCTGGCCAGACACGCGGTGATGATTTGCAAGAAGGAAAACAAGTACTCGGTGTCATCATCGAACTTCTTGGCGGCCTCATGCACGCTCGCCAGCTTTTTGTTGTCGAGGTTGCGCACGTCCTTGCGAATGCCACGCAGAGCGTAGTACTTGATGTTGTGGAGTAGCTTGACAAGACGCGCCCTGTTGGTCTCTTCTTCCTCATCGGCTGGAGAATCGGCATCGCCGATATTGCTGGCGTCCTTGACACTGACTCTGAGCTTGCCATCAATGTCACAACCGCCCTCGAGCTCACTGGATACCTCCTCAGTCAAGGGAGCAGGAGGTGGCGGCGGCAGCGCGGGGCGGTGCTTGATAAAATGGATGACAAAGATGTGGTACCAGCGAATGTTCTCCTTGCCGACAACCTTGCGACGCAGCCATTTGGCAAAGAAGAACCACGAAAAGGCTGTGACACCTGCGGCAACGCCAAAGCTGATTCCGATGATAGTGCCAATCGACATTTTGGCGGCATCGGTCCCTGGCGCGCCCTTGTAGATCAGATAGAAGGCGCTGATTAGAGACGTGATAAAGAAGTATATTGGGATGGCCTTGATTCCGCGCTCGAGGCTGTTGGGGTGGTCGAGGATGAAATAGCGCGTGGGGAGGTAGATGATGGATGTGATGATTCCGGAGGCCACGGGTGAGACAAACCAGGACGTGATGATCTTGGCGACTCCAGAGTATCCCCACTGGATGGCGCCGCCGCCAAATGCAGCGATTCCGACACCAATGATTGCGCCGACGATCGAATGTGTCGTGCTGACAGGCATGCCCTTTTTGGACGCAAAGATAACCCATGAGGCTGAGCCAATAAGGGCGCACAGCATACCCATCATTAGCAGCTCAGGCTGGTCGACAAAGCGCTCGACAGATAGAATCCCTCCCTTGATAGTCTCCGATGTAGATGAGCCTAGCAGCAGTGCGCCTAAAAACTCTGTGAAGATGGCGATCAGACAAGCTTGGGCCAATGTGAGCGATCCTGAGGACACGCTGCTTGCGAAAGAATTGGCAACATCATTAGCACCGATGCCGAACGCGTCGGAAATCGAGGCGACAATGCCGACGGCAAATATCCATGTATATTCGTTGGGAAGCATGGCTACTTGAACTTGAACAAAAAGTGTGCGTCAATTGTAAATGTGCGACGAGGATGAGGATGAGGATTGAGTAGACAATGAGCTATGTGGCATCTCCAAACCTGGCGGCCCTAAGCAAGCGTTTTTTATATGAACAATCCTTCATTCTCAAATGTCAGCAAGCAACGATAAATTTACAGTGGTCGTGGCAGCAATATTTGATGTTGCAGCTTATTTGGCAAAAAAATAGAAAAACTCAAGCAATGTTAGTTAACCACATGGTATTGTCGAAAACGATGTGATTCGTGTGCGGTATGCATGTGCGCTGCTCGCTGGGTTTCTGTTGGATGATACCGCGCATCTTTTTTCGAGCAACTTGGCAAAAGGATAATTACATTTAAACGCTCCAATTTTTCAATGATTTCATGTTCGCTTATCAGCATTATTACACACTGTCTCTGGAAAATCACTCTTGTATTTTGAAGTCAAAAGAGAATATTTTTGGATAGATATGAAAATATCTTATTGCTTTTTGCATAAAGTTTATTCTGGAACGTCTCTGTAGAACACTCCAAAAGAAAATTTTTAACGGAGCTGTGATCTCGCACTGTAAATTGACCAAGCATATGCATGACCATGCCCTCGTGTACCGGTCTCTTGGAAAATTATTTTGCACTCTTGTGACCTGTTGTGCATTTTATTTTCACTGGCAACAAAACAAGCTTCAAACGCTATTCGCTGAATTTAAAGATTCCAGGGCGACCACTGATTCAAGGACTTTGGCCCACGTGCGATGTTATAAACCATCTTTAAACGTGTTATTTTGATCAGTTAATTGGCTATTTTTCTCCGAGGCTAATTACCAGCAAATGCAAAATGAGCCTTTGATTTTCTTTCAACTTTTCATGCACTAAAAATGTGCACGTGAAGTTTTTTTATTCTATTCTGCTTGTTTTGCTTGCAGCCAACGTTCATCATGGAAATTTTTTGCAGCATTGATTATTTATTTTTTGTGAATTTGTAAGCACCAGGGGTTTTTTTCACATAAACCAATAACAATCCGCTGTTTGTACTCGACTACAGCATACTAAATTGCTATTCACCAGTGTCGGGATTCGAAATATAGACAGCTAGCAGAGGCATTTTCGGACGAGGGTTTTTTAGTTTACTAATTACATGCCTTTGGGCGTTTTTGCGTCCCAGCAATTGGCATTTGGTATAAAAGCGAGTCGTAACCCGCCTTCCTCTTCCAGACATTCTCATCACCTTTGAGTATTCTCCAATACGACCACTTACCCCCTCTCTTCAAGCCATTATTTCCAAACCTCACTCCCTTTGCGCTCAATAAAACCATGACTATCAAGGCCGGCGATGAGTTTCCCCAGGTTCAGCTCAAGTATATCCCCTTCAACGCAACCAACCCCGACGCGTGCCTGAGCCCCCAGGTGCTCGACACCAAGAAGGACTTTGCAGGCAAGAAGGTCGTCGTAGTTGGTGTTCCAGGCGCGTTCACGCCCACATGCTCGGCGCAGCACCTACCCGCTTATGTGGCCAAGGCTGATGAGATCAAGGCCAAGGGCATCGACCTGATTGTGTTCACATCAAGCAACGATTTTTTTGTTCTCAGTGCCTGGGGCAACAGCGCGGGCGTCGAGGACAAGATCATCATGGCTGGTGATGCTAACGGCGACCTCGGCCGCGCAACCGGTCTGTCAGTGGACTTTTCCAAGTTTGGGCTGGGCTCTCAGCGCCTGACGCGCTTTGCTGTGGTCATCGACGACGGCAAGGTCGAGCACCTGTTCACGGAGCCCGATCCCTCTGACGTCACGGTCACCAGCGCCGACAATATTTTGTCTGTTCTGTAATACTTCAATACTTTAACATTTCACAGAAAAACAAATACAAATACAACACACGATCACTTTTGGTTTGCCTAAACCGTCTGATATTGTGCAAAGATAAATAACTCATTTTTTGTATAAGCACTTTACACTAAAAGATAAGAATGGGGCTACAAGTATCCTGCAAACCGACATCCTTCCCACAGATTGCATAGCAACCTGACAGGTGTTTAGAAACTAGTGGCAATAGACCATTATATTTGAAGATATTATCCAGTTCGCTGCTTCTTTTAAAGAGAAAAAGCAGGGAGAGATGGATTCTTGTGCACACGTTTGGGCTTGGGGTTTGGCTTGGGCAAGGTCTCGGGTGTTGTTGTAGACTCGGTTTCAGCCAACTCTGACGATGCCCTTTTGCGCAAGAAACAGGGAGGACGCTCGCTTATAAGCAGGGCATTGAGGATGATGCAAAAGTTCAACACCGCAGCCATGTTGGGATTCCACTTCCGTCTGCCTGATGGCACTTTTTCGCCATTTTAATCTTGGTTCCGTTGGGCCTGAAGGTTTGCAAGCAGTTTTCCATTGTGCACTGGAGCAAGCCATGTCATAAAATTTGGCGAGGTTTTTCTACTTCTGGAATTATATTAGCGCCTGTTGCAGCTACCTGCTGGTACTGACTATTTTTCTACTACTGCTGCTACTGCTTCTACTGCTGCTGCCTTTGCTGCTGCTGCGCGGCCAACTCGTCGCGCATTCTCTGTCTGATTTTGTGCTCAATTTTGCCCTGCGACCAGCCGCTCAGCCTGACAATGCACTTGAGATCATCGACGGGCTAGAGATTAACGCAGTGCTTCCGATTCCGCTCAGCCAGCTCATTCCACAGCTGCTGCTTCACCTTGTAGGAATTTTTTTGCTTAGACCAGCCCTTTCCTCCTATCCACCGGATGATATCGGCAGACTGTGGGCAAATAGGCATCCATTGGTTGCAACTCTGCTGTGCACTTCCTGTAAAAGATGCGGCGTCAGTGGCAGTTGTGGTTGCAACAGAAACGGCTGTGGCTGCTGTTGTGACAGAACCAGCAGCGGCGTTGGTTGCGGCCATGACAGAATTGGATGAATATAATTACATCGTTAAACGTCACATTTAACCCATAGCCAAAGCACCAGTCAGACACAAAGACTAAATACTTCGCTGCATCTTCAAAAATCTGGACTTTCTGATTTTTAGGCTAAAAAACTGGGGAAAATGGGTTTTGAAAAACCCCCCGCTTAAAAATCTGGATTTTCGCTATAAATGTCTGGAAATTTCAAAATCCATTTACACCAGTGTAGTATTTGGGAAAAGCAAGATTTAGTCGGCGGCATCGAGATCGGTCTTGCTCTCGGTGGCGTCGTCGGCCGAGGCAACAAGATCGGGGATATCGTCGTCAATGTCGGCGGCGTTGGAGCCAACCTGGAGGCCCTCGGTCATCTTGGCGAGCTGGGAAAGCGACTCGGGGCCGAAGGAACCAATGCGCGAGATCATCTCGGTGAGAGCCTGCTCGGGGGTCTTCTCCTGGGGCTTGCCGGTAATGACAAAGGTGTTGGCATGGATGTTGGCGCTCAGGCGGGGGGCAGAGAAGCCGATGACCTTGCCGTCGTCCTTGAACATGTTGATGGTCTCAACCTCGGGGATGGGCTGGACATCCAGCTGCTTCAGGGTGGAGGCAAGCTTAGGATCCTCCTTGATGGACTTGCTGCCAGTGCTCACAATCTTGCGGCGGGGGGTTCCCTTGCCGCCAGTGCGGACCTGGGCCTGGAGCTTAGCGAGCTTTTCGGGGTTCATTGTGATCTACATTTGAATGGAAAAACGCACGCTATTAGCCTTTTTGTTGGAGAATTGTGCATAGCTGTGACTGCGTCCCGGGTTTCTGGTGCTGCGCCGGTGTAAATATAATAGAACTGTCGCCACTGTACCAGCACATTGATCGGGGTGGGGGTCGTGAAAAAGATGACCCAAAGCGTTTTGTATCTGTGGTGTTCTTTCTGAAAAAAATTTGCACTTCATCACCACATCAGGATCAGGATCATGCTTGTGATTTTTTTGACACCTGCGTGAACCCTGTCTGGCATATATAAGAACTGCTTTCTGTCGGACCAAGCAAAAATGTAAAGCACTGACAAGCTCCTTTGACAAGACACGATGCGGTATGATAGTGCAAGCGAAATCTGTTAAATGTGAATCCGATCCGATAAATGTAACAGCGCTTTCACTTTCGACGGCTAATGCACAGCGTGCAGACGCAGATTCAACTTGCGCCAGAGGAACTTGATGGTGTGGGGGTACGTGCGGCGCAAAAAATGGTAACGGCGACCTACCTTGTGAAATTAAAGTGGTTAAATTGAGGCGAAAATAACTGCAATAAGAAGAAAGTAAATACAAACACAAAAGAGCGCGTTAAATGTTCCAATTTTCGAAGCGAAACCCCCATGAAAACCTCAAGTGGCCAAATTCAAAGAGGAGAGGCCCCCACAAAACGGCTAGAATAGCCGGAACGCGCAGTGGCAGGGCGTGTGCTTATCCCACTGCTGCTTCAAGCAAGCAAGCAAACAAGCGAGCGAGCGAGTGGGCAGACAGACAAGAGAACATTGGCGCTGGCCTCTTTTATTCTGCTTTTGGATCATCCCGCTAAACAAAATCAATGAGAAAGCAGACTCAAAATTCTGGACCAATGGTTGCTGCTAATTGCTATGTTTCCAATCAGGTGATTTATTAGTTGGCAAAGTGTTTAGGGTCAAAGGATAAGATCAAGATGCGAACTGTTCCAGATCAATTGTAAGCACCTGCGAGCTGTTCTGCGGCTGGTCCCGGTAAATGCCGACAAGCGTTTGCGCGCGCTCGAAAAGCTCCTGCTTGAGCGAAATGACAATGAACTGGAAGTCGCCAGCCAAAGGGGAAACAGGGGAAACAGCAGCGGCTGCCCCTGCCAACACTGCTGCGGGCTTCTTGATGCGCGTGCTCTGACGCAGCGAGTAGTGCGAGGCTTCGGGATCGATGGCTTCCTCAGCAGGATCCGCCTCCTCCTCAGTATCGGCATCAGCATTAGAGTCAGCCCCCGGAGCATTGGCTGTGCCGCGGGCATGCTCACGCAGATAGTTTGCCAGCTTGGCCACATTGAGCGGGTCGAGAGCAGCATCAACCTCATCAAGCACAAAGAACGGTGCTGGGCGGAATGTTTGGAGCGAGAAAAGTAGCGCCAGGGCAGCAACGGTCTTCTCGCCGCCACTAAGCTGCTCCATGTCGCTGAAACGCTTGAGTGGTGGCATCGCGTGGTACTTCACGCCAGCGAGATACGGCGACTCTGGGTCTTCCAGCGCAAGATACGCAGTGCCGCCCAGCGGGAACATCGGGCTCTGCGTCAGAGCCTTGTATGCATGGTCAATTGCCGTGGCCAAGTGGGTGTAGCACCGCATAAATGTGTCGTGCCGCCGCCGCCGCACCGTCTGAAATTCAACCTTGGCATCGCGCGCGTCCTGCCTGGCCGCGTTGTGTTCAGTGTCGATATTATGCAGGCGTGCTCGCGCAGCCTCGAGACGCTCGCGCGCGTGCGGGTTCGGGTTAAGCGCGTCGATATCAGTAGCCAGCCGTGCCAGATCTTCGGCATACTTCTGATCGACAGCCGCGGCCGCGCCGCTGCGTGCTTGCGAAGGAAGTGATGAGTAGTCAACGACAATATCCTCGTCGTTGACGTCGGCCATGCTGGCAGACGCCTGCGTGCTTTCTGCCAGCGAAAGCTGCGACAGGTACACCTCAGCTGCATGTGTCTCCGAGCTGGCCCAGCCTCCAGCGGCAGGGCTTGCAGCGATCCCTGGCGCAGCGGCAGCGGGATGTCTTCGATCTTGCAACGGCGCAGGACGGCTGCACGGTCGGCGGCAGCGCGCTCCAACTCGGTGGCCCTTGCACCGAGCTCCTTGCTCATAGCATCGAGCGCACGCTGGCCCTGCTCGACACTGCGGCGTGCTGAGTGGACGCTGTCACTGGCGTCGCCATACTTGTGACGCAGCTCGACCAGCTCGGCGCGCAGGGTCTCGATCTGGGCGACGCTGTCAGACATCTGCTGCTGTTCGGTGCTGAGCTCAGTCTGTAGCGCCGCCAGCGACTCACGCACAGCCTGCAGTGCTTGCACCAACTGTGAGAGCTGTGACTCAATTGCCTCGAGCTGCTGACGCTCAAATGCACGCTGGGTGTCCAGTCGTGCAAGATGCGTTGTGAACTGCAGCCGCCGCTCGTCGCTGGCCTCTGTGGCTGGCAGAAGTTGCTTTTCAAATGAATCGAGGCTGCTGATTCCAAGATGCGCGCAAAAGCTGGCAAAGATCGGCTGTGCTGTGGCGTGGATACGCGCGCTCACTTCATTGCGCTCGCCGCGCGCGGCTTGCAGCTGCTCGGCCGCCTGCGCTGCCACGGGCTTGGCTGCCAACAGCTGCATCTCGGCATGCTTGCGCTCAGTGGCCACGCCCTGTGCCTTGCGAGTCAGCCCATCGACAGTCTCGCGAGCAATCTGATGACGCGTTTGCAGCCCAGCGACGCGGCTTCCTAACATATCGTCCTTTGCAAGCCTGCGCCGCTCACGCGCAACCTCATGCAGCTCTTCGGTGAGCCGATCCCGAGCACGGCGCATGCCCTCGACTGCGGCTGCCTCCCATCTCTGGGTCTGTGCGCGCTGGCCGCCGTTGGCCGCTGTTCCGCCGGTAATCAGCCCGCTGCGGTGAATAACAGTACCGTCGAGAGCCACCGATTTGGCGTCTAGCTGCTGCTCATAGGCGATGTAGCGCGCGACCTCGACTGTGTCGCAAATCAACGCACTGCCGCATGCGTGCAGAACAGCCGCCTCAATCGCTGGGTCGTACTGAAGCACGTCTGTGGCCAGCCGCGCCCCACGGTGCGCGTGCCTCAGAGCGTCCCCAACGGGCGCGGGCTGCAGTGCATCGAGTGGAAGAAAGGTCGCCTGCCCTGCGCGCTGCTCCTTCATGTACGCAATGCACTCGAGCGCTGTGGCCTGACGGTCGACGACAATGGCGTCCATCAGCCTTCCAAGCACCGTTGCCACGCCGACATCGTACTTGTGCTGCGTCGGCCGGCACAGCTCGGCCAACCGCCCGTGTACGCCTGTAAACATGCGCTGCAACGCGCTGACCGTGTCGCGCAGCTTCGCCTCGCGGGCTGACTCGCGCTGATCTGCGCGCGCCTGTGCTAGCTCCTTGAGAACACCCGCCAGCTTTTCGCTCAGCTCGATCTCGAGCCCCACCAGCCGCTTGTGCTCAGCCTTGGCCGCCTCAGCATCGCGCCTGGCCTGTTGCATTTCCTGCTCGATGCCGCGCATCTCAACGGTTGCTCCCTGGAGCTGCTGCGCATATGCGTGCTCCGACGCCGCCAGCCCTTCGCGCGTAGACTGCAAGTCCTCGATCTTGTCGGACGCGCGCCTGGCCGCCTCGGCAAGCAGCTGTATCTGGCGATCCAGCACGTCGCGGCGGTGCGTGTCTTCGACCGACGTGCTGCGCAGCTGCTCTGACAAGTGGTTGTATTCGGCCATAACTTCGTCGCTGAGCTGCGCACTGGAGGTGCCCTGGTTCTCTTGCTCGAAGCGCGATTCAGCACTTTTAACGCGCGTGTGCTCGTTGTCTAGCTCTCGACCACTCCACGCTGCCGAACTGCATCCGCCTCGGATGCTTCGACATTCTCCTCGAGCTGCTTGGCCTTGCGCTGCGCATACGCAACCTTCTCGGCTAGCCCCGCGAGCTTGGGCTGACGCGCTTCAATGTTCTGCTCGACAAGCTTGATCTGGCGCTCCTGGCGATTGACTGACTTGTACGCCTTAGCCTGCAGCTTCTGTTGCGTCTGCAACGATGCGTCGAGGCTCGCATGCTGCTGCGAGGCCTGTGCGATCGACCACCGTGCAGTGTGCTGATGTCCTGTTTGATGTCACGGATACGCCCCTCGGCGACAAACAGCTTGTGCAGCATGTGCTCGACTGTCATCTTTGTGCGCAGCTGCACCTTGCTCTCGTACAGCTCTAGCTCCTTCTTTTGCTCCAGTATCGAGTGCATCTCGGCCGCAACTGCGCGCTTCTTGTTGTAGGCAAAGGTTGACCGTTCGGCAGCCGCGTCCTGGCGCTTCTCGAGCTCGCTGTACTCGCTGTGCAGCTCCCACGAGCCGCTGATCTGCTCGATAAGCAGAGTCAGGTCCTTGGGAGACTGCGAAGCGACGGCCTCCACATCGCCTTGGAACACCAAAAAGTTCTTTGCCTTGACCAGGATGTTTTGCGACTCGAGCGCCTGGTTGTATGTCTGCAGAGACACAAGCCGGCCGTTGCACCGGTACTCGCTGTCACCTGCGGGCGTGATAGTGCGCTGAAAGTTTATAGTGCGCTCGTTGTCGTCCTCGTAAACGGCCTTCACCCAGGCGCGGCGACTGTCCTGGTCTCCGGCCTCGTCGATGACATTCCCGTTGCGTGTCTCCACAGTCCGGCCGCGGTAAACTAGGTCCTTCAGCTGCGACGAGCGCAAGTGCGTCGAGCGCACGCCCAGCACAAAGCTGATTGCATCCATCAAGTTGGATTTTCCGGCGCCATTGGGACCGACGACCGCAGTGAAGCCGGAAAAGGGCCCGATGACCTGATGGCCGCGGTACGACTTGAAATTCTCGACCTCGAGACGAACAAGGCGGCCCATGATTCGGCGATTGTCAAAAGTATTGCGGATTCTGAAACTCGACGGTGGAAGAGGATGAAAAAATAGAAGCGTAATTAAAGCAAAATAAGCGAGTACAAGCAAACAAAGAAATAGTTTGTACGAAAAAGGTAAAAAAAACAAGAGGTAGCTTGTAGGCGTGTTTGTATGCGCGTTGTTTTACTTTGGTTGTGTTCCAGACGCGTTTGTGCCTCCTGTGATTGGGCGGTTGTGTTTCCGACGCGTTCGCACGCGCTGTGTGTGCTGCCGCGCTGATTTTTTGATTGCCGGATTTGGGTGACATGCAGGAACCAGCCCCATCCTCACTATTTGCGCAGTTGCGCAGCATGTGTGTGATGCAATGCAATGTGAGGGGCAGACGAGACGAGACGAGACGAGATGAGCGCTGCTTGCAACGCGCCCGCTCCAAAGGACCAAGACAATAAAAATACACTTGGCACATTGAGGAGCGGCGGACACCACTTCCCCAACGGCTATAAATACGTCAATACGTCCTCATATTCCTCAACGCTATTTTATTTTAACGAAAATTGAAAAGGCGTGTAATTGTCTCTCTTTGCTGAACTTTACGCTTTGCGCTTTGCGGCCCAAGCACACAATGAGATCATTGGAAAGGGCTAAAGACCATTATACCTTTAGCTTCTGTAAAGAAAGGAATATAATCCCGGGGGAGCGACTGCCCTTGGCGTTCTCTCTCTCATCTGCACATCCTCCCTTTTCCTTTCAACAGACATTCTCATTTAGCATCGTACTGCCATCCTTCGCCACTTACATTTCTAGTCACCTACCGAGCAAAGCCATGGCTCAGCCCCGAAACCATCCGTCACAGAAGTCGGCACACGACCATCAGAGCCAGCACCAGAGCCATCACCAGCAGGTTTCAAAACCACCACCCGCCCACTCTGCGCCGCCATCGAGCCACCACAGCCACCCAGCCATGCTAGGCCGGCGCCGAGCATCAGCCACAAGAACAGCGCAAAGGAACTCAAAAATATCCGTGACCCACGGCTACTCCAGCAAGCCGAGGTCGACAAGCGGCTCAAATCGCTGCGGCGCCGCGCAAGCTGGCTGGATTCAAAATTCTCGTGCTGCTGCGGGCTGTTCCGGTTCGGCATGGAGTCGGTAATCGGGCTTATTCCAGTAATTGGCGACTTTGTAGGAATTTTCCTTGCGCTGTCGTTTATGAACACCATCCGGCGACGGTTCAACGTACCGGCGTCGCTTGTATCGCAAATGACATCAACATTGCCATTGACTTTTGCGTAGGACTGGTGCCCATCCTGGGCGACATCATCGACGTGATGTTCAAAGCAAACATGCGCAACTACGAGCTGGTCGAGAAGTACGTCACAGAGCAGCGGGCGGCAGCGGCAGCGGACGCGCACAACTTGGAGCTTGGATTGGGGCTGGACCTGGGCTCAGGGACGGCAGCCCACAGCGGCGGATTCAGGGCGCGCATCGGCGAGTTCATCCCGCCGGTACCGCTGAACCTCAATGCGGCACTGTGACCAAGGTCGCCACCGCAGGAATCAACGCTCGGCGCGGCGGCCATTAGCCGCTGTGTCACCGACGATGATGACGACGATGACCACAATCTATGCTTTAATCGACAATCAAGCGGATTTATCAATTGTGGCAACACACAAAACCTTGGTTCCGGCCTATAAGCTTTTTTCTTTTCTACTTTCATTTTTTTTGCGTTTGAATTGAATTTGAAATTCACCTTTTGAGCCCCGCACAATATCTTTTATAATGTTCAAGCAACTTTTGCTCGCGCAGCGGCAGTACAGACAGATTCTGCCCTTGGCCGGCGGCGGCATGTCTACTGCCAAAGCGGGCTATTTTTGCATCAGTCGGAAGCCTCGCCCACTCGCGCACAGCTTCCAAAAGCCCACTGTGCATCGGGCGGCAGTCTATAGCGCCAGATTACCGCATCGACAGCAGCTGCAGCCGCCGCAGAGGCAGAGGCATGACCAGAGTGGAGGCGAGGGCGAGGGCGGCAGCGCAAACAAGGCATGCTGGCACTGCCAGCAGCAAAACAGCCCGGCCAGCCTGCTCTGCAAAAACGAAAAGTGCGCGGTCATCCAGGCCGTGGGCAAGGGCGTCAACTACTACGATGTGCTGCTGGCAGGCAGGCCGCCGTCGTTTGAGATTGACGCGGCCGAGCTGCGGCGCAACTTTCTAAGGAGCCAGCAGGCAGTGCACCCGACAGCTTCTCGCAGCAGGGCCAGATTGAGCGCAGGCTTGCCGAGGTGCAGTCATCGTGGATCAACCACGCGTACGCGACGCTAAAAGACCCACTGCACCGCGCGCAATATCTGCTTAAGCTGCGCGGCATGGAGATCCGCGAGGCCGACCAGATCGCCGACCCCGAGCTCCTCATGGAGATCATGGACACGCGTGAAGAGATTGAGGAGGCCACAACCGACGCGCAGATTGCTGCCATAAAGGCCCGCAACGACGCCAACATTGCAGCCGTCACCGCTGGCCTGGCGAGCGCATTCGGCTCGGACGCCCTGACCCGCGCCAGGCAGCTCACCAACCGCCTGCAGTACCTGCGGCGCGTGGCCCAGGCCGTCCACGTCTGGGAGCCAGGCAAGCCGGTCGTCATCTCGCACTAGGCATCGTCATACAGCTTCTCGGCTCGCTCTGGCACAGATGGCATGTGCGAAGGAATGACCGCAGCGACCCTGCTGCTGCAATGGGGACGGACAGGCGGACAACACGTGTCACCTACTCCCTCATTCTCCTTCCTCCATTTTTGGCGTGCATCCTGAATATACTGCGCCTTGCTTCTTGCTGAATGCCCAGCTATTTTTTGTTATTTTTAACAAGAGCACAGAGCCGCCCCTCATTTTTAATTGCCCGCAATCACTTTTCGTTTTTCTTTCAAACGCGCAGGCCCTGGTTATTTTGCCAGCTCCCTCCCTTCTTTGTCACACAAACATAACATAACCCCTGTCATTTATTTTCTGCTGCTCCATTACCATTTCCCCCTCAACACTCATATCCTCCAGAGCCATGATACACACTGGGCGCGCCTCCGACGCCTCCGAATCCGCTGCTTCCGTTGGCGCGGCTGCCGCTGGCCACACGACGGTCGAAGAGTCGCCGCTTCTGCATTCGGCCACTCTCAACGAGAACACATATGGCGACGCCGCCGCCCCGCGCTCGCTGGACGCTGGTATCACATTGACGTGCATCGCAAGCGCAATGCTCGTGTGCCTTGCGCCACTGCAGTACGGGTACCACATCGCTGAGCTCAACACGCCCAGAAAGATCATCACCAGCTGCGACAAGGACGCTGTGCATTGGGCGTCGCTGCCAATGTGCCTGCCCATGAACGACGCAATGTACTCGCTGGCCACGTCCATATTCGCTGTCGGCGGGCTGCTCGGGTCGCTTTCGGCTGGGTGGATGGCCGAAAAGTGGGGTCGCCGTGGGGCTTTGCTCATTAACAACGCGCCGTTCGTGCTGGGGCCCCTGCTGATGGCCCTGGCCGTGTCGCCGGCCATGCTCATTGCTGGCCGCTTTGTCAGCGGGCTCGGTTCGGGTGCTGCCGTCGTCATCGCCCCCATGTACCTGTCGGAGGTTGCGCCGCTTAAGTACCGCGGCACGCTCAACATGTTCAACCAGCTGAGCATTGTTCTGGGCATTCTGATTACTCTGACAGTCGGCATGCTTGCCAACGAGGGCCCCTACTGGCGTATTAGTGTCGGCTCCGGGCTTCTTCTCGCGTGCCTGCATCTGGCAGTCTCCTCATTTGCCGTTGAGAGCCCGCGTTATCTGTGGTCGCGCAACCGCTGCGCCGAAGCGTGCGCTGTGCTTCGCCGCCTGCGCCATACCTCTAATATTGAGGACGAGGTCAGAGGCTGGTCTGCCTCGCCCGTGCAACAGCGCTCGAGCTCAGCGCGCGCGATGCTGCCCGAGCGTCGCGGCATACTGCGCGGCGCGGCTGAGGCCGACGACGGTTTCAGCGAGGTCTCGTCCTCGGCGGACTCGCTGCACAATGGACAGACGGGCATCAAGCCTGACAACGGTGAGGCCGCCGGCCACCGCGGAGATGCACTTCAGGCAGATAACACCAACGTCACCATCTTCAACATTTTTCGCTTTGCTCAGTACCGCAAGCCCTGGATGCTGGTGCTGCTGCTGCAGTTTGGCCAACAGCTGTCGGGAATCAACACTGTGTTTTACTTCTCCTCTTCGGTTCTAGAAAAGATGTTTTCAAGCCAGGTCAGCAGCATCCTCACCATGATGATCGGTGTGCTCAATGTTGTAGCGACTGCTTCAGGCGCGCTGGTTGTTGACCGGTTTGGCCGCCGTCCGCTGCTGTTTTCGTCGATGGCTGCCATGGCCGTCTCGGTGATGCTTCTGGGCCTGGGCTTGGGTCTCAAGCTGAACATGCTTGCCGCAGTGTCGCTATATCTTGTTGTTGCGTCGTTTGCGCCCGGGTACGGTCCAGTTCCATTTTTGCTTGGCACAGAGTTCTTTGACATCCGCGCTGCGGGCGCCGGCGGATCGTGGGCGCTGGCAGCCAATTGGATCGGCACATTCATCGTGGCCACTGTGTTCCTGCCCCTGCAAAGCCTAATTGGCGAGTGGGTATTTGCTATCTTTGTTGGCGCCCTGGTTGTTTGCGGAATTACCTTCTACTTCCACGTCCCTGAGACCAAGGGTCGCACGATCGAGGACATTGCGAGAAAGTTCAAGTAGCCTCTGCGTGATGATGTTATTGCTATTGTTTTAACTCAATTTTCCCATTGCATGGCATAAGCGACAATGCAGCTAGAACTGTAAAATTAGCTTGTTTGTCCATCGAATGTATTACGCAAAAGTAATAAAATATATACTTTGGAGCGTATCAAGTGCAAATATTTCAATCGATTGATATGACAAAAAAACAATCATATATTTTTTATATATTTACCAAGATACAATTTCACTGCAAATTGCATTGTTCGAAAAATAAATTGATATGCTGAGACGCTTTTGATTGCATGCACCACCGGATATGGTTATATATGTGTATATTATGTGCCTGTGTGAGAGCAAAACTGACTTTATCAAAATAGAGACAATGCCACATTGTTGGCGGCCTCCAGGATTTTGAGCATATTTTTGTCACTTGCGCATGTGAACAGTTAAAAAATGTAAACAGAAGACTTAATAATATGCCTATTTTTTAGAAAATATAAAAATAGGTAGCGTGGTTGCATGTGTGGGTGTGGGTGTAGATTGCTGTCAAATGAAAGGCTCAGCAGACATTATCCAATGTCAGCGCTTAAAAAATATTTGATTACCGACATTTCCGCATGGATTTACACTTTTTTTGCAATTCATTAGTCGAAGTTTACAACACACATTGCCATTATGTGTTTATTACTTGTTTTTTATTTTGCACTGGCCAAATATCTGCGCCAACTTTATCTGTAATTGCAAGTAATGGTCAAACACAAATAATGCTTATGCATTTTATTTTTGCTGCCGACACGCAATATAACTTTAAGCTATTTTATAACAAGAATAGTCGATAGGTCCTCAATCAACATAAATAAAACCGGTTTTGCGTTTAATACATATTTTATATTTTAATACTAAGCCAGTCATACTTGCCCTATCCTTTTTGCTGTAATCCCCCAGCGTTTTTGCGCACTATTTTTGAAACAACGTCACCATGTATAGTCCCCCCCTATATTTTGTTACATTCACTTTCTGCTGTTGTTTTTCACGTACATATTCCCTCGCATGCGCCCCGCTTGCATATATTGGATTTGGGATTGCCTTTCTGTCTGCCAATTTTTATTGTTTATTAGACCAACACATAGCAACTATATACAAGTCAAATGCACAATTTGACAACTGATACGCTCTTACATAAATTAACATTATTTTCTTGTGCGCACATTTTTATCTTTCTCTTCTGACTTTATTTTTTTTGCCTATAAAACACACATCAACATTCACGGTATCTGGTCATAGCCACGCACTCAATATTATTATTCAGCTAATATATGGTTCAGTATTGTTAATATCGGCACTCACGACACCCACATTGACAGGAAGCCCGCGGGGCCACTAAACACTTCCAAACCTAGCAACACTAGCATTACTATTTACAGCCTGGCCAAAGCTCGGCACTGTCTTACTCTGGACGACAGAGACAAATTGGCGTTTTTCGCTCTTAGTAGCCTAGGCAGTGTGCTAGGAATAATGGCAGTAAATGCAAACACTAGCAGCAAATCAACACTTTCTCTGACCAACCACCCTAGCAAGATTCCACCGTTCCATAAGACTGGCCGTGTGTCATTCATGAACAGCAGTAACGCCAAGCCCCATTCAAAGCCTAGTATCCATGACAGAACAGCAAGCTGGGTTGCTGCCTCATCCTCCTACCCACAAAAGACACATCTGCACAACAGCACTGGAATCCACAAAAGTGCGCAGCAGTGTTGGAGTCACCAGGCCACTGCTGCCACATCTGTTACTGCGGCTACGGATGTGGCAGCAGCCAATTACAGCTATCAAGCCTTTAACCACAGCTCTGGTCACAATCCCTGACAACATCAGCACTTACTCAAAACTCAGTAGCCCAGGCACATTCCCCACACCCTCAGCACAATAGACAACAAAACCAGCCACATGTTCTCAGTGGCAGGCCAGGTGCATTGGCTAGCACTGCAGCATATGCCAACCCCAATAACTTACAGTCGACATACTTGGCACATGGAGTTGGAAATGCCAATGGGCCCTTGCCTGCTGCACACAATGGCCAGCCTGCCACACTTGCTGCACCTACTATCTTTCCTGCTAGCATTAGAAACAGTGCAACTTTGCCAGGCCTCTCAGCAGCCCACAGCAACAACAACCCAAATAAAGAAAATTGGAATCATCATGATTATATGGCCACCCATGCACATTTCCCGAAGCCAACACTGCCAACCATTCACAGCATCACACATTGCAACAGCATTATCAAACTCACCAGCTGCTTCAACAGCCATTCAGTGGACCCCTGGGCCTGTTCGATATGGACAGTATTACCAACATCAAAACAAACAAATGCACACTTACCAGCCACAGTATCAGTCACTCCAGCCTCAACCCCAGCCTCACCACATACCTCAACAACTAATGCAGGTTGCATATGGGCCACAGCCAATCTCAACACCACATCACACTGATATGCTTTACCAACAGCAACATGGTGCAGCATCTGCTGGCTACAGCAACAATGCATACTATTCGCAGTCATATTTGGCAGGACCTGGTCAATTTCAGCACCAATACCCACAGTCCTTGTCGCAAAGCATGCCGACGTTGCCTACGCCTTCGAACTACCACAATACTGCTCGCCCAAAAAACGGGTACACTTTGAAAAATAGGTAGTCGACAATTAATTTGCTTATTTTATAAAAATGTAAGGTTTTTATAAAAAAAACTGGTAATGAATTACAACTTCTTACCCGTGTGGGCTCAACGAGCATTTGAGAATATCTAACTGATGGCTTACTCAAGGGCTACAAAGACAAGCTAATTGTATTGATAATTTGTTACTACCATTTTTGTTTTAAAAAATACCTGTAATGAGCGCGGAACCCAACAAAATGGGTTAGAAGAAAAACATGGGTTTAGTACTAAAACACATGAGACTTGTGTATATACAGCTTAAAAACTGCATATTTTAATCGAGAAATCAGTATAATAATGATCTTGATTAAAAAATTACATTGATTTAACATCTAACTTTATGAATTTATGATTCTGGAAGTTAATTGCAAAATCCAAGTATACATAGCACAGGACTCAAATGATTGACAGTCAGCCATGATAATAACAGGCTGCACTGCTGGAAATGGCCCAGTCCTCATCTGCCCCTTGCTGTTCAAATGCTCAGAGAATAGGATATGCCCACAACAGGGCTCAAATGCAGTGAATGTTTGCTGGAATGTTTGGGGCACAAATGCAGCATTGAGGCAGGGCTATGAAGGTCACACCATTGAAAAAACTCTGTGAGAGTTGCATTGCTAAATATAGGGCGTGAATGCCATGGCATTAAAGAAAGGCAACAATAGTTGGAGCAATAGAGCACTGCTGTGCAAGCTGTTTTAACTAAGCAAAGCTGCACAATTGACAGCTAACAAGCACATTATCCTGTGAATAAATAGGTTGAGTCGGAAAGCAACTGGAACCTGTTCCCTCATCTGGGTCTGGATCTCACAATTATTACCCCCTTGTGCACCTTGTTGGTCTTTTTGAGGTGTACAGTTCTATCAAAGACAAGTATTTCAATATGTTGTCTACTAAGCTCAATAATGCTGGCATTCTTGTGGCAATCAAGGATGGTTTTATGCTGCACCAAGCTGGTGTTTCCTCCCATGGCAAGGCCAGTGGCTACACCATCTCAGTGTGAAAAACGAGCAAAGCTGAGCAAAGAGAAGGTTTGCAAGTTATATTTAAAAGGAAGAAAAGGATAAAGTTCTAAGCTGAAGAAAGAAAGTGAAGAGACTGAGGAAAGCTGTCTCTTATATAGGAGACAGCGAGTGAAGATAAGAAACATAAATAAAAGAGTGGTACTTTAGAAACTTCTGGTCTTGCAATCATCTTACAGTATGCAAGACGGAGTTCCACCAAGAACGGAATTCCAACACTCCCCCTGACAAGGTGCTCACATCATACCAGAGGATGAGCGATGTCTGACAAAGGCATCTAGGGGCAATTGCTTGGTCAGATAGTCAGCAGCTTGGTCAACAGTCGAAACATACTTGAGATGATATACTTGCTGAGATAGTGCAGCATGAGGAAGTTGCAGAGTAGACTTGTAGTGCTTGTTGGCATCAGTCACAGCACCAGTCTGTGTATTGTTGATAGTGCTCTCATTGTCACAGAAGATGGTGGCAGGGTCAACATGTACATGGATGTCACACAGCAGGTCTTGTAGCCACATGAGCTCACGGACAACAGAGGTCAGGGCAATGGTCTCAGCTTCAACTGTGGATTGAGGTGGCAAGCCAAGAGCACGTTTCTTTGACTTCCAAGCAACTGCTCCCCCTGCCAGAGTGAATACATAGCCAATTACCATGGCTTCCACAGTACACAGTCCAAATGAAGCATCACTGTACCCAACTAGGTTGAGGTGTTCAGACCGACGATAGTGAATGGCCATGTTGCAGGTGGTCTTCAGATACTTGAGTACTCGCTTGGCAGCACCCATGTGTTTCATCAGTGGCTCTTGGTTGAATGATGCAAGCACAGAGGTGACCAGAGCAATGTCAGGCCGAGTGACCATGGCCAGGTACTGCAGGGAGCCAACAATTGAGCGGTATTCAGTGGTATTGCACTTGGCAAGGTGTGGGGCAGTCTCTCCAAGCTTGGCAGAAGCAGCAATGGGCAGATCAACATCATTGGCTTCCTCAAGGCCATACTTGCTGACCAGGTTCTGGATGGCAGTAACCTGGTTGATCTTGATGCCATCAGACATGTGATGCACATTGATGCTCAGGATTGTGCTGCACAGACTCAGATCCTTCATTGAGAACTCAGCAGACAGGCCAGTTTTGACCTTGGCCAGGATGTTGTCATCAGATGCAGCCAGCAGCAAGTCGTCAACATAGGTCGTCAAAATGCATGTTGCAGAGCCACTCTTAAGCCAGTAGACACCTGGGTCAGCATTGCTGCACTGGAATCCAAGGCTGCCACAAAGGAAAGTATTCAGGCGACGATTCCAAGTGCGTGGTGCCTGCTTCAAACCATATAGGGAGTAGCATAGCTTGAGAACACTCTTGGTCTGGTCACCAGTCATGCCATCAGGAATCTCAACATATATGTCTTCTTCCAGGTCACCATGCAGGAAGGCAGTCTTGACGTCCATGGAGTGCAGCAGCCAGTCATGGTGGGCTGCAAGTGCTATGACTATACGAATAGACCTGTAGGTCACCACAGGTGCAAACACATCATAGTAATCAATCCCAGGGTGCTGCTCAAAGCCTCTGACTACCAGGCGGCCCTTGTACAATGGTGGCTCGTCATCTGAGCCTTGCTTGACAACAAATACCCAGCGTGTGCTCAGAGGGCAGATTGAGGATGAGCGTGGGACAAGCTCAAACACCTCATTCTCAGCAATAGATGCCAACTCGCTTTTGATTGCAGCCTTCCACAAGGGTGCCTCCTCTGAGCGCATGGCCTGGATGTAGGATGTGGGGCCTGATACAGCCACACCACAGAACAGGGCACCATTGTTCTGTACCAGAGCATCTTGGTCGTCATCATAGCTGTTGCTGTTATAGTCATAGTCGACATCATGGTTGGGCATGCTGGTGCTGTCAGCCTGCACTCTGTCATCCACTCGCCACCAGTCTGTTGTAGGCTGGCTGTTTCTGGTGGTGAGAGTGCCTTGCTCATGAGCAGCAATGTCAGTGATTCGTGCTGAGGCTGCTGAGGCTGCTGAGCGACGGCTGAGCATGGGTGTTACTGGGTCAGTAGCTCTGGCAGCAGTAGACGATAGCCTCAAGGGAGATGGGTTGGTTGGCTGGTGTCTGTGGATGTTGACACTGGTGCTGGTAGTATCTTGAGCACTGCGGCTTGACAGAGATGATGGATGCCCAGAAAAGGGCTCTCTGCCTAGTGGCTCAGTGGTTGATGTACTGTTTCTGCTGTTGCTGGTACTTGTGGCTGTGGCTGAAGAATGGCGAACTGGAGTGTGCTGGGGTGTCGAGCTAGGACTGTGCTCCTCATGGGCAGTGACAAATGAGGCATCAGTAAACTCAGACTCACTGTTGCTGTTGTTGCTGCCACGTAGGATAGACTGGATTATTCTGCTGTTTCTCTGGCGCCTCTCCTGTGTGAAAAACGAGCAAAGCTGAGCAAAGAGAAGGTTTGCAAGTTATATTTAAAAGGAAGAAAAAGATAAAGCTCTAAGCTAAAGAAAGAAAGTGAAGAGACTGAGGAAAGCTGTCTCTTATATAGGAGACAGCAAGTGAAGATAAGAAAGGTAAATAAAAGAGAAGGATACTTTAGAAACTTCTGGTCTTGCAATCATCTTACAGTATGCAAGACGGAGTTCCACCAAGAATGTAATTCCAACAACTGGAACACAACTCAACATGTCCACTGCCGGTTATGCACAAACTGACGGACAGACTGAGCGTGTGAACCAGGTACTGGAGTCAATGCTACGTGTGACGTGCAACAATTACCAAAACGACTGGAACCAACACATAGTGCATGCAGAGTTTGCCTACAATAGTCACAGCAACAGCTCGACACAGCACACCCCATTCTATGCAGATTATAGCTTCCAACTACTAAATGCCACCACCATCACCTTCAACATGGAAACTGCCAAGCCCAATACTGACGCCAATGAGACACTCCTGAAGATTAAACAGATTAGCGAAATAGTCAAGGAAAACATCGAATTCGCACAGCTACGCATGATCAGAAACCACGACAAGAAGATAACCTCACCCGACATTGTGCCAGGCAATGAAGTAACGATCTCGGCGAACTTTACAATGCCATCTTACCTGCATAACCGGTCCAGCAACTCACTGCAATATAAATGGGCTGGGCCCTACAAGGTCGAAAAACAGATTGGCCGAAATGCATTCCACCTCAAACTTCCACCCAACATGCACATTCACCTGGTCATCTCATGTTCACACCTAAAAAATAACATGCTGCTGACGATTACTGCACTGCACTCTGCTCTGAACCACCACCTGTAGAAGTTGCAGGACATCTCGAGTATCACATTGAAAAGATTGTTGACGACCATGTGTGGAGGCGAAAATGCCAGTACCTGGTACAGTGGGAAGGATATGGAATAGAAGGATGAACATGGGAGGACAAGAGTAGTGTGGATAAAACAGAAGCATATGAACGATATTTAATCACACATGCTATTGCCAAGACTGACGGAGTCTGATCTTAAGTAGGGGCAATTGTGACATCAGAAATGGGGGGTGGGGGTGAGTCACATAACAGGACAGATGCATGAAATATGTTTATGATATTTCACGCATACAGTGAATTCCAGATAGTGAGCTCTTTGTGAGAAACGAGCAAAGCTTCTCTTTGCTCAGCTTTGCAAGTTATATTTAAAAGAAAGAAAATATAAAGTTCTAAGCTGAAGAAAGAAAATGAAGAGACTGAAGAAAACTCTCTTATATAGGAGACAGCAAGTAAAGATAAGAAATGTAAATAAAAGAGAAGGATACTTTAGAAACTTCTGGTCTTGAAATCATCTTACAGTATGCAAGACGGAATTCCAACACTCTTTAGCTCTTCTCATAGTCTCATTTCTATTAATATTTATTATAACCAGCACAATTCCTCAGTACACAGCTGCTATTAGTCCCACTCTGTGTTGGGCACAGATTTCCTTAATAGGAAATGCCCATCAGTTGCCCTTTTCCTTGTGAGTAGAAAGACTCACAGCCATAAAAAGGGCAAAACAACAACATTTTATTGGTGCACTCTCTTCTCTTTTGGCTAGTTTGGAAAATATAGTTTGAATTCACTTGTTAACACTCTGTGCACAGGACTGCATGCTCCAGTAGGTT